TGTACAAATTGTGCTTACAAATTGTGCCTGTTTCTTCTTATTCTCTTTTCGCCCAGCTTGAAAGCATGACCTTTACCCCCATCTTGTTTGTAATGCAGAAACCACGCACCAGATCTCAATTTTGGAATTACGACAAATTTGTCATAAGATTGTGCTAGATTTGCAAAAATTATGCTAAATTTCAAATCAAGGCAACCCTGCTCGAGAAAGAGGCTAATGCATGCTCAGAATATCAAAAGTGGCCAGAGTTGCAATTTGGCCCTTTTGACAACCCAGTGTACTCATTATTCATAAACAAAAAGGCAATTTAGATCCATGGTTTGATGGCCAAATTTCTCCATTTTGGCAGTTTCTCAAAACCCCTTGCCCGCCGCAAATTGATTTAGCCGAAGAAGCAAAATTTGGCTGAATTCTGGCCGCATGTTTAAAAAGCAACGAAAATGCAAAGGAAACAAAAATTTTTGCACAGATAATATTCAAAACTTTTTAAAATAATTTCAAAATTGCAAATGATGAATGATGAAACAAAGTAAAAGATAACAGACAGTTTTTGATAAAAGCAAATGAAAACTTTTGTAACCTACAAAGCAAATTTTGTTTACGATATCACTCCCAATAATTAGAAAAATTAGTTTTTTTGTATACAGCGTTTAGCTGGCTGCATTTGGCTGCCAAACACAAAATATATGGCTGCCAACCATTCAAAACAACTGACAAAATCCTGAAAGTGGAAAGGCACAATTTACCCCTAAATGAAACCACAGATGCTGGTGTTAAGTGTTTAGTAACGATAGACAATGGATGAATGGAAACAGTGATTCTTTTAAATAATATCAGAATTATGCCAGAGTTATGCTAGATTCCATATCATGCTAGATTTTTTGCTTAATAACGATTTTTGGCCAATATTATGCTAATATTACGGTAGATCAGGTCACACTGGCACCAGCCCACAAGGGAGTGGCTGAAACGGGACTAGCAGGCTTGCCCCCAAATTTTTTAACGGCCACGCCCTTTGAAACACAGGAAACCACTCCTTTCAGAAAATATTTGCTTTTATCTGTCCTTATTCATAAACATAACGATTTAGAGAAGATTTCAATTAACATAAAAATACAAAACCGAGTTAGATAAAATACAAATTTATGTTTCACCACACAAGATAAAGCACCATCAAAAAGAACAAAAACGTGTTCCCAGCAGAACTGCTACTAATGCGTTCGTTAGCGTAAATTTTCAAAACATTTTCTTACTCATTATTGCAAAAAAGTTGGGGAGGACTATAGTCCCTGTCATGCAACGTTCCCAATTGAATGTTCCTCCCAGCTACCACCGAGAGGCTTATCATCTTTCAGCTGCTGTAGCCTTGAGAGGAACTTTTCCAATGCTTCTTCATTTTAAAACACCTTAGTTGAATTGCTTTATAGCTTTTTCCGAAATCTACTGAAAGATATCATATAAACCCCAAAGTACATTACGGGCAGGAGTTCATGATCTCGGTCTTGGTCTTTAGGCTCAGTGTCTTTTTTGAAGCAAATCATAAAAGCAAACTAAATTGAGATGATGTCTTGAAATCAAAGCTGTATTTTAGATATATCAAAACAAAGTAGAATTTAACGAGCTTAAAAATCATTTCTGAATATACAGTACAATACTGATAGCAATTTATTTTATATACAGCAAAAAGATGGGTAATGAGAACATAAAGCTTGTTAATAAACAAATGATTGATTTCAGCTAAATATTCGGTTTTACATTAAGTGATTAATGTTTTAGGAGGCTAAGATTTGGCAAAATCCAGGTTACGAGAGACCGGACTTGGAAAATCATTGCTGCTTTTCTGCATCTCCTTTTCTTTACCTTTAAGAAGAATACCTTGAATGGAGTTTCCACGTTCTCAAAAGTAATTATTTCCCGAGATATCCGGGGCATGACTTCACGGGACCAAACTAGTCAACTGTAGATAAAAAGTAAAATGGTTGATCAAATTTAAGATTTATTAGTGTATTTTTGATTGTTTTTTATATGTCACCTGATTTAGAATCACAGTATTCTTAGAATACTTATCCCTATATACACTTTTGATAGGAAAACATAATTCATAAATAAGTTATACTGGGTTCTTCAAAAAGCTAAGAACGTTCATGGCTGGATTGGATCTTTGAAACCTAAGAAAGTTGAAAAATTCAGATATTCAAACTTCAAAGGAAATTGCCATGCAAGAGTTAACAATTTCTTTTCGTCATAATAATGTGCTGAACAGGAATTCCTTTGGTGCGAAAAAATGTTTTTATAGAAATAGGTTTTGTGTAGACAGAAGGAGTTCAGCACCTGAACGCACTAATTTCTGACTTAAAACTCATTATCTTTGTCCAAGTGGAAAATCGTGAACAATTTTCCAAGTTTGAGGAAGATAATCCGATTTCCGCTTGGAAATTCGAGTGCTCTGCATTTGGTGTGTAAAATGGTTTTTGATGTTTGGTTAATGTTAAGTAGCTTAAAACAAAGAACGATTTGACTTTGGGTATTCTGTGGCACCAGAAGAATGCGTTAGTTGCTAATAATTTCCGTTTTCCAGAGTTCGTCCTGCTCTGGGGCAGGACGACGGAACTTTGAGGGATCAGTGAATTTGGTTCAGTGGCAATTTTGGTGGCCGCACTGGAAATTCAGCATTTGTTTACTAACAAGCCTAATGACTTTTCTCTACGAACAAAAAAGATTAAGTGGATCAGACGTTCCAGTGCGTCTTCGTTTCAGTGAGTGTTCAGTGCGTCTAGGGCCTATGTTTTCAGTTTAGGACTCCATTTGGTAACATTTTCAATAGGCAAGCTGCACTGATTGGGCAACCTCAACAGTCATGTGCTCGCTTTTTCTAATTGGCCTATTTCGATCCACAACTGGGTATATATATATATATTTTCTAGCGTAGTGTTTTAGTCTATATTCTGACGTTTTATACTCTGAAGAGTGTCAGACGAAAAGCTCAAGTATGACTCAAAATGTTTGCTTTAATTGTTTGCTGTTGAAATGGGTTTTCTTCGATAATTCATGTTAATAACATGTCATGATGTCGAAAGTTTTTCGAAGAAGTATAGCATATTTACAGCATTTAATTTTCTCCATCACTGCGCGTGCATGTTAAGAAAGTTTGAGTGCTGGAATTGGGAAATAGCTCAATTACTCTGAAGGCTGGGCCGAAAACATTTCTTTAAAAACGTGTACGGAAATAGATATCAGGTTTCGTTCGAAGAAGTTACATCATCAACTGAAGCAATATTCTTACCGCGGGGAAGTTCCTGAAACAGTTTTGCTTGCCAAGAAATTAGGGTCAGAGATTTATCATATTGCTGACTTCCTTCTCAGGAACAACAACAAAAAAGTTATTACGTAGAAAACTAAACTATTCAAAGAGCAGCTGGAAATGCTAAACCTGGTTTAACCTATAACTATATTTGGTCTTAAAAGTCCGACAATTTACTGGAAATTAATCTCCTCTCTGTTTCGATAAATCCAAATCGTATCTGTGAGCTCTAAAATAACAGGAACTCTTCACCAACAAACACTCCTGAAGTCAAAACGTTGAATTTTTATATGGGAACAACACGATAGTGAATCTTAAACTGATATGCAAGCTAAATTGATCAAGCAAATGACTCTCTTAAGTCGGTAAAAGTTCCTAAAATTGCTCATCGGCGAAGTCGTGCTTACTTTATTAATGGAACCATCCAAAGCCTTGGCGGTAATAGCGGTGATGGTTTGGAATGGCGGTAATAGAAGAAAGTGACGAAGAAATATTACTGGGAGTTAAACTAGATACAAATCTTAACTTCAAAACTCATGTGCAGACTCTTTGTAAAACGGTCAGCCAAAAACTGCATGCTTTATCTCGCATTTCGATTTTCATGGAATCCCAAAAAAATAAAATTAATGAAGAACACTTTTATAATGTCACAATTCAGCTACTGCCCATTAATCTGGATGTTCCATAACAAAAATATTAATAACAAGATAAACAGGATACAGGAAAGGGCCCTTCGACTCGCATACAAAGACAGCACCTCTCCTTAAGGAAATTGTTAGAAAATGATATTTCGGTATCTATACATCAGAAGAACCTACAGTTGCTCATGGTTGAAATTTACCAAACAAGGAATCACTTGAATCCCTCGTTTATGATGGAAATTTTTGAGGAAAAGGCAATGCCGTATAGACTAAGAAGCTCGAACAATTTAAACCTACCAAAAGTGAGAGCCACATGCTATGGTACAGATACTGTAAGGTTCATGTGTCAAAGAATATGGGCAAAATTACCTATAGAAGTGAAAACTTCAGTCTCTTTGACTGTTTTTAAAAAACATCTTAAGACAATAAAATGCAAACATTGCAACTGTAGGATTTGCAAAACTTTTATATATGGTTTAGGTTTCTTGTAATTATTATGTACTTCCTTTGTATACACCTTTTGTAAATAGTTGGCCTTAATTAGCTTTTATTTTTAGCTATTTCGAACAGCCAACTTTAAATCAAAGTATAAATAATAATAATGATAATAACGCTGACTAAGAGCTTGATCAAACGGAGAATGATTCCCCGGCATTTCCAAGTGAAGCAAACACCCCGTTTAAACTAGATTCCGTTTCTAGATTCCGCTTCATATAGCTTTTTATATAAGATAGCACAAGCGTTCACACGAGAGAACATTTTCCCGGCAAGTAGAGATCTCACTTGATCACAACCCGGATCTGGCCTAGGCGAGGAAACATTTTCCCATGTGAACAGATTTTCCAGGCAAAGCGGGTACAGACGCTCTTTGCGCATGCGAAATCCGTACCTTTTTTTCAAAATGTCTTCACTATGGCAAGACAGGAAAATGTTTGGACATATGAGGTCAATGACCATTTTTCCAGCTAAACGTGATTTCCGCTTTACCGGGAAAATCCGGAGAAACTTTCTCATTACGAACAGGCAAGAGTTCTAACATACGAACTCCAGTACAAAAGTCACCAGCGATATCTCAAATACTCTTCAATTCACTTAACACCAGTGGGTATGCGCATTGTCTATAAACAGATTTATTACATGATTATATTTACCACTGTGCGAAAATGTACGTTCGACTGTCACTTTTGAGATTTTTGTGTCGCTTTCCACTTTTTTGCCGCTTCTATTCTTGCATCCGGTGACAGCTGGTTTCGTGCACCCCCTAAAACATTTGACGTTGCTTCTGTTGCCAGGATGAAAGGTTGCATAATAGACGGGGGTATTTGCCTAAGAACGCCTCCAACAGCACCAGTAACACCTTTTCTCTCGTGCTCTTCTACAGCGACTCTTACAATTGTTGTAGCGGTTTGGGTGATTCCCTAAAATTAATCACTAATGTAAGAATCCGTTGTTCGAAACGTATTTCAATACGCAAAAAAGGAATAGAAACATTTGTTGAAATCGGTTCAGCACAACAAATCACAAGCGAAGGTTCTACCACGGCTTGTTCTCGTTGTTTTCTAAGATCTTTTCCAAACCTTGAGCTCATTGATCTGAGAAGGCTGAACACTGATTTGAATACACTGCACCTATCAACATGACCTTAAGTAATAACTTAGGTTCTTAAGATAAATTGAAACTTCAACAATTATCATAATGATAAAAATAATACATTAATATTTAATCTTAAATTCAGTGAGTCAATAATATTTGGCGCTTTACTATAGCAGAGCTGCAAAAAGTATAGGAATCTGGGAATTAGATTCCATAAATATTTTTGGCTTGGCAGAAAATATTTTGCATAACCAAACATTTTTTCTTGACTTTTTCACAATAGATCAAAAGTTTATACAAATGTGTGCTTAATGTCCGCAGGTTTTAGATCGCATCAAATAAAAAAGGTTAGCATCATTGAAACCTTTATAAAAGCTATTACTCATTTGTCGAATATCACAAAAAACTGTATAACTTGGAAGCCATAAGTATAAACAGGTAACATGATTCATCCTCTCTAAAGCTGGCATCTATTACATTTCCAAAACACCAGGTAATTGTAAAGAGCACCATCTATGAAGAAGTTTTCTGCCAGTCAATAAATATATTGCCATTTGGTTCACAAATTAATTTTTCCTTTTTTCCCACAGTCAATTTTTGCCAAAGACACAAAAGATGCAATAAACAACGAAATCATGATATTTTATTGGAAATTTTTGGCGTGTAATACTGGTACACAATAATTTCACTCACAGAAAATGTTTTGTCATGTTTCCCAGGTTCCCAGAAATAAAAATACTTTTTGCAGCTCTGTACTATAGATCTGTAGTGTACAAGGTCACCAGTTTCTAAAATTATCTAAAATATATATTCAAATATTCCTCAATTTTTCTTTTTTTTATTAAGAAGAAAAGCGATTTCTCCAATCGGTGAGGTTTTACAAGCTATGGCCAGTTCAAATTAATTCAATAACTCTTCACAGAATCCAATGAAATATGCTGAACTTAAAATGCATTGTAACAGAACTTGTAATCGAAAAGCAAAGCTTGTCGGAGTGATCCTTCTTTATAGGAGCATTTTTGATAAAAAGTGTCTCCAGTTGTAAAAGACTGGCATTTATTGGCAACCTAATGGGAAAATGGGAAACCATGATGTCACCATACCTCAGACAATACATTGTAAGCGTTTGTTACACCCTCTCTGAGATCAACCGGCTGTTCTGATTTGCTTTTTGCAGACTGCCGCTTTGAGGCTCCTCCTTCGGGGCTAGGGCCTGGACTCACCATATCATATGCAGTTTCCGCTGCAACCTGTAAAAATAAACTTTATTTTATCATGCTTGCCGCTTAAAGGCTCTTGCGCAACCAGCATGCTTTGCAACTCAATTTTCAAAACTGGCCTAATTTCTTACTGCATGAAAATACAAATACAGTCTATTTCTTCTCGGTTGAGAAAACAGCTGCCGCAAAGCATGCCGGTTGTGCAACAGCCTTTAACAATGACTGGCATAAATAAGAATAATAGGGGCAGAAGAATATTTTGATAAACAAACGTAATAAATAACAACTTTATTCCAACCATTTGCAGAGAATACTTGCTGCGGATACACATAGCATTCAGTGAAAATAAGGTTGTTTTCTACGATAAATATTGCCAGCTTCGAAATTATTTCCGTTTATTTAGATCTTTTTATAGTGAAAATCGTTACGAGTAACCTTTACCTCACGGGCGAAGTAAAATAACCACTAAATTCATTGCATGATCCACGAAGAAAAATCAACTAATTCAATTTTATTGTGGAAATAAAAGAACATGAATGAAACGATATTGTTGGCTACCTTAACCTGTCACTGAGATAAAGGCTAATTGCGATTATATATGCAAACAAAATATCAAAGTAGAATTTCATGTGCTCACAAGAATTTCATATATTTCTTTCAAAATGCTTGTCAAGCGACTTAAAATATGATTCCTTTTTAGAATTTTGGAAAGAAGATTTCGAAACGTTTATCAATTCGAGCTATTCATAATTTTTTCTTAATTTTACTACTAGTTTGACATTTATTGTTATCTTCTATTTGACAAAATTGAAAAGTTAACAGTGGTTATAATATGTATGTAGATATTTGTTGTATTTTCTACACTGATAAAACATATCTTCCCGGTAAGTATCTTGTATCAATTAGTATATTTAAGGCTAATAAAAAAACCATATTTCTTATGAGATATCTGAATCCGCATTTCGAAAACAATTTGGAATGATGAATTTGGTAGGAAAGTTCTTCTTTGGTTTTTATTTATCTAGGTTAAATGCCACACAAATTCGAGCTTTTGCTAGTCTTTAATATCCTGAATTGAACTAATATTTTTTAATTTCCAAAAGACCACCAAGTACTAATGTATGTCGAGGGTTTATATGGGTAAAAGAAAAAGAGCCACTTTTTCTGTCACACTTTTGCAAGTGATGAATAAATATATATTTTCATAGGCTACTTTAAAATTAGAAAAAAAAACTTAAAAATGACTTGAGTAGTTTTCAAAGCCAAAAATTTGTCCACCAATAAGCAAATATCACATTGTTTTTAAACTAACCCAATTTTTTCTCTGATCAAGTAGACAATTTTAATCATATAAGGATAATTTTCTTTTGTTCGTGTTAAGAAATATTCGGTCTATCAGGTCTACAAACTATCGGGCTTTACTATCGTTTCCGTACTTCCTACATACCTGAACAGTCTGCACTATCCTGTTAGTGATTTCTAGAACAGCCATTGCTGTCGAAGTACTAAATGAGTGTGCCCCTTTCTGTAAACCTCGGACCAGCCGGCCATCTTGTCTATATTGTTGGACAGGCAGCCAAAATAGGTCTTTGATACCTTGATATAACTGTACAAAGCTATACGTAGGACCGACACCACCCAGTATTCCGGGTATCTGATTCCGGCGAATATCTGTAAGCCATTCGTTTAATACGTAATTCAGTATTTTATCGGTTCCCAAGAGTCCACTTCGGCAGCAGAGTCTTTTCAGTTTGAGCTCAGAACAGTTCAGTTGTGCCAAGCCAATAAGAAGTCCAGCAAGGGTTCCCTGAAAAATTCAAGACATTTTGGATATGTCAAAAAACATAAAATTACAATTGATGACATATGGACATCATTTTATTAATGAAAAAGTGCCACATAAAAAAAAGGTTTAGTCTGAAAAGGAGAATAGTAAAAATGCTTTTGGTTGCATGGCAACCAAGCCTATTTTCTTAGTTAGTTCCTTCTTTGACTGTATAATTATCTATAGAGAGTATAAAGGAATTTTTTGTCTTTAAAAACAATATTCAAACTAATAGGTATATATATAATTTGTTGGTTTTTTGTTGAATTAACAAACTTGCAGTTTCGTAGTCATGAATATTCATATTGTGAACTTAATGGGCAACAAAAAATTTAAAAAAAAATCGTAAAATTGTATGCACATCTAGGCAGTCAAAGTGTCTCACCTGGCCCATATTAACAGACTTTCCATGGTAATCCAGCCGAATGGGAACTTCTGGCGAGAAAACAACCGAACGGAAAAACACAGGCGAATCATCTGCTGACAGGTTTTCCCTACTCTGGCTGCAATACAGAGGAGCAGAAGCAGCAAAATGTTCTTCGCTAATATTGAGCTCCTCTGCAAGACTTTCTGCTGTTGTTCCACAAGACGGAGACGAAGAGAACCGAACTCCTTCTCTTTTCAATGCTCTAACTGAAAAATGATTTGTCTTTTAAGACATATCTTAAAAGACTGATAAGCTGTTTGGGGAGAGATAATGAAAAGGTTTAATGCACAAAAATCATATTGATAAAAGTTTTGAAATGACGAAGATATCTTTGATTCGGAGATCGAATTCACTACAACTGAAGGCAGCCACAATTCCAAGGTTTTATTAAAATAAACCGAATTCTTAAAAAAATATATCCATGAGTTTTGAATTTAATCAACGAAGATCAGTTGTTGATTCACAAAAAAGATCAGTTGTTGACAGTTTCAAAATCACGCCTTACCATCGGGTGCAGAACTGGAATGTTTTACTTGATTTTCACCAGAAATCTCAGTGAAAAAATTCTTCATGAAGAACAAAGCATCCTGATCGACATTGAGCCTGATTGGCTGCAACGAAATGCGCAGCGTCCCCTCTTTGTTCTTCACATCATCTTCTGGTTTTGTTAAAAGAAGTTTCACTGTGATCTGGAAAAGGTAGAAATGTGCTAGAGGAATGCAGCTATACTTTTTTGGGTTTTAAATAATCATACATGATCGCTCAAACCGACGTGTTGCGTGTTGATCAGGCAGCGCTTCATATCGCTTGACCAATACCATAAGCGATGCCAATTCTGGGGTGCTTTACAGGTATCAGAAGGGGGGATGAGAGATTTTGCGAAAAATGATTGGCATTGGAAAAGCGACGAATGTGAAAAAACATTCTAGCATCCAACAAATGTGAAAAAACTTTAAAATTTCAATCCAAGTCAGTATGCCGTACTCTTCAATGGCAATTGTTTGTTGAATTTCGAGGGTCCTCGAAATTAGAGGAGCGTGACAAATTAGTATAAACGAGCAATAGCAAGTAGAATGCGTCCTTTGTTAAAAATGAAAACTCACTGAAATAGAAATTAAATTTGCTTGTTTCGGAAACCCAATGAACAGTGTGATACCCTGCCTTCATTTCAAAAATGTGTAATACAATCTTGATTCTCATTGAAGATACACAAAGCGTACCAACCATGTGTGCACTTGTCTTTATTGGCAAAGCCTCAGATGAAAACCGGTACAAAAATTTGTTAATCTGTGATGATGCCAAACGATCTGTGATTTCTACGTCATAAATAAGTAAGACATCTCTGGAAATCTTTTCTTCGTCATCTGGATAAATCTCGTGTTGGAATCGAATCTGAAAATTTAAAAAAATATAGCTGGTAGGGTATTGATCTGTTGCAGAGTGATCGATACCTTACAGATACATGTCCTTTACCTAGTGGTGGTATTGATTCGGGAATATAGGATGGATGAATGTATTGAATAGGGGCCATTGTTTGAGAACAAAGACGTAAATGAAAAGGCATTTATAATTTCCAAGTATCATACCATTGGATTATCGGAAAAAGTAGCTTTTATGTGATATACTCATTTTGACAATAAAGAAGATATACAGTCATAAGTCCAATGCATATGTGTGCACAACAAATACGTATAACACCAAGTGTCATATATCTATCTTATTCGTCTCAATGACCATATCTTTGCAATCACCATATATAATATTACCTTGGTTTTCTAGCTTTTAGATGAAACCTGGCCTTTTATACGCGTAATAGCTACGTTGTAACATGTATCTCCACCCGACATACCCACCTTGTTCAAATGAAGCTCCACAAGGGTATTGTAATCACGGCCAAGACCCCCTTTGTATTTCCCTTTTCTTCGTTCGTTTTCTGAAACTGCAAAATTTTTGTCCTCATATTTCTTCGACAATCGCTGAGGTTTTTTGTTCTGTCCTTGACGATGGACGGGGGATTGTCTTGGCGAATAACTGTTCAGTGTTGGAGATCCACTGTAAAATAAGATCGAATTCGTAAGAACAGATTTTCAGCTTCTAATCGATATAACAGGGGTTAGCGACTAGCGTTCTTATATGCCCTAATACTTCTTAAAATAGCAAATACTAAGGAAAAATTAGCAAAAAGTTAAAAAAGCGAAATTATATCTCAAAAAATCAAAATTTAGGTAGAAATATTTTCCTTTACTACCTAGCATTGTCAATAATTTCGATTAAAAATTAGGATGAAATATTGCAATGATTAAGCCACCCTGTATGGCTGTGATTCTAGAACTCTGCTTTAAACAAAAGATAATATGTTTAATTTTTGAATAAGCAAAGAAAGAGCATGCCTGTGAAAAAACTAATAGAACAGGCGTTTCTTGACAGCAGTCAATTTATACAGTTAGCTGAATTTAACTTAACACAACAGCTTCTTGAGTTTTTCAGGCCTCTGCTAGACCTTCTTTAAAAAGTGTCAGTCGTAGCTGACCGCCCTTTCGAACAGCTAGCTGGCCAAGGACAATTGTGCAAACTAACCTTTCTAAGGGACTTGGTGAATTGTACTCTGGTACTTGAAAATCCCTTCCACCATACATCTTCCAAACCACCGACATTTCTCTTATTGTGTATCGATAGACTGGAGAAGGGTAACCAGTGGGTGCACCCAGCAAGTCGTATCTTCCACGCTTAAGTTAACAAAAATTGACTCAATATTTTATTTTGCTATACTTTGTTATGGGCGTGGAGCTAAGATTACTAGAACTAAGATCAATTCTCCACCCGATCATAACGATTATAATACAACGATCATAATAGACTTTAAAAAATTCACTTGAAAGATATTTGGAGAAGGGCAAGCAAACCAACAAGATATATCTGACAGTAACTCCCAGAAAATCATAAAAAGTTTAAGCAATACATCTCCTTGGTTCTTCAAATTTTGACTAAAATAATAAATCTGGCTCACCATAAACTGACTGACTTAACAGTTCCTCGATGATTGAGAAAAGAATCAAGTGCAAGAAATTGAAAACACTTACCGGAACCTGGAAAAAATTGTCGAGAATGTGGACATCCGGAGCGATTAACTTTCTTGTCACTGGTTCAAAGTCACTGTTATCGTCATTCTGAAAATACATTTACAAATAATCTTACTTCTATCCTTTATAGGGAATATTATAAAACAGCCTTGAATTTCTGCTGAAGGATGGTTAAATGAATTTGCGATTTTAATTATTGATGTAGAAGATTTTTGATTTTCGAAAGTTTAAGCAAGTAGATATGTAATTTAAATGATACTTTTACGTGTTATGGGAAAAATAACAATTGGAAAAAATCAGTTCAGGAGACTAGGAAACATAAGACTAACTCTTTCCCAACGAATTTTCACGATTCGATTAAAATTTTGTTCTCTCTGATGCCAACAGTACACGACAACATTACAAGGGAATTCATTTTACACGAAAACATGCACATTAGCCTCCAGCCACGACTCCAAGAACCGAATGGCTCAAACTATAGTATAAGAAAAAACATGCTACATAAAACTTGAGCTCAAATTGAAATCTTATTAAAAGAACTGACAACAATATCAACTTTTGCTGGGATTCATGAAGTAAGATACCTCGTCATCTTGCTCCAAAATACAATATTCATCCCCACTAGAAGAACGATCATCATAATCATCATCACAAGCATCTCCCAGTTGTTCATTAAGACTTCTAGTGCTGCTAGAGTTGCTGGTTGCTGAGGAGGAGAAGAGTTCCGATGAAGTGAAGCCATGACGATCAGTGAAGATCTTTGTGTTTTGTGTTTCATTCTGTAAGAAAAATGTGACGTAGATAAGCATAACACGGGAATAATCAACTTTCGTTGCCATTGACCAATGCAGGAAATCGTCAACATAGTATTACATATAAAGTAATGTGCAGCTAGGGAAATCAGCAACATGTATCGTAAAATCATAAAAAGTATAAATAATGCAGAAAAATTGCATTAAGACGCGGTCAGACATAAGGGAATAACTAAAAAACAATCAGTCAATTATTTCAGTCAAAGAAAAGTGCTTTTGGAAATCTGTTTTCAATATAAACAAAATTTAAAAACTGAAAAAGTATGAAGGTGTAACGAATAAATAGAGTTTATTTAGAAACTACCTCTTTTGGCGTCTCTTCTTCTATCAATGCATCTGCCATAAGTGAATCGATCGTATTTTCGTCAACAGATGATCTTGAATACAAATTTTCCGTGCTCTAAAATTGACAAAAAAGCCTTTTAGTATTGGTATCTAGAAAAAAATATTAGAGAGAAATTTCACAAAGTTACTTTCTGCTTGTAGCATCAACGTTTTTAATTTCCTATTTTCAAAATTAGTCAAAAAACCTCAATATAAATCCCATAAATTAAACTCAAAAAAAAATAAATGACACCAGGAGGACAAATTGTTCAATATTACAAAAAGTCAAGGTGTAAACTGCTATGAGAAAGTAGTGGTTTTTCAATTCTTCGTTAAATTAAAAATCATTTCAACTTCTGATTTCATACACCATGAAACTGAGTTGTCTCCCTAGAATAAAGAAACTGTTATGACAAATGTAATCACCTCATTTTGCGAATTTGGTTCCACAAGGCTTTCCATACTTCCTGTACAGATATCCCCATCTGCTGCAACGTACTTGATTAGGTTAACCAAGGCTGCACAAGAGTCAGAGCAAGTATGGATATTCAACACATTGTTTGACATGCTCATCTCCATTTTAGGTCTCTTCTACAACACAGATAAAAGAGAGAGTTGCCAGAGAATAAAGTCTTACCGAAGATACAATTCATGAAATGCTACCATATGTTCAAAAAATATCAAAACCAAAGCAAAGCCAGAAGGACTTACATGGTTTAACAAACAATCATTTCCCAAGATTTTCTGCAGCTATTCTAAAGTGAAAATGCAGTAAACTCCTCATAACACGAATCTCCAAAGAACCAATCAAACGGTTCGAGAAAAAAAATGTTCGAGTCATCGGGATCAAATTTATATGAATATATTGGGTAAAGGGAATGCAATAAAAGTTCGACCTAGCGAATGTTCGAGTTATTGGGAGTTCGAGTGATCAGGAGATTATCTAATTCAAAAGCAATACTAAATGTATATGCATATAATACAAAGTATAAATGGATCCAATGTATATATTTTTGAACATTTATTTCTTTTACTATTTTGCAGATATACATGAAAGTTTTTAAAAGCTCATACATTTTGTAGAGATCATACATTTTCCGCTTCATAAATTCTTTCAGTCAAAAATGGCATAAGCAAACCTTGTCTTCTGATTCTGACAGTCTCAAAACCAGTTCAAACAATTCCATATCCATCACACAGACATAGTCTATAAAACAAGGTACATAAGACTTGTAAGAGTTTCAATCTGGTTTAGCTAAACTACGGTTTAACCATAAACAACATAAAATAAATTATTAATTACTGATATCTCTACTAATAAACAGCTGATATCACGCCCCGATATAAACAGCTTCTCCAGAGTTATTGAGCTAAATCATGGTACGTGTCTTGAAACCAGGAAATAGAGCAACTCAGTATCAAAACTGGCCTTTGCTCGACTAGCGAAATGTTTTTCTTCGACTAAGTTAAGTAAGGTATTTTTTCAATAATCATTCAATACATAACGTGGCATACTGTTTGATACTAACAAAATAGCTAGCATGGTGTGTAATAAAAAAATATTTGCAGCGGTTTTTCTTGATAAATTACATATTTATACATTTATACATTACATATATACCCATGATTTATAATAGAAATTCAACTAGCTTTGCGTGCCCCTTTAAAAGCAAAAACTGTTTTCACATAAACAACCTACTTTTCATATGAGTTACTAAAATAAGAATGACTACCAATACAGTACTAGCCCACCACTAAGAAACTCACTTTTTAAAAACATCCTCAATTAGTTTCTCATAACTGGACAAAAAATATACTGAATAATTTCTTATAATTACAGCAAGAAACTCACCAAATGTTGCTTGTGTATGTTTGAACAGATACCTTGAACTCTGTTTTTATATTATATTATGGGTTTTATTAAACTAGATTTTGGACGAATTATTCCAATTCAATTAAGCTTTGATTTGATCATGCTCTTCCATGTAAGAATAAAAGAGCACATAATTTTAACTGCCCTAGGCACAAGCCATGCGGACTAGTTTAAGCTGATTGGTTTCTTATATCATGGTAAACGATGTGTCATCTGGCAGGCTGCAGTTTCTTAGTGACGGGGCAATACTGTGACTGAACATGATAGAGCGACAGTTTCATACTGTAAGTATCTTCGTGAAATAAACATGATTTTTGTGAATCTCTTTGTCAGGATGACATGGATACTGCATTTTATACAATTCACATCAAATTAGTGAAAATATGGAAGCATGGAAGATACACGTAACAAACAAGATCTGGGTAAAATAGTCCTGTTGAAGGCATTAAATTTGATCGAAAACCGTGACAGCTTAGCATGCTTCTCAAAAAAAGTCACCAAGCTTTGTCACTAAGTATCAATTAATAGTTCGATCGTGATAAAAATTCCTCAGTTTAGAAATACAATCGGTAAGTGCATTCGACAGATATACCTTTATTCAGGTCGATATGACCAAACTGTTTGTCTGACAGATAAAGCGCTGAATCGTCAACAATAAATCTACAACAAAAGAGTTAATATGAACATAAGCACACCCAGCTCATGCTAGTCACTTAAAATCATTACAGTTAGTTTATATTTGTCATATTTGTAGCTGATAAAGTAGCAAGTGGCTGGAAGCAAACATGTTGTGGATAAATCCAACGCGACTGCGAAAGAAACACATTGCCTAAAAGAATCTTTCGAGCATATTTTGTGTATAAACATCAAGCATCATTAACAATATCGTTGTTGTAGCGTGCAATTGACAATAAATAAGTTATTAACAGAAATCAGTACAAAACAAGTGGGTGTCAATAAAGTTTCCTTAATATTCTTTACTAGACTATAAGCTGCCTTTTTAACAGATATGAAAATGTTCAGTAACATAACAAATGCGCATGAGGCAGGAAACGTACGAGCTTCTATTTCCGCGCTCGAATTTATGTGGCTCTGGTACACACGGTACGGCGTGGCAAGTGAGGTTCTTCGATGATATTTAGAAAAACAAAAAGTCTTGATAAGCAACCTACAACTTTATATCTTTTGAAATAATATACCAGGATTGAAATGTTCAATTTGGTACGAGGTAACAAAAATGGCTTGAAATTTGAAAATAAGTTACCTGAGAACAGACTCCAAGGATCCAGGGCTGATATTGCTGGACAAGCTAAATGTCTCTATAGTCAGCAAAGACCGCAAGCTAAGATTCTTTGGCCTGAAAAAAATAAATTATAGCTGGATTGCTTGACCACAAAAAAAGCATTTTCTTCATCTCGCAACTACATCGGGGAAAATATAAACAGCACATGTTCCACAACAGAGATCATGAACAGGTTCACACTGCAAAATTCATTTTCATTCTACAATATTCCCCATTTTGTTACTAAAGTCAAGACCTAGATTTACTGATTATTATATTTTGTTTTAAATATACCAAGATACAAAATAAAATGAGCACCTTTGATTCAGTTGAGTATGAGTAATACATACCTATTCTGTAGTCAGGCAAATAAGGGTATAAATATGTTATCATAGTGGTGACGATGAAAGCAGAAATTTGAAAGCAAGTGGTTACCTGTAATCAATGCTACAACCCCAAAGTTGCAGATACAGAGTTGTTATCACGGAAGGAAAGGTATACCCAAGAATTGTTTGGTCATCAACCGTCATAAAATCCATTATCTGTAAAAAATATGGCAAAGACATTACTTTACCAATTTTCAATTTCTATGTAATTTTTAATTTAATTTCAAATATTTAACCTTTAACTTATAACTAAGAAAGTGGAAAGAGAAAAAATGACATCTACAATTTCGCAGAAGTCTGACAAAAAATTCACTAGGCAAAAAGGCAACAGCTCTATTCAACTAAACGATAAAACAGTTCAATGATTTTTAACTACTACTGTGGAGAAAATCAATTGAGAGCAACGTATGAAAAGCAGATCTTTTCAGAGATAACATTTACTTCCTGTGATAAAAAGCAAGCCCAAAAAATCCAACGATAAAGTTTGAACAGAAAGGCAGCTTAATCAGCCTGACATAACTGAAAACTCCTAGCCTGAACGAAACTCGTTGCAACGTTGCAAGTCGAATAAAAAGAACATTATAGATCAACTGCAAGTGGAAAATAGCAATCACATCTGCAAAATAACCTAGTTAGGCAGGTGCTTGTACCTTTCATAACATCTTAATTCACCTTCTTACCCTTAATACAGAAGACTTAATCAAAATTTTGCCCATTTCCTTTGCAAAATATCAAACCTACCTGTGAAAGCCATGTCTTTTCTGGTTCCGTGACCAAATGACGAAGTGTGGAACCTCGCAAACCTAGTGCAACCAACACGTGCTATTAAAGAAAGAAAATAATATCGATGATAAAAACATGAATTCAGCAAGTACAGCGGCCTAAATAAATGATATTCGCAATATTGTATCATAAACAAAACAGTGAACTGTCCTGAAGCTCTAATGTGATCTTTGAGATTGAAGTTTGAAGTTCTTTATGATGAGATTGAAGTTTTTTGTGCTCTAATTTAAGATTTCTCGTGACACCTTAAAGCCTAATAACATCAAAAATAAACTAAAATTTGATTTAAGGAAAAAAGTCTCCAACTATTTCACAAAAATAATGTAAGGAGCAAGAACGACTAACTTAGATTTATTTCAATCCTACTCCTTGAACCATCTTGGCCACAGAATATACAAATTATGCTAACTAAACTTTTCACATGAGGTGGTTGCTTATTTGGTGCACAAACGGGGGTAAAGGGATTCAGTGCATATACAGGGTAACGGGTATGACTAATTCTTAGCTTAGAAAAGAATCTTTATTACTTATTCAAAAAATGCAGAAAAGATTATCATTCAATAGGAAATGAGACTAACCCAATCAAACGAAAACGTGAAGGGCGTGATCATATAACGGGATTCATTTCCTTAAAACAGTTTTCCTCTACAATTAAATCTTTCAAAACTATCTTTATAATTAACTAAAATAAGTAAACCCAGCAAAGAGTAATTATTACAAAGAAAAACATTTTACTGCAAACCAAATTTAGTCAAAATTTGGGGCCTAAAAGAAAATGGCTTGATACAGGACCAGAAATAAATTCAGCATATTTAACAACCTTGCGGTTCTTTGATGGCATATGAGTTGTCTTAATTGCAAGCGATAGTGCCGAAACTGATTCACTGCTAACATCTTGGGCTTCTCTACTCTGAGCCAAAACGCTCTCGTCAGATCGGTATAAAGTTCGGTTCAAGTTACCGCAGAAGAACGCGTCATCCATCCGAAAACGGTCAATCTCACAATCAACTTGACCGGAGTGGTATAATGTTGCATCACCGGAGTACAAATGGGCGTAGTCAAGATTTACGTCACCTCTGTACGACACCACGGTGAAAAAGTTCAAATCTTCGACATCAATGACAACGTGTCCAAAATCTGCGTCAATTTCATTCTCGGTAGAGTTTTCTTCTTCATGCCCCTAAACAAGACGCGAAAACAAGTTATTTGCTTGTAAAAGAATTGCCGTTTTGAAGGGCAAAATTTTAAGAAGGATAGCAACCTTTTTCTATTTTTCGTTAACAAATTTTAATAGCTATCTCTTACCTGGGTTTTGGGGAAAAATGCGACTTTTCCTCGATCAATATGAACGGACACAGCAATATTGCTTTGCTGATTAAGCAACGCTTGTTGGTTTTCTGTCGTCATTCCATCGCCAATTGTGGATGCTAGGCTGTTGTCTTGATCGGAATCTGAATCATAACCTAGATGGATTGCAGCACGTGAATTAGGGTGTAAAGTAAATAGTCGAATCTTACATTTTTAAAAAAATTTGTATCTATCTGAACAGCAAATACCACGAAAAACTGTTGTCGTCTACAATAACAGGGACAAATGTTAATATAAAGACTCAAAATTGCCTAGTAACATGATTTATTCTAGTAACTGAAAAACTAGCGTTGTGCTGGGGGGGGGGGGTGCAGAGTGAATCAAAGTAATCAGAATATTTTACAATTTGCAATGAGCTGGAAGTTTAAGATTAGTCTAAAACGGTCCATACGAGAAACCATGTTAGTCGCAAGACAAAAATGAGCAAAAAATTATCAGTAAAGAAAACGTTAACAGACAAAGATAAAGTTCAAATCAAAAAGCGAAATTTCAAGCAAACGATTTTCATGATAAAAAACTCGCATTACAAACCATAAACATTTGGGTAGAGGTTCGTTGACTTTAGGAGTAGTCTTATAAAGGTTATCTTCTAAATGAAATGTTCTCTATTTAAAATATTAAGTTATCTGAATTGAATTATCTGTTCAGCATCTATAAATAAATCCCTTTAGGACATATCATAATAAAGAGCTTCCAAAGGTTTTCGGACCAACATAAATTGCATGATTATAAAAATATACTTACCATCTTTAATTGCGGAGCGACACATAAAGAACTTCTGGTTCATGGAAATACCAACTTGGCTTGCGAGGTTGACGTGAATGTTGTTTTGTATTTGTGGATAAACAAGAGGAGGCATCGTCTCGAGTGGTGATGGAACAGAAGGTTCCCACATTAGCAAGTCGTTGAAAAGTCTAGAAAATTAATTAATTTCCACAATAACAGTTGATTGATATTCGCATTGGGCGTGCAATTCTGAGTTGCAACTGAAAACAATCCGGTTCTACACACCAAAGCGTCTAAAGTGTCGGTCATAGGGTACCCATCAAAATATCACAGACTACGATCCTGGACAAAAGGTTATGAGACAATTTTTGGTTAAGTGATTTTCTGCGCAATTGCCCTCAAAACCAGTAGTATGTCCCTCCCCCCAATGTCAATGTTGGTGGTGGGCAATGGCAGTTGATTGTGGAAGCCAGAAAACATAAAAAATCAACCTCAACGTTGGTATTGGGGGCAGGGGTTGGGTGTTTTTGCAATAAATGATAATAACAGCGAATGTCTCCTAACTTTTGTCCAGGATTATAGTAATTGTCATTGAACTTCACAGTAAATGCATAAAACAAAACACAGTAAATGCAAAGGAGAATTATGTACAAACATTCCTACACCTTCTCCATCTTTTCCGCTGTGATGATTTTACCTAACATACAAAGCAGGGCTTCAATCTTACTTGAGATTTTGGCAAGCGATCAATATTACCTGGCATATAGGCAATAAATGCCTGTTGTGAAAACGTACTATTTACACTTGAGTTGCATTTTTACTAGTTGTTGTCTCAAGCAAAATATCATTATTGACCAAATGATGAATCAAAAGCCATTCTCTTTTTCTACGAATCTGTCAAAAAGGTAATTGTTAATCTCTAAACCAAAACAGATTCAGTATTTACCTATTGTATATTAGCTCAAAAACACTTTTCTCGTGCAGATTGAGTTGCAGGTCTGGGAACGACAAACTGACGAAAAACTTTGATGACGAAGAAGCAATGTCTTGGAAACTGTTCATCTCTGGAATACTGCCAGGCATGACCAACTAAAATAAAAAGAAGAGCTTTCAAATCGGCTGAGTGACTGCCACTAGCAAGTAGCCGAATAGGAACTGCTTTGCAGCAACAAACCATGTGAGAGAAGCTTCTCCCATAATGCCAATCAAATGATCAACCACAGGCTAGAGATATAGTATAGGGATGTTGCGTAAATCGAAGAGTAAGATAATATTACTATTCAAAACTATTCAATAATTACTAAAAGTGAAAGTTTATCTTTTCATAAAATCAATCGTGATAGGCAAGGCACCACCTGCTCGATACCGCAATCCTCGAATTAGCCCCCCTGGGGCTTATTAATTTGAGCACATAATCTTAAAGACACAATAAACCCTTAGCTTGTTAGTATATTTTCAATATAGATATTTGCATAAGGTAACATATTTTTACAAAACTTAATCCATTTTTCTAACAAAACAGCTAAGAAAAGCTTAAAAATTTGTTTCTCATACCTCTTCTTTTTCAAACATAGCTGGGTTGGCTGAAAATGGAGACGGATCCGTCTTGATCCACGGGAAGGAGTCTTCAAGAGAGCCAAACTGAGAGTCCGGGGAGGCATTAGCCTCGCTCTCAGCATCATCAAACACTGATCGCGTCGTTTGTGGTTGTTTGTATACAACTATCCTGAGGAAAACAGAATCCCAGGATGAAATACAAAAGCCATTGAAGTAGTACTTTGAATGCATGTTGGTTGACCTATTTCAATGCCCAGAAGATACTGTGCTACATAAAAAGCTAACAAATTTTTACGCAGATGATCCTGCCTTGACAAAATATCAAATACAAGGCTCGCACAAAATTTCTGAAATAAAATTTCATGACTCTCTATTTGCCTTTTTAGAGAAAAGTAGCAGATTTTTACGGTAGCACAGAATAGGGCGTAGCAACAAGAACTCGATTAGGCTTTTACAGAAAATCGGCCATTTCTCAGATTTTCTAGAGGAAACAAAACAACGACATCCTGCACGAGCCCTTGGATAATGACAAAACGTAATCCACATGCATGATAGAACCGACTTATGAAAGTAAAACAATATAAAACTTGCACATATTGACTGGTAATGGACTGCCTTTCTGAATACAAATATAACACTGCCCAAGAAAAACCTCATTGTACATTGAATCGTCCTTCAAAAACGACTACAGATTGTACTGTATAATAACAAACGGGAAATCGCTACACGGATCAAAAACGGATAGAAATGTATAACATTTAATGTGGTAAAAAAGGTATCGACTGTGGTGAAAAAGGCTTTACATTTCAATTCGCATACGTTATACACAAAGCAGGCAAATACCTAGGCCAATCGAGATGCATATCTTCAACATCTTCCTCGTTTTTGGCACACGACACCTTAAAAAACTGGAGCAAGTCTTCATCAGTCTGGTGGAAGTAGCCTAAAACACGATTAAAGGAAAAGTCAAAAACAATATCAGAAACATTAAATATAATCCATTTTTCCGGGATATTTACCCGTCGATTCCCGGATACCATCAAAGCAGAGACAATGTACATGGAACTATGGAAAAAGATCGTTTTATGTTATGGGAATGTCAAGCTCGACAATTCACTACCCCAAGACTTACATAACGAGTGCAAACTAATTTCTTTTCAAAATTCTCTCTTCAAGCCTCGAAACTCTCAAAAATTATTTTAAACTAAACTATTAATGCTTTTAAAATTAAAATATAACCATGAGTACGATAAAATAGCTCGAAACACACCTTCCCCATTTCTGAAACGTAGCTCATAAAAATTTGATGCTTGAGACTGAGAGAAAACTGTCTTAAATTCAACGTTTTGCAAACTTGTTGTTATATATTCCTTTCGAATAGATCTCTGCCACCACTGATGCTTGTCTATATCACTTGCAGGACGAAGATCTGGGACTGGAAACCTACAGAAAAAAATTATTCTCTTACACAAACCAAATCAGGAACTTATGTTTCTACCACTATCAACAAGAAAAAGCCTAAATAAAGATTTTTAAAACACATCTATTACCATTATAATTGTTTGTTCAATTAAAAGTCAAGCATGCCTATAAATTGAGAGCTAAATATCTGCTTAATATCATCCTCTATGGACATGAAGAATTACCACTCGAATCAAACTCGAAAAATCTCGCTGCAACGCTAAAATATACCAAGGCCTCTAAACGTTATGAACAAATTAGTAATACAAACAACATATTTCCTCTCTCATCTTTCTAGAAATGCTTTCTTTTTATTCTATTTTGTTCATTTTGCATCTTCTAATTGTAGTGAATTTGGTTTCATACGTTGATTGTAAATTGCCCCAGGGTTGCTGTGTATCCTAATACTATCTGTGGTATCGTCTTGTAAACTTGAATATGTTTGTAAAGATTCTGCGAGAATTTGTAAAAAAATGTACAGCTTCGATCAGAGGTGCAGACAAAGAGTATTTAATCTGAATATATACATACCGTAGAATGATGCTCATTTCGTTGCATGTGACACTTATATCTGTTTTAGAATCTAAATGAACGGGGCTATCTTCCATTGCTTGGTTGAATGCAGTTTGCCGGTTCTAAATGAAAACAATATTGATGTGATTGCTGTTGTAATTTTAATTTTCAGAGCATGGGTGCAAGCTACAATCCTTGCCAAAAATAACTCGAACGCCTTTCCATTGCAGCATGCAAATAAACAAAGCATGTCTACAATTACCTTACCAAAATATCACCGCCGATCCCAAAATTTCGACCCCCTCATCCCCCTCCCCCGGCACAATGCTGATTTATTATCTCAATGCAGAGATTTCAGTGAAACAATTTTTATCTTCAGCGTCAAAACAGCCGAATTGAACAACATTGAAATGGGGGGTAGGGTGGGGGGGGGGATTTTTCAAAAAAGCTTCAGCTTTGCACAAATGTTCCAACAATTTTGGCAAGGATTGTAAGCTTCAAGCTTCAAATGGGAAACACTACTTCAAAAGCAAACTTCTTGCTTGCAGTCTGACCTAGGAAATATTCAACAAATGCACAGATTAGTAACTTACCTTCAATTTGGTAACATAATTTACTATCTTAAGGTTCTGTTACATCGAAATAGCTTGTTGTTAATACTTCTTAGTTACGTCAGAATTGTGACTTTCATTGTGCAATATGACCAACACAACGAAATACGGTTGATTTTGTTAGTACTCCGTGTTTTTAAACCCTAGCACGCATTCAAATGCTCCTTGATCTTGTAGTACTAACCCCCACCCCAAAAAAATGTCAGTTTAAAGCAACCCTTTGAAAGTCTCTTTTCTGGTTTACATACAAAGACTACACAGGGTAAAAATCTCTTTCTATCGTCCCATTTGGAATCATGATTGTTGGTAAAATAAGACAAAGTTAAATAAAACTTACCAGCAGATTGCCAGAGAGAAACGAGCTGTACATAGTAGTATTTGAGCGATTTTCAGACCTATGTAGCAGCGGAGGAGGATACATAATGGCAGCAATGCGATCAACAATTGAAACATCAACGTCTATTTCAACCTTACTTAACTGGATGTTGACGAGTGATTTGGGCACGATTGAAGTTCGCGACTGGACAGCCTAAAAAATTTAACAATAACATGGCATTTTTGCGACTGAACTTATTTTCAAACAAATATTTGCACAATCCAGCAAAAAGATGCATAAGAATACTTTAGTAATGCTTAAAGTAATTCATCATTACTTTTTGTATACTTTATACTCTACTGAGCCAGTTTCTACATACACAATAGAAGACGTCATGCCTAAACAAACTGCCAAAATCTTTCATACCAAAACATCAAGCCATACCGTTAAAGAGGGTTTTCCACGTTCTGTCTTTTGCATTCTGACCTTAACACATGGCGAAGGTGCTGCACCGAAACCAGTTGGATAGACTGACATTGCTTGATCGGTGGGGAAATATAGCAACTAAAAATCAAAGTAACCATCACTGTTATCGTACTATAAAATATATCGTACTAATTTTGATTTTCACTATCAATGAAGCTTTGCAGAACAAACTTTTCAAGTTGAAATAGTGGAATGTTTAGGAAAATGCTTGTATATGAGACAATCAAAGATAAAATTATTACTAGAAATGATAGCCACATTCTACACTTGTATTATAGTTCCTATAACAAAACGGACAAAAGCTCCCTCCCAGAAAAAGTTTCCTCCTCTAGGAAAGTGCTTTATATGTTAGATAATAGCAAAATGAAACAGGAGGGCCGAGCTTACAGTACAAAAAAAGCTCCTTTACAATTTCATCATCTACTTTGAAACTCGATATACAACTGGGCTGTAATCTAAAATCAAAAATAAAGCAATTCTTGTTTAGGCCTTGCCTATGCTTTTCAAGGAAAAAAGGGCATCATCTCACACGACTGGTAAACCCTGAGACCGTGAAATGTTTTGTCCAGATCCCAAGAAAAATTTCCCAGTATGATTTGCTATGAAAAAACTTCAAAAGCAACTTGAATTAGATTTACCTTAGTTTGAGAACATGGAAGAGAAGATGATTTCTTTCGGGTCTTATCATACAGATTCTCTTCGACCATTAGTTTGCCAATGACAAGATCCACTCCAAGGGATCGGTTACCAGACACAGTTCTACATTCACACGATGTTGTCACAGCGGACATCAGAATCCTGCAATTATCGAAAAACATAAGTGACTAGTCTTTTTTTAGATAGTCTTTACCAGAGTGATGAAAACTTCGGTTTTCCTTTTCCGAGAAGAAAAATTAAATGAGATTCCAAGATAATTCAAAGTTGAAACTAACGGGGAATATGCTTCTCATACCATTTTATTACCATTGTAATAAATAACTAATTTAATTTTCTAGACTTACAATAACGCATGATTGCAAACAATTAAGAAGGGTCATTTTGCATTATGCTAATACACTCTTTATCCATAATGACCAGAGGGGAGTTGGAATAGCCAAAGTGCTTTATTATAATGAAACAAAACTTCACGTCATCATGCTATCAAAAAACTACATTTACATAACTTCACATTTTAGATTATTTTGGTGAATTGGCTTTATCTATAGTTTCATCTAAGCAAAAAACCTTTCTATACTTGAAAATATTCTAACAGGTACAGGAAGAATTTAAAAAACAATAAAAGCTTATAAACAACTGCACAGACTAACCTCACGTGATCATAGGCACAGAGAGATGCAAGCTCCTTCCTGGCATCTTCACCCGCCTCGCTAAACAAGTTCTGTATCGAAAATGGTGCAATACCCTCAAAGAAATCTTCTGAAAGTTCGAGCAAGGAATGTTCAGCACTGTTTTCTTTCACAAGCTTTTTACACGTGTCAATCGGGTCTTGATGTAAAAGGATGATGATTATGTTGCTTGATCGCAGTTTGAGATTTGTCAAATCAGAAGTGTCATCTAATGAGGATATACCAACAAGCCCAGCATTTTGATTAACACGCGGTCCCTTCAGTATATGGGGTGCTCTTGAGGCTAAAACAAATAACCAGATCGAAGTTTTCAGTACTTGTTATCAAAACGCAAAACTTCAGAAAATCACGAAAAAACGTTCAACATTGTTCAACAATTAATTTCCCCTCAGTTTCTCAAACAAGCATTGCTTGAAAAATAAAAGATGAGAAAAAAGTTAAGAAACAGCCATTGTAAAACATGAATTTTGCTGGATTTTTAAGTTAGATTGCAATTGTGGTATACAGTTGTTATAAATAAACTAGGGAAAATTGTATTTATCAGAAGAATACTAAGCTTACGGTAAAAAAAATAAATTGACCAATCCAAATAGAATAGTTTTACGGCCAATCAGGGGCGGATCCAGACATTCGCAACATTCGCACTGGCGAATGTCAGATTTCCACATGTCTTTTTGTAATTGTCTGTTAATACATTTTAGCATTGCGAATATTGTACTAGAAATGGCCAGATAATAAAAAAAGGTCCACAGAATACAAGAAATAAAAGTTTTGTTTCCTGCCTAGTTGCTTATGCTAGTCTTCTTGTTGTTTACTTTTTAGGTTTTATTCCCTCGTTTTCGTGATTTAGAGATGATATATTCGAAAGAGGGCTCCCCCTTTTACGCATAAATTCACAGAGCACCAATAAGGTTTGATGCGAATGTCGAATGGAATTATAATATATTAGGCATGCGTGCGCAAATGAAGTAGTACTGAAAAATGTATGCCAAAAATTTGTGCGAATGTCAGTCAAGCTATGTTATTTAGCCATCTGAAAACCAATAGGAAATGCATATGGGAAATTTTTTTGCGAATGTGGCGAAGGTAGATGCGAACTATGTTCGGTAGCCAGTTGAGGGAGAGAACCTTGGAAAGTGGGCAGATAGAAACCTCGCTTCCAGATCAACGGCCATGATTGTTGTTGGAAAGCTGTGGAGACATTTGCTTGCAGATGATTTTTAATTTGAATCAGCGGATTTCTTATGAAGATGTTCAAAGTTTGTCGAAGATTTTGGTTGATGGATGGAATTTGATAGATGGCAATATGCGAGGACAGTTCAGTTGGACCTAAAATTGTTGAACCAAAATTTTGCCTATGTTTTCATTTTCATGATGGAGGACGTTATTTAGACAGAGATTCAGACTCAAATAATAAATTGAAGAATACGTGATGCTTTTTAAGGTAAATAGCCATTTTTATGCAGGCTGTCAATCAGAACTTTTAGGGTTCAAGTCAGGTATATCTTGATAATGATGATGTAGCATTCTGACGAATGATGCTGTTCTATAAATATCTTGATGAATTTGAATATGCTGAATTTTAGAGTTCTAGATATTTTTTTTGATAGATGTTGTTATTATCACAAACCTGTAAATAGTTTGACTGTGCTGGGGATTTGTTTTTGAATAAGATATTGCATTTTCTACGGCGTATTCTTTTCTTGTTAATTTTATGCTGTCAGTTTTGGAAAAATCTAGACTGCCATATTTGTAAATGAGAAATTATAATAGTATTTTGATTTTATTTGTCTGGTCATGCCATAAATATGGTAACCCTTTTCACGAGTTTAACCTCTAAAACTAGTAAAATTATTTGTGGTTTCCACACTATAAGAGTATACCATTTGAAACTTTTGGTTCTGAAATACCCTTAAGATTCATTAATTTTTGTTTATGAATTTGCAAGTGACTGACAGTTTTCTTTTCTATGTTATTGTGTGTGTAAATAAATGTAAATGTGGGTAGTAAATAAGTGCAATCAATGGAATGGTCCTAATGGGGGAATTACTACATTATTAATAAGAAATTCACAGCAAGTTGGTCCTGCCAAGTAAATATCTTATATAAATCCATAGTAAAAGTTACCATGTTTGCCTTATTTCTTTGCCATTACTGACTTTGTTTGATGTACATTTTAAATTTGTATATAATATATATTTATGATGTTCTTGTTATGGAAAGACAATGAATTTTTTTAAATTCTGTTACATTTGCTGTTTTACCAACACCTGAAAATACTAAAATTGTATGATGTGTATTGACTTAACTGGTATTTTTGGCCATGTTTAAGGCACATCACACAGCAGTTTAGATAGAAAGGTGAATGCACAAAATAAATAACAGAAAAGCTCTGAGCCCCTAAGGTATTTGGTGTTGAAGTCAAACATTTGGGTGGATATTGCATTGAAAATTTCTACACTAAACCCAGTATTTGATTGTTAAATAATATCATTGTATAAATAGAACTAAGATTCCTTTCTTTAAATGGCTGTTTTTTAAGTGAGTGACATAAAATGTTTTTCATGAGTTTTTCTCCCTGAGAAGGGGTGATACATACATCTAATATACCCTTATTTTAGCTCATCCTCTTTGTTCTTGACAATTTGTGGTTCTGTGCCTAGACTTGCCATTAAATCATTATTAAGAGGACATTTCAAATCTTTGCTGCTGTTTTTCCATCACAAAAGCCATGTAGGAAACAAAACATGCCAACACAACAAAAGCTTGATGAGTGTTTCTCAAAATTTTTCCAGAGATCTCTTTTCTTGTTCACTCAATAAGTAAAATGCCAAATTGTCAATGAAATCCAGACCTGGATGTTATTCTTAATATTTATCCTTAAATTTCTCAACCTTTGAGCCTCAATATCTATCCTTAAATTTCTCAACCTTTGAGCCTCAACATTTTTATTTAGTCTATGCTGTTTAAAAAATGTGTTGTTAGTTTCCTAATCCTAAAACTTAATATAAGGAAAAAAACATCTTTAAGTGGAAAACTTCGATTCTGAGACTATAGTAAAATTTGACTGATTTTTTTTGGGCGTGGTCATATAGGCGTGGTCGAAACTTTGCGAATGTCAGATTTTTTTCTGCATCCGCCCCTGCGGCCAATCCATCGCTATTCTAATAATAAAGATTCTCACTAGTCATTTTTTCTTGGGACTGTACTCAACCTAGCTGAACCATGAAATCGCAACTACTTTTGGGCAATTTTTCGACAATAAGAAGCCAATGCTCCTAAACAAATGGCTACTAAATTACTTCCTTGATCTCTATGTTAAGTCTCTAGCATTTAAACACTCTATATCGTTTACGTAAATGAGTATGAATACAGAACCGTCTTTCTTTAAACACAGTAAGTGCTTTCATTAAAACTCAATGAAGCATGATTTGCCTACATATCAATGAAATTATTCTAAACCACATTTCTTGATTCTAAAATGGAAAACTGTTCTGTAATATATAAAATAATTCACATTTATATAAGATATTCAGTATAATAAAGAACCTGGATAAAAGAAACTGCTAACCAAGTAAAAACATGTAAAAGTTAAGATACTATAACATGATTATTATACAAAACTTGGGTTATACATATTTTGCATCATTTTTATGGTTGATACTTTCGTTTAAAATTTAACAAAATTTTAATTGTAATTGCAATTTGCTACCTTGTGATACACTTGGAGGAGATGACGTAGACGCTCTGAATACGTTCGTAGCCTGTTCAGTGAGACTTCCTGTTTAACATGAGACCAAATAATAAGATGTTAGCAAAGCCAAGAAACGTGAACAATTTTACAAGGATAATTGAGATTTTTAATACTGTCGAATATAAGGAACACTCATTTGCTCCGGCAGAAATTTTTCTCAATAGGGGGCTCAATGCCTCGACGAGGGGTATCTAGCACCTTAGAACTCGTTAGAGGTTCAAGAAGTTGTTGAAGCACTATTCAAACAACTGATCAAAAGAATTATTATAGAACCACATTCTGGTATCCCTCCCTATGCATTGTATGGAGAGAGCTATGTTTACTTAAGTTACCGTATACAGCGGTACTTTAGGCTTCCTATATAGCCTAAATATGTCACGTTCGGAAATAGAAGAAAGACAACTCAAATTAAAGGTTATGGTGTAAAAATATAAAAAACGGCGAGTATTAATTGCAAGTATCGCAAAAGTATATCGATTTTGTTAACACCAGAAATGCCGATTACCTTTTGGGGGCGAGTTCACCGCGCTCACTAACGAGCCATTTCCTCCAAGGCTAACATTAGTCAGTGATTTCTCAGGGCTGTAACCAGGAAATCCAGGGGGTTGGCCAAGAGGAGGCAGCGAGCTATAATCGGACATGGAATAGAACTCCTCATCTTGACCTTCGCTCGAATTCAAGCTGTGTGTCGAGTTCAAACTTTCCAATGCGTTGTGCCAAGAGTCAGGCTTTTTGTCGAATTTTCGTTTGCCTGATGGTGCTGTTATTTGCTGCTGCAGAGCTTGCTCTACTCTTCTATAATCATCAGTGTTCATGGGTCGCATGGAGTTTTTCTTTTGGCCTTCTTTTGTCTGAGATAATGTTGCTGTAATTTAGAAGCAAAAAACTTATGGAAAGAAACATGACGACTTTTTATGGCGGCTCAAGATAACAATTTTTATCAGCAACTTCAACTACAAAACAAAATTCTTTTTGCCAAAAAATCAACTCATATGTTCCATACCAAAAAATGATTTCAGCATTTAAACTCTCTTGATACGCTCTGAATAAAGATTTAGTTATGATGAATATTTTAAATAGAAACTAAGTGATAAGTTAAAAATGCACGAGAATTTGCAGGAAGTAGAATACTTGACTTAAAAATGATGGCAACAAACACAGAAATTAATCAAATTGACAGCAAGATTAGAAAGCAGCATTCTTTGATCATCTTAGCCTTTGAACTTTCAGATAAAAGACAAAATATACCTACCAGATACTCACTAACATTAATATCAGCAAAAAGTGTGATTAATGAAAAAAGTATGACACACTTACAAGACATAGAAATTGCTGTAGCCATGTCAATTAGTAAATGCAGTTGTTTTGGTGACAGCAAAATGTTTAAAGCTCCCAAGGAATATTCTAGATCAACCTACAAAAAATTTTGAATATCACCATGGGTCTACGATTCAATACACCAGTTTATTTCACACCAAGGCAAAACGAACATTGGAATAAATTGAAAGCTACAAATTCACTGACTTGTCAAAATAAATTGAAGTCAAAATTCCACTCAAGGTAATGATACTGCTTACCAAAGATGTCATAGAGGAAGCTCAAGATTGCTGAGTATGTTTCCAAAAGCTTATCATTTGTAGACTGAATTTATCACAAAGCAAATTTTTAAAATGTTGGTTAAATTATTGGATTCTCAGAGAATATTTAAAGCAAAAAATATTCTTTTAAATGTCCTATCTGAGAGAGATTCTATTAAAATAGCAAATGTTTAGGATTTTGCTGAGGACCTGAAACCTAAAGCACAATCAATAAACACCCTGTTTCATACCTAGCATTAATGACATCACTACATAGGAAAGAATTTCATTCCTGAGCCACTGATATCTCTACTTGCAGATGCTGTATGCAAAGCATTTACTCCAAATTTTCTGACCTAACAACTTTATAAGCAGCTGCTTTTAGACAAAATGTTTGTTTTGGCTGAGAAAATGTAAACTTTTATCAGCTTGATCAAATCATAATGACTTAAACTGATACAAAAATTGTATTTACATTTGCAGATCAGACTTTATTGATAACTATCTTATCAGAATATACTTAGCAAGAAAAAAACTATATGACAGCAGTTACACAAAATAGTGGATAAGTTGTACCTTTGGGCCAGGGAGAGTGTCATTGTGTTTGATTTTCACCCGAACACTTTGCTTGCCATGTGATGCTAATATTTGAACTTGAGGCATTAAATTTAAGTTATCCTTTTGATTATTGTGTCCTGGCATTCTAGCCAATTCTTCACCCAAATGTAAGTGTTCATCATACTCTTGACCCTCTCTCTCATCTGCCTCTCTCAGGCGAGTCCTTTTCTCAAAAGGAAACTCATCCATATAAAGTTTGAGTCCATATATTTGGAAACTCTTTATTGCTATAGCAACTGGTTCATATACAGCATGGTCAGGGCTCAGCTCTTCATTAATTTCATCATGTGATAGATCCAGGTAATCAATTCTAAAAAATGTATACATTTACAGTAAATCTATGATGATTTAATCTAAAACAGCTTCTTTAAAGTTTCTGGAAGCTAAAATTACATGTGGCATATCTATTTATATTCACAATGTACATCTTAAATAAAATTACATATGGTAGGCTACAAACGAGTTACAAAAATGCATATTTTTTAACCTCAAATGTACAACCTTTCTATAGTATTATTTCTCTAATATACTTTTAAAGGTGACAAACTCTGTCTTATACAGAAAGAGACTTGCAATTTACAGCATACTTTAGAAAACAATAAGTTAAAGGAAATCTGAATGCTGCTTTCTAAGTAACAGTGACAGGACTACATACCTATCAATATGAAGCTCAAGGCCAACTCCATGAACACAGTCAGGTAAAATGTTTTCAAGCCTGATTATTGTGTTTGTGAATGAAAGTTTTATCCTTGAAAGCACTGAAAATATATTGATAATGCATTAGTTTAAAAATATTCTGCTCCCTTTAAGGCTCCTCAGCTACTTACCAATCATTACAAATCATAAATTGTTGTGGAATGTACAGTTAAACATGCGATCTTTTTTGTAAGAACAATTTGGGTGTAAACATTATCAAGCAAGTATTTTTGAGATTCCCAAAATGTAACAAATAACACATAAAGTCATGATGAATGTTAAGCTATTTTGATTGCCTGTCTGTTTTAAGCAATTTCTATAAATTTATTCATTATTCTACCTGATTCTATTGTCTGTGCAAATGCTTCGAGACCCTCAAACATTTGAGCTGATTCTGCCTGTTCTTCCCCAGCAGTTGCATCTTGCTTCAAACATTGTTGTGCCAGTTGCATGCTAGTTGTCATGTTCATAGAACTCCAAGACATAGTGCTATCAAACATATTCCCTAGATAAAAAATAAATGATCAAATAAGACAAAACGACCAAATGAAATAAGTTTACTTTTTGTGTAATCTTATTAAATAGGTATTTACTCTATATAGTGTGGGAAAATTCAAATAAGCTAGTTTTAGTATTTAATATCAGAGATGAAATGAACTAATCAAATGTTTGAATGTATGCAGTTTGTTTTAAAAAAATTACATGCACTCGCATATATAAAATTAACTAAAAGTTGATGAAGTTAAAGAAGTTGAAATTCAGTACAGATTACCAACCATGATTGAAGGGGTCAAATCTTTGTTTTGGTGCTAATGTTAGCTCAAGACCATTGAGGTCAATATGACAACTCTCACTCAGCAAAGATGTCCAGGGCACTGCAACTGAAATAGAGCTAATAAAGCCATCTATGATCTCTAATGGGATTCCAACACTTTCCAGTACCTCGTTGAGAGCCTAAAATGAAGAGTTTTGCTAAAAAACAGGCTACAATAAATGTACATTTAGTGCGAGGATGGCTTAGTTGTTAGAGGCGCTGACTACAGACCCAAGTGTCCGTGGTTCGAGTTCCTGGCATGACCAAACTTTCACCCCGAGTAGGGAGAGTCGCCAGCTCTCTGTAATTCCAGGCGTAGAAATCACGAGGTTTGGTCATATCGAATAAAAGGACATATCGATAAGCATAGCTTCTAAGTGTCCTAGAAACTACCTTCGGATGCTAGGTAGCAACAAATACAAATACAAATACATATTGTATCCAGAAAATGATTCAGAACAATTTTGATTTTGTGGGCAAAAAAAATTGTCTTTATTTACTCAAATGGAACTTTAATTGTATATATATAATTGATTTCGCTATTAAGATACATTACACTAGCAATTATTATTGGAGATATAACTAAGCTATGTTAGAGTTTAACATAGATGTCAATCTCGGTACAAGTAGCCTGCGTCACATGAAGCCAAAACAACGGAAACTGAAAAAGTTCTGTTGATAACCAGCGATGAAGTCTAAGAGGGGAGGAAATGAAAAAAATACTCTATTAGTAACTGCGGTTTTCATATTTTCTTTAAATATTCAGTTCGTATCTTGACATGTTGTTGTCGGGTATGCAAAAAATAGTTTAGTCTCCTCCTACCGCCGTCTGACCTTGTGCCCGTGGTCAACATCGTATATTTTATTCCTTGATCAAGATTATAAATGGGTTACGTTAAAGCTTATAAAAAATACAAGATTCATACCCAAACATCTAGAAGAACGTCCGAAACAGTACCCTTTCCATTGTACAAATCAACAGTTAACTGTTCCAAAGTAAGCTTTTCCTTCAGAAAATCCCCCAAGTAGTGCTGAAGAAGATAGCGACATGCTCTCTTCTTGATAGACTCAGACCAAGGAAAGTACCAAGGCATGTTAACTGTGCAGGACTGCTTTAAGCCCTAATGTCTTTTATTCTTATCCATGGCAAATTCTTAAAACTTTAAGTTAAAATCATCTGTACTACAATTATAACGTCATTTTCCGCCATGTTGTTGAAAAAATCCCTGCAACGATTGTTTTGATCATGTGACTATTAGCCTCCATTCCGTTCCCGGGAAAAAACTGAGAACTGAGCAAAGGTGGTATTTACGCCAGGCAAAGGTGTAGTGAATCTTGACTCCCTAAAAAGATATTTTAAAAAATCAACCAAATAAGCGAAATTCCGTTATGATTATCCCAGGCCCGAGACCAGAAGGAGGCTTGGGGGAAGGGAGATAGGCCCCTCCATCACGGAGAAAAAACCATGTTTTGGTTTACAATGAAAATTATGTAATACAGCTTTCGGTCTTCGCCCAACCCCCAGAAAGTTTTTCCTGGCCTCGGGCTCGGATTATTCTACGAAGTGTGGCAAATCATGGAACAACAGAATTGAAGAACTTTTGTCTGAGATCACGAAGTTCTGATATTATCTCGAAAGAATGACGGGATTCTACACACTTGTCGGAAGGGGATTTTCACGCCAATGCTACACAGAATACTGAGTTTTTATAAAGTTTTACTGATTCTCGGCATCCTTTATCTTTTGCCTTGTGAAAAAGAGTCTTGTCAAATCATGGCTTGAAAAAGAGTCTTGGCTTATTTGGTCTGCAGCATCTACCAACAATTTTGGGGGGCGCGGAAGATGTGCAAACAAAAGAGCGGAACAGCGGATTTCTACCCTTCTTGATGACCCTTACTACGAGCCAAAGTGTCTATATGAATATATTTTGGTATCATGTGATTCAAAGTTGTTATCTGATTAATTCGCTTCATTGGAGCAATGACTGTAAGCAAGCTTTTTTAATAAGTTTAGTGCCTTTAAGTTTTTTGGTTTCCCAATTCGACACAAGAGTGCAGTATGGCAAATGGTGTTATTAATTCAGCACCAATTATTTTTTGTCAATGAGCTTTTCAAAACCTGTAGTTTGTCCATCCAAACGCATACTGTGCTATCAACAGATGAATATGAAATGAGTGGATAATGCAATCTTATGTGCTGGTTATAACCAAACGGTTTCAAAGAACGCGTTGCATAATTCATCTTCTGAAGGCCATTGCCAAAACGCTGCATCTTTTCAGTTTAAAAACAATTTAAGTTCCATATTTAGATGAGAATTCGGACAGAAGTCTGCGAGATTTTAATTCTTTCTATGGATTTGTTATAGGCATTCATAGAAGTTCGGTTGCTTTAGAAAGATAGGGCGTTAAAATGTAATAGGCGTTTTGGTTTCAAACATATCCTGGTCGACTACTGGAAATCAATCTTAGTTGTCTATGGTTGAATGTTACTTACATTCAAGCTCGGGATTAGCATTCAGTTTCTTAATTTCTCTACTGACTTTAGTGCCAAAAGTTTCTTATAGGTATCCAAAACACAAAATGCTAAAGAGCTATTTTTTAGAAACACAAAAACGTGATATGAGTTGACATGAAGTCACAAGGAGCTCTTCTTTCCATCACTTATGTTAATTGAATAGGAAGTATTTCCACCTTTATCTTCAAAAGAAGGATTTTTGGGCAGTTTCTCAAAGTTGAGGGTGATCAGTACCATGGTTGCTTAATATTCTGGTCATCGTTGGGCTTGGTTTCTTATTGACTGTTTCTTATCAAAATGAGTGTATAGTACCTATGGCCAACTTTCTCCAAGAGTTTATCGGCTTACTAGTAAATACCTGATTAAGACAGCATTTCAAAAACACAACCCTTCTCTGGTGCTTGCGCAAAAACCCGAAGTTAAAGAAACCGATTTTAGAGATTTCGTCAAAAATAGTTTAGAGCTGGATGGATAAACTTTTTAAACTTCCCCTGTAAATTCTTATCGCATGTTTTTAGTAGTATTGAGGATAGAGCATAAAACGCTGTTTATCTAGAAATGTCCAGTGTGTTCAATGGATGTGGGTGAAAAACAACAACACAATACTAACTGAGCACAGTTCGTTTCATACCACAGGTGGGTGACTTCGTTTACCAACTCTTCTATGTAACAACCTGTAACGATGCTCAACGCTCTGAAGACGACTCCTTGTAAATGAATGTAGAGACTTTTGATCGGTTATTAATGAAACATACAAGACTCTTTTTAGCTATACTAAAATTTAGAGGACCCCCCTTGTCTGTAGTCATTTTACTAGCAAACTCAAAGATTTTAAGGGGGTTCTAACTGTTACTAGGGCGGTTTTACGTCAGAGAATAGCTGTTTTAAACGATGTGTCGATAACAGACAGGTCAGAAGCACTTTTACACAGCACAGCACAGTATTAATTTTTAGGCATTATAGAAGCACATACATTTATATTAAAGTTTTAAATATATTTTATTTATCTTTAAAATTTCAACACGGTTCTTCAGCAAGGTATCAAAGTATTTTTGGAGCATTGTTGATATGTACAGAAGCGTTGCAAAGTCAATTTTGACAACAATCAGCAAGGTAAGGCCTTATATGTTTACTTACTGTTTATCTCTTATGGAAAGATTTCCCAAGCAATAAGATTTATCAATTCTGAATAAGATAGGAAAGTATCTTTTGCATATCGAGATGCATATCATCATGAGAAAGATCTTGCAAATGCTGCATTGATATCATGATTTTATCAATTAGAAGGTTCGTTCTGTTATAGAGCTTCCTTGAACTTTAATCAGACATCGCAGTGGCGGATTTATGGGGGCAGCTAGGGGCAGTTGCCCCTCCCTCAACGAGTTGAGGCAAGCCTGGCGCCCCTTCTTCGGAAATTGTGCGCCCCTTTTGAAGAATGGGAATCAGGTGAAAAATTTTTTGAGACCGATAGGTTAATTTGCTTCAAGGATTACCTCAAAGTTATGTTGTTTATTTCGAAAATTGATCTGAAATTGTTGTATACAGCGTACTCTCGTCATCAATTTTTGAAAATTTTTCAGCGCCCCCACTACCAACTGCCCCTCCTTCAAATTTGCTGTGGATCCGCCCTTGAGACATCGTATTGGTGACCAGGTTTCACCTATTTAATTTCTTGAAATTTCGAAAATATTTATAGCTCTTTGCTGCAATAAAAGTTGTATTACAGCGCCATGCCACCTAGAGAGTGCTTCAAACCTGTTCTATAGATTTTAGATAGCCATATTCTTCATTGAACTCCTCTCTGAAGAAGGAAATTGAAACCTCAGATACCGAATACGTATGCTAACAGTACAGATCTGCACCGAAAACAACAACCTTATTAAGCAAATTTTTTGCAGACAAACGCCAGGTTTAAAAGTCAAGAAAGAACGATTTATTCATCGATTTTCAACGGAATCCTAAACCAATCAGGTAAACAGTTTTCTTTGCTGATGACATGATATATTTCAGCCCGGCATCTGAGTTGTCTCCGTTGCCTTACCAGCTCGCTGACTCCGTTGCCGTACTTTTAAGCCCAGCACTAGAGCTAGATCAATTCAACCAGCAGAGCTGCCTTTCGTACTGTGCAGAGAAGTAGAAAAACTACTTGGCCTAGTACAGCTCTGAAAAATCTTCAAAGAGAACGATAAAGCGAGCTGACCCAACTACCGAGACAGTTCGGGAGCAAGGCTGACAAGTGTCAGCATTTAAATGCAAGTTGAAATCTCGTTCGCTCGGATCATGCAAGCCTGGGCCATTTATAGCAATGAGTTTTTGTGCTTGACGTCTCATAGCATACCCAAAGTTGGACGAAGTTTAGAAATAGGGGACTCGATTAAAGAATCTCTTTAGGAAAAGTCTGGATTTTTTTCTCAAACAGTCTGGAGAACGAACACTAATTCGAATGGAATTGCTTTAAAATTGCACTCTGTTATCTGTTAAATTGCACACTGGACTCTGTTAAGAATTACTAAAAAAGAGTTAAGAAATGAATTAAAAATAACTGATTGATTGTTATTCATGAAATATTAGCTTTTTTAAAGCATGCTTTGACAGAATCTACAACAGCAGGTGCATCTTACCAAATTAATTATTAATCCATTTCAATTTTTCAGCCAAAAAGCTTGCCAGTCTCAAACGAGAAAAATCGGAGCAGTTTACACAACAGGTAACGAAACTTGAGTTCTAAACTTCAAAGTAAGGTAACGTAGGTCTAGAAGAGAATAAGAGGGACTTGGAGAAAATGGGGGTGGGAAGCAATGAAGGGGAAAATATATTTCGCTATATATACAACTAAATCAAAGTACTTCAATTGTCTTTTCTGTAAAGGTCTTACAAGAAAAATGGACATAGTTATTTAATACAGGAAGCTCATATTTACTTACTGAAGGCAGTTTATACATTGAAGATTGCTATTTTGCGTCTGATTTGCATGCAGATCCAGCTAGCATAGCAATACATAGATATGATGCATCTTTTTAATAAAGCCCATATATAAACCCTATCAAAATGGTAGTTTTCTCGCGATAGATTTGGAAGTTTAATAAGAAGTATACTTCACCAATAGAAATTAGTTACATAGCTAAAACTTTGCATTAAAAATGGTTTAATAAAGAGTATGATTCCTAGTAAGTCAAGCAAGAAAAAGATGGATGAAATCAATCCCATCTTTGTCAGTAAAAATCTACTTTTTGTGTATTGATAACTAGCCTGCGTGTTGATAAACAACTGGTCATTTCGGTGGACGAAAGGTGGACGAAAGGTGGACGAAAGCCGACATTTCTTTTCCTGTAGGCCATCTTCTTACAACTGTTTTTTTTTTCTTAGGCTACATTCAGTACAAGTAGATCCTGGAATCCATTTTACGCCCGAAAGACCTCCTATGAACGTATTTTGGAGGTGGATGGTAACAAAAATTGCCCTGACTGCTCAAGCACGGGCAAGTTTTTTAAGTAAATTTGCATTCAGTCTCCAACAACTTAACAGTGGATAAATGGCCATCTGTTCTGTGAAAAGTATGGTTGTTCTCGTGGAGAGTTTCACTATTTATATATCGTTACATAGAGTACACTGTGTCAGCTCTAAGGTGTCCATATCTGATGCCCGCCCCTGGCTCCAGCATGTTAAATTTGTCTTTGCCCTAGTGAGAGAGTCCAGTGCAAGGTGAAAAATTTGGGAGGGGGGGTTTGGGGGTAGGGTCGGCAAGTGCAAATCCTATACTAACTATCTAAGATGTTTTACTTACGTTTTTTTTAAAAACAGGCTGCAGAACCTACAATTCTTCAGCTGAATTGATTGAGAAATGTCACCTTCATCACGACAAAATGATATCACCAACTTAAAGCAGCATGAGATGGACCAATCTACCTGTGACATTTTTAAGACGTAAACCCTGTTATTTCTCAGTATCTTTGTAAATTATTTTTATATTTAAACAAAAAAGGTCTTCGAGAAGGATTTCAATTATTATTAGAAGCAAAATAATTTCATATACTAATCAGATTTTGGTATTTTCATTTTGCAACTAAAATTAAACTTCGCTCAATTTTGACAGATGTCTGCTATGTCAGCACCTTGAATGGAGGAGTGTATTGCCCTGTGTGTGCCGGGATACATCGAGAACTTGGAACACATCCTGATTTCGTAGCCCTCAATAATGAAATCAACGTCAGCATTGAAGACATGCAGGTATGGAAATAAACATAACTAAACAGCTTCACATCCCCTTAGTTTCAAGCACTGTCTTCATTCTATCATAACCGCTACAAAAAAGCCTCAAAACGGCGCCATGTTGCAAATCTGCCGTACTGTCACATTTCAAGAGAAGAAGGACACTCAAAAAGAGACGGAAAAAGGAAACCCGAGCATAGCAATTGGCGTACGATTGCCAAAAATAAGGAAACTTATGTATTGAGATTAAAGTGATAGCTTGAAAGAATATAAACTACCTTTGTACGATGGGTTTAACGACATTTTTGCCACCTTCCTGCTTGATATATGCATGTGCATAGCTATTATCAAGATTGCTTTCCGGTTGATTTAACAATTTCTCTAATCTCTATTGAAGAAAGATTTTCTGGCTACATCGTAGTTTCTTTTTTCTAGTTTTATGAATCAATGGGTAACAATTATGTTAATTACGTTTATGAAGCAGCATTGGACGTTGTTGGAGCAGACAAACCTACGATCACATCTACCAGGTAAAATATAACCTCGATAAGGAATAACATTATTCAGCACTTTCTTTAGCAACAGCGCATGTTGATACAAATATCCTGTGGCCATATAATGCAATGAAAATAAAATTTACAAATTGCAAGTGCAATGAAGTTTAATAAATTCCATTTAAGTTTCGCAATTTTTCCAAATACTGAAAAGTTTTCATCAAAATATATGCCGTTTTTCTTATACTAAGAAAACTTCTTGACACTACCAATGGTACTCGAGGATACTCATTCGTTTTTAAAATTGTTAGCTATAAGACATCGTTTTAACAGTATTTTTTGCTTGAAGCAAATGAGTTAATTGTTTGTTCTAGGGGAGAAATTTCGAATTTCATTAAACAGAAGTACATGGAATGCTCCTTCTCTGTGTCTCGATATGACAGACCAGCGACAGAAAATGTTCTTTATTTTATTTCCAACATGAAGGCACGTGGCAATCTAATACCTGACTTGGTAAATGTTGCTCTTTCTACTTTTATATCCTTTACAACCTTAAGAGGAATCTATTCAATAAAGAAGTAAATAATTTAAACGTTGTTACTTAAAAGAATTTTAAACAAACTTCAAAGGAACATTCAACCTTCCTGTACGAAATGACGAAACCTTCATCATTTTTTAAAGAGTACTAAGCGTGTTGCAAGAGAGGCTCACGTTAACGGCAGGAAAAAGTGAGGCCATAAACTGGTTTTGGATCTCATTCATAGCAACCTAGAAATCTTCACCACCCTCCCCCTCTCTAGTATTAACCCATATATTCAGTAAAGTATCTTCTCTGATTATGTTTGAAAAAATTGTCTTAATCTAAGGAAATTTCCATATCACTTTCAGCGAGAGAAGACAAATGAACGAGTTGGCTCAACCTATTCAGATATAATGAGAGAGGCTTTTGACTCACCATATGTTCTTCAGATGGCAGAGTAAGCTTGCACCACAAACCGAGTCACGATTAAGATTCTTCGTTGAAAACTAGCACTGCATAAACTATCGACAATCTGATGGCGAGAATCTCAGTTAGAATAGAGAAAGTCTAAATTTCAGCCTTGACGGCAAAACTTTAGTAGCAAAGGCTGACAAAACTTTAGAAGCATATTAGTAATATAAACAAAAAAATGCTGCTACACCTAATCGTAAATTAAAATGATATAAAATGCCTTTTATATATCGAATCTATTACCGTGTGCACATCTAACGTAAACCAATGCTGTATTCTCTGTTGTACTCGATTTTATCTGATGTCGCAAAATACCTTGCAATCGCCATCTTGGGTTAAACGTTATCAGCTTGGACATTGCTTTTAAGTAAACCTCAATACATCCAGGCAGTTAAAGTCGATATAAGAGGGGTAGAGGATTTTAGACGTCTCGCAATGAAGATTTCACTCTGAGATAGTCAAGGCTGTTTCTGCATAAATATGACATCCAGCAGATGAAATATGCAGGGAAGGTTGATTACATTTTTAGTCCGTTCACCTTTCGTCCATGTGCCGGGGCGAAATATTAGCCATAACTGATTAACGTATGTTATGTTTGTTGTTCATTCTCGTCGCGTTGCGGTGTTACTTATTCACTACATTTTATCGATTTTTCGTCGCAATAATTACATCGGAGTCCGTCGAGCAGCCTGCTATCGTTGCCTTTCCTTTATTCGCACACTAATAAGAGTTGGTCTGGGCTGCCATCGTAACCTCGGGTTTAACTTGTGCAATTTGCCAAACGCAGGCAAGACTTTTTACGCATGTACTGAACAGCATTCGATAATATTATCATGATCATGAACTACCTTACAAAACAGAGCCTCTACTATGCTTCCATCAAAAATGAACAATTTAAAAATCTATTTCTGACATCAAAAATGGAATTGAAAAATTGAAGAGAAAATGAAACCAGAACCAGGAAAGAAAGAAGGAAGAGCAATTACAGTTTTAATGAAAGTCACAAGCATCACTTAGCAACTAAAAATATACATCTACATTCAAGAAATTTGAGAGATTTTTGTGCTGTCTAGATGCATTTTGGTAATTAAATATTTCTCAAAAATTTGCAACCTCTGCCACTTGGAATTCATTGAATAGAAAAATCTTCCTTCTCGTTGTTTGGAAAGATATCATCTTGAACTAAGAAATAGCTAGCTGAAATCTAGGCCATTGGTAATTTATGAAAACTACACCAATCCCTTTGAAAAACTATTCATTATTTTTCCAAATATGCAATATTATAGAAAGGAGACGATTCCTCTGTCATTTTGAACAGGAAGGACACAGTCAAATAAAGCTTCAACAAGAAGCTAACATATTTCTGGGTGTCATTTTTGTTTTAATTCAGGAGATCTTGCAAAATATTTCTCTCTAACCTTTGTATCCATCTTGAAATGCAAGAGAAATTGCGCATTCATAATTCAACCATTAATAATTACTGGCAGGGACTATTAATGCACCAAAAATTGTCTTGCATCGATGTCTAATGAACGTTCGACCCCTAAGAAATCTGTAAGAAATGTTTGTTAAACTGATGTCAAAATGTAAGGACGTCACTCACTCAATTTCTATACGTCAAGTCACAAGAAACAATCAGGCGGCCGTTCTCTTGCATTCAGAGCCTTTCTTGTCATGCATATCCATTGGGAAGATAACTACATAAGTTCAAAGCTGATTTTAAAGAGGAATAACAACGTAGATCTCGTAATAACACAGTAACTGTTTACCAAACAAAACCACGCAGAAACGACGCAAGCTATGCATTTTGAACACCCTTGCCTGCTTTTTTAATGATGCCAGATTAACTCACAGCTTTTTTGTCTTGATCTCGAAATTCCTGAAAAAGAAGGCGTTCTCCTTAAAACAAAAGGTAATACCATAACATGAGCTGTAGATAGACATGACATCGAGAAAGTGCTGCACATAGAGCTGAGTTTATGAAGAGGAGAAAAATACTGAAAACAAAGGGATCTTTAGAGGTTACTACCACGATCAAGATTGACCAAAAAGACTGGAACTTTGACATCCAGGTGGCTTGAAAATAAATCAAATATTCTTCACATGCATAGGATATCGATTTCAAACAGTACATTTTCATCTGGCTGTCGTTTTTCTTCAAGTTTCAAATAGGAAATGAGGGTAATTAGTTTGCCTTGTAGGTTTCTTGCAGCAAATTGATTATAGGTTTATGCGAGACACGCGAAAAAGAAAATGCTGCGGTCTGAATAAAAGATGATAACAACAACAAACTTTAATCTTTAGTCCGTTTTCTTTTGCTCTGATGAGCCCCGTATGCCGGAGCTAAATATTAGCCATAACTGATTTACGTGTGTTTGTTGTTGTTTATTCTTGCCGTTTTGCGGTGTTACTTATTTACTTTATCAAACTTGAATTTGCTTACAAATTTTCACTCACTTCAGTATTTCTTCAAGCTTCTTTGACTTATAAATGTATTTATGGCTAAGATTTTCTTCAATATCGACGCATTCAACATTCAGTGAGCACTTTTGCGCAGCCAGACACAACTATGAACAGAGACAAAAAAGAATTCTATAAAAGCTAAAACAGCAACAAATTTAGAAAGTTACAGAGATGAAACAACCAAAATATGGAATATCTGCCCAGACTGGATTTGTGCATAACGCTTGATTTGTCGGTGAAGTGTACAAAGCATTTAAAAATGTCCTCTTTTATACGACCACTCTTGTCCCAAGCGTCTAGTATTTGTCTGCGATGCTTTAAGAGCTACTCCTTAAGAGCTATATCAAGGCTTATCTAGAGATGTATCAAAGAGATTTTGCGATGAGATTGTGGCTATTATGTCTTCTGAAGACACTGCAAAACTGATTATTTCTGAACATTCATACATCATTTACAGATTCGAATTATTAGCAACATTTATAAAAATTATGAGCTTTTTTGGTCGGCTTCAAAAATAGCCTTGAACTGTGTTTGTCAAATGAATATTTATCTCAAACGTCCTTCAGCAATATCAAATTACGTAGGATTAACAGGTAGCATAAACATGCACGACTTCCCTGCCGTTGAAATGAAAGTTTTACTTGAATATCTGAAAATTAATCAAATCACACAATTGATTGGATTCACTGAATATAAGTAACGTGACGTAACGTGATATTGAACCAAACTTGTTAAAATCGACGCGTATGGAAGTGATTTTAGCCATCCTTCAATCAATATTAACCAATGAATAAGTGTATGAGTGGAATAACGCTCACTGATTGGTCGATTCTTATGGTTTCAAGAACAAGTAGGGTTGCAGTGATCCGAAACAGAAGAAAAAATGATTTTTCAAGAAACGACAGGAAGGGATATGGACAATATTTGAAAATACCTTGTGTCCTAGTTGGTATGGCACAATATCATCGGATTTGTCATGTAAGATTAAAATCGGTGACGTCACATTTTGAATCCTTGAAGTTAAAAAGAACACATGAAAAGGCGAAATTTAGGAAAAACTAAAGTAAACTGTAGATTAGAGCCACTTAATACAATATCTAGATGGAAGATTCTAAATTTTTACGCAAATGTACTCTAAAATAACTTTTCAGACAATAAAAAGAACTTAAACATGTTCTGTAAATGGTCTTGCTCTTGGCATTGTTGAAACAGTGGCAACAGTGGCAGATGAAAACATTAATAAATATAATAAAAACAGTTTTATCTGCTTGCTGGGTTATCGTATGTCAGGGTTAGCAAATTTATTTTAGTTTTAGCCAGTTATCTTGCAGTGCATGGCAAAACCATTACGCTCAAAGCAGAAGGGCCTAATTAAAGATCACTAAATTTGAAGCAATACTTTTTACAAAGGCAAACAGAAAATGAAAAATTGGAATTGGCATATTGATAATAAAAAGCAGCCTCTTTTCTTCGGTAGGCCGATTTTCAAGGCTAAGGCAATCGAAATCTGGTCGGGACTGTTAAGCAAATTGTGCCCAGGGCAGTTGCAGCAACAAATGAGATAGCAACAAATTAGATTGGAAACCACGAGATTAGTGTGAGCTGCTTAGAATGTCAGTGGTAGAGTAAAAAACCCCAAACATCCAGGTGGGCTTATAAACATAGCACCCGATAAAGAAAGAAAATAAAGCTTTTAAGATAAACTGGATATACATTTCAGGACAATATCATCGATAAAATTTAGGGTTGACTTTATGTCAACACGAATTCTTTTTCTCGCGCTTTTTTCTAATTGCTTTCAACTCTTTCCCGCAGAAAGCAGATCAGGTTCGCAGGTTTCTTTGGAAGGTGAAATTGGATAAAAGGAAAATTCAACGAATGTAAAGGAATTCTAAAAATCGATAAACTTACCAATAGTCGTTCATGAATGCATACTTTAGTTCTTGGATCATAAATTCATCGTAAAAAGGAAGCAGCGAATACGGCTTGGAAAAACAATTCGTCTAATCAATCAATCATGATTAATCATAAACAAATAGCCATGTTATCATTAAACAGCGGCTGAACTATCATCATGACTACAATAAACCAATTTACTAAAGACCTTAACAATGCGATATATTCGAATTATTCTGGATCTGCAGCGTGGGTTCGACAAAACAAAATCCAAAATTTTCAGGTTTTGAATTAAAGAAGCAGTTCCTTTAAAATCGTCTCTATCATATGTTAAGTATGAATGCAAATATCTAGATCTCAAATCTCATAGACGTGTATCTCAAAACTAAGTTTATCGCATGCTCCTAAATCCTATCTACGCATGTGCTAACATCAACATAACGAGGCTAACGTAAAGGAGGCTGTTACATGACAGTATCCTGTAGTGAAGCCCATAGCAAGAGAAGCAACTTCTCTCCTGAAAATATGCATGCCCTTACATAAAACTGCAGGGCTGGACAAAACGTAATGTAATCAGTGATGGCATCTAAAGCTTTTTGCCTTTAGTGTAGCTGATAAAGAGTGTGCTAACAGTGAGATAAATAAAAACCTTGGCAAACGGGTGGCTTTTGGCAGCATCGTAGACACTGTTGAAAGGGGCCTCCAGAACTAAACCATCTGGCGGTGAGTCTAAAGAAAGAAATATTTTAAACATGCGCCAACCAAAGGCTTTAATGATCTTTAGCCAAAGCCTCAAAACAAATATAGGTCAAAATATTTCACAGTTCAGTGGACACATAGGGTTGATGGAGGGTGCCAGAATCCCATCTGAACAACGCTCTTAACTTCTGCAACAGCTGTTTTTGTAACATAACTTGCAATAATATAAGTACGAATGTCAGAAGAAAAATGTAATAGAAAGCAAATAGCAAGTGACGAAGAAACTATACAAAATAACGACTGGAGCATAATATATCTAAAAACGATTCACAACAAATTAGTCTAGTTGAATTACCTAGGAATATATAACTTTGAAGGTTGATTTGGTTATTACTTAATCCCAAAGCTAATTGTGACGACATGCATATCGAATTTAAAAGGAAGCTCCAATCCCTCTGATGATTCAGACAACTAAAATTAGCAGCTTAATAGCAAGCTGTCGAGTGTAAAATCATACCTTGCTCACAAAGAAACTTGGAAAGTTGAATTGCAACTCTGCAATTAAAAAAAAACCAAAAACATTTAGGAAAGTTGCACTTTTTGAAAAAATTAATATCAGTATCTTAATATATTTCTTCGAAATTTCGTCACAAACTATTTCATCGGGTCGAAAGCTCGTAGCCGGGTTCCAATCTGTGTTCCCAGAAGGAGAAATTTTCAACCAAACCCCAATCCAGCACCCCAATGTTTTTCTCTAGAAATCACAAGTTCCTTACCTGGGTCCCAATTTGGTCCCTAGAAGTGAAAAGTTCCCCATCTGGGTCCCAATGTGTGTCGCTAGAAGTCAAACGTCCCTCACCTGGGTCCCAATGTGTCGCTAGAAGTCAAAAGTTCCTTACCTGGGTTCCAATGTGTCGCTAGAAGTCAAAAGTTCCTCGCCTGGGTCCCAATGTATGTCGCTAGAAGTCAAAAGTTCCTCACCTGGGTCCCAATGTGTGTCGCTAGAAGTCAAACGTCCCTTACCTGGGTCCAAATTTGGTCTCTAGAAGTCAAACGTCCCTCACCTGGGTTCCAATGTGTCGCTAGAAGTCAAAAGTTCCTCGCCTGGGTCCCAATATGTCCCCAGAAGTCAATAGTACTCACCCAGACCCTAATGAGTGTCCCCATATAAGAGCAGGAAGCTTCAAGTCCGAAGCCTTGTCTTTCAACCAATTCCAAGCAACTTTGCTGTCGTTAACAACACCTATACAAACAAACAATAAAAACAAAAGATGGAAATATCCCATTTAAAGGAAGATATCCAACATTTATTTATTAAAAAACATGAAGAGAAAATTTTTTGAAGATTACAACTGTTTTTAACTTTTCACAAGTATAGATTTACGTGTGTGCGCCGAGATGAAATATTTCGCGGATAAGTATATTAGGCCATGTAAAGGTTTTCATTAGGAGTTGATGGTAGTCGTGGTTGCTTCTCCATTAATACAATGTTTGATAGTGTTTGATATTGATGTCGCGTCTGCTTTGGGGTGTTGTGTTGTGTCGCAATTGAAGTTAAAGAATTACTATTGTTGACTTCATTTAGGGTCTCACAATTTCTATAAATGATATGGAGAGATGTCAAGAGTACAGCGAGCTTGGAAAAAGGATATTCCACTCTCCTACAACGCATCGCAGCGTCTGTTGCTCTCTAGCCGGTGTGCAGACTCTAACCTCCTTCGCGTGTTGCTTTCTTGTTTCCTTCTGGTATCACCCTCTTGATATTCTATTCTTCTGAAAAACCTAAGCAACACTACCTTTGTATCATCGAGCACTGTTCAATAGATGCATCAAAAAAGAATTACAAACCTTTCTCTGTTGGATGGCCATCCGAATCGCCAAAACCTAAAAAGTGGCATCAAGGAAAGAAATTAATACTAAAATACAAACATAATGAAACAAAATCAGCAAAATAACAGTCGCATGATATAGATCATAAGTCTGATGTCATGAAATAAAATATTTGTGGAAATTTTGACTTTTGACCAAATAACTCGAAAGAACGTCATTAAATACTACTATAAATGCAAAATAAGTCAGAAATTGATGGAGATATAGCAAATTCAAAGACTGCAAACTTCTAACTGATTATGGCTTTGTAAAAAGCAAGCATTTTATAACATATTGGCTAAAAGATTTTTCGTCTGACACTCCTCACAGCATTAAACGTCAGAATAAGACGTCATACTTTGCACAATTGGAGGCATTGCAAAATGGTCTTTCAAATCATATGGTCCAAACTCAAAGGTTCTTAAAATATATCTTATGACTAAGAACTCTGTTGCTTTAAAGTCATTAAGGAAGTTGCAAAAAGAACAACAATAGGAATATATTTGATACAAACCTCTGTAGTCAATCACAAGTATTTGATATCCAAGCTCCGACAACCTCTGAAAAAAGATTTTATAGGTCAGCCACATCAAGCCGAATAAAGAAACACAAGGCACCTCGGAAAGAGTGCATGAAAAGACGTTTAGTAAGAGGATCCTGTCTACAACCGTTACATATCGGTCACAAGATTAGCTCTGAAACTAGCATTACACCTTGCAACTTCAAAATATCTTGCACAGTTGTAAATAGGCGCAAATTTAAATTGTATATTGGAAAACACCATTTGGCGTTTCATTGCGGATGTTTGTTTGAAAAAATTAAATTCATACTAAAATAGGGCTTATTTTAAATTGTAAATATTTAATTGTAATGAGGGTAATTTGTTTTTTAAAAGAGTTTCTGTAAATATTATAAGTGGAGGGGTCCTTGAAAATCAGCATTGCTGAACGGCTACCCTCCTTAAAAATTTGAAATTAAATTAAATGAAATCTGACATTTCTCTTCGTAACATTTCGTAAGCCCCTTTTCATTGGATACATTGAATAAGCCAACTTGGGTCTGTCATTATTAAAAAAATTCAAGTCTTTCAAAAGGCGAGGATTCTATTAAGTCTTGAAACATCACTAAAATACTCTTGAATATAATGTAAAACAAAACCAAACTTGGATCGCAATATTACCTTGTATAGTCCAACTCTGTGGGATGTTGCTCTGAAAAAAGACAAAATTCAAGATTTAAGGAAATGCAACTAACAGCGAGTGAAAGAAATTACCAAAAAATTATTACGTATGAGATTTTTAGGACGAGATTTGGTTGCTGTGCCTATTAAGTCAGACCACTGAACTTTACCACCAAACTATGATTTTCGTTTCATGAAATCTATCAAATTATTATCTAATTTTTCTAAAAACATATAAAATTATAACATATTGGGTGCTGTCAGGACCACTAAAAGCCGGTAAGTTATCTAATTTATTTCGTTTTAGTGTGTGAAATCGCGTTTTTAAAAGAAATATCAGGCTTTTCTAACAGCGCGAAATGATGTCTGGTCCACCGATCCGGATGTATTTGAGTTCCAATGAACGAATCATGGTTGAATTAGCTATAAAGGTAATACACTGAGCATTTGCTGCACAGTTGATACGGCAGATAGAGGATAACTAACTGAAGCCGCTTTAGATTCAGTTAGATTTGAAATTAGCACTGCTCAATGTGAAGAAATTATTGAAGATGATGAACAGTTTGTATGAATTATTTTAATGCTGAATCAAGATTCATGCTTTAGGCGAGGAAAAGATTGGATCAGATGACCGCATAAACTTAAGGAAAGATACCTGTTGTGTATGAGGTTTTCTTCAAGTTCTTAAGGAAGAACTTTTAGTAAACCTTGGTTTATCTTAGCCTGAGATCAGGCTCTCGGGGCGGAGGAGGCGGGGGCGGCGGGGGCGGCGGAGGAGGCGGGGGGCGGGGGGCGGAGGAGGCGGGCGGCGGAGGAGGCGGGGCGGGCGGAGGAGCGGGGCGAGTGAGGGCGGGGCAGGAGGGGGCGGCGGCGGGGCGGCGGGGGCGGCGGAGGAGGCGGGGCGGCGGAGGAGGAGGAGTATCTATGACATGAGTAAAAGGAAGATGCTGCGATGTCAATGGCATGACTTTGGTTATCCAAGCTCAAAATTTTTCTCGGCTCAAAAGGCATCGATAGAGCTTTCTGACACAGAAATTCGTGAACGTTGATAAAAAAGAGAAGACCCTGTAAATTAAATTTATTTTAAAATTCTATTTTATTACATTGGATTCTCGCCGTCGTGTTGCTTTGTTTCTGATTATTTTTCCCATCGACTGGTTTTCCCAGAGATGAATTGAGTCTGCTCGCAGGCCAACACTGAGTTAATTTCTTCTTGCACATTAAATTGACCTGTTATCAGGAGCGCCTACACTTTGACCGAGATTACGATTTCCTGCCCGTAATGTACTTTGGGGTTTTTATGTGATATCTTTCAGTAGATTTCAAAAAAAGTTATAATCCATTTTAACTAAGGTGTTTTAAATTGGAGAAGCATTGGAAAGATTCCTCTCAAGGCTACAGCAGCTGAACGATGATAAGCCTCGGGGGTAGCTGGGAGGAACATTCAATTTAGAATGTTGCATAACAGAGACTATAGTCTTTCTCAACTTTTTTGCCATAATGAGTTAGAAAATGTTTTGAAAGTTTACGCTAACGAACGCATTAGTAGCAGTTCTGCTGGGAACACGTTTTTGTTCTTTTTGATGATGCTTTATCTTGTGTGATCAAAGATAAATTTGTATTTTATCTAACTCGGTTTTGTATTTTTATGTTAATTGAAATCTTCTCTAAATCGTTATGTTTATGAATAATGACAGATAGAAGCAAATACTTTCTGAAAGGAGTGGTTTCCTGTGTTTCAAAGGGCGTGGCCGTTAAAAAATTTGGGGGCAAGCCTGCTAGTCCCGTTTCAGCCACTCCCTTGTGGGCTAGTGCCAGTGTGACCTGATCTAGCGTAATATTATGATGATATTGGCCAAAAATCGTCATTTAGCATAAAATGTAGCATAATTTGGAATCTAGCATAACTCTGGCATAATTCTGATATTATTTAAAAGAAACATTGTTTCCATTGATCCATTGTCTATCGTTACCAAATGTAAACACTTTACACCAGCATCTGTGGTTTCATTTTGGGAGTTTCAGGTTATCGCCAGTTGTTTTGATTGGTTGGCAGCCACATATTTTGGTTACAAAAGTTTTCGCTTGCTTTGATCTAAAACTGTCTGTTATCTTTTGCTTTATTTCATCATTCATCATTTGCAATTTTGAAATTATTTTAAAAATTTTTGAATATTATCTGTGTGAAAATTTTTGTTTCCTTTGCATTTTCGTTGTTTTTTGCAACAATCAATTTATGACGGCCAAGGGGTTTTGAGAAACTGCCAAAATGGAGAAATTTGGCCATTAAACCATGGATCTAAATTGCCTTTTTGTTTATGAAGAATGAGTACACTGGGTTGTCAAAAAGGCCAAATTGCAACTCTGGCCACTTTTGATATTCTGAGCATGCATTAGCCTCTTTCTCGAGCAGGGTTGCCTTGATTTGAAATCTAGCATAATTTTTGCAAATCTAGCACAATCTTATGACAAATTTGTCGTAATTCCAAAATTGAGATCTGGTGCGTGGTTTTTGCATTACAAACAAGATGGGGGTAAAGGTCATGCTTTCAAGCTGGGCGAAAAGAGAATAAGAAGAAACAGGCACAATTTGTAAGCACAATTTGTACATCAGTGAGAGAAGAGTTTATTTGCCATCTGTAACTAGGTTTTCGTTTATAGTATCAAAACTTTTTGAAGAACAGATTTGAGGGCAAAGAAATTGATGGGCTGAATGCAGTTAAGAACTTTCCATCGCAGCAATCCCTAATTCTGTCCATGCAGAGAGGCTGATTCCCACCTACAACAAGATAGAAGCAGGTGGGAAGAGCAGCATAGCTCCAGAAAACTTATCAAATAGATAAATATTGCAATTAATATGCTTGATCTCTCAAGTTTCGAGTTCCGGGAAAAGCTGCAAAGATATGGTTCCAAAAAACCAAAAATAGCAAAGTCTGGGAAGCAAGGCTGATTTAAGGGAGTTTTTTAAGGTGAGAGGGAAAAAATAACTTTGACAGAGATCCGAACAAACCATGTAAAAGAGTTTCTTTTCGATAACTTTTTGCTCACATATTAAGACATCGCTATATGTAGCTAATCTTCTTATTAACACAATCCATACAATGTAAAGAATCAGCTTTTGCTACTTATAGTTCATTCATTTAAGAATTTGCCTTATTAGGACAGACAGGCTATTTGCACTATGATGGCAGTTTCTATATTTGCCACCCCCATGATGCCAATCCCAGCAAAGTACCACGCCCAATTTTTATAAAAAATGTGGATCTGTAAGAATTTCTTGTTTTAGACCCTGGGTTGTTTATTTATGAAACTTACAAGGCCCACTCAGACAAGGGGAGGTATTATATATAACTTATTGATGTGCATGGCAACCTTATTGCAGTGCATAGCAAACTGAGGGTACCCGTCATTATTCGTTTGGTTTTTTTTATTGGTAACGATTGTTGTTGTAATCGAAATCTATCTAAATTGATCGATATAAACAACTGGTTATTGTTTGGTTATTACACTGGAGTCGCAGCACTGCCAGACATAAAGGTGTAGCGGAGCGTAAATTTGCGCAATGCTGGGCTCCCGCGCGGTATCACTAGAATCACTTGTTTTGAATCAGTATTTTTTCTGAAAATGACTGTTCTTGGAACACAGCCTTATTCATGTCGGGTCTAGAGAATAACTTCTACTGAAAAAAAACCTTCACTACTTTTTGTTTTAAGACAAACATTTCCAACATTTATATGAAAAAACTTTTTTAAGCATGATTTCAGACACTGTTTTCCCGGAAATCGTCAACGAAGATTTTCTGACACGTCGCGCCGTTCATTGGTTTATCGAAACAAAGAGCACAGGTGAGTTTTCATTTCGTAACAAAGGATATCTTTCCTTTGCTATTGGTCTACTGTACTTGTCTGTCACGCTTCTCTAAATTCGAGGACTCACATGATTCTCTAATTCAACAAACAATTGACAATGAACTTATCTGCCCCTTCTGAGTGTCTTCCTCTGTCTTAAAGCATACGACATAAGGCAAGCAGCAACAGTCATGTCGAATATTGCAGTAAAACCTTTTTCAGAACATGAAACCAATCGACTTAAGCAAGCATATAGAGAATCGTTCGATAAGCATGGGCTCCGTTACCTACGAACGCAACCAGGTAATTGCGTACTACCAACTGCCTATGAGAGATTCAAGGCTCACTTTGCGACATTCAATCTTCGGAAAGACGATGTGTATATCAGGACATTTCCCAAAAACGGTACAACGTGGACTGCAGAGCTTGTCTGGAACGTAATGAATAACGTAGACCTCGATAAAGCAAAAGCCATCAGTCTGCTGAAACGAGTACCCTTCATTGAGTCGCCAGTCCTTCAAGATGCAGTAAATGACGCCCTTCCACCCTCAGACATCCACGAAATTAAATTGATGGAAACGATGCAATCGCCAAGAATCCTCAAAACTCACCTACCCCTCTACCTTCTGCCAACTGGTTTGCTTAACGAATGCAAAGTCGTGTCCTGCTTACGAAACCCCAAGGACAGCATCGTTTCTTTCTACCACCATGAAAAATTGTTCGTATCTCATGGTTACACTGGCGACTTTGCAACCTACTTTGATCTCTTTATGGATGAGATGATACTGTACAGTCCTTACTTTAATTATATTGTTGATATGTGGGAGAAACGACATCACCCAAATATGTGCATACTGTTCTTCGAAGATATGAAAGAAGATCTGGCTGGAACAATCAATAAAGTATCGACATTTCTTGAAAGAAACCTCACGAATAAGCAGAGCTTACAACTGGAGGATCATTTGAGCTTCAGAAAGATGAAAAACAACAATGCAGTAAATTTCTCGCAGCACCGAGAAATAGTTTCTACAAAAACAAACGCAGAAGAAAAGTGCTTTATGCGCAAAGGACAAGTTGGAGATTGGAAAAATTACTTCACTCCTGAGATGAATAAACGGATGGATGAAGCTATTGAAAAGCATTTCACGCCAATCGGACTTCACTTTCGGTACGAATGAAATAAACTTTTGCTCAACAAGAACAATAGTGTTACTCTTAGGTGCCAAATAGATGAGGGGTTGGAAAAAGCGGGGGGGGGGGGGTCGGCTGGAAACATTAGACAAATCTAATAAGGGGGGGTTGGAATAAGTTGGACATTTTAGAAAATTTCACAAGTGGGTGAGGGGGGCAGTGGGGCTTGAAAATCCGGGGGATGGAATGAACGGTTCGAAATCTAAATTAATACTGCTAAAAGAAATAATTAAAACAATAATCAACAAAAGGAAAAACATTAATCGAAATTGCAGTAGTTTTTCCCTACTGGCACTACGGTTGGCTCCAAAATTACTCTCTTCCTCACAAACTTCAAATTTTGTTCCGTTCAACAGATTTAAGTTTTCTATTTTCAATAGATTCCGTTTAATATCTGCTACTACCACCAAGATCTGCACTAAAGGCCGTTTTCCCAAGGCTTGCGTCAAAGGCTGCGTCACGACCTCCTGTGAGAAGCAGGTTTGCCAGATTGGCCTTTTTTAGGCCAAATTTTCCAATTTTGGCCTTTTTCACAGTTAAATTGCTTGGATTCGTATTTGTTCAGATGGCATTTTTTGAAGAGAGCAAAGCTTGTTGCGTCATTATCCTTTTGAATCTTACTGCACAAATTGCTATAGAGATCATTTATAGCATTTGCAAATAGTCGTGAAGTGAAATCAAAGCAATGGCAATGCTCTTATCAACGTTACTGCCTCGGAAGTTCTAATTTGCCTGGGCAGTCCCTGTGCTTAGAAGATTTGAATTTTGCATTACTCAAAACTGGTTTCGTTTGTTTTCCTGATTACATCTATTAAAATGAATTAAATACAATGAAAGGAAAAAACTTAATAAAAACAGATCACAGTGCCGGAATGGGAACAATACCGGGGGCGGTTTATACCGGTGACGGCTTTTACCGGGGACAGTTTTTACCGGGGCCGGTTTATACCAGTGACGGCTTTTACCGGGAACGGTTTTTACCGGGGCCGGTTTATACCAGTGACGGCTTTTACCGGGGACAGTTTTTACCTGGGACGGTTTTTACTGGATTTAATAGGCAGGGGTGTCTAAGATCTTTACGAAGCATTACTGTAAATCAAATAAAAAGAAATAAAATCATTGTAAATCGGACAAGACATACCAATAAAAAGACCGTGAAATCAAAACTAAATATACATGTTCGTCAGAGTGCTACAAGTATTAGTTGACAGCTCACCTGGTTCCGCCATTTCCGTGAAGATATAAGATCATCCCTTTTATATTATCATGCTTTGGTGAAACAAACCTCGAAAATATAAAATTTAAGAAAGTAAATTACGTAACAATGAGTGAGTCAAAAAATGCTTGGCAATGAGAGTAGATTTTCAAAAATGCTTTAGAAACAGGGTAATAGTTGTATTGTTAGGTTACACACGTTTTAATGATAATATCTCAATTTTGCTGAGTCTCAATATTCGAGAACAATTTCCAATCGGGCCTAAAATTATTCTAAAATCAACTTAATGAAGAAAGTTTCGAGATTTGCTAAAGTCGTTTTGTACTGCAACATTGCAGAAAATAAAACACAAAATCACAATACAGACTCGATGAGTGTTCCACAATCTTTGTGCAGAAAAGTCACCCTTGTTTGTTTGCTCAAATAACACCACATACAAAAGGTCACATTGTCGCTGAAATTCAAGCCTGGCTATTATTTTTGATTAATTCATGAACTTAGGAGTTTGGAGCCACATTATATCTCCTAATAAATAACAGCGTATTCAATGTTTGGTAGGATGTTGCTTTGAAAACAAGCTAAAGAATGTGGGGTTTAAGGCAGATGTAGGCAACCTACGGCCCGCAGGTCAGAATCCAGCCAGCACATTTTCATTTTGGAACATCATCCCCTTACAGCAAGAATTCTTGCAAGTAAACAAAATTTCATGTGAAAAATTCCAAGCAAGCATTATGCATCAAATGATATTGCACCTTAATTCTGTCAAAGAATTAAAATTTATACATTTTCTGGCACATGTTTTATGACACCTTTTCTTTAGCCTTTCTGTGATTGAGGTTTTTTTCACCTGTAATTACTGAAGATGACTCTAGCTAGACTTGAAACGTTTATTATAATTGACTTGTCTATTTAACAAATTTGTAACAAGGATTTGCCGAATGTAATGGATTTGTCTATTTATCAGATTTGTTAAATTTAATCGGATTTTTTATTGTCACAAAGTAACAAGGAGTTGTCGAATGGATTCACATTATGTCTTTTTTGTTGTGGTACTTATTATAAATTTTATGATGTTATGCTGTTGAGAGTTTTTAGACAAATATACCATACTTTCAGCATTTCATCTTCTACATCACTGCCCATGCTCAGGAACATAAAACTTTCCAATTTTAAGTCAAGAAAGTGTTAAGAAAGTTTTAGTGCTGAAATTATGAAATAGCTAAGAAAGGCTGAAGGGTTGGCTAAAATAAAGTTTCTTGCAAAAAATTTTCTGTATAGACATAGAAGTGTACTCAATTACTAGATAGCCCCTCATACTGGAACAAACTGGTGCAAGTTGGCCTCTACCTTTGGGTGAAGTACCATTTATTTTATTAATGAAGTAATTTAAACAAAACATCCAATGAGTCACTTACCATGCCCCGAGTCTACCAGCCTCACCATCAAAATAAAAGTTTTTGGCATTTTCCAATCCATAATTTTCTGGTCTTGAAAAATTGGCAAATAATGGTACATTTACTGCAAAAATTAAAACAGGATCAATTCTACTATCAATTTTCTAAAAATTATAAACTTTTAACTTCATTTTCAAATTCATCTCTGGCCCCTTGATAGATTTATATTATCTCTGAAATTCATCAGAAAGTAAAACATATAGATTGTCAATACAGCATTCAATTTACAATTAAAAAAAGAACATGGGTGATGAGCTCTGCTTGCCTGTGAAAATCACAATTTTTAATGAAAATTCTCTTATTATTTAAATTTGTATAACTGCATATCTGTTGCTTGAATGCAAATTAAACAGAACTCGATACACTTGAAGACGCTCAAGTGTTTTGAAGGAAATAATATTCAATCTTCTTAAACTAAGAAAAAGGAAAATTTCAAAGCTACACCTTACTAGAGGAAGGCTGAAAATACATACTTATGTGTAGAAACAAAACAGTATTCCTGAAATCTTTGGAAACACACATCAGTGAGCCAAAAAAGACATAAAGAGAAAACACTGTAATGACACTGTACTTCAATGATGACACCAAGATTTGTCTACAAAGAAATGATTGGATTTAGAAACATACTGAAAAATAGTTAAAGATAGGACATATTTAAGTGCTGGTACATTTCAAAGGTCAAGAATGCAAGGTTATGATTGCTGTAGAATAAGAAATTACAGCGAATCTCCACGGGGTCCTTGTTTATACTCAAATTTATAGTACACTTCCCCCTTCAAACCCTTGAAATTTCCATTAGCATTTTGGCATTTTCCTCGTCTTATTGTCTTCAAATATCTAAAAGCACTCATTTGTTTGAAAATCTTTTTTTGCAAGCATAACTCTTTTTAAATCCAGACACATGCATCATTCTACCTAGTGGTTTGTGGTACTGATTAGTGGTTTTTCTACATATAATTCAGAAACTTGTTTTTAAAATGGTTTATTGCTACAGATAAAAGCATCTTTCCTTGCATCCTTTATCTAATCCCTAATATTTTGAGTGGGTTGCTCTTTCTGTCACCATTCTGGAAGAGTGTCAGATAAAAAGTCCTTCAAAATAGTTTTTGTAAATGCTACAAATACAGCACTTTGAAGTCGTTAATGGATGTAAAAACTGAATTGAAACCTCAAGCTTGATTCACTTTTTGTCACATCCTCATCTGTTAAGGCTTCGGCCATTTTCAGGATGATCAGAGTCAGGCTATCGAGACACACCTCCAAAAGCTGCAATTCGTTTAGGCCTAAAGAACGATAACGAGGCTAAGAGGCTAAGTCAATGGCCTCAGCCGTTACAGTACCGGTGCGTAGAGGACTCTCTAAAAATAAAAAAATAAAATCCTTTGCTTTCTATGAACACTCCTATTTGCTCGTATTGTTCTCAAACAATAATGCCCTCCAAACTTGAAAATTATATCCTTTCTTACGCTACTCTTAGTTACAGCAGGTTATAGACGAAGATTTTGCTAATGATCGCACGTCCTTACCTCACGTTTGCAGGAAGTTTCTAAGTTTAATGCGATCATCAGGCAACAGTTGCCGGATAGTCGCATGGAGCGTGAAAGGCGGAGTGGCGGAGTGGTGGAGTGGCGGAGTGGCGGAGTGGCGGAGTGGCGGAGTTGCAACTTAGAACCGTCCTGTTCTTTACAGCTCTGCCTATAGGGCATCTTGCACTTGATCACAGATCGGTAAAGCAATAATTTTCATTGGCATACAATATAATTACGGTAATTTATACAAGAAATGAAAGAATCAAGTTGAAAGGTTATTGGGTTAATCTAGTATTTTGCATCTCTTAACAAAAAAAAAATACTGAAGTCTAAAATTAGCCTTAGGATTTGGATATCAGTCTTGTTTCTTGTACCATACTTGCTTATCGTAGATCTTTCAGCAAATTTATCGTGCAGACTCTCAGGACATATCTTGTTAATTATTTTAAACATCTGAACCGACCAGTCAAATTGAAACATCTGATCGATGCTAAATGTTGGTCGAATCAAAGAGTCCTTTATTTTAGATGCTTCAATAATGTCAATTATTGTCTTTGGAGATTAGTTTAACAGATCAGAATTACATTTCTGACTAATTTCTTTGCGATGTGCTGCTTCCAAATACTAATTATCGAATTCTTCTTCCGTTTTCGGTCAATATACATTGATGTTCGTGAAAACTTTGCATTCTGGGATCAGTTCTGAAAGAAAACTGCTAAATGACCTTGACAAATTACAGTTTCTTCAGCGCTCGTTGCGTTGTTTCATGTCAAGCCAAATTATTTTGTAACAATCATTTACAGCTCTCAAAGAAGGTGGTAAGTAAAGAGAAAGGGAACTATGCCCTCTGCTTTTGGGATGTCCTTCGCAAAAACTTGCTGAATCTTCCTTTTTTGCACACTAGAGATTTAAGTGTTTCCTAATGGAAGACTTTCGGTAATATTTCACAAGACTGCCTTTTGTGCCTTTTACAATTGTTTTACAATCTCTGGCTTGCTGTCTGTATTTCAAAAATTAGAAAGCTTCTGGTTTGAAATCAAGCCACCCTTGCTCTCACACGGGGCACCAATGCAAAGCCACTTTAAAGGGAATTTCAAAATTGCTTAGAAAGTTTATCGATAATTGTTTTCTCAACTTCTTGAGGATAGAGCCGAACCTTTTTTGGACCAATAGTAATTAACTAAGCCACCCTCAATGTAGTGTGGAAAATTAAAATCTTAAGATGGAACATCTGTAGATTATAACACGTAGATTACCAATGCCAGCCCCTGGCAACGCTAACAATATCTTAAGCCAAAAACCCACTCTGAAAAACGATACGCGGATCGGATCAGATCGTCTTGTTCTGATCAGTTCCTTTCGAACCGCAGATCATTTCAGATTGGAATGCACGTTGACATTTATCTCCACGGGAACCTTGCCTCATGACGCAAGTGATCTATTGTTTAAAAAGTTCTAATTCAATTTTGATCAAAAGAAAACTATTGTACCGGAACCGTTAAAAAAAGTTGAAATCCGTTTCGATCCGTCACGGATCAATTATGTGACCATTTTTGCACCCAAAGCGCTTGCGCAACACAAAAACTGATCCGATCCGCGGATCATTCTCCAGAGTGGGTTTTCGGCTTTAGGTAGTTTCGTGAAACACAGTTTCGTGTAAATAAACTACTCTTGCATTGGGTTATGCGAATGGTTGTGATGATGTTTATGAACAGGCTCACAATGTCAGAGCTTCATATCTTGAATACTAAAGCTTAGGTTCGTCTCAGTTTGGGAGAGAAATAAACCAGTTGGATTACAGCAATGATTGGTAGCAAATACAGCAAAAAAATATTGAAATGTCATAATTTACTGGAAAACAATAGCAAAATGTTCTAGGCAATGTAAAAAACTGCTGGAGATTAAGCGAGCAGATGGAAAATTTGCCAAAAATTATGCATGCGGTAGAAGAGCTGCACTATTTCTTTTCACCTGCTTATTTAAGAAGAATCAAAAGCTTTCCTTGGAAGTTTTTTAACTGCAATGGCTAGATCAAACGACATGCTGCCATGCAGGAAGGTTAATTAATATAAGGAGAGTAATTTGAGATCAATCGTCAACATATCTCGAGATTCATTGACTCTATTGTTAATAAAATAAAAGAGTTTTACCAATTTAGAAAAAGATCTAATGCAGCTGTGTGCAATACCTTTATGAAAGCACGAACCTCAGCTGGATGTAAAGAGAAAGACATGGTTTAAAATTAGATGGTTCATTCTTATATTTCAAGATTACAGTTTGTGCGAAGCTGGAGCCTTAGTTTTCGGAGAACAAAGCAAAATACAGAACATGACTCACTCACATCGGATAATGTGAATGTGTGAGTTAAGGCTGGTGGCAATTTAACGTGCTTTTGGTAATACCATCAAAGATAAAAAAAGGTTTTATTGACTTGATGAGGTAGTCATTAAGTGAGAGATCAAGGCAAACACTTCAAATCCGAAGCAATGGAACAGGTAAATGATCGAAATGACAAGAGTCGGTTTAGAAGGTCTACAAGATCTCAGTGGAGTTCAATTAAGGCAAAAATGCCTTGGAAAGGGTACAGAAGGGGACAAAAACAGCAGCGCGAGGAAGAAGGTGGGAAAAGCAACAATGGGGAGGAATCAGGATTGGAGAATCAGGTGGAATCAGGGTTGGAGAATCCTAAGGCAAGGCAGCTCAAGGCAACGCAAGAAGAAATGCAAGCACAAGATTTAGCGCAAGGATGTGTGAGTAATCTGGAAACTTCAGAAGAGTTAGATGGTAATGCTGGAAAGGAAAATGAGATTACTGGAAATTTAGGAGATGCATCACGAAATTCGGAAGATGACTCTGGCAATGCAGCGGTAGCAGTTGACGTCAGAGGAATCAGTGACGAGAAAGAGACAATTCCAGATACTGAAATGCACGAGAAAGAAGAACAATCACTTATTGATAAGTTTGAGGAAGACAGAGACGATACCACAGAAACCAAAATACAGTTTGCGAGCATTGCCAGTACTATAGCGGTTGCCAAGAAATACCAGGTTATTGCTGATAAGGCACGGGAAAACGTAGCACGACTAAGTGACGCAGTTGACCCGGCTAACAACATTATCCAGCCACAAGGATCTACTGATAAACGCCGCAAAGAATCTTCATCTAGAAGGGGGTCAGTCGCAAGAAAGGACAAAAAAGATGCTTCAGAGGTAAAAGGGAAGGTTAATAAGAAAAAACAGTGGAATACTGTATCAGCAGTTTACAATGTCGGGTTTAAAACTATCAAAGATCAAGATTTAGATGGGACAGCCCAATCAGCATATTACGAGCAATGGGAAAAAAAGAGGCAAGCTGATATGATATTTTGGAAACTTGACATGGAAGACATTATGGTCAGACTGAGACGAATCAATAGACAACTTGATGCGCATCTTACAAGATTGTCAGAGAATGAAAAATCCAAATAACTACCTCTCATTGAATGCCTGGAAAATATATTACGAAATATCACGGCAAATAGATGTCCATGAATTCAAGAAGTTTAAGATCGTCCTACTTTTTATTAAGTACTTTTGATCAAAATCTATTTTGTTTGACAAATAGTAATATTCTAATTTCAAAACAATCGCACGTGGAACAATATATCACGACCACGTTATCATCGAACTACACCTTTCAGGCAAAAGCTTAACTTAGGAGCCTTGGAATCTACGATTTATATATGCAATTTTCAAGTAAGTTGGTATTTAAGTGGTTTGTATTTGCAGGGATCTACTGACCTCCAAGCATAATCGATAACATCGAATCTGGCTATGATTTCTAACTGCTTGAAACTACGATCGCCTGTATATTTTGAAACACAAAAGCAACACCACCCTAAATGAGTAATCATCTTTAGTCTTACGAACATATCATAGTCACCTATACCTACTGCAAACTGTTTCCTTATCTACGCTTTACAACATAACAGAAAATCCGAATAGCTTGAGCTTTTGATGTTAACATATTTTTTCAGAATTTGGAGATATTTCACCGGGGTGTTTTACATAAATCTTTCTCCTACTTTTCTTCAAATTGACTATTGACAACCCTTTCCCAAAACTTTCCACGAAGATATTGAAGGATACGCATCCGTGACCTAATCGCTATTCGATGTTTTTTTGCAATAATTGTCGTAGCAAAATATCAGCAACTATAATCATCTATCATCCACTGGACAAATAAGCCTAGCAAAGCTTCATGCAAAGCTTCCACTGTTTCTCCCTATCTACACCCTCCCCTCCCTGCCCCCCTTCCTCTTGCAAGGTCAATGTCGCCAATAAGTTTCTAACAATAATATCGTAAACCGCCTTTTTCATCGACATTAAGACTGGCAAAGAACAGCACAGGAAAACAATACACAGTAAATTGTTAGTTTTAAATAAAGAACGAAAAGTAGCCAGCATACAAAACGACAGTTGAAAAATGTTACTTTTTCCATTAACAGAATCGGTGGTTTGTTGCAATAAACTCACACTACATATCTTGCCATGAACATAGCTGGTAAACATAAACCTGTCAATCAATGAATAGTCCTTTAACGCATTGCTGTTTGGACAGCATCAAAAAGACGCGATCTTACCAAGTTCTAATAGGCAGAACAAACATTTATGTATGACAAACGTTTCCATTGGACCTTCACCTTGCACAATCGCGTTAAGACCGTTGTACGCCAATATTCATTCCTTTAAATAAACCTTTACGTGGATGACATAACGCTTTGATTGACACATTTAATAGTAAAGAGAAGTAACGAACGCGATCAAAACAAGACTGCGTAAAATGCTGTTGAAGTGCAACTGACTCAGATTTGTTCTTTCACCCTAAATGTAGATAAGTGAATTCAGACCCGAGCAATGAACAACATTTCAGGACCAGAATAATCCTCTCTGAGCCAATTGCAAAGGACAAAGCGAAAAGCGAAATCTTGGTTTGAGCAGCCTTGAAAATAATTCATTGCTTGTTTTTGTATATGTTAATTTGGGACAAAAGTAACTTTTGAACGTGCAGACTTCACGCTTGCAATATTCAATGTCACGGTGGAGGTATCTTCAACTTTAACAAGATAGGAATGACATCATAAGGAACATAGTTGGTGCATGTGTCATCAGGATTTCGGCCCTTTCAATGAAAACCTCACAGACTGTTGGTTTAACGTCAGTCATCGTGCTTTCTGTATTTCCGTTTCTGGCAATGGTCTCTGCGTCTGAAACATTCATTTTCTTCATGACTTGACGAATCACGCACGTTACCTGATATCTCATTACTGCCTTCAATATGCCCAGCCGTGACATCAGCTGAAAAGCTGCCTAAAAGAACTTCTGACGATAAAGGTCTTTTCGCTCTAGACTGACTAGAATGGTTTGCGCCATCAAGTATTTCGTCATCAAGTATTACGTCATCAAGTTTCACGTCATCACGTTTTACTTCATCAGTAGCAGTTGATTTTGTACAACTTTGAGAAGCATTTTCTGATTTACAGGTTGACGAAGATGGAAGTTGCTGTGATGAATATTTATCATTTCTGACAGAAATACTAGTCAGGTTATTGGAAGTAGGACTATCTGACAGTCTGTTATTGTTATTGCTTTCTTCACTGCCAAAGAAACGGGTTTTTGATTGTTCTCGTGGTTCTATTTTGCTGTACAATGCAATGTCTTTACTATCGTCACGTGTATTTGCTATTTCTCGACAATGATCGCAATATTTACAATGGTCTGTTCTCCGTTCATATCTATTGACGCACACATTGTTTCTGTCACTATAATTAACATCTTCATATGAATCCAAGCCGTTCAAACCAGAGTTATTACAAATTTCTCTGTCTCCTTTATAATTTAAAGTTGTAAAACTGTTTTGTGCCATCGAAGAACTAGGATGTGATGTATTTGATACAGCGGAAGCAAAACTTCCATCACCAGAATGACCAACATTTTTTTGCTTTTCATCCAGCCTTCTTCTGTTCTTACAATGACAAATAGTGGTAAGTGTGTCAGTATTTCTTTCCGATATCTCTCGAATAGGGTGAGAGCTATTCCCAGCACCTGGACCTTCAGCACGGACATTACTTTCACTATTATCAATATTTCTTCTCGCCCTTGGACTTCTATCACACGACGGCCTACCAGACTCCGGCTGCAATGCTGCATTGCCTTGAAACAGGCTGCGGATATTCTCTTCGCTGTCCGGTTGTATTTGACCCTCAATAGCTGGCTCTGAGCCAGAACTACTGTCTGAGTCAATCTCTTCAGTCAACGAAGCCATTTGACTAGCCAACAGCTGCCTGAGCCTCCTGTTTAGAAAACTAGGTACCGCCGATTCCGCTTGACTCTGATTTCGCATCATTGTCCTTATCAGATCAAGAATACTAGGAGTAGTGCTGGTTTCATCATTTTCGTCGTTTAGTTCACTCGCTAACTGTAATAAAACAACATCCATCGGCGATTCATCGTCAGACGAGTCGTCCGAAAACCAACCTGCATTCACTCGTTGGATTAACGAATCGAAAAAAGCGATCATTCGGGGGTCTTCGTCGACAGATCGCATGCCGTAATCATGGCTTAGCGGCTCGCCACTCTCGACAATTAGCTGCATGTATTCCTCGTGCGAATAGAACTCTCGTCTCCTCTCACTGTCCTTCCCTTTTAAGTAACCGGTGCATCCTTCCATTTTGAACTGGCTCCAAAGCTAAAAAGGAACATAAAGAATGTTATTCAAAGTTTATAGAACGGAGATGAGAGCTGTTCCAAGTACCAAGTCATAAGGTGAACAGCTTGAGACGTATTAGATCTAATACATTAGAACCCTGTGCTGATTAAGGGCCTTCAGGCTGATTTCTTTCCATTCAAGCACATGCAATATTTGAATAGGAGTACTTAAAAGTATGGGAGCGATTCCAGCATATCACATCTTCTTTTGTGAGGGTATTTACAAAAGATTGTATCATTTTACAATATGTCACTCTAACTGAATCCTCTGGTGATATCACTGTTAGCAGCATCTGCTTGTAAATAGTACCTACATCTAACAAATAGCGACAAGAAAATTAATTGAAAATACTTCTGGTTTACCGCATTCTCTCTAATGAACACCATCCAATAATTGACTATCAAATAATTGAATATTAAAAATGGGAACTTGAGATTTTACTCGGGGAAAATATTTAATGGGTATACCATTAGGCTATAATTAAAATAATGTTGGGAATACCGTTGAAATATTTAATATCTTGAACCAGATGCAAGATTCTTATAAAAACGATGCTTGTACTGGTGTTATGAATTTTGTTAGGACGCGAGAAAACTTGTTTTGTTTTTTCTTTAAAACTAGAGATAAACCATGGAAATTAACATTAAAACTAAATGCCATATATTTCATGTCCATTTTAAATATAAATGATATGGGGGATGAGATTTTCTTGAGATTTGACATTTATTTCAAGAAATATAGCATGATATAGCTTTTTACCTCTAGCTGACTAAATGTATGCAAGCAAAATGCGGTCTGCTTAAAAGGCGAAGCCAATAGGGCAACTGGTTGCAGAGAAGTTTTATACTTTTCCAGAAACATTTGAAGAACGCAATAAAAACTGGCAAATTAGATTGCCATTGGAAAAACTACTTTATAAATTAAAAGACAACTAAAAAATAGTATAAACAAAAGTCCTAAAGATCTAAATGAAACTAGAATGCCCGAATTAAACTAATGAAAATTAAGCTCAGTGCATTCTGAGGTTGATGTTCGCGAGCAGGTTTCGATCTGACTATCTCTTTACTTTACTAAACAGCAAAAGATAAGATACGGTGCTGTCATCTCTACGTTCAAAGCTCGCATCCCATCATGCCACTTTATGTCGTTATCACAAAGAGCTTACGGCTCACAAATATATATTGATTGGTTGTTTCATTCTTTAAATGTATTCAACAAGAAAATATTTTTGTAATCAAATGGGTTTGCACGACAGATTATTTCATAGCAAAGTGCCAACTGGGAAAGACCTAGCATTCATAAGATGAAATTGTGTGATTGCTGATTTTATGCCATTAAAAATAAAGAAGTCAAAAATAAGCAGTTGGAAACAGGCTGGTAATCCATTTGTCAAATACAGGCTCTGATTGTAAGATATTAATTATAGATGTGAAGGAAAATTGACAAATTATCCGGAAATCGAAATTTCAGATAAACGATGCTTTTGAGTTATGGCAGGTGAAAACGGAAGGATATATGAAAAGTTTCTTGAAAAGTCTCTTAAAAACCGGTATCCGGTATGGAGAATCCGGTATGGAGATCATGCATATGCAGCGACAAACAAATCAAGATACTGTAATACCCGAGCATCTTGTGTTGAGTGTTTCATATGAATTTTCAAGCCGATGTGAAGCTCGGTATGAAGGACGCACTGTTCAGCCTTAAGTTGACAGAATTCAAAAGCATGTTCCAGGAAAAAAATTTCACCTGGGTAAGCCCGGGTTAACTAGCAAAAAGTAAAAGGCCTCAAATTGCATTTTCAATACCAGCAATGCATACAAAATGGATCTAGAGCGATAATAATATCAAATTAAACGAAACAGCAGCCGTGAAGGAGCACAAAACTGTTGGAAGCTGATAGTGACTCGATGAACCTAGCTATCGGTATTGTTGCACAAGCAGGAATTTAGCAAAGAAAATCCAACATATGACGTCAAAGCTAAGAGAAGGACATAATATGCAAACAAAGCTCTGTGACAAAAACGAGGCTACCAAACAAAGAGCAATGTATTTTACCTTGATGACTTTTTCCACACCAGAGCTTACGATTGCTTGTGCGTGATGATTGTATCTAATTTGGTTGACGATCGAACGATGACCTTTCAATACCATTGCCGGCTCATCTATGCAATCTTCTGCAATAAAAATGCCATGATATAAAAGCAAAGCAAAAAATTCAATGCAATAAAAATGTCATGAAATTAAAGTAAAGCAAAATAAAGCGTTTGATCTGTTTGAACAAAACATAGATAAACTCGCAGTTGTTTTACACTTATACCCAAACTATCATACCCAAACAGATAGTTTGCTAAAATCAACACAGAAAGATACACTGAAACGCAATTCAGATTGGCCTATTTCGATTCACATCTAGGTAAATATGATTCCTAGCTTAGAATTTTCGATCGTTACTCTGACGTTATAAACACAGAAGAGTGACAAAAAACCTTGGGTATACTTAATAATGTTTGATTTTTCAAAGCCATTTTTAAATTTTGTATTCTAAAAAAAATCATTTCATGGTTGTTCATTAAGAGGATAAGAAATTACAGAACATAAAGCAAGACAGAGAATACTTGTAGCTCTGCAAAGAAAAGAAAATGAACAGTGCAATTTCATACCAATCACATCCCCTCGAGGATTCTCCCATATGTAAAGGTTGAAATCGTCTGATCCGGCAGCAATAAACTAAAACAAAACAGGGATGCTCCGTGAAAGGGCAAATACGGCGTTCTTGTGAACGATTGGATCAAGTAGTTTTAATAAGGATATTCCATTCACAGATATCATATTATTTATCAAAATTTGGATGTACAAATGATTAATACTCCTGTTTCAAACAATTCAAATCGATCAAAAACCACAATAGTACACCTGTAATGCATTTGATATCAAATAAAACTCTTTGATAAACTTAAACCTTTTGAAAATGTGTGCTTGACATAAAGAAAACATTTTTCCTCTGGACTTAATCCTAACAAATCTTCTGGTGTTTCTTTACTTAATTATGCACACAGGTGAGAATCTAGCAGTAAGTGTTTGGTCCAAGTTTATTGTAAGTAGCATTACCTGATCAGCGTCCCCTACAAAGCACGGGCTCTTCAAAGTACAAATATTTTTGTATTCCGGATGATTAAACTCAATTAACCGCCTCTTTTTCCCGATGTCAAAGAGAACTGGTCCAGCTCTTCGCATTAATGCAAGAATTCTTGTGCCAAACTGATCGAACTTCGCAAACATGGCACTTTCCCGTTGGCCTGAATCTCCGTATAACATCAAAGGCCTTTATGGAAGGAATGACAAAACAATAGTAAAGATTAAAAAATGATTAGAATTTATAAATATGAAAAGTCATTTTTATTCTTGCTTCATTTTGATGTTGGTAGTTTAAATTTAATTGTATCTCCAGTGCCCCACGAGATATTATTTTCAGATATTCATAAAGAGCGACATTGATTCTCAAATGAGAGTTTTCTGTTGCTTTATATAGTAATATACCTTATGTTAAGCTGTGAAGAAAACAAATTAAAACCAAGAAGTTGAACACAAGACGCCTTCAAGGTTGGATAGATTTTATTGCAAACAAAGAGAGCGAGAAGCTGTTAATCAAAGTCATCGAGCGACATGGGAAGAAGACGATCTTCATTCCAAATTAAAAAATAAACCTGTCAATTTGATAAACCAGGCGAAACAATCGTTGGTTTAACAGAGAAATAATACCTACAAAATGCAGAACATTCTATTGGCAAATATTGGAAGAAAACAAGCCTGACTATGAAGATGATGAAACAAGCGAGAAAGACAAGTTGAAAGATGGGAGCAGTGACAGCAAAGATAAGATTAAAGATTTTGTATGACTAATGGCCGAAAATTAATTAATTGGACCTTCTATGGCAAGATCTAAAATGCGCCTATAGACCTTAGTTTTTATTCTGTCTTAGAAAAAAACATCACCTCTGTCCCGTTTATTCATTGTTAAGGTGCATATTTCCTAATACACATTCCTCGAAATTTCCGAAAGTCGATTTTTCAATGTGCATTTTCATATCCCTTCCCACAATATTCCCACTATTTTGAATGCCTTTCCATTTAGGGTTCTAAAACTGACTAAAAATATTTATAAAATTTTTCTGACAAATGTTTCCAGTACTCTTATTTTTAGATACCATAATATTTTATCCTCTTATTTCTTGAGTTCAATTTTTGAATGCTTCTACATTGACTAATCAATGAATCATTATTTTTTAAAAAGAGGTTTCCAAAAAACACATCAACTTAAATCTCACTTGTCAGGTTTTCGTAGATCATAAAGGCTGACTCCATCATGTGCATTTGCTGTTACAACAAGCTTTGTTTCATATGGGTTAAATGCAACACCATGAAAGCTGCCACTTGACATTGCCACGCAAATTCGCTCTTCTAAAAGCAAACATAACAAATAATGGCAATCTTAAACATTTAAACAGAAAACAAATAAATTGCACTAAGTGTTGTAAGTTGTACTGATAATATGTATCTTCAATAAGGGTCTCTTAGGGGGGGGGGGTACTTGTTCCCGTGTTCCCTTTAAAAAACAATCAGTGTTCCCGTGTTCCCGTTGAACAATAAAAAATGTTCCTGCGTTCCCGTCAAAAAGTAAATATAAAAGATATATCAATCCGCAAACCATTTTGCTAAGGTGCTGCAAAGACTTTTGCCAAGAAAAAAGGAGATTTTTTGTTTTAATCTCAAACTCTTTGTCTTAATCTTTTCCTTCCAATTAGGTATGCATAGGGGAGGTGGGTATTTGCCTATTTTTTTGTAGAGATATTTAATAAGATATTTAATATAGAGATATTTAATAATGTTTTCGTTTTAAATCCCTTCAATTTCCCAGTGTAGTTTTCTGTAAACTGTGATCTATTCGTGCGTGCTTTCCTATTTTCAAAGTAAAATTTAGGAACATTCTTCTTTTTAATTCTAAAAGGGATTGTTTTGCTATGCGCGTTAGTTCAGGAATGGGTTTGATGATTTAAACTCCATTGCAACAGATTGCAGCAGTTATTGAGATTAGAATCTCAATACCGGTGACACCCCTTCTGATTACAAATTACTCTATTGCAAGAGCCCTGTCAAACTGTTGGCCATAAAGGAAGGTGTCAGGAGCAACGTGGGTTCTTTTGGCAGAAAATGTTGGTCTCCTGTGCAAAGAGGCTGCTAGAGAGTTACCAGGTGTCTCCTTCTCGTGGATTGACCTCACTTGCAACAATCACAATAGGTGGGATACATTTGCAGGGACGGTTTTCTTAAAGATTCTTGCAAAAATAATATGTAACGTAATAGATTTCATTGGAAACTAATGTTCCCTTGTTCCCTAAATCAAGTAATAATGTTCTCATGTTCCCAGTGGAAAATTTAAGTTGTTCCCGTGTACCTGTACCATTTTGTCCGTGTTCCCTTTGTTTCCAAAAACCCCTGGGAGACCCTCTTTAATGTTATTTGTAACGTAAGAAACTATTACATCATTGTAGAATGACAAGCTAATTCATAGGAGAGATTTTTGAATGAAGAAAGTTCTTCTCAAAAGGACTTATCCTCTTAAAATAAAGGCAATACCTTCAGGTGCTCTAACATCCCAAAGAAATACAACCCCACATTCTCCTGCAGTGGCGAAGATATCTGAGCAATCTGATGGAAGTGCAACACAATAAACAGCCTCTTCATGACCATAATGACCAACTGCTTCATCTCTAAAAACAATATGAACCATGATTCTGAAACTTAAATTTATCAAAACGTTTATCACTTTCAAAAAAATATAATTAGCAGTAAAAAGCGAACCCCCTTTAAAGTTTATGAATCTTTTCTTTGATATTCAAATGCTTTGTATCTTTGGTTAAACAGTCGTAGCTTAGAGACATTAGTCCCAAATTCCACATACTCTCTAACCACTTTGCAGCAGAGAGACTTATCAATGATCCAAAAAATCATCAAATCATCAAGATAATGACTAAATACAGGTTTGCAAGGTTCTAAAATTTGATATTTTATGAAATTTTGAACCCCCATCAGGACGAAATACAATTTTTTATGAAGCTTTACTTGCAGATCAAAACATGAAATAGTGACAGGAAGAAAATGTGACCTGATTGTTTGTTAATGAATGGCTACATCTAGGCATGGCTTCGCAAGTCTGGTAGTGGGATATAGATAACGATTTTTTATTTTGAAAGATGATATGTTTATGCAGACATAAGGTTTTTCAGAGAAAAGGTGATCTTATTTGAGCAGCTTTTTTAAGTTGATGTTGTTAGGGAGAGGCTTATGAGCCTATAGCTAGGCCCTAACAAGGGAAAGGAAGAAAAGACTAGGAAGCGAAAGAGGAAATAATGAGTTTGTTTACTTTTGTTTTGAATAAAGACCGGTTGTAAGAGTCTGGGAAACAGGAAGGGGTAGAGCATTTCAAAGTTCACCAGATCTTGGGAGGAAGGAAGAGTTGTGCGATTGTGCTTTGGACTTAATCTAATAGGCCAGGCGGAGAAAGGGGGTATCGTCCCTCGAAGGTGAAATTTATGATATAGAGTGGATTTGGTCAATCTTGGGGCGCTGATTCCGAAAATCGATGTTATACAGGCAAATTCGGGGCTTTCAGCGTCATTTCGATGCTGAAAGTCTCGTTTTCGACCAAGTACATGATTCTGCATTTAAGATAGTGTTAAAACATACTAATTGCTATTTGAACAAAACAAACGTGTCTAGGGGTGTTGAAAAATCGTGTCTAAGGATGCAAAAACATATCTTTATATCTTTTTCAACAGTAATTGTCTTTTCCTAACATCGATTTCATTCCATAAAGAGACTTGTAGAACGAATTTTCTAACTCTTTCTACATGTTGCAATGGAAATACTCTCAAAAGAACAAATATTTGCAACGGATAGTGTTATTTTAACCGTATTTCAATCGGTTTCTGTAGAGTGCAGTACACTGGCTACAATTCTTGTAAATTACCCGCTTTATTCAAAAACTTACTTATTTAGGAATCATTAAATAACTTCGGTTACACTCCACAATATTGAAAAAGTGGGGGCATACCATACAGCTAAAGTTGTTAACAGAGTTTTCATCTCAATTCAACTCATCTACGTTGTTATCTTTGATAAAGTCTAAATCTGAGCCGGTTCTATTGTTATCATTGTCAACCAAATATCTGCACCATCATCAGGATAGTTAGTTTAGCTCCATTGAATACTGCAATCTTTATTCCTTCCGGCATTTTCTGGGGGCTCTAGCCGAAGGATTAAACAGCGGGCATTCCTCTTGCTTATACCAGACTCCCTCATCGACAGACAAACAACTCAAAGTTAATGGAGACTACAGCACCTGGGGTATGCTTGGAAGAGGAGTACAGCAAGGATCGATACTTCGCCCTCTTATCTTTGAATTTTTTTATAAATGATATTTTTTACTACCTTGATAATGGACTACTAAGCAGCTTTGCTGATGACAACACATTATCTGTCACTGCAACTGATGTTGTAAACTGTTAAACTAATAAACACAGACACCAATAAATCCCTGGAATGGTCTAAATTGAGTGAAATGACTACGAATCCCTCAAATTGAAAATAAGGATAATCATATTGAAAAATTCGAAATTAACACGAATTTACTATAAGAGTAGATAACCATGTAACTTTACTTGGTGTTGCGATTGACGAAAATCCTACTTTTGACACTCACATTGATAAAATCAGTAAAAAGCAGCCAAGCAGTTAAATAGCAGTTAAATACCCAAAAACAAATAGCAAGCCATATTGGGGGCAAAGAAAAAAGATAATAATCAATTTTTTACATAATGTAATTTTAACTATTGCCCATTAATATGGAGCAAAGGAAGTCGGGATGAACTAGAGAAAATAAGTGATAGAGCATTACCACTACGGCTATCTGACTATTCACCCTACCATAAGGATCTAATTGCCAACTCGAAGTATATAATACTCTCAAAGGCTCTTGAGCAACCGACATGCTTTGCGACTTTATTTCAAAAAACCGGCCTGATATCATACAGCATGAAAATACAAAACACAGTCAATTTATCAAGAGAATTGCCACTAAATATGCCGGTTGCGCAAGAGCCTTTAAAAATCTACAGCAGCATTAACAAATGTGATCAATTAGGTGCCTGCTTTCTTTTAGTAACTCGCCACAGCATGTAGTACATTGACTTCATTGTTGGCCAACTTTGTGCAATGACTCTTTCCCGAAAGAAGATTGTTAATCCTACTAAGGTGTTTCGATGCTTGTCTTTAATATCTGCTTTCAAAAAATTAAAAGCATTTCCTTGTTTTCACCATTATTCAAAAATCTTGGAAAATCGCATAGAACATCCATATCTGGGCGATTTCATATTGTTATACAGCGCTTACTCGCTCCTCTCTTCTGTCTCTCTCCTCTCTTGATGCTGATATTAAGCAAATGAATACATTGAAATAATCACCAGTCAAAACTACATTATATACAACAGACACTGTTAGGTATAGGTGTTAGGAAGCATAGTTACCAAAAGACCTGAAAAACGCTGAAACACTCATAATATTTGAAAAGAGAATAAAATGCTGGATAAAGCGATACTGTGACTGTAGGGTATGCGAAAATGTCACTCTCAATATGTTGTTGAAGAATGATTTTATTAATTTTTTGTTTACTGACATATATCTTGCATACTTAGGCTGCGTTTAACGATACCGGATTGCTTTTCATATCGGATTGGTCTCAGCTATCCGATATGAAAAGCATACCGTTTGGACTGCGTTTACACGATACCGGATTGATATTCATACCGTTTTCATCCTGTTTACACGACAACGCTCCGCTATTCACTGTACAGCATACTTCTTTTGTTTCGATATTTAGCAATGTAAAATTCTGGTGATTTCGTTAGTCTACTGAGGAGGGGAAGGTCTCGGGAAAAAATTATCACTTTAGTATAGAATATGAGTGCTGGCCAGTGACATAGAAGAAGAAAATGTAAGCAGAAGGGGGAAGTAGAAGTCGAATTGCAGCCTGAATCGGTAAAGGCATATGCCAGTGAATGCCTTTTCAAGGGAAGGAATTGAAAAGATGTAATGTCGAATGATGAAAAGACAAAATAGTTTTTGGCGAACGTTACCCAAAGGGTAAAGTTGTAGAATCCGTTGATGAGAACTTTCCTTGAGAGTCAGGACGAGGTTCCGGAATGAAAGCGTATCGGATTCACCCGTTTACACGAGATGGAATGTGGTGCAGGACGTATCGGATAATTTTTCATACCACTTTCACAGCGGAGTGATTTCACTCCGCAAAAGTGGTACGGGACGTATCGGATTGGTGCGGGGCAGTGTAAATGGGACCCCTATCCGATATGAAAAGTAATCCGATACGTGAGTAATCCGCTATCGTGTAAACGCAGCCTTAGACTATTTCCTTAGGCTATCGTTACTTTGCTCAATATTTTCATACGTATCACAGACAATGAAAATAATTCTGCTAGTACGGTTTGTACGATACTGATATTTCCAATGGACTGCATCTCTTTACTTGGCCCTGCTTTCCATATAGCTCTAGTATATGCTGGATGGCATTTCTATTGTTTCTTAAATTCTTTTGCAATTAAATCGGTATTCGCAATTGCAATATTTATCTCGGAATCATTTCTCACAGCGGCAGCATTTTTTAGTGTTTTCTCAGCCGTATCTGTCACAATCTTAATCAATTGTTATTTCTTATGATTTACTTTTAGTAACTTCCTTTTAGAAATCATATAGAAATATAAAATATATACATTGTGCTGAGTCAGGTTTTCTTGTCGCTGGTTGGTTGTACTTCCCTGAGCGCTGAGAGTTGTACTTTGTCCTTCTCCTGCTTTTTTTCCTTCATATCCTGGGCTAATTTCCGTCTTTACTGAAAACGTGTTCATTGATGTGTAGAAAAAGTTAAAAATTTCATCCTAGAAGTCTCTTCATGGAATGAAATCGATGTTAGGAAAAGACAATTACTGTTGAAAAAGCTATAAAGATATGTTTCTGCATCCCTAGACACGATTTTTCAGCATCCCTAGACATGTTTGTCTTGTTCAAATAGCAATTAGTATGTTTTAACACTGCATCTTATGCAGAACTTGGTCGAAAATGAGACTTTCAGCATCAAAACGAGGCTGATAGCCCCAAATTTGCTTGTACAACATCGATTTTCGGAATCAGCGCCCCAAGATTGACCAAATCCACTCTATGTCATAAATTTTGCTTTCGGGGGACGATACCCCCCTTTCTCCGCCTGATCTATAGGTCTTACAGCCATTTCATAATAAAATAAATTTTGCACAAAAAAACAACTTTTTGGCTTCAAAATACAATCTATTCTTTCATATGCCAATAATTTGGTATAATTTATAAAAAAAAGGAAAAACAAACCTGTTTACATCATGTCGTATTACATCTTCATCATTACCTTAGGTAGAAAAAAGCTCTGTATTAGAGAGAAAAAATTATATTTCTTCTTAATCTGCTTTTCCGGGGCAATCCTTAGCAATAAAAATGTATTGAAATAATACTGATCAAATAATCACTTTTATACAAGTTATTATCGCTTCCCATGATCATTGTCTTTCAACTTTATCATTACATACTGATTTTATGAGATTATTCTATTTACTATTTCATTAAAGTATCATTCCCTTTAGCACTTCACTTGCACATGGAGGAATATGAATACATCAAATTCAGCAAATTTATTACATCGGAAACCTTGATGCTATTAGAAATGGTGCATTTTAAAAATGTGAAGAGAAGTTAAAGAATTAATTACTCTTGTATAGCTAATATTTATGCAATCAAAACACACACCTGCTGAAAAGACAAATCTTGTTTCATTGTCAAAAACTGTGCAAAAGATGTTAGACAAATGCTCAGTTTTCAATTGACAGTTGTTAGCAATCTTTTGTCTGGTTGCTTTGTTGATGTTCCATAACAGGACACGTCTGTCATCGCCACCTAAAATGGGGAAATTTGATGTCAAAGCATATTTCTAAAGACATGCTCAAGACCTTAGAACCCCTAGGACAAAAATAACCATAATTACAAAATATCAAGGGGAGCCTTTATCTTTAGGCAAATCTACTTCAGCATATCTTGAGCCAACAGTTCAAGCAACGGTTCCTGTAGAGCGATTTGTTGCAGAGTGCCTAAATAATCTCATATAGTTCCTTAGGTCATTTCTGTTTCTGTTCTTAAATATAGCGTAACCGGGCCTTTTCGTCTCACACTGGTGATAACCCTTGCCAACTCCTTCATAAAAAATACTGGCAGCAGCTATTGACTGCCCTCACGAAAACATGTCTGGCCCACAAGAGACAGTCTAAGACCATTTCGGAAGAGTTAATTCCTATTAATCACGGTATTTCTGAATAAAAAGGTCAAGTTGTTACTGATAACAGATTATTGTTCTATTATCCACGTTAAAATTTCACGCATTTTGAAAACAGTTTTATGATGCCTGTCTTGTTTATATTTAAAGTATACATGTTATAAAAATTACTAGCCTTTTAATCAGGAATAGGCTCTTCATCTTCAGTGTAGAATACTGGATGGAATTGCTTATTCGCCTCCAAATCTTTTGCATTCGAAGGTGTATTTGCCTTCAAATCTTTCATCAGTATAGGTAACCCATTGTTAGTTCTAAGGGGTGAAATGCCTAGATGCACATCTCCTAAACCTCAATTTATTTTATTTCAATTCAGTGGCTACAATTATTGATACATGGTGATTGTGGGCCTTTATTCCTTTTAAAGAGGTTTGTATCATGACCAACCAGATTATTTATTCATGAGACTTCTTGGCTCTGTTGAATTGGCATTGTTTCTTATTAGTCTTTATTACCGCTATTTATTTACCGCTTGGTCAGTATGCAAATATTGGTGGGTTATAAGAAAGAAACTTAGGCCTAATCTGTGTTTAGAAGAAATTTTTACGGATCAAGAAAATCTCAATTCTGCAGCTGATTTTGCCTTTCCTATTGTGAAAGACGGGGTATCTAACTTATTTGAAATGACTTTCCCCAGCGAGTTTAAGACGAAAACCTTTCTAGGAAAAGTTGTTTTTAACAAGCCACTTGATTGTACTAGTTCACTATCTTGCGAAAAAGATAGGAAATTTTGTCAAGAAATCTGAAGAAATGAAAAAGAAGGCAAACAAACCAGATACCAGCCATTGTCCATCATGTGAAAATTCAACAGCGTTCACACAACCGTAATGACCAAATAAATCTTTCCGATACAAACTCCCGCATTTCAGGAATCTTTCTCTGCAAAACTGCCTTGCTTTTAAATGAAGATTCTTCGAGTAAGCATAATCCATTTCACTTTGATCAACTGATCAACGATTTCACAACGATCAGACTCGGCATTTTTCTTAGGAATTTGAAGTTTCCAGACACTGCATTAGGCCTATAAATAAACCTACATACAAAGGAGCCCACATGAAAGCGAGGGCTCACTCCTAACCCAACCATGAAAGTAAAAGTCAAAAAAGACAATTTATGGAAATGAGGAAAAAAATTAACATTGCTTGCTTTTCAGATCTAATGGCAGAGAGTTTCAAATTTCAATTCCCTCAAATGTAAGGAAATAGCTTTTAACATTTTTTAATAGAATTTGAAAGGGAAAACCACGGCAGAAGTTTCTATGTGCTACAGGGCATATGTAATACTGCTAATTTTAGGCCTTTCTCTCTAGTCCATTCGTTTGATTTTCCTTACCTAATCACTCTTGTTTATCTGTAACTTTCCTTGCTCGTTCCGCATTTTTCTATCACGTGTATTAGGATAATCTTTGTAATATTATGAGTAACTTCATACCTACGTCAATTATCAGCATGTTAAGTAGATCGCCATAGCAACCCAGTATTTTAGGATATCGCGCTACCCCACCCCGCTCGTTACTAAGTAGATTACTTCCTTTCACCGTTTTATTTACGTATGTCTATTGTTTTTAGTTCAGTATATATAGGAGCCCCGTACCTCATCTTAGGGAAGTAAGAATTATGGAAAAGTAGCAGCAAGAGAAAGCAGTTTAGGCATGCACCGTTTTAGGGGCAAGATGCTTGTGAAAGATCTTGTCGCCTTCGTCGTTTGGAAATATTTATAGAAGATATATCAGTTTTGGAAGACCTCTGGGATAGTTCTTGTGAAAGATTATGCCCATGTCACGCGTTAATTATTATGTCGTTGTTAGCATGCAAGTTATGTAGCTGCCGGGACGATTTTATCGAAAGAAAAGAAGGAAAGATTTAACCGATTTACGTCGCATCATTTATTGGCCATCCTCTGTTTTTGAAAGGTCCTGAGAATCAATCGATTTAAGCAACATTTTACATTGGTGTCAGAAGTGGGATTATATGGTGCTGGAAACAGACCCGAACCCAGATTCACGAATCAGTTTAGGACTTGTACCTCAAGATGGAAGGCGACGAACAACTGTTCACGAGACGACAGTTCGAACACCCTGCATACCATCCCGAGATGCATTCGGAGAAAACGCCAATCTTTTTTTAATCCATCCACTGGACTTGTCGACTTTTATTCACAGACTTTAGGCATTTTTCAGACTTCAGTTAGTCACAATTTGTTTAGCACGCAGAAACGAGGACGTTTCTATTTTCTCGATAGGGAGGTATGTAATACTGCTAATTTTAGGCCTTTCTCTCTAGTCCATTCGTTTGATTTTCCTTACCTAATCACTCTTGTTTATCTGTAACTTTCCTTGCTCGTTCCGCATTTTTCTATCACGTGTATTAGGATAATCTTTGTAATATTATGAGTAACTTCATACCTACGTCAATTATCAGCATGTTAAGTAGATCGCCATAGCAACCCAGTATTTTAGGATATCGCGCTACCCCACCCCGCTCATTACTAAGTAGATTACTTCCTTTCACCGTTTTATTTACGTATGTCTATTGTTTTTGGTTCAGTATATATGGGGGCCCCGTACCTTATCTTAGGCAGTAAGAATTATGGAAAAGTAGCAGCAAGAGAAAGCAGTTTAGGCATGCACCGTTTTAGGGGCAAGATGCTTGTGAAAGATCTTGTCGCCTTCGTCGTTTTGAAATATTTATAGAAGATATATCAGTTTTGGAAGACCTCTGGGATAGTTCTTGAGAAAGATTATGCCCACGTCACGCGTTAATCATTATGCCGTTGTTAGCATGCAAGTTATGTAGCTGCCGGGACGATTTTATCGAAAGAAAAAAAGGAAAGATTTAACCGATTTACGTCGCATCATTTATTGGCCATCCTCTGCTTTTTAAAGGTCCTGAGAATTTTGAAAGGTCCTGAGAATCAATCGATTTAAGCAACATTTTACACATAGGTTCCTCCTTGTTGTAGTGGTGCAGGGTACAGGTTCCCTGTTGTAGTGGTGCAGGCAAAGACCGAGATACAGCCTTTTGTTTGGGGCCCAGCCTTGATAATTAAGTGTAACAACAGCCATATTTTACGAAATAAAAGTATTTTACTTATGCTACTTAAGATTTTTGGGGGTGGGCAAGCAACCCCCCCCCCCCTCCGGCCTCCGGGTATCTCGGTCCTTGGCTGCAGGTTCCTTGTTTTTAGGAATTCATGTTCTAGAAATGTGGAACTAGTTTCTTCATTCATTTGCTTCCACTTTAGATTGTAACCTGTTATAGCTACATAATATTTCGTACGATTTTCTTCATTTTCTTATTTCCTTATTTGTACTTGATTTGAAGTTTTAGATAATACTTCTATCAGATGTAGTCTTCTATCTTAGTAGAAAGTTACACTTAGAGACGTTTTCGTGATGGCTTGTATGCCATTAAAAATTCAAATACTTCTGCTAATTGAGAGCTAGCGATTTGTGCAATAAAGGTTTCAGTTAAAGAATAAAATACTTGACTAATCAGCGGAGAGCCAGAAACATGTTCGAAGTTTGAAAGAGCCAGGTCCGTCGCTAGCTTTGGTACTCAAGGTGGTTTCTAGTTCCCATTTCCCAACATAGTGGATGGGCCATCCTTTATTTTCCAACAAGTTCGAAAATTTGCCGATTATACATATCTATATGGCAAAAAACTTAAATGTACAGTAGAATAAAAAAGGGACTAAGCACACCCCTTGGGGAGCACCAAATTAGATTTCTAGTTCGGATTCAGTTTCACGTAGATTTTCTAGTAGATTGCTTTGAATATTCGGCTTTGTTTATTTAGTTTTGAGGGCCATTCTTCGACCAATTTTATGTAATAGATTACTGTGATTTGGCAGTATTAAATGCTTAGCCTGCGCCCAGTCCACAAATGCTGCCACATTTATGGCATTTGTGGCAGCATTGGTGATAGCATTTATAGACTGGGACACCGGCTACAAATGCTTGGCTAAAATAAATATGTTTCAATATTAAGCAAGAGAAGGGGCCTGTTTCAATATAACCAACTAGTTGTGATCGAAGTTCCAAGATTGCTAGATAAATTGATTTATTTTCTTGCAAACCATATAGATGTTTAAACACCGTATCACTTCTTCTAAAAGCCTTATCAGACAACTCCAAACGCTCAGCAGTGAAATTTTTTATTTCTTTTCGCTTAACATGAAACCATCTCTAATTTTTTGGCTATTGCATTTGCAAGTTCTGTGGCTAAGCAAGCTCCTTTTCTTGCTACCGCATTCCAGTCAAATGAAATTTCCAATTTCTGTAATTAATTAGAGTACCGGATGCTTTCAGCTCTCTTGAGGACAGCCAGTTAGCCTATCCTGTCTTCCATATTGCTATATGTCGTCAATTTTGGTTTCTGGTATGATAATACTTGGTCCTTCGGCTTTCCAATTTATTTCTTCGCATTTTTATTCCCCACTTAACTCTTACTGTATGCTTTTGCGAGGCGCACTTCCAACTTTTTTATTTTCTTGCTGTCGGTTTTGCTATACATTCATGAATCCTAGAAATTCACCCAATCGTTCTTTTGTCAACTTTTTAGAGCTCGTTGCCATGTCGATTCCTTAAAATTTATTAATTTTCACAAGAACCGAGACATTTTCTTGGATATAGTTTAATCCATTCCGATTATATGTACCTAAATTGAAAACTAAGTAAGAAACCCGTGTTTTCAACCATGGTTCTGTCGTTTTATACTCTTAGGAAGATTAGACAAAAAAGCATTAAACATGCTGTAAAATGTTTGCTTTCTTCAAAACTATTTTAAGACATCCGTGCTATTCACTTCAAGAGCACACAACAACTAATTGAGGTTAACAGAGCTGTTTTGATACATAGATCACTATTGGCGTGATATTTTCTATAATTTTTAGTAGCGAATCGAGCTGCACGTCTCAGGATCATCTTGAGCTTTGACACAACCTTGGCCGTGAAAGGGATCACTGACTGTAATTGCATACTCTATTTGGAACTTTATGAGTAATTTATAGCACATTTCTTTGACATATCATGGACAGCTTCCCATGTTTCCTCTGAGTAGATTAAGAATATCATTTTCAATCAACCACAAATAGACCCCTATTTAGTTGGTTAGTCATTAATGAAAATAATAACCATGGCAGGACCTAACTCCAAGCCTTGTGGGACTCCTAATGTAACACTGACGTCTTCTGATCTATGTCAATTTAGTACAACATTTCGAGTGTGGTCTTCTAAAAAGCTGCAGATCTGATCATAGTATTTCAGTTTAGCAAGCTGTCTTTGGTACCTGTTGAAGCTTGACAATTTGATTTCATAGTTGATGGTTCTTGTAATTTGAATCTTGAGGTAATTTCTTAATATTATGTTATCGCTTAGCGTTTTTGGTGTAAAAAATATTTCATGGAGGTTAGATTAAGAAAGCAGTTAGTGAAATGACAAAGAGTAGAAAAGTTTGTAACTATCATTTAATCGTCCATATATTTTGTTAGTTTATAGCCTTGCAGATTTTTTTCAATTATTTTCTGGGTAGGAATCAAGTTTCAAATTCTCATCATCTTAAAAAACAAGTAGGGTTTCTTCACTTGTTATCTTTATGATGAGATTTCTAAGCTATCTAGATACCTGTCATTGTTTCAAATTATTCTAGATTTAAATTTGAGAAACTGGCAGTAATTTAGATTTCAACCAGTCCATTCATTCGTTTGTGCTTGCTTTAATGAAATTGAATACTTTACCAGTGGTGTTGGCAGGAGAACATACTGTGCTGTCGTCTGCAGAATAACTTGGGGATCCAATACAAATGTTGTGAACAAATTGTTGGCGATGCAAAATTTAGAACGTTGTAGAAAAATGTTGAAGTCATTGAATAGGAGGGGACCAAGTATTGTTCCTGATGCTACACCTTGTCTAAGCTTGTCAAGGAGCTACAATGCTTGCCAAAAGTCTTGGTACACTAACGTCGGTTTTCAAGGGTAAATTCAGCCATTCCCCTTCCCCCCTTTGACAATGTTGGTTTACTACAAAACGACCTAGGTGAATAGGAAGTACGCTTTTTCTGTTTCGAGGGAAGAGGGTGCGGAAATAGGAGTATCCGGGAAAAGAATTGAAAACTATATAAATACAACGCAAATTGCTTGGTGTTCCAAGTACTTTTGGCAATGAGCGGTATCTTCCTTGAATTTTAGCTTCTGTTTGTTTCCGCTTGGAAAGATAATTTTAAAACAAGTATGAGTAGTTTGCTCTCAAATGGAGTCCGTTTTGATCTGAGACAGGTTTGCTTTCACAGGAGGTCGCGATTTTCGGCTCCCTATCCAGCGCTGTACAACGGAACCAGTTTTCTCTTGTTCAAACGGAGTCAACATTCAGACTTCAAATGAGTCCTAACTACAGGGGAGGGGGCTAAAGAGGCCATGAAACCTCTAGGACTTAGCCTGGCCCCCAAGATTTCTCTGCTACCCACTCCGTTTATTCTCGACTGCTCAAAAGTTACACCACCGACCATGATTGATAGCAGTATGAACGTAAAAGGGAAAAAACAAAAAATACACACACATTAGTATAAAATCGTCAGTGAATTTGGAAAACATATTTTGAATATTAAAACAAACGACGAGGTTATTTCAAAACAAACTTCCTACTTAAACGAAGGAGAATAGATTGGTTACGAATAATCTTGGTTTTTGCCTGTAATGCATTTGACGAATTGTGTTTTGCTAGAAATGTCTGTTGTGGGAACATCCAGTCTTCAAACTTTCAACATAAGTGCCATGATCTCCTTTTGCGCAACAGAATCCTAAAACACCAAGTTGCATGTCACGACCTTAGAAATACCCAAATATATGTATGTGAGATATAAAATGGAGAAATATGGCAGCAAAGAGAACGTCAGTAGTAGTTGGGGCGTACGAAAAAGAAGTATGAAGAGCAATTCTACTTACATCTTCATTAACCACGGGGAGGTCTTTCGCTTTTTCTAGCCACTCTCTTGCACTCGAATAATCCGATTTTTGATAATAACACTGCAAATGAGATTTTGCTAATATAATGTGAAGTACTGGTGATCGGATTAACCGTCAAAATTGCAGCTTAGAACCTTCATTTTTTTCCACCAAGGCAAGTACAGCGCTACCTATACGGCATTGATCACTTTATGACAGAACGGTAAACAGCAATATTCATTGAAATGTAGGGTCTATACGTTTGAGGTCTGTTAGAAAGCCCGGGGATCATTTTCATACCATATTCCTTGACTGGTATAGCAACATACTGCAGCAAGATGCGATAAGCACAGACTTCACTATCAGGGTGACAGCAAAAAAAGGGGGGGGGGGAAATAGTACTTTGAGTAAGTTATGTCCAAGAGCAGGGGCGGACATTTGATCAAATATTGGGGGGGCAAGCCTATTGTTTTGATAAGATGACGTCACATTTCCCATTGTTCTAGAACAAAATACCATTGTCCTCTAAAGTATTGGGGGGGGGCGGTCACCCCCCTCGCCCCCCCAAGTGTCTGCCCCTGTCCAAGAGCATGACTACTAATGTGGTGTAGCTACTGGGGTGAAAATTCCATCTTAAGTACGGTAACATAAGGGATGAATGATAATGGTATCAAAACAAAAAGAGCATACAGAGTGAACAGCAACGATGGCCAACGATATAAAACTTTTACACGGACAAATATATATAGACATAAAAGGTCAAACAATGTCAAACTATTTCCTTCAAATTAGAATAAAGACATTTTGTTTTTTATGATTCAAGAATGCTGCTCAGTCAGGTAAAAACATATTAGACTAAAATCAAGAAAACGTTCTGAGGTTTTACCTTCGCGATAAGCAGCAAATTTTCCTTCCAAAAATTTGGTCTTAGTTCCTCTGACTATAAGAAAACGAGGATGGTCAATAACAAGGTAACTATTGCCTGAAAATAACTCTCTTTTGTGGACGTTGCATACATATTTAACTGCAGCAAACATTGTGACATTGTATATGGCAAATACATGTAAATATTAAAAGGGATGATTTTGTACAATCACAGAAGAATTATTTCCTGCAGTAAAAAATTGTTGTTGTTATCACTGAAAGCCATCATTCTTTCAGCAATGCAATGGATATAGGATACCCCACCCCCTACAAGCATTAAATCGAGATTGAAGCTGACATTAAGTCGACCAATGGCTTGCATAAAAAAGTTCTTTTACCTTCATTGCATAATGAAGTGCTTCGTCAACTGAAGAAGAAGGGGGCTCCCCAAAAACGGCAGTAGCAACTTTCCTCATGTACCAAGGTAGCATCGAGACCTGGAATGAAAAAACAGAAACAATGAGGTGTTTCCGATTTATCAAACTAGATGTAATTGATGCTTATGCTTAACAGATCAATTATTTTCATTTTGACTATCAGTTTATTTCACTGCATCGACATTACATTTCATAAATAAAAAAATGACCATTTGTCACATTCTATCAAAACTAAACCGAATAGTAATAAAAATGTTGATGAAATGTCTGTCTTGATGAACACCAATCGCTACAAGTTTAGAGTTTTCAATGAATCACTATTACCGGAAAATCATTTACCTCATAGCACCATCTGCCAAGAAGACTATATGCCGAAGGATCATCAGGGTTCAGCTTTATTGCTTTTTCAATATGTTCCTGCATAGAAGGAAAAGCACAATGTCAAGAACAGAAGATGAGAATTTTCAAACTGGTGCAAGAAATGTTGTTTACAAAAATTTGCAACCTAATTCCAGGTGGGAAATCATCTATTTGGCCTCTTTTTTCAACAATAATGGAGAAAATGGCAAAATGAGTCTCCTTCTTTAGGCGTGCCTGGTTTTGACTGTTTTAGTTTAAATCATGAAACAAATCAGCAACACGATGTAAAAAATTTCAAACTTACAATCTTGGCCAATACTGTCATGAAAACCTAGCACCTGTAGACAGAGGTGTGGCAAGAGGTCCTCAATATTTTAAAAGGTCCACAAAAAGATGCTTGCAGATCGCACTGAGTTTGAAAACATGCACATGTTGCCTCTTAATCCTTTTTCTTATGGCTGTGTTTGTGCGTACATGTTTGTGTGTTACCTTTGTACGTTATTTTTGACATGTCATGTGTTGGCAAAAAAATGTTGGGTCTCCCAAAAAAAATAGATAAGGCCCTTCGCGAGCAAGGCGAGCAGAAAACTTTTGGCGACCATGCCCTCTAGATTAGCTAACAATAAACTAGCTAAAAACAATTTGTAACTGGCACCAGCTTTCAGTAGCCCTAGTTGTGAGTTTGTAGTTTTGGTGTTTCTAAAGTCAGACCGCATAGAAACATTTTAGATCAAGGTCCCAAAAGGTCACCCCCCCCCCCACTCTCTTTGCTCATTTCGTATAGCACCTAAGTATATAGAAGGGCAACTTGGCAAGCTGCAAAAGGGCATTTTACCTGAAGTTTTGATAAGTGGAGAGGGCACATGCCTCCTTTGACCCCCTGGTCCCTACCTCTATGAGACAGGATAACGGAACCTTTCAAGAATTTGACAAAGTTGACAAATCAATTGTTAAAACACAATAGGAATTACGTTTGTCACTATTCTGCCATGTTTCAAGTGTTAGTGCCCCAAATATTTACCAGCAAATTTCCATTATGTACGTTTTGGAAGGGCCCCACAATGCCCCACAGGTAACATAAGGCATTTGGGGGTAAAAGGAGCATTTTGGTCGTCAGTGGTAGGGGAAGTCAGAGGGCCTGGTAGGGCAATTCCCTTATCACTGAGTATGTTTAAAAATGCCCTAACTATTTTGATTAGTGTAATACTTCATTGATTCTCCTTAGTGTCAATATGTAACATGTTTCTTTGTCTATCTTACTGTTGTGCTTGTAACTCCCTGTCACGAAAATGTACATCATTTTCATTGTGCTTTGTGGAATTTTGCAGTGTTCCTTTGTTTATGTTTAAAAATTATGTAATCTGTTTTAGAATAACTTAGTTAGGGATATTTGATCATAGGAGTAGACATTAAATTTATATCAAGTAGCTTAGTTGACCTAAATAGCATTGAATGCAATCACAGCTACCTTACAAATCTTTCTTCCAGCTATAAAAAGCCTTTGGTTTGAACAAACAACATGAACAATAAATATGGATGGCAATCCGTTATTGCATACAAATAATAGTGTAAGAAAGATCAGGAAGTGGAAGCTACTTACTTTGTATTCATAACCTAGTTTTATCTTCTCTTGAGAACCGACAAATTCACAGTAATTTCCTACAGCAATCCCATACCTGACAGCACAAAAAATAACTTTAAGACTATAAACAAAAGCTCATAATAGCATATTGAAAGAGATATATGGCATTTACCCTTTATATTTTACATTAAATACGAAATAAAAAGAATTGGACATACCATTTATGTGCAAAGGCACTATTGTCATTCATTTGTACTGCTTTTCTGCACGTTTCAATGGCTAGATTGCAAAAAACATTGCAAGATATCAATGAAAGTATTAGACTAGCATATTTACCAAACAATAAAAAATAATGCTATGGCAAAGTTGAGGCAAGATATACCACAATGACCTAGACATTGTCCCCCAGCATAAAAGCTTTATATAAGAATACTCTGACTTTAATTTCAAACAATAATTGTTAAGTACTGCCATTCTTTGTCATATGTTACAAAGTTTTTAGATTCACTATAAATGAAAACTTTACAAAATTACATGCTGAATTCAATATATAACATCATATAAATAATAAAACAGAAGTGTGCTCTTCAACTACTCAATGAAAATACCAACATTTTTTCATAAATTCTTCCTTTTCGTCTTGGTTTCCTCTTTTCCCTGAAATCATTGCCATATCATACTGTGCTCTCCCAAGCCTCCAAAGAACATCACAATTGTTAAAATGCTAGAAAAAAGTCAAGGACATATTTTGAGGTTTAGTACAAAACAAAATAAGGAAAATGATTTTTTGGTTTGGGTATGTTGGAAAAATGCCAGGAGCTTGTAGCAAAGCCCTAACAAGGGAAAAAGAGAGGTTTTAAGATGAGAGGGAGGGAAGTCAAATTTGTTTATTTTAGTTTAAATTTGATACTTGTGGCTGCAAAGCAGAAGGAGGGTAGATGATTCCCAAAGTTTACAATATCTGGAGAGGAGAGATTAATTGCGGGACAGAGTTCATGAATTTGGAAAAAAGACTTGGAAAGGATGAGCACACGACGAGTATCTGGTATTTCCTATATGCCTCAGGGGACCAAGGATCATATTTCTGATCTCCTGAGAGCAATATCCTACTGCCATGGCTAGAATGTTAGACCCTGCTTACACAGTATGGGGTCACTCTACACCGTAAAATGCTACTGATCAGCTTTCCTTTTACATGATGGTGGATCACTGATAGCAGCCCAAGTCTTAAATTATTTAGCTAAGTTGTTTTAGTTTGTTGGTCCATCTTCTGAAACAAAATGAAAACAAAGAATGGTAATGAATCAATATCAACTTAATGTGGCTCATCCTGCAATTACGCAGTGTGAAGCACAATTGATTCAATACAAAAAATTGATCTGACACAACAAGTGTGCCTTTGTGGCCATATCAAAGTGGTACAGATAGTAACGCATAAATTGTAGAAGATCATTTTAAGCTCAGGCAAAAGTGATCCCATGAAGTGTAAACAGTGTTTCAGAGTTGTCAGTTACATGTGTTTTCAAATGACACAATCATGTTAAGACTTTATTGCCCAAGCAACAATAGCATAAGCAAACACATTTGTTGAAATGAAAAATGAAGGTACTAATTATATAATATTTGTCTAGGCTTATAATGCTAGGCTTATGTAAGACCTGATTGCAAGTCAATTATACTACACTGCGTTTGTTGAAGAAAATATCCTTGACCCTAACTGAGTCAATTTGTGCCAAGTTCTCTGTACCATTATTTGCTTGTAATGTCACATGCAATCATGAAGCTATCTAAAACAGATGACAGTGGCTAGGCTTGCAGAAACAGTTGTCATAATTTCTACCAAAAACAATATTCATTCTTACTACAATTCCCATTTTGAGCTTTCTTCTGATTAAAAAAATGAAACAGTTAAAATTTCAAACCTGATTTGCTAGATTTGTTAATAAGTTGTAGCTCTTTACTCGGTCATCATCACTTCCCTCTCTTAGTTTGTCTGTTTCTTTAAGGCTTTCAGAGATGCTAGATACTGAATTCCTGAAATCAAAAAAATTTATCTTTTCTTTGAAATATTTTATATAATTCTCAAAACATTGAGGTGGCTGATTCTTATTTTTATCCTAATTGCTGTATTTTACAATAAATAGAAAATGGTGTAAACCTAGCCCCTCCCACTCATAACTCAATTGCACAACAGAAAGAAAAAAGCATTATTGTAGAGCTGAATGATACACACTAGCAAACCTATCTGATAAATGACACTGTCAAACTGGGGGGAATAATTCCTGAAAACATTTCTTATATCTAACTCTGTTTCATCCCAGAGACAGTGATAGCCAGTCTTATAGGTTGGTTGATTTTTGGCCAAGTATTTAAGCACTTAACCTTTTAAGATCTCCCTGTAGTGGACTAGATGATACCACAAGTACAGGTAGGATGAAACTCTCCTTGTCTCTCTCTATGCATAAAAAATATATGCATATATCTCTCTTTCTTGATAATTTCTCTAACCCATGACACGCCAAGAAGGCATTACCCTTTATTCAGGGATTTAAAGATATGTTTTGATTTGTTAGGACGATTGCCAGTTACAGAATAGGTTAGGGGATTTTGCTAGATGGTTACAATCATGCATGTTTCCATTTAGAGGGAAGTTGTGTTTTGCTGGGAAATTTTCTCATTTTCTTAGCAAATTCGCCTATGCCTGGAAAGAACAAAAAGGCATTCCATTGTTAGATAAAGAACATAAATATCTCAACCGTTTTACCTTTGACTTGAATCTGTTTCTAGGGCGTCCGTGTCCTCAACATTATTTCCAAGCTCAAAGAATACATCAGTTTCATCGTCATCATCAAGAGCATCTGTCCTTTCAGCGACTGTAGTGCTACTTGATACAACTCCAACAGTTTTCGTCGATGACCTGGCAGAGCAAACAAGCTGTAATTGCTCAACTTCTGCAGAAAGCTTTACTATCGCTTTTATGAGATCTTCCCGCTTTTTCCTTACTTTGCTTTTGTCATACACCCTTGCAGCTATGAGGCCAACAACTATACCAATACCTATACCGACAGTAAATCCAATGTATTTGGACAGGTCAAGTTGCATGGACTGCATTATCCTTGGCTGGCTGTTCGTTCACACTATCTATCAACAACCATTAAAAAACTGTTCTCCAAGCTATCAGAAACTTTCATACCAAACACATAGTATAAACAGTGACAAAATAGTTTCTACAGAACTTGAAACGTCATAGAAACGTTATGAAGCGTTTGCCGGCTTTGAATTTGAATCAAACATGTAAAAACTTTGGGAGCTCACTCCACTTGCTCACTCCCATTTTGATGTTTTGCGAGGCCAGCCTCAAATTCTGCAAAAACGCAGGGAAACAAAGGGGAATGTTTTACGTCTGTGTTAGAATGTTTTGATTACTGATCACTGATGGTTTTGATTCATTCGATTCTAGATTCAACTCATGTCTAGTTGCATATTGACCTTATTACACGCTGAAAGATCAAAATGCCATATTTGTTGATAAGCACTCAAATCCGACTAGTAAGTGGCTTTGCTAATTTTGAGGTTTTCAAAGTAAATACTCGCTGAACTTACCTTCAAAAACCATTTGAAGTCTCTATCGAAATTCAAATGAATGACAACAAATACATCTAATAACTGCAACTGGCGAGGCTGCATTTGGCCGAACAAGCATATTTACGAGCTGATCTTATAAAGGTGTTTGGGGCATTTAACCAAAAACCTATAATAGGCCCCTCTTGTGCAGGACCACCTAGAGGGGACAGGAAAATTTGTCTCAAGGCCAGGTCAGGGGCCTCATAATGATGAAGTAATGAATTCCATTTTAGGATTGGACTTAATTAAACGTAGCAAAAGTATACCTTAAAATAGTAAGATGTTTTAAACTATTGCAAGAAACGACTGAATGAAAAATTCTCAAATAACTTTTAAGCTAATCTGAAGGGCATAGATGCAAGAAATTTCTGCTCGCTTCGCTCGCAGGGAGCCATCTCTCTCTGTTTTGCCCCAGGGCCTCCAAAACCTCTCACAGCCCTTTTTCACATCTCAGATCCACCTTTTCATTCATTTTAAGGAGAATGGTCCAACAATATGCGGTGATGAATGGACAGATCCAGAAGTAATGAAATACCTAGAATGTGAACTTGTGCAACAAGCCGGTAACATATTGTAAGTGGGTTTCTAATACAATAGTTATTGTAAACAGATCAATTTTTTGGTGTTTGGGAATTCCTCTTCCTGTATCTTTTTGAGTCTTTAGAAGCTAACATAATGTTAGGCTTGCAGATATGCTCATGTCCTTTTTCATGAGACTTTTGCTGAAGCTTGTGTTTCTATGAAATATAGACATTAATCTATTATCTGAATCAAAGAAAGGCCTCTGGGGCTGGAGGAGCTGGCTGGATCTGCTTTCCCTCTCGCCTGTATGTTGAAAATGGTCCAGAATGTGCTATAATTTTCTATTTTGTTATGATGTGATTATTCCTTTGCAGCAAACAATATGAATGCAAATACCCACCAAGAATTGTACTTGATAAACTGGAGCTACTTGGATATCAAGTTATAGCAATGTGTGGAGCTGGGCAAACTATAATTTGGACTTTGAAAAAAGTTTAGTCTGATTCAAGATTGTAGCTGTAGAAATTACTTTTGCATAAGAGTTGTGATCAGGTACTGCCTGGAACACTGTCCAGCCACAATACTTGATGTTGAAGGTGCTCTTTTTTTAAACAGTTGTTTTACATGTGCTGTATTTTACAGTATTTTTTCAAAACTCATTAGTAATGTACAACAAGTCAGAATGAATTCAATAAATTATTTTATGCACACTTAAAGATTAACTGTCAACCAATAAAGAAGCTTTTGTAATTTATAGGGTCTTTTCTGGTTTATCAACATTGCATGCTCAATCTAACGAATTTCTGTGTCAGAAAAAATGGGAAATTGTACCAGAAAGGTAAAAAGAAGCTGCTGGTGTCAGTTAGCCTGTCAGTTTTTAAAGAGCATGCTGATGAATAGAAAGTTCCCAATTCTGCCACAGCTGAGAGAAATAAAATATAACCATTGGCAGAGTTTGAAAAAAATTTGCATGATAAAAGCTACAATGCCCACCAAAAGTATTGGAACAGTCCAATCATCTCTCCTATTGAACGTCTCCCATCCCCCCATATACAATGTTGGAATTCTGACTGGAAAATGACTTGATTTGCTCAGATCAAACCATGCTCAGATCAAACCATGCTCAGATTTGGGCGCTACGCTGCGCGCACAAAAAATGTCAAATGGAAATCGGCCTTTAGATGGTTCGCGCAAAACTGTGAAGAGTAAATGACTTCTCCATTAACACATTTCTAGTCATTTTTTGTGACCCAAGCATATGACACAGACAATAAAAACCGGTATATAAGCTAAGTAAGCTGAATTAACCACATCTCAACGGAAAAGTGCATTTAAAAATCAATTCACAGCAAATGTTTTAAAATACTATAGGCACTTAGTAAAAAAAGGGCTCTAAGGAAACTTTATTCACGTTCAACTGAAGAGATGCCAGGGTGCATTTCATGTACGCCGAAGGTCCATCGGAGCATTTGTTTAGGTACACCAAAAATATGAGCAATTAGTATACCTGTAAATATTGTGCGCCAGACAAAGGAAACTGACCAATAGAGAAAAATTGTGATTTATGGCCTGAAGAACATTGAATTATATGCTTTGCATTACAGATGGGAGGAGGTTTAACAGGTCCATGAGGCTTGAGTTCAGCTGGTTTCTGCCTGCAAGTCTTGACTCCAGCTGAGTTGTAATACAGCTGAACATCAACTTCAGCTGAAGATTGAAACAGCTGAACATTAACTTATTGTGGTATCTTCACTGCTTGCTAATACCAGTCCGCGAATATTTCTCTACATTCGCTTGTTTCATGCAAAGGTCCTCTACGAATCTTTCAATTATATGGGCCATTGAAACAGAGTGAAAGATGTCTTGGTTTCTTTCTTCTGAGTTATTCACCAGTGGTCGTAGAGGCCCTATCCCACTCAAAGTCTTGTGCCTTTATTTTGGTTTTTGAGTCCCAGAACAATTCTTCTTCAAAACTAGTTCGTAGCGCATCATAAATCACGCTATAGGGTAGGAGCTTGAACATAGACTCTATTACTGCGTGAAAGTCTGAAAAATCATTTATCTGTATTTCTGAGAGGTCCATTACATCGCTGGGATGTGTCATTTATGACGATTCTCTTTAGTGTGACCAGAAAAATATGCAAGCAATTTTTTGCAACAAAATATTCAAGCTCCTTTGAGAAAAAGGGTAGGGGACTGGACCCCCAGGACCCCCCTGTAGTTGCGCGCCTGATTGGGAATTTAATCCTTCTTGGAGTATCGTTACAGTTCGTTTTCATTTTTTTCGCGGACAATGATCAAAAGACAAAAATAATCTAGAAGCTCGATCAAGCGCCTAACTGAATCGAGGGGCTTGATTAAAACAAGCTCCTAACTTTTGCTCATTTCAGGGCCTGGCCTTGTTATGTTTGAACCCAGTGTATACATAGGACAAAAGTGCAATATTTCAAAGATTTTACACAATTGAATTTAAAAGGATCTATTGTTCAATATACAATAATTGTTTGTTTGCTTTTCTTTGCCACTTTACATCGGGCTAAGATCCTTTAGTCCGGTGTAAAGTGAAATAATAATTTGCCTTGAAATCATATTGTCAATTTTGCAATATTTGATTTGATACGAAATAAGTTTTTTGATGTTTACTTTATCTTCCTTGCTCGTACCATGCTACTCTTTTAGATCAAATAGCTTATCAACCTGAATGAAATGAAAATTGAATATGGAGTTCACCTATAAATGGTATTTTTTCGTTTTAACGTTTTAAGAAGTGAAGAGCCATGCTTGATATCGAATTTAAATTTCAAACAGTTGTTAAGAAGAAGTCATCAGTTTATGAGTCAACAGTTTTACTCACCTCCCACAAATTGTGTCGATCTCAAAAAGAGAACACAAACTTTCGATATTGAATAAAGCCATCTAAACTCATACTTAGAATTATAACATACTGATTACATATGCATGTACCCTGGTTAAGGTCAAGTTGACCCAGAAATGTTTCAAGTCCTGTAGTGCGAAAACCTTCACCGATGTAGGTATTGCGCCATTCAAAATAAATGAGGGGGCTGAGAAATAAACAAAACATAAAGTTTTTTATATCTTTGGAAATCGCTCGAATCCCCTAAGTGTACTTGTTTAACTACATAGTATCAAGAACAGTAAAAGAATCGTTCTTATAGAAGCATGCTTATAAGAAAATCTCTAAGTAGAGAAAGATTCTGAAATTTCTATTGCCTAAAAACTTTCATCAGGCCCAGTACGCAGGCTGAGTTTTGGTCGTTGTCATGGGAAGGTACCCTTCGGTTGTCGTGAGTCAAATCTGCGCATGTCCTGCTGGCACGTGATAATGATCTTCGTACTTTTCTCAAGAACATAATTATCGTACCTCTGTATTTAAGCATAGTTGTTGAAATTATTTCAAGCACTGGTTATATTTATGCACAAAAATTTTTGAAAAGCTTGCAGCCTCTATGTGCACAACGCTACAAACTAATGCTAATGAACAGTTTCTAGCGAAATCTGATGGTATCAGACCCCCTTCGCGTGTTTCCTTTATTTTTTTCCGTTTCCTTTTTCCCTACAAGCAGTCTTTCTTTTCTTCATAGTTTTGTTGATCTTAGTTGTCAAATTAAAAGTTGTATATAACATTACATGATTATCAAAAATCTTAGTGCTAGGGTTTTTTGACCATGTCACTAATGACATAATGTTTCGAAAGTTCTATCAGTGTTTCTTCTACATGTCCTCTTCAGTCTTGTCATGAAACTCAGAGGTGATCCTCAAAATACTTCTTTCATTTTCCCTTTATTTTTAGAGTGGCTATGAGGCATCATATAATTCAATTTTGATGACCGAGCCAGTAGTAGAACTTTAATATAACTTTGTAGATTGTAAAATCTTTGCCCCGCCGAATGCCGAAACGGAAGAAACCATGGGCGTAGCAAATTCTAAACGTTTAGGGGAAGGATGCCATCGGCTTGATTTTACGTCTTTTGGTAACCAGAGAGATTGTGTAGGTCCTCCACATAAGTAAGGGTTGGAAAAGGGACGAGCTGTAGATAGGTGGGGCTAGCACTACGCTCTATTCCTGAAGAGTGAGTGGGGCCAGCGCCCACTGTGTCCCCGGTTCCTAAGTCGATGGAGAATCCTCATTCTGCCATGGATTTGACATTGATTCATATAAATACCATAAACCATAGCTAAGCTAGATTTCATTGTTAAGAGCCTTTTGGAAATCCTTGTGATTCCAGTTATGCAGGAGGGAAGAGAAAGAGAGACATTACTGAATTGAGCTTTTTAATAAGATGTTGACAAGAAATAGTAAGAACATTTACAGATTGTTAGGGGGATGGTGAAATTATGAAATATGAGAAAGGAAGATGTTGAAGGTGATGAGAGCAATTTTCTATCGTGATACGAATTTTCTCTGAAGAACATACCCCTAATAAACAAAATAGATTCCTTTCCGTAGCTTCACTCGGACAATCCTAAAGGAAGGGTATTTGGGTTTTACGGTTACGCTGTTTTGCCCGTATATCGGCTCAGTTTTCTGGTTTGTATTGCAAAAATTTCCGTTTTCGGATCTCTGTTTTGTTGATGTATATGCTTGTGCCTCGTACATAAAGAAAAATTACGAGAATACTGATGTTAGCGCAGAATAATTTGAAGAAGCAAGTGAGGCCGACGAGAATTCAGACGAGGTTGATGAATTCGATTTCAGCAGGGTGGTGGGAGATTAGAATCTCCACAAGCCAGCTACGGTGAATTTGGAAAATCAACAAACGTTCATTTAAGTGAAAATCAACAAACTATCTCAATGCTAGTTATATTTGTGGGATCGACATCCTAAATTCTACAACTTGCATGGATGAAAAAAAGAGCTTATTCTAAGCTGGATTTGGGTCCTTTTCTTGGAGCTGGAAATAGAAATGTGGAGCCGCTGAGAGAGGGGGCAGGTTTTGCCAGGGCCTCGACGTCTAGAAGCCCTAAACAAGAATGAATTCGATTTTAAGAATGGAGTTAATCAAACGCAATAAAAGCATACACAAAAAATTAAGACGATTTCGACGGTTAGAAGGATGTGACTGCAAGGAGCATCATGAAGAGCATTATAAGCAAATTTAAAGGGTGTGATCGCAAAAATTTTCTGCTTGCTTCGTTCACAAGGTCCTCGACTTTTGGTGTTGCCCCGGAGCCTCCTAAACCTCTCGACCGTCATGCCAACAAGTTGATTTACTAAAATGAAAAGAGCGAATGGATTGGCTTGTCCCCGCCTTTAAAGCGTGAATAATGCTAAAATTATCATAATGATTTATGGAGCTGGAAATTTTAGAATAGCACTATTTTCGGTTTTAGCTGGTTTTTCCCGCGGTTATGCGGTTTTAAGAAAAATAATGCACGGGTTTACGGCTTTGGCAAAAATTTCAGGCGGCTCTACGGCCTGATTTCAGACCTCCCCAAGCACCCCCTCCTAAAAGTAAGTAAGGGTGACGGTGGGCGTTATTTCCTTTTTACATAATTATTGTCTGTTTGGATAATTTTGAAGGTAATGTAACTTTAGAAATCAAAATGTTTTTTGGCCAAAGTTATTGTCTTCTGTCATGAACGTGACGACAACATTGACGATCAAGCAGTAAGATCAAGTGGAGGCCAGTCCACGGGAGTGAGGCCAAATAAACAACAGTGGAGCAATCCATGGAAACGATGCCAAAAAGAAAGACCAATGATCACTTGATGAATGATTCTGAGCAGATATGTCTGTAGTAAACAGTGAAGCTGCTGATATTTCTAAATTGGTGCTATCCACTGTTGATCATCTACAAGACCTAGGTGACTATTTGTCTTTTTTGTAGCTATTCGCTTTCGAAGCATCCCATCCATACCTAGCTCTTGTTAATTATATATGAGAAGATATTAATATTAGGTAGTCTGATTTTTTTGTCCGTTTTGAAATTTTTGATAACAACCTACTACCGAGAAATTTCAGTGAAAACTGTTTTATCTGTGTATCTCTACCCACTACTTAACCCCACTGAACCCGTCCCCAAAGTATTTGGGTTCTTAATAATCCTTTGCAGTTGTTCATTACGGATGATGTCGTCTATCTCAGAGGTGTTTAACACCAGTATTTGCTTATTATAATAGACTTTTTCATTTTCAAGATGACAAACAATGCACCAGTTTTTAGCAAGCTTAAATTGTATGCACAAGAAAATTGCACACAGAATTTCAAGTGCACTTTTGAACACTTATATGTTTGTGCACTCTCAAGTTTTGAGCCAAGTTTTTGTTGAATAGGTAGGTCAATACTCTGCAGGCTAGCTAATAATGATACCAGATTGGAATCTTTGAAAGATGCATGGGGGATCTGTTTCATGTCCATGAAAGCTGCACATTTGCAAATAGCAAAGATAAAAGTTTTGTGCTGCTGAGACTAATTATCATAAAAATACAGTGTATAACTTTTGGGTATAAATTTCAAAGAAAGACGTTAGTAACATCATTAGTGGTGATAAAAACAATATAGCAAAGCTAAACATTTACAAACCAGTCTCATGTGTACACAAGCAAAAAGTAATGACGATCTAGACGATCTGCAACTCTGAGGGTCTTCAAATTCAAATTTCATTAAAAGCGTCAATTGTTAAGTACATACACGATAAGTTTTACAGTTAAAGAAGAATCCTGTGCAGCTGCTTGAATCATTTTAATAGAAATTGCATGGCTGCAATAGCGGCTGAAGGCAAAAATTCCAATCTGGCAATGATATAGCTAACTTGATACACAATTTTACTTGAAACCATAGTTCATTCCAGTAAAAACGATTTCTGCTGTCCCCTCTCTCTATTGCTGATTTTGCTTTTAATCAAACCAGAATCTACTGTATCCTTGGTAAGTATTTTTTGCAAAAAAAAGACTTTGTTATTAGGATATTGTCCAGTCTTCATCACCCAGACTGTAAAGTATTTTTTATGTAGGGGGAATGCCAGAGAAGAAAAATATTAAAAAGTGGCCGACAATGAAGGTTCAATGAGAAATTGTGCATAGAATTGGTAGCAAAGGCTTTCAAACAGACCTTGTATTCTTTGTTTTTTCTTTTAATCAGAACATGTTGCTTAAATGGTGAAATATTTGCATGGAACATGAGCAGATAAACAAATGTTTTACACAAACTCTTAAAAGCAGATTCTTGATACTGTGCAGGTAGAATTAATGATTAAAATAATTGCACAGGAAAAGCATTTCCCGCAAAAACCAAACTTTGCAATCTGGCTCTTCCCAAACTGTCCCTGTTCTCTACAAAAATAAAGAAGTTTGAAACAAACAAATTTTAAAATGAATTTTATATTCTAAACAGCAAAGAGGATAAAGCAATGGCAGCAAGATCAAGATTCATTTGATGACATTTCAGGAGTTGTTGAAATAATCATTAACACACTTCATGAACTAGTAAGTTTTTTGCAAACTAGTAAAAAGTCTTTAGAATGCTTACTGTACAGTATGTTGATTGTTGATGTCCAGTGGAAAAGTATCATGCTTAATATCAGCTTCAATTTGTCAGAAGTAGTAGGTTAATTATTATCAAAATATTTCCCAAATGACCCCAGCCGTCCCATAACTTTTTGCCTCAGAACATTTCAGCTTTGCTGTGAGAAATCTTTCTTATAGTATGATAATGACATGGATAGGTAGATGCTTGGCATGACCTGCTGTCAGCCTACTTTGGCTGTAAAAAATGTCATAATTTATTTTCAGACATACTGATTTTCCTAGAGAAGCATGAGAATTATATAAATAATATAGACGTTATTATAGCTTGGCATATCTAAAGTGACATTTAAAAGAATTATGATTTTAGTTTAAAATTATTTTTAATTGAAGTGTGATCATTGCTAAGCTTCATTAAACTTGGTTACCTTGAACAGGATTCTGATAGATTACAAGTTCATCAAGAATTGGAAGCAGAAACTATTAAAGCAAGCATACAGAGACATAAATTAGCTCCATATGCAGAAGAAATCGAAAATGAAATCAGAGGTAAAAAGGAAATGGTCCCATAGTTTTTCTATAGCAGCTAAGAAAATTTTAGCAATCGAAATGTGGTATCTTATTGCTTCACTGAAATGACATTAAATGCCATTTTTGAATCAATCTATTGTGTTTTTATGCTTAAAATTGACTATTGTTGTTTTTTTTGCAGCTGCTGTTACATTTGCTAGGGAATCAAATGAATCAGAAATAAATAAATTGCAGGTTTGTAAGCCCATCTTTAAGCAAATTTGGACAGTTTTGTTTTTAGCCATTTTTTATGTAAATGAAATCATGTTTCAATGATACCAGAGTAAAAGAGGTAGATTTTCCAGAAAAGTGATGAAACACAGAGATGTTGACCAAGATGTTGAAAATCAGCTTAGGTCCATCCCTTTGTTGTCTAAGATCGCAGGCCCTTATCCCTATCTTGTCACACTGGGCCAAACAGCCAAGATATTCTGGGAGTCCCAGGAAAATTTTTCTTAGAAAATTTTATGGCTCCTACCCCATCTAACAGGTTATAAGAGAACCTTCACATAAGTAGCTGCTTTTATAACTATTGCCCTGTTACTCTAACATTTCATGTTAACTGATATATTGAAGTGTTTGATTAAATTTGCTAGCTGAGAGTCCAAAAAAATTAATCCCAGAACCCCTCTCCTTATTAATTGATCTTCAGATATTGGTTACATTCTTTTTTAGTAAAAAAACTATTGTGAGTCTCTCTCATAAGAAAATGCATAACTAGATAATGCTGTTGATTAAAATTCTGCCAATATTTAGATAATTGACTCAAATTCATTTCTAAATTTGATAACTTGATTTCAGGATAAAATTGATGGCATTCTTAATGAAAAAGAGAGCTCTGAGCAGAGGTTAAGCTTGCTGACTGTAGAGAGTTGCAGTTTGGAGTATGTTTAGAATTTCAAAAATTAGGAAGCCTTTCAAAGTTATTTCTTGCTTAAAAATTCACAACAATGCATTGCTCCTATAAACCTGGTTGCTTTAACAAGCATCTTAGTGCTTTTGGATTAACCAATTACAGTATGTGGCCTTAATTAGCTTAACACTTTTGTCTCTGCCAACTTTAATTGAATTTCTTATTATATTATGTAATGTATTATATTGTTTGCAGTCCTAGAAGGTAAAGGAGCATGTGGAGGTATAAAACACCCTTTCTGACCTGCTACAAAAGATTTCCTTTTGAAGTCAATGTAATTGATTTCACTTCAAAATGGGTGCCAAATAATGCTAATTACTTACAGATAGTCATTGAAGTGGCACTTGATGTTTTGATTGAATTAATTCTCAACTTTTTGGTAGGCCAGAGAAAGATGAACTCACTTCACAGCATGAAAGAATGGTGGCAGTTTTAAACCAGACTCTCACAGACAGAGCCAAGTAAGTGTTGGCAATCGTTATTACCAATGATGCAAACTAGCTGGCAGAAACTGCCATGGATGAGTTTTATCAATATTTTTTCATTCTGCCAGTTGACCAACCTAAAACTCCATTGCTTTGTGGTTAGATGATGCTCAAGCACATTATATATATTTAGCTTACAAATAAATATGATGAAGTAAACCTTTCAGTATACTATGTTATTTTATAAAGTCACTAAATACTTACTCAGACAGAACATTCAGAAAAAGATAACATGCTGTTTAATTTGAATTGATTCGATGCAGTAAATTTCAACATATTTGCAATAATTTTGTTTGATTATGGTATGAGTTGACTCTATGATAAAATTACAAACACTTTTCTTAATCTTCAGTTCAAATTGTAATCTGTTGCTATGTTTCTATTCTAGCATGCAAATTAAGCTGAACGAGACAAGAGATCATTTACGAGAAACCTACAGAAAGGTTTAAATTTTTCATCAGATTTCAAAGAGCATTGATTTTAAGATTGAAATTATTTAAAGACCAAAATTACTAGAGGCTGTACAGACATAAAATTGTGCTTCAGCAATATCTAATTTTTCTTGTGCCTTTGTAGATAATGCTAGACAAATATTGTTTGAAATTCAGATGTGTTAGGTTAAGTTTTGTGACAGCGAGATTGAAGGGAATTATCGAACTTTGGGCCACACCTAAAACGTATTAAACTAGCTGCCTTTATATCTGCGATCTTGGCAGAGATTGTCAATGCTCCATTTGTAAACAGCCAGAAGTTGAATATCTAAAAAAACTAGATTTAAGATCTTCATGTTTGGCATTAACTTGGCTAATGCGAATGATCAGTCTTTATTCGCCAGCATGATGTTAAAACAACATCCTGCTATATCACGATATTCTTATTACGTAATTCTTAAATGATGATAGCCTGAGGGATGATACTTCAAATACTTTCTTTGATAAGATCCACTGTATCTACTATCACTATTTTATTTGTATTTTTGCCTTTTTTTCTGTTAGAAGCAAACTTTCTGAGTCAAAAAACTATTTTATTCACAGATCAGCGATGTGGAAAAGGCTCTTATCGATATTGAAGTTGAAATGGAAGAAGACAAAGAAGAAGCAAGAATAAATAAAGATAAGCTGCAAAAGTCTGTTGTAAGCATTCGTCTGTTACTTTATACCAAAATCTATAATAACATTTCTAAGTGTTTATGATTGCTCAATAGCCTCAACATAATCAAGTGTTTGGAAGCGTTTGAGTAGTTGTTGATGAACAATTTTCTTTTGAAATAGAAAGAGACAAAAAAGAAAGTCGAAGAACAAGCAACTGCTAATCTGATAAAGTCGAAGTAAGTATTGTTCAACAAATTACTGCTAATATGATAACGTCAAAGACATCTAGATAGACTTTTGCAACTGGATATAAATAAATAAGGTTACACACGAGTATTTTGAACGGCTGGTTGCGAACATGATATTGCAAGAGAGAAACAAGATCGTTGATAAAATTTGGCTCGTTCTGTCCCCAACCCTCTTGAACTCCTAGGATCTCGTGGTACAGGCCAGCAAGCTGGTCACGGATCATGATGTCTGGGTACTATCTAAAGAATGTCTAGATGTTGAGTATATGAAATAATGAAGATAATATATGTGATGTACCGGTTAGACTTGTTATAGTGAAATTGAAAAAACACCTTTGATTCATTCTGATTCTAGGGAAATTAAAAAGATCCAAAGTGAGCTCAATGACCAAGAACTGGAGCTAGATGAAAAGAAAAAGGTTGGGCTTATTTCATGTTTGCTTTATGTCAAAAGATATCTGTTTGAGCAGACAATATTAATGGTGTCTTTATAAAAATTTTAAACTTTATCAGAGTACTTATTACTTTTTTAGTACTTATTAGAGTCAGATGTAACTATTTTTTCCTCAGACTTTTGTATGTAAAGGCTCTTTTTAAGAATATATAACAAGAAGAGTTATTCATCTGAAGACATTTGTTGGAAATTTCCAAAATTGACCTGTTTTTTGCTGAAATTAGGTTGCTTAGTTCAAGATAACAGCTTCAAGACGTAATCTTGATGTCTGATAATGCTATTTATATGACAATCGGAAAACGTATCTAGTTACGGCAATATTCGAAAGCTATAAAAAGAATGGAATCAGGGTGGCATTATTTTCGTGGTCTGCAGTTTTTTCTTGCCTACACTAGGTTTCTCATGAATTTCTCCGTAGCATTCTTGTTGTCAGGCTCATAGAAAACTAGGGGTTTAAAGCAGCATCTGAGCACCCGAAACACAGAAGGATGTTTAATGATAATATCCCGTTGGGAATCCTATGTCTATGTCCATGTTCATTTTCTTGCATAAATAAATATATACTCTTATGTACTGTATTGTCTTTGTGTACATAGCTACCATTTTGAGTTTTAACTCACAGCCTTTCGTTGCATTTATGACAATTCTATGTGAAGCTCTGTTTCCAACATGGGTGTGACTGTTTATGAAAGTATCATTTGATAGGCCATTCGTCAACTCGAAACATCAAAAACTCGCCTTGAAGCTAATCAAGTACAGCTGACGCGTCAAGTAAGGAAGGAAGTCAAAGAAAATGCTCGTTTGACTCAAGAAGGGTACGTTGCTCGCCATATTAGCGTTTTACTGGATTTGGTTCTACCCAGCATCCAATGGAAGTCTTTAGGGCACTGAGAATCTGTGTTTGTTGCGCAGTATCATGTTTCCTCTTCTTGATGTGACCATACCTCACGATTCCTTCGCTTCGCATTGCCGAGACCTTACCACTCCACTGGGACTAATACTGATAATTTTGTCAGTTTTTGTACTGTAAATTAGCTAAAAACATAAATTAAAACAATTGATGATACGAGAAGAGCGTCACTGAGACTAGCTTTGAACCACTGTTAAAAGAGCTTAATGCAACTATCATTCTTTAATACAATTCATGGAATTGTGACTTTAGGATGAAGATTCTGGAGACTGGAGCCGGAAGCTCTCAGAAATTAATAGAATCCCAGGAAGAGCTTAATGAAACGAAAAAAGCGGTAAGTGCTAGTGCAATCTTTACCTATTCAAACTTTTTGAATAATTTCTTATCAGCCGAAGTTTCCTTGTTTAAGATGTAAAAAAAGTAAGACACTATATAGTATTTGGTAAAAATATTCTTATAGATCCAATTCCGTAGTAGTTTCACGACTTCTTTTTCGTGATGTACAATCCCTGCCAAATGACCAAGTACACTTTGCTAGATTTTCAAATTTTCAGTATCCTCCTTATCTCTCTCCAAACAATGACGCAATGTTGCCCCCTTTACCCTGTCATATTGCTATGACAGTAAGTTTACAACCAATATTTTTAGGGGGTAGATGGTGAGCTATCTGTTGCTTTTTACCGGAAACTGTTGATATGTTACCTTCAAAAGAGCGAGTTAACTTAGCGGTCTTAAAAATATTTTGGTATGGATACCAGAAGAAGTTACCAAAAGAGAAATGATATCAGTATCAGAAAAACAGAAAAGATTGAAGGAAATATTTAAATTAATTTTCCTCCAGTTGTCTAGGATCATGAATCGTTAGGGTACGCCGTACATAGATTGTGCCAATTTGTTGATCGAAAAACAAAACGACTAGAAATAAGGTACCCTGTATTGTTTTCATTCAGTCAGATTATTCGTTGATAACCATTTTTAAAGTATTTTTTGTTGTTAACACCTTTATATGATGTAAATACATAAAATTTTGTGTTTTTTATAAATTTGACACAGGTTGAATCAGAGATGGCCAAATCTAACGAAGAGTTCCAGAGATTGAGTAATGAAAAGATGAAATTATCAAATGGTAATACATTGATAAAAACATAATTCACACTTCATCTAATAACACGCAATTCATCTTTGCTTTTGATTCAAAGCACTAGAAGACTTGCATTGTGCGTTAAAGGGACAAGACAATATCATCAATACATACCCTGTAATAGCCAGTATGATAACCCTAGAAGCCGGAATTTATATCTATGTCGTCCCATGTATACCCCGCAACTGTTGCAATATTTCATATACATTTTGGGTATACATATAGAATATCTCTACTGTAGAGCTAGAGGCTGCAAAGTCTCGTGGAACAAAGGAGAAGGATGAAGCAGATCTGATGCAAAAGAGGTAACAATTTCACGATTTTACTCTGCAAGAAGGTGATGCAAAGGCTATCGTGAGAGCTTTTTTGATCTCGTCCCGTCATCCAGCATTTGCTGAACACTTTACATTCAAGGGATCTTTTGCATAAAACAGAAGCGTTTGCAGATAGTATTTTCTTGTAAACTCAAAATTTACTGCAACTACTAGATGACTATTTTAATTTGATCACTTGCAGCATTTTTATTTGCGTCAGTTGTTGTATCCAATTCTAAATCATGTTACAAATGTAGGTTTTCATACCACGCTGACTCTGGTTTTAAGTATATGGTGGTTTTTTTACAGACTCAGAAGTGCCAAAGATGAACTTCTTACTCAAAGTGACGACTGCCAACGACTAAAGAGAGCTAATACAGAACTAGAGTCCACAATAGATCAACTTTTACAAGACCACCAGTTAGTATAATTATTCATCCTTGTCATCTTTTAATCTTTTCCCTCCCTTTGCACCATTATTTTTTACCAGACCGTAGCAACATTATTTTGCCCAGAGCAAGAACAAAACTTATGGCAGAGAGACCATTAGATTTATTGGCCAAAAGATATTGCAAAAGCTACCCACTGAAATGAAGAAGTCCCAATTACTACATATTTTTAACGAAGCAAAAAATGATTTAGAGAAATGCGAATGCAACTGTAGATTGTTGTGCATTTAGGCTTTTTATAAATAATTACTTTTCAATTTCATTGTAAATAGTTGGTTTAAATGAGCTTAATGCTAGATCTCGTTGCAACTGTAAAGTTATTATTCATTATTCATTTTATTTATTTTTTGTTTTTATTATTTATCATTATATAGAGATGCTGAGGTATGGGATATAACCTCTTTGAAAAAATTTGTTTCGAAGAAAGAGAAGCTTTTTGCCATCTAGGGGAACTTCGTCGGTGAATTGTCAAACTTGTTAGAAAACAAAGGAAGAAGACAGCTTTCTCGAGCACTAAAGCTAGCGACAGCCTTGTAATATTTTGAAACTTATTGTTACGAACATCTTGAAACACAAATAGGATTTCATTAAAGATTCTCTTTCTTTTTCTAACTTGAATTTACACGACGAGTTTCAAAGTAATTTTTATACATATAGACAGGAAAAGTTATATTGTGATAAAAATTTGAAACGGTGCCACGAGGCCTCGCGAGGAAGGTTCCTTAAACTCATTTACTTTTCATTAGCAGCTCGTGTAGCCAGCATTGTCGTATAATATAACTTTGCTTTTAATCTTCAAAACTAACTTTATTTTTTTTTCTCAGAGCTATTGTAGAGCTACTAAACAAACAAATAAGCGATTTCACTTTCAACCTCGCAGCAGAAAGAAAAGAAAGGTACCATTATTTTACTTTTAAAAGCTTCTTATTTGTATTTAAACTGGAAAAAGTTGCATTTTATAGACAAAATGTCCCTCCTTTCCACAAGATTAAGTTGAAAATTTTTGAAAATTGAATCTTTCTGCATTTCTCGTGAATTAATTGTTCAATGACAAGGGATTTCAAAAGAAGGTCGATATCAAGTTGTTTCAAATATTTGGGTAGGTGCCCAGAAAAAAGGTCATATAAAATAAATGCTCTATTTTACACCCTATACATCCAATTCGAGTCACATGTTTTGTCGCCCGGATCTCTACTTTTAAAAATTATTACCTCAGGCAGTTGCTGCAGACCAAAAGAGACGAAATCACCAAAGAAATAAATGAATTCAAGACAGATTACGGCAAACTCATGTCTGGAATAACAAAGAAAATAAACGATGGAAAAAGCGAGCACCACAAACTTACAGATTTGGTATGTATTCATACTTCCCAAGATATGTGCTTAGGAATGCTGGCATTCAACAAGGGGTCTCTAGATATCAAGGCCATTAAATAGGAGAATAGTGTAGGAGGATGAAATCTCATCAAACTTTCCAAGGGCGACAAAATTGCATCAGCATTCTTGTCATTTATTAGTTGTGCTCTAATTTGGCTCTGAATGATATTGCCTTGCCTCCCATCATGACTTCTTGTGTACAAACATGTATGTGGTGATAGGCATGCCTTTCTTTAATATAAACCAAATTCTAGTTTTCCTACGCATTCAAAGTCATAGAAATGTTATGATACACAGATAAAAGATTGATGACAGTCTGAAGTTCATTATGAATACTCTCTGACAGGGAATTATGTTACAAAAAAGCCTGAAGCAAGATGAGGTTGATATATCAAACAAACAAAAGCAACTGAAAAGAGCAAAGGAGCAGCATGCAAAAATAAAACAATCTTTGAAGGCACAGATATCCAAACTAGAGGTACTCTTTATTTTGAATATATCGTGTTATTTTGAAAGTGAATTGATGTGCATGCCATTGCTCGCTATCTCGAGTGAGCTGAGGTGAACAATTTTTACCTCCTTGGTTTGAAATTTCAATAAAACGAACAAGCTTTATCATAAACTTGCAAATTTTATGGAATAATTAAACACCACAATGAAAATAAGAATATGTTTTTTATTGCAGAAAAGTATTGCGAGTATAGAAAAGGAGATTCAAGAGAAGTCTGATTTAATCAAAGAAAGAACGGTAAAAACCCTTTCATTTCGTACACAAAGTTTTTAGAAGCAACAAAACGGTTGCTTGTACGCAGAACATTTTCAGAACACGTTGCTTCCTAAGAGCTGATATTTATTGTTTATGACAACTACCCAAAGCATACTATATTGCAAAGATACTTCACTTGAAAGATTCTTATTTAATATCCCTTACATTTAATGGATATGTTTAATAAACAAAGCCTTCGTTACTCAAGTTCCCTATTCATTCCAATGAATCGGAAAATTCCAGGAAAAGAAGTAAGATTCGTTCATGAAAATAAGATTCGTTCATAAAAATAAATATTATTGGAATATTCGATCTCTAAGCCGGCTAACTATATACAGATTTGACTAAAAACATTTTCCACCGTGTATAACTACGCACAAACGAAAGCCTTGAAAAATTTTTGCATTTTGTTAATTAACAATTTATACCATTCAGCCACCATTTGAGGACCTGAAAAAGCTTTCTGAGCGCAAAACAACTGAATTTGAAGAAATGAAGAAATATATCGTTGGTCAGTGTATCTTCTTACAATGTATTTTTATTGTTAATCAATGTTCATCAGACTATAATTTGAGTGATTTTTTACTCGCTGCTACTCACTGATCGTCTGAAATTATAAAATTGCCGTTTTTAGACCCTTGTATTATGACCTTATGATAACAGATCATTGCACTAAAAGACCGATATTTATTTTGAAATCTTTAATTGATTGTACGCTATAAAACTAAAAATCATTGCTATGATTTGTTTTTTATTGCTGCATGGAAAAACTCTCTTTTATTTCAATAAACAGTTTGCATAAGCTTTCAAGTGGCTGCAGCTAACAAAAAACCATACCTATTCTCTCCCCCGTGATGCATCTTCCATTACAATGTCTCACAATGAGATTTTTTTAAAATTCAGTCTTCGTTTTTTAAAAGATTTGAAGAATAAAAAGAGTGGACTCGAAAGTTCAGTGTCAACTACCTCGCAGAAAATTTTAACAATGCAGAATCCTCAGGTGAGTTAAGAATGGTCTCTAGAGATTTTTTTTAAATGCCATTCATTCATTTATTCTCCAGATAAAAGGGTCTTAGAGGTGCGTTTTGACCCTGGAAAAGCTCCTTGATATTGTATCACAGCTTATCAAGGCATGCCTTTAAAGGTGAATGGATTAATGTAAAAAAACCAAAACCTATCGTGGGTTTGTATTCACCTTGTGACAGAGGGGTACCTATCGAAATGTGATATCGTCTTTCTCTCGGAATATTCATTGTATTGATGGTCGGGAGGCTGTTTTTACTGGGAGAGCTGCCTGTTTTTATGAAAAAATTGAATCAAGTAATTTTCAACCGATCAAGGAAAACAACCTAATGCCAAAGACAAAAACTGGCCTCTACGTCATCAAACTGGCTCCGCTATCTCGTGATTCCTCTATTTCACACGCTTCCCTTATGTATGGATCCTTTTTTGGGACACACTTTTCTTCTGTGTATAGAAATGTTACAGGTTCGTAATTCAAAGTGATTTTAACTCAGAACTCTTTTGTATTTTGTACATGTAGAAGTCTATACAAAAGGAAATCATCGAAAACAGAAAGAAAAATTTGGAATTGCTGCGCCTGCAAACTGATGAACTGAAGAAAAAAGAGCAAGAAATATTCCTTGCAGAACATCGACTGGGCCTTATAAATCAAGAAAACCAAAGGTGAGATGTATTGAGTATGCTACCTTTTTGTCAATCGTCTCAGTTTAATAATGATTTTGTTTTGGCAAACTGTGTTGAGTGTTGATATTTTAGTCGACTTTTTCTGGCCATATTTCTTAAAATTACTGTCATTTATGTTCAAAATTTTAATGTATTTAGTTTTTATGATGGAATTACTCAGTAACTAATTTGCCTTCTTTTTCTTATTTTAGGATGTCAAAGGTGAGTGAATGCTACGTGTAAATAAAACCAAAGTTAAATTGTAATTATTGGATGACCCTTTAATCCATCTTTTACTTCCTCGTTTGGTTTGTATCCTCGTTAAACCTTTGTCCCTTATAAGCACGTCCTTGTTCATATTTCCAAAAGAACAGCACGATGTAAATAGGCCTTTCGTCGATTTCTCAGAATCTTGTACATTCATGAATACGTTGAGCAGGAATAACGAAAAGCGACTAGGAGCAAACCAATACAGCAAAAGACGACCTTGCAATATGAAAATGATTGGATGACAAATAATTCGTTTAATCTCAATAATTCGTTTATAGTAATTTTTGCATTTTAAAACCATTTCTTGGTTTATTGGAATTGCTCTTCGTCGTTTTGCGCTACTCATGCTTGCCATTTTATTTCAATTTCTCTCTTTTATTTCTGGGATGAATTTTTAATGTTTGTATAATTTCTAAGGCGGTTTTTGAAATGCGAAGTGAAATAGAATTGATGACCAAAAGAACTGCAGCACTTCAAGCAGGAAAGCTGGATATTGACCAAGAAATTCAGAAATACACGGGTAGGTCATTTCTAATGCTTTTTCTAATAAAAGGCTTCTAGGCTCTTAAGTAGGCTCTTAAGTAGAAAAAAACTTATCGACTGAATATAAATGAAAACACAAAAATAGTATTAACAATTGGTATGTATTTTTTTAATTTTTATGATGTACGATAAATTATCAATATCCTATTACGCAAAAAATACTTTATAGTTGTGTGCAAGCTTTCTTGAAATTTTCATAAAAATATCTTGATCTTTGCTGGATATTAGCACGAAGAACTTTTAACTTTTTACATTTGCACGAAATTATGGTTGCACAAAGATTGAAGTGGAGATTGTATTCTTTTCAGGTTGGTTAGACGAAAAATGGCGGGAAGATATGAAACTAGAAAGGGTACGCAACCGTTCGTCCAAACAATTTTCAGCAGTTCTTATGACTCAGCAATTCTTATATATTTTGAGGGCATAAAAGTATCATACTTCTACAAACTCACAAGCAATTTGACGTATCTGTGGATTTCATTGAAATACTTTGAATTTGCAAGTCTTTAGATTTACACATGATACTGAAACGCAGAAACTAACTTTACACATTTCTTACCTCATTTGATTTCTTGATTGATAAATTTCGTGGATTAAAACGTAGGGAACTAAAAACATAAAGGGAGAGTGAGGGAGAAAAAACCCTCAGTTTTGGGGAAAGTAAGCTTGATTTCACACTGGCGGGATTATTTCAAAAATTGATGATAGTCTCACAGTTTTAAAGCTTTGTTTCTCTGCAAATTAATGCTATCTTGTGATTTGTATTTGCACTTCTTTGTTTCAGGAGTATTGCGAAAGAGATCTCCCGTTTATAGAAGACTTGAAACGAATCGAAACAAAAGCCTTTCAAAGAGAAGGAAGGTAAAGCATCTTCTTAAGTAGAGCATCTTCTTAAGTAGAGCATCTTCTTGAGTTAAGCATCTTCTTAAGCAAAGCATCTTTTTGAGTAAAGCACCTTCTGGAGTAAAGCATCTTTTCAAGTAAAGTATCTTTTTGAGTAAAGCACCTTCTTGAGTAAAGCATCTTCTTAAGTAAAGCATCTTCTTAAGTAAAGCATCTTCTTAAGTAAAGCATCTTTTTGAGTAAAGCATCTTCTTGAGTAAAGCATCTTCTTAAGTAAAGCATCTTTTTGAGTAAAGCACCTTCTGGAGTAAAGCATTTTTTCAAGTAAAGTATCTTTTTGAGTAAAGCACCTTCTTGAGTAAAGCATCTTCTTAAGTAAAGCATCTTCTTGAGTAAAGCATCTTCTTAAGTAAAGCATCTTCTTAAGTAAAGCATCTTCTTGAGTAAAGCATCTTCTTAAGTAAAGCATCTTCTTAAGTAAAGCATCTTCTTAAGTAAAGCATCTTCTTGAGTAAAGCATCTTCTTAAGTAAAGCATCTTCTTAAGTAAAGCATCTTCTTAAGTAAAGCATCTTCTTGAGTAAAGCATCTTCTTAAGTAAAGCATCTTCTTAAGTAAAGCATCTTCTTAAGTAAAGCATCTTCTTGAGTAAAGCATCTTCTTAAGTAAAGCATCTTCTTAAGTAAAGCATCTTCTTAAGTAGAGCATCTTTTTGAGTAAAGCATCTTCTTAAGTAAAGCATCTTTTTGAGTAAAGCATTTTCTTGAGTAAAGCATCTTCTTAAGTAAAGCATCTTTTTGAGTAAAGCACCTTCTGGAGTAAAGCATTTTTTCAAGTAAAGTATCTTTTTGAGTAAAGCACCTTCTTGAGTAAAGCATCTTCTTAAGTAAAGCATCTTCTTAAAGCTTTTTGAGTAAAGCATCTTTTGAGTAAAGCACCTTCTGGAGTAAAGCATTTTTTCAAGTAAAGTATCTTTTTGAGTAAAGCACCTTCTTGAGTAAAGCATCTTCTTAAGTAAAGCATCTTCTTGAGCAAAGCATCTTTTTGAGTAAAGCATCTTCTTGAGTAAAGCACCTTCTGGAGTAAAGCATTTTTTCAAGTAAAGTATCTTTTTGAGTAAAGCACCTTCTTGAGTAAAGCATCTTCTTAAGTAAAGCATCTTCTTAAGTAAAGCATCTTCTTAAGTAAAGCATCTTCTTAAGTAAAGCATCTTTTTGAGTAAAGCATCTTCTTTAATTCTTCATGTTACATTAGTTTTAATCCTTGGTAAATAGCAAATTATTCAAATAGCTCTTCCTTTACACCAAAAATTGTAGAAAAATTGAGGGGATGGGGGCTTGATTTATTTGCTGTCTGATTTTGGTAAGATAAAACATATCGTACATTAGCGTCATCGTCAAACCTCTGTTGACGTCATCTCTACACCTTATCTCCCAATAAAACACCGCTCTAAAACAGCCAACAACTTTGCTCCAAGAAGTGACTGTAATGGTAGTTTCCCATATAACCGTTACATTGTCGAAACTTCTTGCACAGCCAATACTCCCAAAGATGTATCCTCGCCCAACAATTTCGTTATTGTATTTTGAACAACGTTGACTGGACAAGAATTTGTCACGTGATAATAGAAAACAATCAAATGGTGGCCAGTGCTATTATTAAGCCTTCCATCTATCTTTCTGCGTAAACCAGTAAAGTCGATGTACCACAAATCATACAAGGAAAACGACTTTGAGATTTGCGTGTTTAGCATTTCTCAGGAGACTTCCATTCAATCACTATTTTCATTTTTTAGGGTCGACGAAATTCACACGAAACTTCAGCAGCAGCTTCAGCTGTTAGCAGATTTCATTGATGGCGTGGCTGGCCTAAGGCCGAAATGAGTCTCTTCAGTTTACAATAGGATGAAGGCAGTTAGATGAATTTGACTAATGGATGTATCAAATATGCTTGGCCAGTTCGCTAGGAAATTTTTTCTGCTATTTGGGCACATTCTCAGTCATTTTCTTGCTGTTTTGAGAAAGCTCATTCATCTTGTCTGATTTCGACGGGCATTAAAGTAGTGAAGAAAAACTTTATCAAAATGTTATATATCGAATCACAAATGTAATGAATCAGACTGTGAGTGTTATATTTAGAATTGTGAGTGTATATTTGTAATTTAAAAGCGCCTTTTAAGTGTATATATGAGGCTGACGTAGAGTGGATTCTTATGTGATGCCTCAGATTTTCCTTAAATCCTGGCAACCAGAAAATAATCTTATTGCTTCAAAAAATGTTGTCATATTCTCCTGATATTCCGGATTAAATGTTCAATTACCGCTTTTGATATCAGAATATTCCCATTAAAATATTCCCATACAACTGTAAGGCTTGTTCAATTAAGAATTACTTGATTACGTTCTTGAAGTAAAGAAGTTCGAAATAGCATACAAAAACTCTCCTTTTAACAAAAAATAATTTCATTTAAAGTGAAAATAGTATAAATTGATTTCATTTTGAAAATATTAAAACTAGTTTAAATTCGATTACATCGTAAAAATACGCAATATAGAAAAAATATCAATACAGATGCACGATGGCAAAGCAATACCTATATCTATTAGCGTTCGAATTGGTCTCTCAATTACATTACATTTATACATACGGCATCAAGAGAGGTGTAATACGGCAGATATCAAGTTACATTATGAATTTTGCCTTCTAAAGGGAATTGTGCTCTCTATGAACTTTTAAAAGCAATTTGAAATCTAAATTTTTGAATGAATTCGTCCCCACAAAAGAATGTTCCCATAAAAAGTTTTTACTGAAGTTTGAATAATAACGGAAACGTTTACTGATTTTATACGATTCGCTGATAAGAAAACAAATAAACTCTCCTCGTGCTATCGCGATTTATCAAGCTGAGCCTCGCTTCCATATCACATTAATACGAGACGATATAAATTTGGAAAGGTGTATTAGAACATAGTTTGAAAAGATGAAAGAAGTACCTATATCCGAAGATGGTGCTTTGGGATTGAGGGTTGTTAACTCCAGGTATTTTAGTATTACATTATCATTGGCTGCAAAACTGATGTGACATAACAGGTTAAATGTGATTTTAAATAGGATTCTAACATTAATAAGCAGTGTACTGCAGAAAAATATCGAACTGGGAAATAGATACGCAAATCGTGGTGTTTTGTCTTTATTAAGCGATTTACCAAAGGATTGCGATCAGAAAATGGCATAAAGAGAAGTCATATAAAGGTATTATCTCTCTCATTACCTGTTGGAAAGCCCATAGGGATCCGCATAGTTAACTAGTATAGACCAAGAACGGTTTTCATTCACTGAGCCCTGCATTGTATCACAAAGAAAACTTCAATACTCTAAATGGAAATATTCTCTGGTCACCCAGGTCAAAAACTTAAACCCCGAATCCTAACAAAATATAAGTATCTTCATAAATGACTGGCATCAACTTGATTCATACCCTCGCTGAATTTCAAAAATTCATTAAACCTAAGGAACGCTCTCCACCGGCTTTATTGCGGCCTTAGCATTTGCAAAGCGGCAGGGAAAGCCAACATCCAAAGAGAATGTTTTGCTTCCCGTCACCAAAACTAGTTTTTCCCTCGTCGCAAACTCTTTCGTGACCACGACGGTTGTGTTCTCTGAATCAAAAGTATAGTTGATTTTGTTGCCAAGGTATGTAACGCCGTAAAAGCCAAGACGCTGCGTTTCATCAGGGAGGACTGGGTCCAAATACAATCCATCCATCTTCAAACGTATACCACCGTAGCCAAACACGATACTTTGAAGAAATCCGCCAGCCCCAGTTATAAAATTGACCTCGCCTCCATCGGGAGTTTCTGTCCACACCTGGAAAGAAGTCGTAATTATTATCACTGCGTCGTGCTGTCCTATGCAACATGAAACTCTTTAAAAAACCAGGCTTACATGGCTATTTTGAGATGCAGTTGAGCCCCGTTTAGTCGGTCAGACTTTCAAGGGAGGAAGATAATTATCCGACTTAGCGAATATCCAACTTACTCTGGGATACGACTTTTGTCATGAATATGGTAGAGAAATTCTACGGGATTAAACTGTATGAATTTTTGTAGGTTTCATGGACAATTCTATCTATGGTGAAGTTTTCAAACCAATCCTTGAAGACCATTGATGAACATCCAAAGAAGCTTTATTAAGTTCATTTTTTGTGTGAATATATCGCTGTCAACAAATTGTTTGGGTATTTCTGCCATACAAGGCGTTAAAAATGTAAAGCAATATTAATATTAGGTAACCTTGAAAGGCTCAGTGATGTTGGCATATCCCTCTTTAAAAGATACTGACGCCATTTCTAACTTCTTTAACTCAATCCATCCAACGGCAAACATCGATTTCGTCATTGCAGGACCATTTTTATCTGTAACTTCTTCGTATATCCTCAGATCATTTTCCCTTACGCTTTTAGGCATTTCGTACATCAAGGGGAATCCAAGCAAAATAGTGTCCGCTTGCTTCACGATTGTCTTCATTTTGTAACCATCGAATTCAGGATGATACTGGTTCTCTTCATCAAATGGGACATACATTTGAGCAGCAATGTGTTTCCATGCTTCTGGTACATCTATTTTGAACTTTGCAAACAAGTAGATAGCAAATTCTAAGTTGATTTTAGCAATAACATTTGTAAAAACCGAGTTATTGACGTCATAGTGATACTCGTCTGGGCCTTGTACATGGTTGATACAAAAAGCATTCTTTGTTTTATCAAACGCAACCCTGCTTTCCCAGAATTCCGCTACTCCTTGAAGCAATGGCTTCCCTTGTGTTTGGAACCAGTTCGAGTCATGTGTTGCCATCCAATACTGCTGAACAGCAAACCCAATATCGCCAACAACATGATGCTCAAACGTCGAGTAAGGATACGGTTCTGGACAAACTTCGACGCCACTGCAGGCACTTTCCCATGGGAACATCAAACCTAAATAACGCATCGTTAAATTTATTACCAAGCCATAAACGGAATATCATGCATGAAAAAGTCAGTATTGTTCAAGTCATAAAAGTTTTGCACAAAACTTGAAATCTGACTTTAGAAAATTCTTTGAAAAAAAACCAATGAAAATAAAATCAAGAGATTCGATTACTGATTTTCTATGAAACCTTAAAAGTTTATAGCTAGTTATCCAATCAGATAATTTGGCATTTTGTGACCTATGTGATCTGTTTCTATTGTTATGGGATTCTGGTACGAAAAATTTGGCATCCCTGAACATGATGTTGGCCTTAGGGTACTACACCTAAGGGTATCAATTATTACATTTAGTGTATATGTAACAATGGCTACATCTGCAGCATCATTGGCAAGCTTACCTTTATAGCCCTCTGATTCAGCTCTCTTTGATGCTGCACCCATCCTTTCATATCGGTACTGGAGACAGCTTCTTGCCATGTCTTGGTGAAACTTCAAGATTGTTGGGTACATCCAGGTTTCCTGATCCCAAAAGGTATGACCAAGATAACCATTGCTGGGCAAACCACCTGGGCTCAAGCCATGTGGCCATGATGATTGCAATGAGCTTAGAGATTGAAATATTGACTTCTAAGCCATTTGGCTCAAAACAAGCTTTATCTTAAATAGCAGGCATGACATTGTGAATTATCTTTGATGTGAGTGGAAAACTGTCAATTTGCGGAAGGCATTGTGTAATAAACTGGTGCTGTATATGAAAAGTGTGTGGCACACATATGCTTGAAACAAACTGTGAATGGGAGAGCAGCGTTCAACAATTCTACTTTCATTACATTCTAATTTTTCGATGATGCAACTTGTCAATCATTAAGGTAAAATAACATAACAAACAATAGAGAATGACTGGAGAAAATCTACTTTAAAGGTATAAGGCAATACCTGGAAAATGGCATCAACCTTAATCAGGAGAATAATGCTGAATGCAAGTCAGTAGGAATGGCTGCAATTTTTATTTCATTGAAACACAAAATATCATTAAACATCATACCTCAGTATATAGTACATGCTTGAATTTATAGCCTGTGCCAATTTCAAATTACCAGCAACTTCAATTGTTCCATTGCTCCAGAGCTCCTCCCATTCAGTCACATGACTATCCCAAAAGCTTTGATAGTCCTCTAAGATAAGCTTTCTGGCATTCAAAAAATCAGCAATTGTTTTGGCTTTGGGGTTTTTTGTTTCCAGTGAAGAACAAATGGCAGTAACTCCATAGTAGGTATGCCATTGTCCAGAGCCTGGCACTGCCAATTTAATTGCATCATCAGGAAAATAAGCAACAGCCACCTCCACCTTCGGAACATCTGAAGCTTCTGTTACATTGGTAAAACCATTTAAAATGTTGTAGTCTGTAAGAAATAAGGCAATTAATGAACTAAAAAAAATAACTGAAGCAAGGAACAGTTCCCGATCAAACTAAAATTAGAACAAAATTTATGATTTTCATCATCAATTTTTCAGAAATTTTGATAAAATCAATTATACTCGCAATTATATACAAAGATGGTCAGGGGCTGACTAAAATCCTGAATAAAAAATATGACCACACAATGTCGCTGTCACAAGTTGACAACCACAGGATCTAACTGTGTCTTAGAAGTAATTTATTCTCCACTGAATTCTTTCCTCCTTTAACCATACAATATTGATTCCATTATAAAAGGGGTTTTGTGTCCAGTCCTTCTAAGATTATCACTGAAAATAATACAATATTGATGTTACACGACATTGTAATATTGAGGAGGAGGAAATGATTTTGAAGGCAGTCTGTTCCCCATTGTTCTCAGAAATTTTTTTCATGGCCACAATATTCATGCATCAATGATAAAATGTGCAAATAACCAATCAGAATGAAGAACCACCACAGTATACTTTCCCTGAACGAGTTGCTGTGAATTTTGTTTTGATGTCAAATGTCTAAATCAATCTCGATGATATAAATATTATGCACTATTTTGTCGTGTTCACTCACGATAAGTGATATTGGATGCTAAAAAGGCAGAGGAGGAAGACCCTCTATCTAAAGTCAAGGCTTTCAAGTTAGAATTAGCCAATCATGGAGGGGACGGACAGCCTTTAAGAAACTGTAAAGATTTTGTTTAGCTGTAAGGTATTGTTAGAACAGTTCTAACAAATCATAAACCCACACCTCTATTTCCCATAAAAACTTAAAAGCAATCTCTACCTTCCTGCTTCTCATACTTAAAATCGATATCATCACTTCTCTCCCCCATGTTGTTTCGCAGCTGAATAGTAATGCCTTCTTTACGATTTGTTCTCGCTTTTGTCTCCGTTATGAGAAGATTTCTTAATTTTCTGTGTGCGAACACTTTCTGTTCGATAGTGACTTCTCCGTTTAAATAATCCAAACTTTGAAAAAAATACCCTTTCGCTGCATTAAGAGTATAAATTCGCGCTTCCTTCTCCTCGGAAGAACCATCCTCCTGCAGGCCCTCTATCGTAATATTTACAGACAGAGATGAGGGTATCCGGGCCCTGTGGCTTTTCAAGTGATCACCATTGAACACCCCCGCTGCATAGACTGTATCACTAAACAATCTTGTCCCAAGAAAACCATTTGAAATAGTGGCTAGAAGCTCAACATTTTTAGGCAGTTTACTACTGGTAAACTGCCAGTCTGTCGAATCGGTCGATGCCATTTCATAAACTTCCAGTCAGTGTGGTTATGATAAAATTTTATGGCTATTTGCCGCCGTGTTGTTGCTGTTGCTCTTGTTGCTGTTTTTACTGCTACAGTTGTTGTTGTTGCTGCTGCTTCATATGCATCTTTGTATGACGTCATAAAATAAATTTTTAAAACGTTTGTATTGTTATCATTTTGTGCAGAACCATAGTGACAGGAAAAGCATCTGAAAAAGACAGTGAAATAAGAGGTCTATAGGCAATTTACCAAGAAAAATGTGAGTAAACCACCCATTCTGGAAGTTTTTAGAAAGAATGCTTTGTTGTACATTGAAGTCAAAAGGTGATATATAGATGTTGACCAGTATCAACTCACATAATGAATAACAAAATATTTTGAAAATATACGCTTTGTATACTTTTTAGATTATTTGGAGGGCCGCCACCAAAAGCCGATATTGCTACGGCCCTGTTGAAGGTTTCTATCTGTCCCGGGGGGGGGGGGGGGGGATTATAGCTTTTCTGCATTCTACACAGTGACTAGGTGACCGATTTAAAAGGAGCGTCGCTAGTAATTGTGCGAAAGGCGGGGGGAGTGCTCGAGTCCCATTTGTCGACAAAGTGGGTGAGCGGAGCCTTCCATTATTTCCTGACAAGTTTGAAAATTTGCCAACGAAGCACCACTACACGGCAAAAATATTTCGTTTTGAAATAGAATTCGTTTCTATGGGGATGACACTCATCCTACGCATCCACCGTAACGACTGCCCTGGATTTTTTAATTGAAAGGTACTTGTTCCCTTCAATCATATCAAGCACGATTTAGTTGACGTGGTCATAATTTTGCTATCTTTGCTTTTGTGTTCAACTGGAGATACTACTGTGACCTCAAGCTTCAGAATATCCACAATCAATCAGCAATCACAATCAAATATTCATAGGAAATTATAAAAATTGACAAAATATGTAAATAGATAATCACCCTAGGTTTCATAACTATTCGTGCAGTAGTAGTTTCATCAATTATTCAAATTATTCAAATTGTCAAGCTGGTAGACGAGAAGAGAATATCGTGACGTTATTATAAGGCTGACCCAGAGGTTATACTATCTATAAACCATATTTTTTATAATTTTGACATTTAACAGAATCACTGAGCCTTCTCTGTAGGAGTGACACCCAGGGGCGTCACTTCATAATTTTTGTTAGGGAAGGGGGTGGCTGGATATTTGCCCTGCAGAAAAATTTTGCCCGGCAATAGCTGAAAATGTAAGGAACTGGCATTCGGTTCCCGTAAAATGATACTCAAGGTAAGTCGTACCCACTTACTTAGGTCTGAACTTATTGTGTCCACAAGTTCACCGATTTGTTTACCTAACTTTGGGGAGACGAACAAGAGAAAGTTTTTAAAATGGGCGAGGCAACCCTCCATCCTGGGGTAAAAGAGCGCATTTTTCAACTTTCGATATACACACTTTCGATATACACATTAGCATCCCACTGATTTCGTAGCACTAGATGTAAAATAGTGATACACAAGTATTTTCTCAAGATGAAGGTATATCAAAGCTTTCCTTGATGCCACAAAAATCATTATGGCTTTGAAAAAAGCAAACATTTTACAACATACTTAAAGCTTTTTCGTCTGACACTCCTCAGAGCATAAAACGTCAGAATAGGTTCCGAAAAACATGTTTGAAAAATATATACCCAGTTGTGGATCGAAATAAGCCAATCAGAAAAACGCAAGCACAAGACCGGTATAGTTGACCAATCAGTGCCGCGAGCCTAAAGAAAAATTACCAATGGAGTCCAAGAAAGAAAACGAACTCCTTTTGTCTACACAATGGCGGCCTTTTCGTTTTTATGTAGATTGACTCCAAAACTGCTAGATGGAAGGACGACCGGGCTCTGCCAATTATCCGAAACATGTCGTCTTATAGAGTTTTGCACAATCTGGGTCGTCTAAAAGATGTTGACCAATGGCAGAATCGCTTGTTTTAACAGTGTTTCTAGACCTACAAGATCGAGGAGGCTGTTCTCTTTGAGGGGCAGTTTTGTTTCGTATGTTGGAAGGAACATGCTGTTTTATCCTATCCCCAATCTTTGGGTTGTGCGCCCTACGTAGCCAGAATCACACTGGCACGTAAATTCATAAATGACGGAACTTTTTTGTTTGGTAGGGACGCAATCCTTTTGAATGGATGGAAGGGCTCTCCTAGTGCTGTAAACAATCCGAGGATTGACAGCAAAGAAACAATTGGTTATGGCTTGCCTAATCTGACTCTCGAATCGCAAGGAAGTGTTACCAATCCATGGTAGTTTCAAAAAAGTTCCGTCATTTATGAATTTACGTGCCAGTGTGATTCTGGCTACGTAGGGCGCACAACCCAAAGATTGGGGGATAGGATAAAACAGCATGTTCCTTCCAACATACGAAACAAAACTGCCCCGCAAAGAGAACAGCCTCCTCGATCTTGTAGGTCTAGAAACACTGTTAAAACAAGTGATTCTGCCATTGGTCAACATCTTTTAGACAACCCAGATTGTGCAAAACTCTATAATGACGACATGTTTCGGATAATTGGCAGAGCCCGGTCGTCCTTCCATCTAGCAGTTTTGGAGTCAATCTACATAAAAACGAAAAAGCCGCCATTGTGTAGACAAAAGGAGTTCGTTTTCTCTCTTGGACTCCATTGGTAATTTTTCTTTAGGCTCGCGGCACTGATTGGTCAACTATACCGGTCTTGTGCTTGCGTTTTTCTGATTGGCCTATTTCGATCCACAACTGGGTATATATTTTTCCATCGTGTTTTTTCGGAACCTATTCTGACGTTTTATGCTCTGAGGAGTGTCAGACGAAAAAGCTTTAAGTATGTTGTAAAATGTTTGCTTTTTTCAAAGCCATTTTCAAATTCTGTACCGCAAAAAAATTGTTCACATTTTTCAAGCAGAGATATCTCATTAGACAACCTTTCTCTTCAAAGCCTTTCCACGATTCAACCAAACATAAAAAACATTGGCTCAACCCCGACTGGATACATCTTGTAGTATTGAAGTTAGAATTTAGGTGTTGCATATTTAATACTATAACTTTAATATCATAGTTTACTTCAATGATGAAAACTAGAGCAATATAGATACTCAAAAGCAAAACAAAGCGAGTGGAATATTTTGCAAAGCAGAATCTATAAAAAATTGGAATAAAATTACTAAAATCTACAATATATTGTCACAAATATGAATACAAATCAAATTGAATAATTTACATAAAAAAGGATGTGTGAAGGTTATGCAACCACTTTGATTATCTTTTTCGACAAGGGGGGATAAATTTCACACTCAAATCTTGCAAATCTTTGTTTTCATAACAGCGATATAATTTACTCTCTGTAAAACCCATCATGTAAGCAAAAAATTTCGAAACATCGCCTTCAGCGTCAAGGTAACCCCCCTGAAAATGTTGTACGATTCTTTAACAATGTCAAGACAGGTGCTACAGATCAGTGGCTGATATAAATTTGAATGCCGCTCCATCTGAGTGCAATCTTATTGCAACAAGCATACAGTCATGAAGTCTGATCTCAAGTTTCTCGTTCCGCTATCCATTTCCGTTGTCCTCTTGAACAGCTTGGCAATATTTGTCACAATATCGACACGTGCTGAACGGCGCAAATCCACGACACTTACCCTCGTAAGTCTAATGGTGAGTGACATTCTCGTTGGAGCTGTCGTAATTCCGATGCGCATTATCGAAATACTACTGCTGCAAAGTGCTGCATTTCCGTACATATACGCATATATATTGTTCGTTGCCGTTTTTAATGTCGCTTTCTTGGCATGGGATCGCTACGCGAGCATTGCGAGGCCACTTTGGAGGCGGCAAATTGGCAATGGCAAGATGATAACAATCCTTTTAATGAGCTGGGCTGTGCCAGCATTGATCAGCTTTTTGCCGTTTTGCTGGACACATTCACCTCGCTATCAGGAAACAATGAAGAAAATCTACAGATACTTCTNCTAGTTTTCATCATTGAAGTAAACTATGATATTAAAGTTATAGTATTAAATATGCAACACCTAAATTCTAACTTCAATACTACAAGATGTATCCAGTCGGGGTTGAGCCAATGTTTTTTATGTTTGGTTGAATCGTGGAAAGGCTTTGAAGAGAAAGGTTGTCTAATGAGATATCTCTGCTTGAAAAATGTGAACAATTTTTTTGCGGTACAGAATTTGAAAATGGCTTTGAAAAAAGCAAACATTTTACAACATACTTAAAGCTTTTTCGTCTGACACTCCTCAGAGCATAAAACGTCAGAATAGGTTCCGAAAAAACACGATGGAAAAATATATACCCAGTTGTGGATCGAAATAGGCCAATCAGAAAAACGCAAGCACAAGACCGGTATGGTTGACCAATCAGTGCCGCGAGCCTAAAGAAAAATTCCCAATGGAGTCAAAGAGAGAAAACGAACTCCTTCTGTCTACTGGTGGCTTTTTCGTTTGTATGTAGATCGACTCCAAAACTGCTAGATGGAAGGACGACCGGGCTCTGCCAATTATCCGAAACATGTCGTCATTATAGAGTTTTGCACAATCTGGGTTGTCTAAAAGATGTTGACCGATGGCAGAATCACTTGTTTTAACAGTGTTTCTAGACCTACAAGATCGAGGAGGCTGTTCTCTTTGAGGGGCAGTTTTGTTTCGTATGTTGGAAGGAACATGCTGTTTTATCCTATCCCCCAATCTTTGGGTTGTGCGCCCTACGTAGCCAGAATCACACTGGCACGTAAATTCATAAATGACGGAACTTTTTTGTTTGGTAGGGACGCAATCCTTTTGAATGGATGGAAGGGCTCTCCTAGTGCTGTAAACAATCCGAGGATTGACAGCAAAGAAACAATTGGTTATGGCTTGCCTAATCTGACTCTCGAATCGCAAGGAAGTGTTACCAATCCATGGTAGTTTCAAATAAACTGGGCACTTTTGCGGACCAAACTTTTGAACAGCCGAAAAACTTGCGATCTTCTCCTTAGTATAAGATAAAATGACGTCTTCAGGATAGCCGTTGTCCAAGAAGATCGTTTTGAGTTTTTCCAGTTCAGCGTGCAGTTTAGATTTCGAGCAGATCATAAAGAGAACCTGGCCGTCCTCAGCTTACCTCTTAACTTCACCAGTTGGTTGAGATCCTCAATCTCCTGTTTAGTGTACCTCTGCTTGAAAAATGTGAACAATTTTTTTGCGGTACAGAATTTGAAAATGGCTTTGAAAAAAGCAAACATTTTACAACATACTTAAAGCTTTTTCGTCTGACACTCCTCAGAGCATAAAACGTCAGAATAAGGTTCCGAAAAAACACGTTTGAAAAATATATACCCAGTTGTGGATCGAAATAGGCCAATCAGAAAAACACAAGCACAAGACCGGTACAGTTGACCAATCAGTGCCGCGAGCCTAAAGAAAAATTACCAATGGAGTCCAAGAGAGAAAACGAACTCCTTTTGTCTACACAATGGCGGCTTTTTCGTTTTTATGTAGATTGACTCCAAAACTGCTAGATGGAAAGACGACCGGGCTCTGCCAATTATCCGAAACATGTCATCATTATAGAGATCTTGTAGGTCTAGAAACACTGTTAAAACAAGTGATTCTGCCATTGGTCAAGATCTTTTAGACAACCCAGATTGTGCAAAACTCTATAATGACGACATGTTTCGGATAATTGGCAGAGCCCGGTCGTCCTTCCATCTAGCAGTTTTGGAGTCAATCTACATAAAAACGAAAAAGCCGCCATTGTGTAGACAAAAGGAGTTTGTTTTCTCTCTTGGACTCCATTGGTAATTTTTCTTTAGGCTCGCGGCACTGATTGGTCAACTATACCGGTCTTGTGCTTGCGTTTTTCTGATTGGCCTATTTCGATCCACAACTGGGTATATATTTTTCAAACATGTTTTTTCGGAACCTATTCTGACGTTTTATGCTCTGAGGAGTGTCAGACGAAAAAGCTTTAAGTATGTTGTAAAATGTTTGCTTTTTTCAAAGCCATTTTCAAATTCTGTACCGCAAAAAAATTGTTCACATTTTTCAAGCAGAGGTACACTAAACAGGAGATTGAGGATCTCAACCAACTGGTGAAGTTAAGAGGTAAGCTGAGGACGGCCAGGTTCTCTTTATGATCTGCTCGAAATCTAAACTGCACGCTGAACTGGAAAAACTCAAAACGATCTTCTTGGACAACGGCTATCCTGAAGACGTCATTTTATCTTATACTAAGGAGAAGATCGCAAGTTTTTCGGCTGTTCAAAAGTTTGGTCCGCAAAAGTGCCCAGTTTATTTGAAACTACCATGGATTGGTAACACTTCCTTGCGATTCGAGAGTCAAATTAGGCAAGCCATAACCAATTGTTTCTTTGCTGTCAATCCTCGGATTGTTTACAGCACTAGGAGAGCCCTTCCATCCATTCAAAAGGATTGCGTCCCTACCAAACAAAAAAGTTCCGTTGTATATGAATTTACGTGCCAGTGTGATTCTGGCTACGTAGGGCGCACAACCCAAAGATTGGGGGATAGGATAAAACAGCATGTTCCTTCCAACATACGAAACAAAACTGCCCCTCAAAGAGAACATCCTCCTCGATCTTGTAGGTCTAGAAACACTGTTAAAACAAGTGATTCTGCCATTGGTCAACATCTTTTAGACAACCCAGATTGTGCTAAACTCTATAATGACGACATGTTTCGGATAATTGGCAGAGCCCGGTCGTCCTTCCATCTAGCAGTTTTGGAGTCAATCTACATAAAAACGAAAAAGCCGCCATTGTGTAGACAAAAGGAGTTTGTTTTCTCTCTTGGACTCCATTGGTAATTTTTCTTTAGGCTCGCGGCACTGATTGGTCAACTATACCGGTCTTGTGCTTGCGTTTTTCTGATTGGCCTATTTCGATCCACAACTGGGTATATATTTTTCAAACATGTTTTTTCGGAACCTATTCTGACGTTTTATGCTCTGAGGAGTGTCAGACGAAAAAGCTTTAAGTATGTTGTAAAATGTTTGCTTTTTTCAAAGCCATTTTCAAATTCTGTACCGCAAAAAAATTGTTCACAAAAATCATTATTGGGAAACTACCCCGCTGTATGTACAAATGATAAAACAAATAGTGATATTCATTCTCAAACATAATTATATTGCCTTGACACACTCTCTTTTATGAGAACAATTTTATAAAAAAACGAGCCCCAAAATTGGTCAAAAGTAAAGAACAAACTAAGAACAAGCTGAGGCTGAGCTACTGTCAAATGTAACTTTGAACAATGCCTCATGTCAAGAACGAGGAACATTAATTTGCTGGTTCTTATAAGAAGAGTGTAATGGTAAATTTCATTAGCCTTCTTTAAGGCACTGCAATGGGGAACCCTTTGCCCCAACTTATGCCAACATATTCATGACAACAATGAAGCAACATATTTTGCGCAATGCCCCGATGGGGCATACAGTCCATTATTCTGGAAAAGATTTATCGATGACAGAATTTTGATCTGGCAACACAAGCTTGAAAGTCTACCGGAACTTATAAATTTACCTTATATCATACGAAAAAGTTAAATAGATATTGAATCATTACACAGTCGACAGCCATTCTAGAAGGCTTAATTTCAAAAATTTTCTTGCGTGTCGGACCCAACCATGGTGGGTCCTGCTATGTCATTAGAATTTATTCTTAGCCCCCCTCCCCAGTTTGAATTTTGTGGCGCTGTCTATGTGTCACTGGTAGTCTGTATCATTTTACTTTTGGACCAAACAAATTCCAAGCATATCCTACTTTCTTGTTACAGCTATATAAGACAGCTATATACAAATTTGATTTGCCCCGCAAAAATCAGTTTTGCCCTGCGATAAGGTTCCATTTTCGTAGTTGGGGAGGGGGTGAACCACCCTCTCAAATGACGCCCCTGGTGATGGCATCAAGAGAACACTCGTGTGTGAGAACAAGTATTCATTTCCACGTCAATTCTAATTGTTTCGAAAATAGGTATCTGTTAAACTATAGACACCTATCAAACGAAGCAAACTTCCTATTTACGGTAAAGATGAGGCAAAAAAGCTAATTATAAGCAAATAAAATGCAATGTACAAATTTAATCTGAAGAAAATAGCCTAAGATGAAGCATGCTAAGATTGTTTGAATAAAACTTCTTCTCGAATAACACACCAAAAGGCATTTTAACACTTTCTTGAAGCAGCTGCAATACAACAAGCTTTTATGGCACTTTTCCAGAGATGTCACTATAGCAACGGATAATGGCATCGCACAAGCAGCTGTTGTGGTTGCTGGAATTCTTGCTTCTCGTCTCACGAAGATGGCGTCCGCTGATTGGGAATTTGTCTTCGATGGCGTCGTTGGTTTTCTGACATCTCCGATCTGGCAAATTCCGGTTATGAATTTTATTGAAAAGAACTGCATAGGTATAAAGGTTCCAAACTTTGTATCTTTTTAAATCGCTATCGAAGACTTCCTGGTTAGGCGGAAGAAGAAAACTATAGGCGGCGCATGCATTGAAATTCTCATTATTATAGCATGATGATTCAGACATGATCAACTGATCGAATATGATATTAAATCCCAAAATATTATTTTATGTTTTTTTTATTTACAATCGTTCGATGTCTGGAAATGTTTTCTTTGTTGAATATGCAAATGTAAAGCTTCAATGAATTTTTACCCTGACAAATTCTTCTTGCTTTTATGCAATATCTATTTTGAAATGAAGCGATAGGCCTATTTTAATATTGTTTTGAAAACTTTTTCCGTATTGAAGCATAATGATTAGATACATAAAAGACAGGACAATTAAGGGAACAATATCAATAGCTGGGTTTGAAATTGCCCTCCCTATTTTCAAAAATTTAAGATTTACGATTCATGTGCTATTTTGCTACATAATTCTACACAATATACCCTAAAGAAGTATAAGTTGATAATGTCCCCCCAAGAAATTCTTTCCAAAAGAAGCAACTAGAAGAAACAACTAATAGTCATTTTTTAATCAAAAGTGAGAACTGAAATCTCCAATATAAGAAATTCATCAAATATTTTCTTATTTAAACTCTTTATTAATGAATGTGAATAGTAAGGTGTGAAAAGAAGTGATAATTTGAGAATTAATTGAAACCTTTTCCTTCCTATCTCATTTTCAACCTGGTCTTAGATAAAGGTTTTAGAAATGCATTATTTAATGTGCAGCCAAACATATATCTTGTCACTGAAATATGGGATCTAGAAACTGACCCCCAAACTGGTCTCATACACATAGCTGGGTTAAGTGTCCTTTGACTTTCCTAAGAAGCATATTGGTTTCATGACATCCCATGAAATTTTCAATTCCTTTCTGACTATATATAGACTCATTCCATATAACAAGTAAGATTTTGCTTAAATGTTTGTAAATTAAAAAGATACTCAAATGAGTATTTGACAGATGAATACTCATTTCTTGTTTTATATTTATATTGATATAAAAGTGTGCTGAGTTGTATTCAACATGAAAATTACTTTCTTTGAAATTTTAGTGTTTGATCCCAGTGAAGAAAATTGTTTGCCTTGGTCAGATATACAAAAGGATTACAAGAAACTGGTATGGCACTGAAAAATGATAACAACATGCTTACCTGACAGAGTATTTAATAATCTAAAAACCCTTTTTAAAATTTCTTTGTTTACTATTTAGTGCACTGTTTACTTTAGGTGCACTTTGGAAGGACTATCAGATCAAACTATGCTAGATCCAACAGATCCTGCAGATTCTGAGTGAAAAAATTAAATCATCTTTTTTAGATGAAAATGAAGCTAACAGATGAGAATGAAATCACCTTTTTAAGGAATTGTTGCAAACTTTTGGCACTTTTCTTAAACAAATATCAGCCTTGTGTTCTTTCAAATCTTGGGAAAAGCCCTACAGTTGTCATTGAATCTTTATTTGAATCTTCCCCCATAGCTGTTTTGTTAAATGTTGTCTTGTAGCAGGTTGTAAGATATTGTGTTGCATTTTTAATATAACAAAAGTTTGGGTTTTCCTGTTATTAGTTTTTCTCATTGCCTTTTACTATAAAGATATCTGTTCATTCTAAATTTCAGGTTGAAGACTTATTGTCAAGCTACTTGAAAGATGTTGGAATTTTGGAGGAACAGTTTGTGCAAGCCTGCAAGTCCTCGTCTGTCCAAGAGAGACCTCAAATGCAGGTAACTTGCTATTTTTGTGTGCAGTAAAGTGTTCAGACTGTTTTTAATGTTAGAAAAGGGGGTGCTCTCTCCATGATATCATGTTTTTTTAAGACACTATACTTTTGTCCTGAAAGCATTAAATATGTGGAATTTTATCTTGACCAGATTGACTCACTTTCAGGCGGTGTTTGAACAGATATGGGCTGCAGAAGATTTTGAAATCTTTAAGCGGATGATGGTTCAAAGAAACATTGAACTTGAGCTGCAAGCATTGCAATTAATTCAACACCAGCAAAAACAAAGACTACTGCAACAGCAGCAGCAGCAGCCTCCACAACAGAAAGAAAAGCCAAAAGAGGTAGCAAAGATGACACAGCCAAAGCAGCAGGTTGTTTCTGAAATGATTGATGATGCAATATTAAAAGAAGTTTTAGAGAGGTCAAAAAAAGAATATGAGGCATCACAAAAGGAGCAATGTCTGGATACTGCAGAGATGGACAAGCACTGGGCTGAGACACATGAGGAAAATGTAAAAATGTATGATGCATAGCATTTGAGCTAATATTGACAAGCTAAGGCAGAAGTACAAGGATGTTTTGTTATTTTTCACTAAATCATCTGCAGGTATGATTTATAACACTGGAAAGCACCAGAAGGAAATAATGTTGGCCCTGAGAAAATTTTCTTGGGCCGTACACATTATATCCCTGTCCTCAATCAAATCATCAACAAAGTCAAAAGGGGCCTACCAGCTTGAGGACTTACATCCTGAGAGGTTCTCTGGGAAGGTAGCCCTCCATATGTATTCCTAATGACAGGGTCAAACAACTGCATGCCAATGGGAACACTGGATTTTTTGATGGACCTGTTGGTAGAATTCATAGAGATTACCCTACAGGAAATAAAGTGTTATCAAACTCAATTAAGATTTCAGCCATGACACAACAATATCAGCAATTGTTTTTCTTTCTGTTTTTACCGAAATATTATTGAATTAACCTCCTGTTAAAGAAAACATCCCAATTTTTTGGGTTCATTATTTCAGTCATTAGTTGTCATTAATCAATTAACATTAATCAAATTGTACATTTGAAACAAGAATAGATTATTAAAGATCATCCATGGTGTCTAATCGTTAATATATTGTCTCATAGCTTAAAAGAAAAGGCAGAAGAGAAGAGGTCTGAAATGAAGAAAGTAGTTGATGATCGAATCAAAACAACTGATGAAGAGGAAAAGGAAGAGAAAACCGTTGAAAAAGCTCCACTTGCTCATGAGAAAGAAATGCCAAAACAAAAACAAACTGAGGCGCCAAAAGAAGCTTCACCCAAGAAAGAAATTCATTTGCCTGCCGAGAAGCCGAAAACGGCAGCAGAAGCTGCTTCAAGTTGGCTAATGAGTGCAAAGGCGGAGGCTTCCAGCAAGGAATCGAGTAGAACCCCCGCGTCTGTAAGTATTGCTGTTTTTATTTGGTTTGGTGCGTAGGCAAAAAGTAGCCAGAAGCCAATTCCCTTACGGATGTGTTACTTTTTATCAAACTTACTCAAAGTTTGGCTCTGATCAGGGCTGCCGAGAGTGGGGGCAAGGGGGGCAAATTTCCCCAGAGCACTGAGGTCTAGGGTCCCTCATAAAGTAATGGATTCCGTTTAAAAATGGAATTAATAAAAGTAACAGAATAATGCCTATAAATAGTACAATATTTTAAACGATTGCATGAAAATTGACGAATTTATGCTAATCTAAAAAGCATAGCCGCAAAAGTTTCTCTTTAGTTTCCACTTCTTTCTGTTTTGCCCCAGGGCCTCTAAAACTTCTCGGCAGCCCTGGCTCTAGTTTTGCCACCACGGACATTCAAACTTTATTTGTCCCACAGCTAATAATATAAGTTTTATCGACCATTTTATTAATACTTTTTTCATTTAATAGGAATTATGTATGCAGGCTACAGTTATATTTCACATTAAGCCACAAACTTTTGATAGTATTTCAACATATGCTTTCAAGAAGTTGGTGAAATATTATATGTTGTTTTTTGTTCAATTCACGATTTTCCTTCCCAAGTATACTGATCAATGATTTTTGTTTTTGTGTTAGGGCCCTTCGCAGGATGATGACGTGAAAAAACGAGAACAGTATTTAAAAGAACAACGCGATAAGTTATTGCAACTTAAAAGTAAGGAACGGGAACAGCAGTTGGACACCTACGCGAAATCGCAGCCCAAACGTCCCACTTCGGCAAGAGTGGCCCGTCAGTCATTCGCTTGTGCTGCAGAGAAGAAAGACGAGGAGGAGACCGAACCCAAAAAGCTGGCTATGAGGAAAGCATTAGCAGATAGGCTCAAAAAGGAGGTCATCTACAAGTAGATTGTTGAAGAAATAATCTGCTGCGTCCAAGGCATAATTTTGAATTTCTTATCTAATGTTGAATGTTGGAATAAAATTACGCTAATTTTAATTTGCCATTTTGGATAGCAACTCAGTATTTTCTGGCTGCTTAAGCTAATTTTTTGACACAGAAGTTAGAAAAACAATAAGATGGACATTTCAAATTTTTTTTACAGACATTCTTAGAATTAACCAATTTAACGGTGAAAGTCAAAGACACCTCCGAGAATGCACTTTAAAACTGCGTCAAAAATCACCTTGAAGGCTGCTTCCATCATTTGCATTTAAAGGCAAGGAACAGCATCGCTGAGTGGATATCATTTTCACGAGATTGTCATATGATCAGTTATGCATTCTCCCCATCTTTCTTACAGAAACATTGACCTCATGTGATCAGATACATTTCACGATCCTTTTACTCGAACTGATAGCCTTCAACCTTAGATTTCAATACATTATAATTATAATTTGCTGGAACTTGGCTGTGTATTTATTTGTATTGTAGAGTGAAATATTTTTACGCTATGAATGAGCTCAATATTCAATATTTTGAATTTTTGAATTCATCTGTTAAAGGTGCCATCCTTTTTTCTGTGTTACAAAATTACAAAACACGGTAACATATATTAAAGGCGAGCTCGAATTGTTATGGCCTGACGCAACATGGCTGACATTGTGATGTTTCACGACCAAGAAGGTGCCATATTTAAAGCGAGATTTTGGCTTTAATAAGGTGCTATAAGTTTTTTAGCGTTAAGAACCATTTCATTGTGCACAAATGAGAAAACTGTTTTACCCAAAAATCATTGACGAATGCATTTCATGGTTTCTTTGTAAATGATATCTAGAAGCAACATTATGAATGAGCCGACAAAAAGCATTTTCATCTACGTGGCATCTGCATAAAAATGAAACAGGAATGTCATCAAAGTTTCAAATAGACTTGTCACCAGGCAATATTTAGTGATAAGCACATTTCGAAGTGGTTAACCAAAGCTGTAAACCTGGGTACCAGACTCGCTCTGTGTAAAAGAAGAGTTCTATTTTATGGCGTGAATCTTGTCTGGTACCCGGGTACCAAGCTGTGCATCCATTTGATTTTATTGATGCCGTTTTATTCTATCTAACAAGGTATATGGACACTAAAACGTGCGTCGTCTCCTTGCAGAACTGATTTGAGTTCAGAGTTAGCTTGCATTTTGAATGAAGACAAAAAGCTGCCTTTCCCCACGATTAGATGGTACAGCTACTGTCATTCTTCGAATAGGCACCCACTTTCGAATATGCCCCCGCCCCTCAAATATACCCCACCCTAGAGTAATGTTTATGATATAAGCACTTGACCTCGAATAAGCCCCTACTGTCTGAGGTACTGCCTCAACAGCAATAGGTTGATGCCAATATATCTGCATTTTTAACCATACTGACCTGTCCAAATAGACGAAGAACATTTTCCCTGGTACTATTTTTGGCTGCTGATAAATAAGCCTCCACTTTCGAAAAAGTCACCATCCCAATTTTTTGGGAATTTCGAGGACTAACAGTAATGTAAAGCTGTGCATAGTACAGAACAACAATGTGATTTGTATTAACCGATTACCTGCATATAAATTTCTGTTCGCCATTTCGTCATTTTCTTACATATTTTTACCGTATTTTCTTGAATAAAAGGGATCTTTGAAAAGAAGCCGCAAGAATCACGGGAAAATAGAAATAAGCCACCCTTTAATAAGGGCTGCCCTTGAGAAGAAGCGGCCAAGGAAAATAAGATCTCAGAAAAAGAAAATAAGATCTTACAAATAAGGTTTCAGAATAAGACATCACGTTTCATGAAGCTTTAAAGAGTAAATGTGAGTAAATGGCAGAGAGGAAAGGAACATTTTCTCAAAAATCAAGCATCTCTTTTCGTGGCATCAGGTCCTCAATTTTTGAGTATTGAAACGCAAGCTATGATTTTCTTTAGATGCTATTAAGGCCTGGCCAACTAAATATCATCAAGCGAAATCTCAAAATATTGCAGCAATATCATGTTACATGAAATTTGTTGCACTTTTGTTTCAACATTTTCAAACATTTTGATGCGATTTTGTTGTGTCACACAATTGTTGGGGAGACCAAACCTTCAGTCCTTTGTTTCGAAACAATACAGTCTTGAACCAATCAGTGTTGCAGGGTCATAACACATGCGCATTAATAACAGTATTCGCACAGCTGTTCTGTCTGGGACCACATAACATCCCGTCAGGGCTTTAAGTGATAATGCGCATGTGCAATGACCCTGAAACGGGGGCTAGTGCATGTCTGGAAGACGGGCATGATTCATCTCACGAACAAACAAATGCATTCCAGTTTAGCCACACTGTCAGTAGAGAATTCAATTCAAACCCTTGTGTATTTGCCTATCCTGTCTCCGCCCACATCATAAAAAAATTCAAAAAATCAGATAAACCAGTATTGCAGATAAAAGCAAAGCAGATAAAATTTTCGAGTTCACATTTGCTTTGTTCAAAAAATTGACAAGTTTAGCCACAGCTTTATATGTATAGGCAACATCGTCAAAAAAGATGAGACAAATAAAACCGCACAAACAGCTGAAATATGATATCTTTTAGCTCTTCAGCGAACTCTATATCTTAGTTCTCACAAGGACTTTCCATAAAATGCCGAGTAGAAAATCCTTTTCGATTTAATATCATTTTCCTGTACCATCAATCATTTCTCAAAAACAAAAGGCACAATCAAAGAGATGCATTCATTTATCAAATAAGTATAAAGAAACTGATTAGCTTTCGACAGATTTACACGAGTTTAAAATGATTTGGAGCGACTTTAAATCTAGAAACGCATATGGTTATAGTAAAACTAGTTCTTGTTCTTGTCTAGAAATAAAAAAGTTAAGTCAATAGACAATATAAAGAGTGACCAAGCGCCTTCTTGGAAGAAATATCTGCCCGCTTGTAAGCTTGTTCCAGTCTTCTATCCTGCTTGCATTCCTGCTAAAGCGTGAAGTGATGTTCTGCGTTTGCTGGGAACTTTTAAATAAGATCAGCCACTGCGAAGGAAAATTTTGAAGTTACAAAACATGAGATTGAAATTCAAAACAATAAAACTTTCACGTGTATGTAAAACCAGCTTGGAACGTAGAGGTAAGATCTTGGAATGATTATTATTGAGGCTTCCAAGATCTTAGTTTAATCATAGTCAATAAAAAACTGTTATGGTAACACTTGTCTATTGACTATGGTTTAATCAATTGAATTATCAGGTGAGCGTAGGCCCAGCAGTGTCTTGAAGTTTTAACTTAAGTCTTTTTCTAAGGGAGCTCTATCTTGAAGAAACTCAGGGCATGAAGAAGCACCGTATTCATATCTGTACCAGAATATACAAACGTGCTCAGGTATATCAAAGTTTATTCAAGTTTAAGATTCTCAGTATGTAAAGAGGGTTTAATAAAATAAATTGATTTAAATGGGATGCAAAACATCAATTATCAGGATTTGAAATTACACAATTCCAAGTTATGTAGAGGCCAATTCAGGGTAGCAAAAAACAACTTAAAATAATTCAACAAACCGTTCATGGGCATCTCGTCGATCTGCGTACTGTAATACTGCTCAATGTCCCTAAGGATTCTGATGTCATCTGACTTGACAAAGTTGATGGCGACACCCTTGCGTCCGAATCTACCTGATCGTCCGATCCTTTAAGCAAAAAAGTCTGCACTCAGAAAAATTTCCTTGGTACATCATAAAAATAGCTGAATGCAACGTTGAATCAACTGCAACACTGAGTGCAGAAAGAAAGTGTTCATACTAAAATGTTACTGTGCTTTGAATCATTGTTTCTAAACTTTTTATCAAAAGTATGTAATATAAGAAAAAATTACCTGTGGATGTATAATTCACGGTTGTTTGGCAAGTCGTAGTTGATAACAAGAGAAACTTGGGAGACATCAAGACCTCGCGCCCATAAGTCTGTCGAAATCAGGACACGGCTAGAAACATTAAAAGTTGACATTTAAGGCCAAGTGCTTTGGCAAGTAAACGAAAAATGGAGAGGACTATGAATTGATTAGCCGTGATAAGATAGAGAAACATTATCGAAAGTCCACATGTGAGCAAAGTTTGTATTAGTAGCCATGATCAGATTGCTGTTCTTGAATTTGATATGAAAAAAGTCAAAATTACTGGCAGCTTGTGGAAAGAATTGTCAAAAGGTATATAAAACTATCATTAAATACAGAATGGAGAATGCTTATGGTACGGTAGAAAGATTCCCCATAAGTACAGAAGAAACTTATTATCAAAAAATGATTCAGATATTCAAGAAAACGAGAAATAGCCATTTTCTATTCTTGAAAATATTCATACCTCTGTGCTCCTCTGAATTCTTTCATGATAGCCTCTCTTTCTTTTTGAGGCATGTCGCCATGCATCGAAGAAACTGTGAAGTTAGCATCTCTCATCTTTTCTGTGAGCCAGTCTACTTTCCTTTTGGTATTAACAAATATAACGGCTTGCGTTATTGTAAGCGTATCGTACAGGTCGCAAAGGGTGTCAAATTTCCATTCCTCTCTTTCAACAGCAACAAAGAACTGCTTGATACCTTCCAACGTCAACTCATCACTGTAAAAATAGTAAATCGGTTTAAGGTGTCCTACAACCCTAATACAACTGGGTTTCCAAAAGAAACATCATTGCTATTAATAATTTTCTGTATATAACTATCAATTTCGAGAATACACTGGAAAACAGGAAATCTGTTATAAAATTGGGATGACAGCAACACTGGGGTTTTATTCAGAGATGGGACACAATTTCAAATTCAAGTTAATCTAGACCAATGCATAATTTCTTATGCTAGGGCATATGAGCGACTGTCCGGTACAAATTTGCAAATGAGTCGGTCTTGGATACATTAATTGCATGTTAACCGATTCATCTGTGTAACGGATTGAGTACAATTTTGCTAATAAATCGATTTCTTAGGCCGTATGAAGTGAAAACATGTGCCATTTAAAACAGTTATCATTTTCAAACGTCTAAAATAGCCTGAGATGAAAAATCTTTAGCAATTTATACCGTTTAACCAAAATCCTGATGGGATCAGTCATGAATTTACCGGTCATTTCCAGGATATCGTGAGGAAGCGTGGCACTGACGAGGACAACCTTTAAACAAGAAGAAAAAATAAGAACTAGGCAAACAAAGGTTCCGAAAAAGCCATCGAAACAAAGATATCAACATTGATCCATTAAAGGTTCGATGGGGCAAAGTGTTCTCTTGTGATATCAGGATTGCATAAAGCATTTTTAGATCTCAACTTTGTGACTGGGAAATAGTATGTCCAACACGTTTTCTGTATCATGTTGTTTGAACGTCATAGCTTGACAGCCTAAGTCTTTGATGGAAAAAATATCAAGAAAGATACAACATGAAAACAGGAAGATGAAGAAATGGCAAACTAGACAATCAAAATGTGGATAATTGCCCTCTAGTTAATACCTACGAGCAACTGAACACCCCGATATCACCAGGGACACAATAACAAAAAATTCAATGACATCAACATAGAGAGTAGTTTAATAGCATTTCGATCGAATTAGCGGTGAAATTCAGAGTTGCAACGCAGAATTGTACTGCTCTACAAACCAAAGTCTAGATCGAAGAAAATTTATTTTTGTGAAAATTTACCTGGGTTGCAGGTGGGAGAAATCGATATACGTCATAAATCTGTTCTTTGAAACCTAAAAGAAATAAAAGTGACTGTAAATTTATGTGTTTTCTAACATCAACTAATTGAAATCTCTGGTTGACAATCAGCTTTATTCAACCAGCTTTTTTAATTAAGTGACTTGAAAGGAAGCAATACAAAAAAAAATTTTCCTTGGTACACTGCATGAAAAAGCACAGATTGAAGTCCATGAATGTAAACCTTCGAGCTAGAAAATCCTTCATGTAAAAAAAATCAGGCAGTCATATCTATTATTAATGCTTATCAACTAATAAGAATTTTGCTCTTCTGTAATACTAGAAGTTGCAGATGAATAAGCAACAGCCATAGCGTGGGCATGTTTAAAATCCCAGGTCCTTGGTTGATAGCAGCAAACTCATTTTTGCTGAACAAGTTTACCTGTATAAATATGGTCTTATTATTATTATTATTATTATTATGATGTGCTTCCTTACTTTCTAACATGTGCCTTATATTCTTCATAGTACAAGAGTTTTCTGTGTTTAGCAAATACTATCAAACTACAAAACTAATTATTCACATAAGAAGAAAGAATAACTATTTACCCCTGTTCAGCATTTCGTCTGCTTCATCCAATATAAGCATTTTTATCGATCTTGTTCTTAGATTTCTTCGCTTGATCATGTCTAAAAAATTAAAATGTCCTCATAACATAGGTGAGTTTCAAGTTAAAAGGTCCAATCATTGATAGCAGTTATGTCAGCCATCCTCCTTGAAAAGAATTTTGCAAAGAGAGCATACGAGAACAGAGAATGAGATGAGTTGTTTTGTTAGCTCTTTGTTTACAATGATTTTAGGCTCCAAGTTTTTGACACATTGTGCAAGGGATGAGATCACTTGTGGGGCCCCATGTAAAGGCAACGCCTAAGTGACCTAATTTGTGGCTGGCTTTAAAAGCAGGCTAAATTTTTGGCTGACCAAATTTTTGGCCGGCCCGTGTAAACGCAGCCTAAAACATTTTCCTAACAGCAGAGCCCAACATAATTTTACAAATAAGCAAACAAAAAAGGCCAAAGTTTTTGTTTGAGCAACATAATGTACTTAAATGTATCAAAACAGAAAAAACACATAAGCATATGGTTAAAAACTTGACAAAGTTGATGGCAATGCCTTTGTGCCTGAATCTACCTTATTGTCTGATATTAAAGCAAAAAACTCTGCACTCGACAAAATTTACTTGGTATATCATGAAAGAACTGCTTAAGACTTTAAATGATAATTGTGAAAACTAAAATAAATTTTTAATTACCAAATACTCTGCCAGGTGTGCCAGATACAATATGTTGACCGTAGTCAAGCTTTCGAATGTCTTCCCCAACATTTGTTCCTCCAATGCAAGCATGACACTGAACACTCATATAGTCACCCAGGGCCAAGATAACCTGCAAAAGATAAGCAAAATATCCTTAGTGGTATTTAAATTATATAACCATAGATGCAGCCTTAAATTCTAGCAAATACTTTCTGTACATCAAGTAGCCTTGCAACAACAAAAAATATGCTGTGTGGCTAGGTATGTTATTACTAGATGTATCACTGTAGAAATTGTTGTGACCAGACAAAATAAAAATACACTCTCACTAGCAAGAGCATTCAAAATCAAATCTAATAATTTAAGAAATAAAACTGGGATTTCTATTGAAAAAGAGGCAGTGCTCTTTATTAGAGAGCTGTCAATGTTTACAAGTTGTTGATTGCCCCTGATGTCATATATATCACCATCACTTACTCTAATACAACACAAGTATAGAGATAGATTGTTCAAGGAAATACAAACCTTCTGAACCTGAACAGCTAACTCTCTGGTTGGAGACAGGATTAAGGCTTGTGTCTCACGAACCTGCAAAAGAAAGGATATGTAATATACTTTCTTTAATTTACTGATTAAAAAATAAACCACAAAAAATAAAATACAAATGGTACCTTCAGTAAAATTAGGTTAAATGTTCACAAATGAAAAGGTATCACACCATGGAAGTTCAAATAACCCTTCTCTCTTTAAGCTTCCTATTTAGTTAAGCCACCTTCTTTACGAAGCCACCCTCTTTATCAAGCCACACTCCTTACTAAGCCACCCTTTTTATTAAGTCCCCTTTAAAAAGCAAACATTTGTTATAAGTAAGCCCCCCTTTTCTTTCAGCCCCACTCTTCTGTCTTTTTTATCAAAGCTGTTAACTGACTTAAAGATTTTGATGAAGATGAGGACATTATCATTGACTAGGTCTTCATTGAAACATGATTATAAACAGTTACTTTTTAATAGATGTATAGCACAATAAACACATAAAAATACATGTTTATAACCTTTAGTTTGAATTTTTAATACAGCCTAATAAGCCCCCTTTTGAACCTCAAAATTTAAACAAACCCTTCACAGGGATCAATAGAGCTTTTACAGCAAATTAAGGTTCAAAACTGACATTAAGGAAATTATTTTAATACTTACTTTCACATCAACATTTTGCAAAGCTGAGATGGAGTAAGTTGCAGTTTTGCCTGTTCCAGATTGGGCTCTATAGAAGCACAAAAATAAACTAAATATTGAAAGCTGAATAGATATACAAGCTAGTAAAATGTTATGTGACTTGAATGTCAAATCTAGAAAGATAAGTGCAGAATTTTAACAGTGAGAAAATTGATGACCTAATTGGAATACATTATTAACATCACTGATACCTATGACAATATTTTTGTTTAATCTGCTAGTATATAAAAGAACTGTTTCTATGTTTGTCTCTAGCTAAAGTAGGACCATTGCAAAAAGATAGCGAAAGGTACACAAAACAAATATGTTTTGGTACCAAGAATAATTTTTCACAAGAAACAGAAATTGAATCAATCAAAAAAAATAAACAGTTTGTGTGAATATATTTTGACTTATCTTGATCTCTAGAACCTCACAGTTCAATCTTGAATTTCAATTTTTGTCAAAACAAAGTGACAATGTTGCCTTCAAAGATTTGGATTTAGCTCAGTTTGAATCGGTCAACTGCATACTTAAAATGCTTTGGAGGAACAGATACATCATAAAAATAGGCATTATAAATAGTGTACTTCTATTGCCTTAATCTGGAATTGTAGAAAATCTACTTCAAGCAGTAACTCATACATACTGTGCAATAACATCACGCCCTTTGACAATTGGTACTATTGCTCTTTGTTGGATAGCTGAAGGTCTTTCGAATCCTGGAGATAATTGAAAATTAACAGTCACATTGTGAAAATAAGGTTAAAAGGTATTTTATTACTTATATAGATGTATCTAGTTACATAATTTAGGAAGTGGTAAATAAAGGGAATACACAACAGAAATACAAGTTGCTAAATGTCAAACTGCAAAGGAACTTATCTTAACAGTACCCAGACTTGAATACACCAGAAACTTTTCAATGAAAATGTGATGCAAAAAATGGATTGAATTTATTTTAAAGCATGCAGAAAATGCACTACATCATTCATCTGAATATATTTTAAATGGAATTGAATCAAGTAGCTCAAAATTCTTGATGACTTTGTGTATTTGCTTAGAAAAATAAGCCAAACAAACAGAGTGATAGCAGCTTAGTATAAGATATTAAGACTTAAAAACTCTCCAGCATAAATTACACCCTTGGAGAAGGCTAAAATTGTCTAGGCCAAGTGTACTGAATTTCTGTGATAGCTACAATCTCAGGTGCCCTACCTGAATCACTTTCCAGTCTGGGACAATATGCAATCAATGATATGGTTAATTCTGTTAGGTTAAGAGGAAGCTCCTACAACACCTTGTGATGTATTTTGGATAATCAAAGACTACCTTAAAACCATTCATATTGATAGAGAATGGCTTTTTATGTATAAATGGGCTATTTACAACAGTAAACATTACTACACAACACAACACACCAATAGAATAATTTATGCTTTCAAAAAACTCAGTTCAGTTTCGGTTCGCTACAAAAACAAGAAAACAAAGACACATTCTAAACAGAAACAAAAAATATACTTGTTAGCATACAAGGTAACATCAATCTACCATGTATAAAATTAATAAAACTACTTTTCGAAACTTAACTAGAACTTTCAAATCCAATGTATGGAAGTATGCAGGAAAATTTGAGAAGCTCTCTCAGTAGCAAGGCTAATCAAGGAGAGAGCACCTCCTGTTTTCAAAGACGACTAATCAATTTGACAGAGCTTGTTGTAGGCACTCAAACAAAATCCAATCACAAAATGTTTAGTAAAATTTTTACTTACCGTATGCATAAATACCACGTAGAAGATCTTCTCTTATTTTCATCGAGTCAAAGGTTGGTGTCACCGAGACTTCCTCGGAAGTTTCAAATACGATTTTAGCATCATCTTCAGAAATGACTCTACGTTCACGTTGTCCGTCCGCCATGATTGGAGAGAAAAGAGGTATATTTGTTGCACAGCACTGTAGTGAGTTGAATTAATCGCAAAAGAATCGCGGTTTTAACGCGGGCAGCGTTTCTGAACTGACACCCGACCCAAAACAAGAATAATAATGGCCACTGTTGGCGTAGTAGAAACTGTATAGTTTTAGAAATGTTTCCCGTATATATGAGCTTCAGAAAATTCTTTGTTCAAAAGAGATGCAGATCGACGTGGCTTTCTCTGAAGCATCTGTATCAGACAGCTATCATACCAAGGATTTCGCAACAATCCTTTTCGACAGCTAAACAGTCAGGCCCAGATCAAAACAGCGGTGTTGTGGAGAAATTTACTTTAAGTTATTGTCATGGAGGGTCTCCTTCTTCTTTAATTGGAGAAACAATACCACAAAGAATGAAAAAAGTTGCTGAGAAATATCCAGACAAAGAATTTGCAGTATTTCTTGAGGACGGGAAGAGATTAACGTTCTCCCAGTTTTATGAATATGCATGTGCTGTTGGGAAGGGTCTCATGGCACTGGGACTCAGGAAAGGGGACCGAGTTGGGATATGGGGACCCAACTGCTTAGAATGGATCTTGATACAATATGCTACAGCAATGACTGGGATGATAATGGTGAACATCAATCCGTCGTATAAGTCAAATGAGCTTGAGTATGCACTAGAGAAAACTGGATGCCGCGGCTTGGTAATGACTCCTGGCTTCAAAACTACGAATTATTATGAAGTTCTATCATCGTTAGTTCCTGAAATGAGGACGACAAGTAATGATGGAAAAATTACATCTTCAAGGTTTCCAAATTTAAAACACGTAATCCTCACTGAAGGCGAGACTCAAAGAGGGACAATTTCCTTTGAAGAACTTGCATATAGTGGAGGAAAAGAAGAGCATGAGGCACTAGAATGTTTACAAACATCGCTTTGCTTCGATGAGCCAATTAACATCCAGTTCACATCTGGGACAACTGGGAGGCCTAAAGGAGCAACTTTAACGCACCATAATATTATGAACAACGCCTACTTTTTGTCTAGAACTCTGAAGTATTTTCAGCCAGATACAAAAATCTGCATACCTGTTCCGCTGTATCATTGTTTTGGGATGGTGTTAGGGAGTCTAGCTGCAATGATATGTGGGGCTACTGCTGTATTTCCATCAAGATCATTTAATGCGGACCTAGCCTTGCAAGCCATAGACACCGAGAAATGCACGTCAGTTTATGGAACGCCAACAATGTTTATAGATATGCTAAATTCATCCCGTTTTAGCGAATTTGATTTAGCTTCGTTAAGAACAGGTGTTATGGCTGGTTCACAGTGTCCAGAAGAAATTATGAAGCAGGTGATAAACAATATGAATTGCCGGGAAATTTCTATAGTCTATGGACAAACTGAAGCCAGTCCAATAACTAACATTACACACCACAGTGATCCTTTCGATAAAAGAGTAACAACAGTTGGAAAGCCTTTTCCTTTTGTTGAGGTGAAAGTCGTGGACAAAGAAAGGAAGGTTGTCCCTGTTTACACCAAAGGTGAAATTGCTTTCAGGGGTCATGGAATTATGTTGGGGTACTGGGAAGAGGAAGAGAAAACTAGGGAATCATTAGACGATTTTGGTTGGCTATACTCTGGTGATCTAGGGATTATGGACGACCAAGGCTACTTCCACATCATTGGAAGAACGAAGGATATGATCATAAGAGGCGGAGAAAATATATATCCGAAAGAGATCGAAGAATTTTTGCATGGGCATCCTAAAATTAGAGATGTGCAAGTGATTGGTGTCCCCGATAAAAGACTTGGCGAGGACGTATGTGCATGGATTAGACTGCGTGAAGGTACTAAGATGACTCCAGAGGAAGTTAGAGATTTTTGCAGGGAAAACATGGCCTACTTCAAAATCCCAAAGTACATCAAGTTTGTTGATGAATATCCTCTAACTGTGACAGGAAAAGTGAAGAAATATGAAATGAGAGAAATTATGTCCAAAGAATTATCAATAACCCTATGACCAGGAAATCCTCTTTTTATTTTCCAATATACATAACTTTATACAGTAAATAAAGCGTAAAAGAACTGTGAAACAGAGTTTTTGTATTGTCTCCATTTTTTGTTAAAAATCTTAAAAGAATAGTAAACGTATTTTAGACTATTCATGGCAAATGTTGCGATTGAATTTGTACCAGAACTGTCTATCTGAAACTTGTTCTCTATACTTGCGGTTATAGAGTAATAGATTCGCTTGGCTGGGGAAAATAAGACAAAAGGTAAATCAGATCGTAGGATAATAGACCCAGCGATTATATCGTTGCTGATAGACGATTGGCTTTGCTCAAAGCTCGGGCGTGACTGACCTCCTGACCTATCATTGTGACAAAACAAGCTCTTTTTGCAGGAACCCTGGAAAACGGGGGCATTTCCCCTTGCGCTCACGAAATTTTGCCCTCATTGAAATGTTGGGAGAAACGTTGAATCGTTTGAACACCTCAGCCAACATTTTGAGCTCTACGCACGCGCAGTTGACTTCTCGGGTTGGTTTCGTTCGTTTTGTTCACTAATATTATGGGCAATATGATGAAGGATAACATACTCTGTGTGCAAGAAAAGGCATCACGCGTTCTCGTCCTTAAAGATGCAGTTCTCGTCCTTAAAGACCGCGATGACAAAGAAAATATCTGTCATCGCTTTCATTGAAGAGAAAATTTATAAAGAGGGGGCGAGGGCGATTGCCTTTTCCTTTCTCGGATCGAAATTTTGTGAACTTTTCTGTGCAGCCTTCTGTGCGACCTTCTACCCAGTCCTTTCTCCATCTGCGCAAGAAAATATTGGGTGAAATGTTGGATCGTTTGACCACCAACGTTGGATCACTCTTCAACATTAAAGAAAAATGTTGGGCAAAATGTTAGGTGAAATGTAATGTTTGTAAATGACATTTTAAATTTCGCGTGAAGAAAACAATTTCAATTCTTCAAGTTCTTTCTGGATTAAACAGAAGCTACAAATGCAAAGTGAGGATGCAACTTTTATATCAATGGATGAGCAGCCAGCAGTTTGTGAAAAAAAAACTAGAAAAGCTTCTTCAAACCCCTCTCGTAGATGGATGGACATCTTCGCATTTCTCGGCAGCGAAGAAAGAAGATCAAAAGACATCTCTAAAGAGCAAAAAAAACTGAAAACCACCCCAGGAAGAAGAGAAGATAATGTGTATGCTCCTGTTGCGCGTGTTGCAGAAGCATAAAGTCATTCAAAGCCTGGTTAAATACCTTTCAAAACGGTTTAATGTCAAACGTGAAGTTCTAAGTGTGTTGAAGCCGTCCATAGCATTAGATCAAACAGCAGATAAAGCGAACGTTCATGGACACGAGCTATTTGTCATTATAAATTGGCGATCTCGTTGGTTGTTCTAGCAGCAAATATCGAAACAGTACCATTGTGTGATCTTGTTAGAAATTTGGCAGAAATCAAAGGAATGCTTGATAGTGTTAAAATTACAATGACAAGAGTCCGTGGAGTAAAGCCCTATTCTTGTGATGTCGAGAGGCTAGCATATGTTGTATCTTAATGAAGACCCGATAAATTATATGTAATGTGGTATGAAAAAGTGAGGGACCATTGCCCCATCCACGCGATCGCTTTCATTTTTACGATTGGGTGTCAAGGTTCATGAAACCTTTGGGAATAATTTAAGTAGGATCTCTTGCCAAATAAAACAGATACGAAATTTCCGACAAATTGCCGAATGGTAGGTGATAGCAGGGTTTATTCTAAGAAAAATTTACAACACTACAAATTCAAGTACTGGGAGTTTTTGGTATAATGTTATAACTTACTGTAAAACGAACCGAAACAACGGTAGAACAAGAAACACTGATCTAAAATAACAAGTCTTTTGACTTATTTGTTGGAATTGACATTTGAAACCGAAATAATTTGTGGGGTATAAAGGTTGTTTGATTTTACCTGATAACGATGCAAACGATAAAGATTCTATCATATAAGGATGCAAACGAAGAAATAAACAGCCAAGATCAAAAGCTAAGGTGTTTGTTAAGTCAAGGGCTTGCTGACTGTTTACTTTTGTTTTGATTTGCTGCATGAATTTGACTTTTTTATTTCTCCCAATGATCTCTGCATATTCCAAAATTACTCAAGATGGTTTATTTTTTACAGCACCGCAAAATTGAAATCACAACACCACAAATTAGATTTACAAATTCACAATCACGTTAGAATAACCCCTGGGTGATGGGGGGAGGGCACGACGCCCCTGGTCTCAGGTATCTAGTAGAACTTCTAGCTGCTTGCAACTTGAGACAATCGAGTTATTTTTCTATAATAAGGCTTGTAGCGGCCTATTGCCCATTGCCAACACAATTACTATAGTTACAAGTTAACATAATTTCCACAATAACAAATTAACAATAAATCTTGGATTACAGCAAACAGCTAATACAAAATTGTGGAAATGTAAAATTTATTATAAGCTATACGGACGGGATAGGCGAGCCCTATGTTCAATGCAGGCAAAGTTTAAAATGAATTTTTTCTTTGGGGGAAGGGGGGTTAATGAAAGCACAGAAGCAGAAAAAAGTTGTAAAATGTCTACAACAATGAGACAATTTTTGCTTCAACACATGTATTCAACATTTAAACTGGAGAGGGGAAAAGGTTTTTTTTAAAGGAAATAGAAAGCCTCAAGTCTCAATTATTTTTCTCCGGGATTGTCGCTTTTTGGCCATGTTATACCTGTTAGAAATTGAGAGAAGATTTCGCACCAGGTTTGGAGAAAAATTACCAATCTCCTCCAACATTATTCCAGAACGGGAAACTTTTCGCTGCATATTGGTATAGAGGTATCAGGCTCTCGTACTGACGATTCTTAAACACTTGAAGTCGGAAATGACAAAATCATCAAAGTGCTTGGGAACAAAGGCCTTTCTTCCCTGAACGTTGCTGACTTCATTGAACGTTGCTGACTTCATTGAACGTTGCTGACTTCTTCGAAAATCAGCAACCATTTTCGCGCATTGAACCACAGTCAAGTCTACGCACCGTTTCTCAGGTCCTCTCTCACTGCTTTAACTTTAAAAAGTGCTTTGACAAAATTTTGACTGGAAGATTTTGATTAAGCTTCTTCACGACTTTATGTATTGTCATTTAGAATGTCCACATGCAGGCAATTTACAAAAATCACCATCCCATTGTCTTCATCCTCTTCTAGCTGATGCAGCAATCCCTTTGCCAAGCCACAGTCTTCGCCTTTTAGACTCCATGGTCTTGATTTTGAGATAAAATTCAGCGCTTGTTTTTGCATCATTCTATACTTCTGGAGTCTAACTCAAAAAGTACGTCTTTTTTAACATTTGTGATTTGGAAATGCCCCGACCAGACCACCATGTTCCAGGCAGACGTTTCAGTAATTTTTCCGGAAGCGTCCAAGTAGCGCTAAGTTTTTGCTTTGTAGCGAACAGTTTTTTGAGCGCAAGTCCGAATTCGTAAAAAGAGACCCCATTAAGCCCGATTTTGTGAAACCACCACTACTAGCCTGACTCAAATTGTCACGACAAATCCAAAAAAATCTATTAAAAACATTTAGAGATAAAATCATCCTTTGTTGATGTTTTCCTCCGTGAGTAAGGAAATCGATACTCAACACTCTGGGTCCCCTGAAACAACGTCCGATACGAGGTAACCTCCTCCATAGCTCTGAGAAACTAGTGGAAAGCAGGGTTATTTTCATACATGTATGTAACAGGATGTTAAAAACTTTAAGGCTCCATTCCATGGACAACGATCGTGCCAATTCCATAAATATTCAGATAGCTTTGAAATAACTTTAAGATCACAGACAGTTTTTGGAAATTTCACTAGAAATGCAACAAAAAAGTTTTTTTGCACTGCTCCTGTCACTCGTGTTATTGTGAGGCAGCTGTCCGTAAGGCCTATTAGCCTGTGCCTGTCCATCAGTTTTTTTCCACAGTTCCACAAGGAAAGGGTACATCTTAGTGTGTCAATAACGTAAAATGGGTTCTCAAACGCTAGAAATTCTGCGTCAAGGATTCTGGGCATCGTTCACTGGAGGATGGTTTTTCGATCCACGCCAAGAAATATTTTGCAACACATTTCATTTATATTTATGGATGTATCTGCTGCTACTTCCGTTTGTGTTGTTCTTGGTAAACACTGTTGTTTTTCATTTGTCATAAAAATCACTATTCACCGTGTAACTGCCAAAACTTTTGGTGTCAGAGAATGTCAGTTTTTAAAGCATCACAGATAGTGGCCTAGGTGATGCCTAATGGCATTTTGATTTAGATACTCGTTAATGCCTATGAATTTACTTATTACTGTTCGTACGTCGTCCAAAACAAAACTCATATTGATAATTAAATAAAAGTGGATAGGTTTGCTGCCTGTGTTTGGGCCAGTATGCCAGCATAATCATTTTATAAACAAATACAATTTGCAAGATGTTCCATTTTGTATCAATCTAATCCATCTTTTTTTCTCTTTCTAGACGACTGGGCCGAGCAATATTTCATTACTGCTTTATCCAATCATAATTCTTTTAACATTTATTGTCTTGAAATTTATCAATGTAAGACTTCATTTGATGTTTGATGGGGAGGAAGTTATAAATGAAGTAAATGAAAGTAAAGATAGAGAGACAGAAGAAGGAAAAACAGGATGTGGAAGTGCACAAAATCAGGGCGAGGAGATGAAAAAATCTGATGATATTGAACTGGATGTGCTGAATTTTGCACAATGTTTCAAGAGTGAAGGTACTGAGCCTGTTTCCAATGGTACAGATGAAGCAGTTGAAAATGATATTTCTGATAATGGCATAGAAAAGGATACAAGACAAACAGTACTAGAACTTGCAAAGCAGGCAGCCGTTGAAGGTGAAGACGATGAATTCACAGAAGCTCAAACTAAAAAAGAAGAAGCTGTGGTGGTAAAATTTCTTAAATTTGTATAGCCTGAAATATGTTTGTAGTACTTGCTTGCATAGTGTTATTAAAAATTGTTTCCAATGACCAGGGTTGGAAAATGTCTGGCAGCGACCCAAAAATTTAATCAAAGTTATTAAAGATTTGTTCTTTTTAAACAATAAGTCCATTTTTAGAATGAAAGTTTATTTTTAGGACAAAATTTTTAAATAAATCAAGCAACGTAAAATATCACTTTCAGTGGCTGGAAACTTTGTCAAAGCTTTGCAGGAAATCTTGAATTTTTTATTTTGCTCCCAGAAAGAAAAATCTTTTTTCAAGGCCTGCCAATGACATAATGCTTGTTGCAGCACCTTTTGCTCAAGTACCCAAATAGAAAGTTAAATATGATTTGAACAAGACAATGTGGAATCCATGTAGCTTATGCTGGAGATATCTGGCATGGACAAACTACATCCCATTAAATTTCTATTTTTTTATTGGCATACATCCGGCATGGGCTTTACATGGCTTTACATGGGAACAAGAGTCATTTATCTAGATATAATAGGCAGCTGAATTTGAAATTTAATAGAAATTTAATTTGTTATCTATTTAAAATTTGGCAATAGATTGTTTAAGGATTTTTAGGTGTTTTCTTAAATAGCAGATTTTAATTGATCATAGAAAAAGAAAGAGAAGAGAGATTCTGTAACAAGCAAAGAGGTAAGCAGATTTTTTTACCAATTTCAAAGAATTTATTTCAAACTTTTGTTTCTTTATTATCTAGCAGTAATTTCTTCTAGCTGTCTTAATAAATCGCCTAGAATGAATTTGCTACGAAAATGTGGTAAAGCTTAATTTTTATTTATGCATTTATTTTCAAGCATTGCAAGCTTGTATGGCTGCGTCTTTGTAAGGTTGGACTTTGTAAGGAAGTTGTAGGGATGAAGAAAAACAAATCTTCTATCTATTTATTTTTTCTTCTATCTATTTATTGTATTTATGGAAATGCACCAAAGGTTTATTTTAATCAAAGTCAGAGATACAATTACAATCAATATTTCTTCTTTGCAATAGCTTTGTGCTTCAAAGGCAAGCATCTTCACTACCCTCAAAATGAGGTGCACCTATAAGCAGGGTAATAGAGTATGATTTTTGTTAACAACTTGTAAAAATTGCAAGTGTACAAATGCCAAAGTGTTTATCTTAGGTTAAAGCCAAGTGATACTGTCAGGGTTTCTTTTAAGAAAGATTTCAAGTCAAACTTTTTATTTTGAATTGGAAAGTTTCTAATCCAATAACAAGGAATCCAGTCAGCAACTTATCATTAAATGTAGATATAAACTTTTTAGTGTATAAGAGGATCATCATCAGGCTTCAGCAGTATTTCTTCACTATCTTCAAGTGGTGAGTTTTTTCCTTAAAGTTAACCTAGTTCCATTCAAAATGATTTACGAGTAACTGAACAATTGTAATGCTCACTTAATACAATTGTTTGTTGGAAGCTGTCTGCTTTGTGACAAGTTTTAACTGCAATAGTCCACAAGTTTCTATAAAATTTGGAAGTGACTTTGCATCCTTTGCCAGGGGTTGGTCTAGTAGAGGTGTCAGCTGAGACATGCTTGACTGTGAAACTTTGCCCTTGCAATCAATGCTAATATGATTTGTTTTTCACAATCGTAAAGTTTTATTTGAGTGATTTAGAATTGCTACAGTTTTCATATTACTTTTTGCACACATCGTAACACATGCTTCCTATGATGCTCAAAATTTCAAATTGTTGCTACTTGCCAGCTCCTATTTTTAAAGGTCTTAAAAGAATTTGCCCTTAAGGGTCATTTTTGCCCAGTGTAAGGTTGCTGTGTTCTGCAGGTAACATGTAACGCTGAAGCTCATTTTAATTATGTTGGTTTGTCTCTCTTTTTTGTGTGATATATCAAGTCTACCTTTGGTTTTTTAAACGAATATTTTGAATTGAATATTACGACATGCAGCAGTGATAATTTTCAGAATGCAAATGATCTTGATTTTAGTGGTAACTTGAAACATGACTCCGCTTTGAGTGATACATAGAAACTGCTCGTTTGAGGTTTTGGAATTTGATTGTATAGGTGGGAGAGCAGAGTTGGTTGTTGTTGATGTTCACAAGATTACCCAAGTGCATAATGACAAAGGTACCATAGTTGAACAGTTGCAAGGGAAATCAGAAGATCAAGAGGATGCAAAGTATGATTTTACTTTTATGTATATTAGACAATATTGAAGCTTATTGAATTTTTCATTAGCCCTGCATATCGTCAATGATATGCATAAATGTATTAAACTTTAGATGAGCAGCAAATATTATCCACTCAAAGTATCAAACTATGTCATTATCAAGGCTGTTACTCGAAGAAAGATTGTGAAAGCAAGCCACATTTACATTCTTTTTGTTTCTCTTCAATTCACCCATACCATGTATTCCCCTACCAAGAATGCCTCAGAATTTATAACTGTATTCTAAAAGGAAACATAGATTTTTTGACTGAACTTCAAAACAGTGAATATACAGTGAATCCTGATTAAATGCTCCTTCTGAATTAGCACCATCTCGAATAAGGCTTGTTTTGAAGTAAAGATACTCCAATAGAGTTTGTTATGTTTATGAAGGTTATGTTTATGTTATGTGTATAGTGTTGATATAGTGTTGTTTATATTGTATAGTGTTGATTATTTACATACTGTTTTGTTTTCTTAATCCAGTCAATGATCATGGCGCTTTCAAATCATTGTTTCTAAAACGAATCTGTGCAGTTTTTCAATGAAAAGGGGTTCAAGCTTTCTTATAAAATTGCTTTTTTGAAAGGTGCACCCAAAAACTAAATTTTATCAACCTAATATTTTTCATTTTATGAATTCAGAGAGATAGATGGGTGACTTGATTTTATTCGTTTTCTCAGACTTGAAGGTGCAGTGGGATTTTCCAAGGAGTCTTCCCTGGAAAACTGTGAAGGTATGAGATTATTCTGGCTCTAAGTACAATAATAATAATGATTAAAGTGCAAAGCTATAATACAATTTTCTATACACTTTACAATTTAAAGCCTATTACATAACTTCATAAGCTAATTTAAATAAATGATCAATATTGTTAAAGTCTTAAAAGACGATTTAAAATGATCAATATTGTCAACAGAACGAATTTCAAACGGAAGACTGTTCCAAAGACTAGCTGCAGCATAGGCAAAAGTTCTAGCACCTAATGTTTTGCAGATCAGATCACAGCAAAACAGATCTGTCTTTAATCCTTTAAAAAACAGTAAATATTTTATGCCTGTCTCTTTGTGTATTAGGTGCAACAAATGGTCCTATGCAAGATTCGAAAGAACTAGCTGATACAACCCCACAGGATACAATGGTGCCAGAAGACATAAATGGATCCTCACAATTTCCGTTGAATCTGTGGCGACTTGTAGATTCAAACAGTGACTTGAATGGCAGTCATGGGTCAGAACTGAATTCCATAAATGACAAAGCTGTTGCCTCTGAAAAACCTAGATTCACTTCTGATGCGAAGTCTGATAACACACTACGTGTTTCAAACAAAGAGATTGATGGCATTGAAGGGGACTCACAAGACAAAGCTGTTTCAATGTCAGCCTTAGAAGCAAATAGCAATGGGGAGGGTGAAGCAGGCCAGAGATCCAAAACTAGCCAGGTGAGCAAAGAGTACTGAGGTGGAGCGATTATTTTTGTACCTTTTAAAATTGACAATCCATCTTTTCACCACATGTGAATTTCATTATGTCAAGCAAATGTCACACAGCCTTTCAGGTTTTCCAGGTAAAACAGTTGCTAGAACTTTGTCATAAGAGCATTCTCTTTTCTTTGTCTTACTGAAGTTTGTCTTGTCAGAGGCTGAATTGCTTAAGACCTTGAATTCTCTGAGATTATTTCAAAACAGAAATATTCAGTTATTCATCACGGTGCCATCTGTTACATTCATGTAAAATAATCATCTGGATTGGTCATCCCAAAATGACTGCCGCCTCACTTTGCTCAGTTAAAATATCACCGTATGCACCAAATTAGCATGATCATCTGGTTGATTGTATAGTCTTACTTTTTATAGGCTGTCTGGTTTTCTCTTCCTGAGATGGAAAAGACAAACGAAGATAATGTCTTTGGACCTGGAGATGAGGAAGGGTTGCGCCGAGAACTTGCTAAAAAGGTCATGGCTTCTAGTGAAGGAGACAATGGTACTGATGAAAATCCATTTTCTTCCCTATATCAAAGTTTGATAAACAAGAAACTTGTGACTTTAAACACAATTCATAATTTCATATATAATCTTTTTATATGACAAATTGCCATCAGATTTAAAGGAAATCTGACATTAAGGATATTAGTTTTTCTGACATAAAGTCACTCTGAATCAAATACGTAAGTTATCCATGCGTTCCTGGTTTTTTATTGAATGTTTTTTGCAGGGGATGATTCTCACTGGAGTACCAGTTTGAAACATTTAAACGACGGTAGTACAGAAGAAGGAGGCTCTGATAAAGAAAAAGATGAGACGAAAAGCGAACCAGAGGCAGATACGAGACAAGGCTTTGTGGTGGAGCTCTTAGATTCTTATGAAGGTAGAAGACTTAATCGAAGAGGTGCAACGAGGCAGAGTTTTAGAGACTACATCAGAGAGAGGTCTGATCGGTCTTTGCGTCTGCGAAGGAGACGGTTGGTTTTAGAATCCGCAGGATCATCACTTCTAGGTCAAGATGACGATAGTGGGGACCAATCCCAGAATGCAAGTCGACACGTCGCATTGACTCATGACGATACAACAGCAGGAGCTGTGCACTGCTTCAAAGATGAATTTGGTTTGTTGTTTTCTATGATAATTGCAACAAATTATGAATAATAAAAATCATCCAAAAGTTGGAGTGTACTGAGTTGATCAAAAAACGAAAATTTTGTAATTTTTAATAGACCAATAACGAGTGTTTTATCAAGCCTCAGTTTTATTAGAGGATTGCGGTCAAAGTTTTATAATTTTACTGCCGGATAATTCGATCTCTGCTGATTCAAACGAATAAAGTGCTATGAATAAACGAATAGAGAGGCTTGCATTTTCTCTACTGCCAAGGGTATAACTACCACTTGTTTTGCAATTCTCAGATAATTAGCCCTTATGCTGTAAATACATTTCTTATCTCAATGATTCTTAATCGTTGGTGATAATAATGAAAACTGTAATGGAAAGCTGTTTGGATTGCTGGGTTTGATGTTAAAAATCCCTGTTCGTTATAGGTACAAGTTCCTAAGAACCTAAGCTATACCCTTTCTTGAGTAAAATATTAATATAGAAAAGGCCAATGGGACAGCATTCATCCGCATCCGTTGGCCATTTTTCTCGTTTTGCGTAAGAACCTTTACTGGTGCCCTCTTATCTTGATCATCCAGTTGTGTGTTAAATTAAATCTGTATTAAATTCTCTTTTTTTAAAAAGGGGTATAAAGTGGAGATGGGGTGAAGCATCGATCGGTGGGTAGAGGTAACTCAAAGTATGGACCTTATAAATGTCATTGCATGCTTTCAATTCCAGGTATCTGGCACACTTACGTATTTGGAGATGAAGGGGGAGAAGTTGAGGCAAGTGCCACTCAGTCGACTGACCATTCGATTGGATCTACTTTGAACAGAGACATGAGGTCCTCCTCAAGAAGAGGGTAATTCAACATTTTTATTTGCAACTTTCTTATCAAAGGAAACTGCTGTATTTTTTTTATTATCAAAAGCGTATATCCTAAAGTGAAGATATTTTCAGGAACTATGTTTTTTCTTTTGATCCAAACAAAAGAAGTTTATTTTGCATTTTGAAAGAGCGTTAGTTTCTTGTGCGGTATCAGTTAATTAATCTGCTTTTCCACTTTTTTTGATGCTCTTTTTCCTAGTTTTGATATATCCGGGGCATAGTGCTCAACAACTTCCATTCAGTTTCGAAGTTTCTAAATTCTAGTACTGCAACTTCATTTAAGTCTTTAAGGCTCTGCAAAATATGCGACTTGCAATTTGAACACGCAAGGGAAAACAAACCTTTAAAATTATCAGGATTTCGAACTACTAAAGGTTGGCCTAAGCAACTATGAAAGGAAGGGTTTGTGCAAGGAAAAGTTGTCAAAAAAGAATTCTAGAATAACCCACCTTACATTCTGACTGTGCATTCTTTTTAATTATCTGACTGTTGTCTTTCTCGTTTGTTTCGTAGTGCAGAGTCCGGTAGTACTCAAGCCTCCCTAACCGACCGCGATTTATTTGAATCAGTTTACCAAGAAGTCCGTTTATCCCACTTACTATCAGGGGGTGTGGAACCTAGGCCATGGGCGCAGTTTGCATCACCTGGAAGTATGAAAGTCTCAGCGTCAGAGCTGCCTCCGCGGCGATACTACAAGCTGCATGTCTATAGCTCGTTTTTTGTGAAAATATGGTTCGATCGATTGGCACTGCTTGCCTTACTAGACAGGTACGTGTGAAAGGAATGGTTACAAAAATGCAGGGTTGCAATAGTCTTAATAATGATACGTTCTTGAAAAATTTGGGATTAATTTTTTTCTTAATGTTTGTATTAAATCCATTTGCATAGTCATATATAAGAAGTATATAATTGGTGAGTGAATGCAATTCGTCAAAGTTGGAGCAATTTTTATAGGCACTTTCTGTCATTATTTTGTGTTTATTATTAGTTTTTACTTGTGTTTTTATGTTTGAGTAAGATTTCATCATAGTTCATGGAAGGGCTCTTATTCAGTTAAAATCGTTTTTGGATCCATTCGGTATTTGTTTTTTTGAAAGAAAATGTGAAGTCAATATATATTGTGTACTAACACTTTCTTTGTCTTGTGATTTCTCGACTCCTCACCAGTTGCTTTGTCCCCCTTATGGAACTTTTTTGAATACCCAAGTTTGCAATGAATGATAGCTGCATGTAGTTTTGGTTTCTTTATTAGAGACAAATTGTAAAAGAGACTAAATCCATGACGAGGCATCAAGCATGAAGATCATCAGTCCCCTTTTTCCTAGCTCTCTTTCCCGTATCAATGTTTTATTTCTTTTTCAAGAGTTTCTGTAGGCGAAATGCGTAACTTGTCAGCTGCATCGAGCTAACTGGTGTAACAGTGAGCTTTTCTTGTCCATTCCTTCCCGGGAACTCAAAGTTGTCTGAAAGCTCAATTTCTACAGATATTTCCGATGGCCTTAAAGTTTTATGTACGAATGTGAGAAACTTAGGCCAATACGCAAAGTTGATGCTCATTTTTGATAAAGATGGAACGTAGCCAGGAAAGCCTAATATTGTTATTGTGATGGCCTAGATTCTTCTGTGTTTGATTTTCGAGAAAGTTCACTACCAAGAAAGAACTTTAAAATGGCCTAATGGCCTAGATTTTTTAATCGATCGTCTACTTTGACCTTCAATACATGTTGCTTTTGTCACATGATAACCAACAGCCCAATTTATTTTAATAATTTTCATAACATAAATATAAAAAAAATTCCTTAAAACGAAACATTTATGATCACTTATTTAGAGTAGCAATAATTTCTTATTTTGCATACAGAAACAAAACATTGTTGGAAACAGTAATCGCCATATTGTTTGGTGGTCTGACTGCATGGCTTGGCTACATGTTGCTATCACGTGACTACGTGTATGACTTGTGGATATTCATTCTTTGCTTTGTCATAGCCAAATGCCAGTTCTCCCTTCTCAAGGTAACGTTACCTTTGTGCATATTTGGTGCAGCATTTGTACGTTGTTTTGTTGAGTCCTTCGTACAAATGTACGTTGTTTATTTGAATCCTTGTGCATCAACTGTTTGATGGCATTTTTGCTTAATAAGCGTTAAATAAATAATGAGAAGGTTGTTAAAGTATTAATAAAAAATGGTAGAAACAATTAGAATTCGTAAAATGACGCATGAGATCAAGATGATTTTCATCAATCATTCACAGGCAAAATAATACAAGCAGTAAAAAACCATACTATATTAGAAATTTTATTAAATTTTCAACATGAGTGAAATGTTGAATTTTTGTGAAACGTTTAAATATTTTGCCATAATGTGATATGTTAACTGCAATTACTTTTGTTTCTACAGAGCGTGCAGCCGGACTCAGCATCTCCCGTGCATGTATGTTGATATCTTCTATTTTTATTCCTGCTTCTTTGCAAGGGGGCTTGAAAACAGAAGCATTTGAAAACACCAGCTGTTGCATCGTTATCATCAGTCCTGGCTGTTGAAAGCAATGGCCCTTGTGAAGCACTATAATACATCTATAAGTATTGCGCTTATTAGTAAAGACCAGGACGGTTTATGAGTTGTAACCACGAGTCTCACACTTGCAACCATCAGACAACTGTATAAACCACTCTCACTCTCTATTGGCGTCGTTTTTATATTTAGTTACTTGTGGTTTGACACTGGAAACGTATTTTGATGTCGGAATTTTGAAATAAGTTCGGATTTTTTGTTTATGATGCGATTCTTACTAGAATTTATGATTACAAATCCATGAATGTTATATGGTTATGGACTTCTGCTGTTTGCTTGGGCCGTACTGTGTGCAACCTTTGCTTAAAACATCCTCAGACTTGAGGCATACATAACTAATAAGTAGAGAATTGGAATGGGAAAAGAAAGTTATTTTTGAAAAACATGAATAATGTCTTTTCTAAATGAACTTTGTTGTATTTATCTCTCCCTGCTTTGTTTTTATTTCTTGACGAGTCAAATGAAAATTTGTTAAAAGAACTTTGCAAAAGAAATAATTATACTTCTTGTAACGAGTAAAAGCCCAGATTAATGATAATATCTAGTGAATTTTCTTTCAAATGAATTTGTCGTTAGTTTAATGATGCAAAAAATCTTTGCTTTTTTGATATTATTATATATATTATGATATTATGAAATAGTCATTCAACGTTTGCCTTGACTCATGGTATAATCTCTTTGTTTTGATAGGGTCACAACAATGTGATTGTATTCAGTCGTGCAGCCTATTTTTGTTGTGTGGCTGCCATGATACTGTTATTAGACGAAGCTTCGAAAAGCAACCCAACTGCGCCGAAATTATATGGAATTAATATTTATTCGAAAGCAACCCTAGAGTTCACCAGAGATGCACTAATTGGTATGTCCGCTTATTTTTAAAAAACGTTGCATGTGATTTTGAAAATAGATTTGCAATGCATTTAGAGAAGCTGCAAGGGACTTGAACAGGAAAGAAATCACGTCTACTGAGCAGTGCTTATGCTATACTTTGGATTGCTGGATCCTAGATCCCTGGATTATTCTTCATCTCCTTTTGGATTATGATCCATGGTTATTGTCTTGGATGATTGTTTTACTCATATAAGATTATAATCCAGCATTATCATAATCATGGATAATAATTCATCTCGTTTAAGATTATACGTCTTGCATTAGACAATAACCTAGAATTGTATTTATCTCCATTCAGGTTATATACCTGGACTATAATTCATCTTTAGATTATATTTTTCAAAGAATTTATCTATTAGTTATATTACCGAAAGGTTCTTTAAAGGTTCTCTCTTTTTTCTTAAGATGAAGAAGTGAATCCGAATGTACCCCAGAATATCTTATCTTCTCCTCCTTTGCGTTTTTCTTTTTATTACATAAACATACACATTAACTTTTGCCATCGTTTTGCCAATTTTTACTCTCGTTGACAGTTTGCTCATGAAAGTCGGGTATACGTAGTTTGAATTTCAACTGCCAGACAAGAATGTTTGTTCGTTTTATTGAGTTATCAGCCTTGTTCGGTGCCCGTTGAGGTTTCCCTATACTTCCAGTGAGATGTCTATCATGTAATCACTTTATTAATCTAATTGTTACACGTATTTAAATTTTGCAACCCTGCCTGTTGAATGTATGAATGATATATATTTTTTCCTGTTAGGTTTCCTGCTGGCTTTTCCAGTGATATTTGTTTTTGGTTTACTTCCGCAAATCAATACTTTCACGATGTATTTCTTGGAACAGCTAGATGTTCATTTGTTTGGAGGGACATGTGAGTTCACTACTATGCTGAATTATATCTTACTAAAGTTGTATCATGTTTTATTCTTGCTGTTATTCTCTTTCTCATTATCCGTTTCAAGTCGCATTGAATGTTTCTTTTCTTGAATTGTTAGCGATGACAAGCCTCCAAGGATCATTTTATTCCATCTTCAAAAGTGTAGCTTCCGTTGGCTTTCTCTATGGTTTCTGCTATGCAGCTATGAAGGTGAGCAAAGAGTATTGCAGAAAAGACTCCACTGCTTTCATTGCTGACGATATTCAGTCATATGAGCCCTAACACTAGTCATCTATTCTGGAGAATATATGATTCTGTTCACCTTCAATAGGCAAATGGATTTGACTGTGTCAATCTGGCGTCCCAACCACCACATTTTATTCATTTCATTTCATTTTCAATCATTTATACAGAGTGGGAGCCTCTAGAATAAATAATGCTTTACAACTTTCCTATAAACTAGAAGCAAATTAGGTAGAAGTCCTAATTACAATGATATCACATCTAAATTACTATAAAAAAGAAAGAATCTTAAGTCTATATTTCGTTATGGCTCACGTAAAAGCTTTCTTGAAAGAAGAGAAGCTATTTTTTGCCTTGGTTTTTATAGCTCAATTTGTTCCAAAGTTTGGTTCCCCTAAATTAAAAACTCTTTTGTCCTAAGGATGTTTTCAACAGAGGAATGTCCAAATCCAGTTTGAAATTCCGTAATTCCTTGTCACATTTCTCCGAGACCTTTGTAAACAGACCTTGCAGATAATCAGAGACTTGACGATGCAGCAAATTGAGAACGATTTTTATTTATTAAAAGCCTATCATTTGTCGTTTATCGAGCTAGCAAATTGGTTAATATGACAATTCCCCATATTTACGAACATTAAATTACTGCATACCGTAAAATTTGATTCTGTCAAAAATGAGAATTTTTCAAATAATGTGAACTCATCAGAATTTGCACCTTAGGTTTTTTAAGATAAATCACTGCACCTTAGATTGATAAAACGATAAATTAAATGAAAAATTTCACACCAGTTAAAATTGATGTTGTCGCAGATTATTCCAGGTTTTTTAACGGGGCTCAACAGGAAAACATTTATCTTTTTTATATGAGATAAAACTTTAAACCAAAAAGCTATCTATCTTAAAGTTCTACTGAAAAATATATGTTATTCGGAACAAACCTTTTTTGCTTTTTCTCAATTTTTAGACAGAGTCAAAAGCCCAACACATTCTGTTTTCGATTTATTGTGGACTTCTTACTGCTGTTTCCTGTCATCTAAGTCGATGCACAAGTGATCCATTAGTTCTGTGGTAATTTAATACTTTCATATCGCTGTAAACTTTCTTGATTTTCGTATTACGTAACAGTTTATGCCTTGTCTAATCCTGCTTCTTCAAGCCTATTTTCTTCAGATCGACGTCAAAACATATGGCAGGTTTCAAAGATCTTTTAGCTAAATTGTCAAACCCTAGCAACTGTTGTCGGAATTAAGAAACTTGACTATCATTTTCCAATTTTTTTCTGCAAAAACTACTTTGTTATTTAAGAAAGAAAGATTAAATTTACTTTCAATGTCGCTTTTAAGATGTTTTTCAGAAGCCAAATTTCAATTTGAGTTTTTCAAATTGTCATTTTGCAAATATAAACGAATACTTCCATTTCCAACCTAAAAGTAACACCATGCTGTATTCAGTAGCAGTTTCAAGTTGTCAACTTTTATCGTTAATATCGTTTTTAGCAATAGTGTCTGTTCAAGATACCAAGAAGGCGTTCAAGGAAACGAAATTTTTGTTTATGATTTTTTCCAGTAAACTGAGATATTCATTGGCAAGTCTGTCGGTCTGAGAAGGTGCCATTTTGAAATTTTATTTCGGAATGAATTCACTCAATGCGCGGTAATGTCATTCTTTGTTTATTTTGTAGGGAAATTTTCAAGTCAAAAGTTCTCAGAATGGATTTGAGGAATGAAGAAGGAGACCCACTTCCTGAGAAGCTCAGAAAGACAGTGGTATGTTTATTTATTCGTTTTTCCTTGCCAAAATTGTTCAATCAGATCAAACTAACCAGCCAGGCAAATTGCACTGTTCAATTCCACTAAGTTGTACCCCGGGATAACTCGGACTTTCACTGATTCGAACTGGTTGTATTATTCTCACAGTATTATGTTACCTTATTCAAGTCAAAAGTCGTACCCCGGATTAGTTGAACGTTCGCGAAGTCGAGCCATTTCCTCACACCCTTTAAAGGCATTTGTCAATCTTTTGACAATTCATTGCCAGTTGGCTTGCTGTTTTGTAAGAGGAATTTCTTAAAGGAGCTGTATCTGAAAGGCCAACCCTTCTCCTTGCACCATTGCTCTGCCAATTTGCCTATATGAGTTAAGAGTAGATGGTTTTTCTGTCTCTAATCCTTGGGGCATTTGTTATATTCCATCTATGATTGTTTATTCGCAGCTCAAGAGACTTGGAAATGACATCATTGTGTCCACGGGGATTATCATCATAGTCTTTGCTGTGCACGTGAGCACAATGTTTACTAGATTGCAGGTACTGTGTCATATTTATTTATGCTTTTAGGACATCTTCCCTGTCATAATTTTTTTCAGAACTTTTATTAGTTATTCATAGGACACAAAGATCTAAAAACATTGTCCAGTTTTTTATTGTGAAAGGGGTTTCGACGCTTATTTTGCGTTCAACTCTCTGGAGATGAATTTTTTGTGAAGGTAAAACCAACGCACTGATTCATTTAAAGTGATTCTTCAGTTGTCTCTGCCATACTTTGAGTGTAGGCAAGGGCTCTGGTTTTATTATGATTCAGTCTCAGTAGGGGAGAGGAGATTGCCATTTTAAGTTATGGCCAAAGTGATGGCAGAATGGTAATCAATGTTTCTCTTTATACTGCTTCGGGTTGTCACTGACAATTAAGTTAGTTGTCACTAAGGAGAATGAATTTTTTAGAGCGTAATCTTTTGAGAAAAACAGTTATATGCTTATGGGTAACAGAATTAAATTCTTAGGTGAAAAAATTGGTATGATAAATGTCTTAGAAGGATAGGATGTCTTTTGGCTGTCATTTTAGGATACGCTTATGATCTTTAGCCTAATAACAAGAAAATGTTTGTGTTTGCACGAATCATCATCATTTGTCTTTGACAGATCAACGTGACAATTTTATGTTTTACTGTTGATGGATTTAGCTCATTAGTCAATCTCATCTTTTATCAATTATTTTTTTCTCTTTTGACGTAGCCTAATATAAGTTACATTCTCTTTGGCGAAGTGGCTGTTTTGGGTATTGTCAACCACTACCTCATACCACAACTGAGAAAGCAATTACCTTGGCTCATTGGCTCTTCTCCAGTCTTGAAATCCAGCGAATATGACATTTATGAAGCCTTCAGTAAGCATTCAGTATTTTTTAGGCATTTTTAGCAGGGCTGTGTTAGCAGGGCTGTGTTAACAGGGTTTACTTGAATGCAACCAGTGGCCACAGTATTGAAGGTCCCCCCCCCCCCAAGTATCTAATCAATGAAAATTACTGTTCGCCAGTCTGCCATTAATCGAACCTTGATTTCTAGCTCCCGCCATCCAGAGCGACCTGAATTATCAATTATAGTTCAAACTAAAAGTTCTTTTTTTGTCTGGCTTTTCCTATTGATATTTTTTTATATTATAATCGAGATATTTTGCTCAATCATATTGTTGAAAGAACCTGTTTGCAAGCTATTATTAAAAAAGTAAAAACTTGCTCTACTGATTTATTTGATGCTGGAAACATCTGAATATCAAAGGCTGGCAACATCTGCCGAATTTCAATCGACCCTGTTCTCATTTTACATTAACTTGAATCTAAGTTGAACCAGGCTGATTTGTGTTTACAAAACAGAAGCACAAGATGTCTTGATTATTTGACAAAAATTTTGGAGTTGGTTATTCTTTCTGTGATTTTAAACTTTCCCGAAGGCTATTTTTGCTGCAAATTTATGAACTTCAAATGTCTTTGCGCAACTTTTTGACAGTTTTACCCGCCCTGTCCAAGAGCTTCGTGGAACTTTTTTATTGGAAATCCCCTTGTTCTATAGAATAATACCCAATCCATTTCTCTTATTGCTCTCTTATATGCAGAAATGTGTGCTTTCACTCATTTTACCAATTTCATCTCATAGATGTTGCTCACATTATGTGGTTTGAGCGCGCTTACGTTTGGCTTTGTGTCGTCGAAAGAAATGTTCTGTACCCTTTGACGTTCATTAACTGCCTTACAAGAGACGCTCACCTCATTACTGGAAAGTTCGGGCCAGTGTAAGTAATATTTATACCTCACTTGTATCTTCCGAAGGTCGTTGTACCGGGAATCTAAGATTCAAGGTAATTATTGACGCTAAAATTCAGTTTGGAGATGTATTTTGGAAATGTGGCTGTAATTCTTGGATTAAATATGAATTGAAGAAACTAAAAGAGCAAAAGAGAAGGGTTTCTGCATATAATATTATTAGCAGAGGAGGGGAGGGGGGTGAGGAATGCAAAGCCAATTTGGTATTTTCCCATTCAGGTATAGGAAAAGTTTAATTCTGAGTTTTGTCAAAGTTCTTTGTCTATATCGTATATCTTTGCGATTTTTCATGCAATCCTTAATTCACAGTTTGAAGCAAATGGAAAAGATCCCCAACTTTAAAAATCATAAAAAACGTCAAAGTTGAAGCAATTCATATGCAAAATATATTAAAAAAAGATAGCATCAAACTGAATATTCAAAATAAAAACCCTAACTAACTGACTGGCTGTTTGCCTCTATCATTAGAGCAGACAGGATAGTGCAGTAACTTAAAATGACTGCTTCATACTTCCAACTTAGGGCAGTGGCGAAGCTAGCCAAAAATTGTTGGTCCTGCTATATGGACAGGGCCACGCCCTTATTAAATTGGAAAAGCCTATGGACAAAATTTCTATTTTGCAGATGAATTTTTTCTTAAATTCAGTAAAAAGCAAATTTTAAATCGATGTCTATCTTTTGAAAATAAACCCATAATTAAAGACGTGCTTTAGGGTGCTTACTTTTCAAACAAATCTATGCTAAATTGAAGTAAGCCTCTACAGCTGAAGTAAAAGTTCAAATTGGTGATAACTAAATTTGACGATAAAAGGGGGTAGGGGTGGCATTTGAAGTTGCATATCATATATTTGTGGTATTCCAGATTTTGGTCTTATAAACCTGACCAATCTGGATACTCTATTAAAATAATTTTAATAAACAACAGAGTTTAAAGTCTGTAGGGGCAAGTTCACATATTCTACAGAACAATTATTCTGCAGCTGATAAAGAGAGATACAATCGAATAATGTGTCGCATTATCAATGAAAACAACTTTATTAGATAAACCATTAGACGAGAAAACAATTCAGGTAGAAAAATGCAAGTACCGCTGAAATTGGTTTATTCTCCAACTCAAAACTTTCAATCACACAGCAGTAAATTCAATTATGCTTTCATCGTCCTTGTCCAAGTCTAAGAAAATTTTTATTTAGGCCACCATGATATACCGTGCCTCAAACGATCGTACAAAGGCCGAAATCAGAGTGCCTCATACAGCCAATTCTTGTTGTTTACATTTCTTTCTTGCGAACTTTGGACTCTGTCTTGTTACAAATAAAATTTATGCAGCTCAAGTGAGGCAAGTTTTGCTGTCAATAATAATATCATTGGTATTGCCAAAGCAAGCAGAAAATCCGCATTCACATCGCCTCGCCATAATACTTGAACTGGCCTCCTTGCTAGTATCTCATAGCAGAACGAGAATGCACAGGGCAATTCTTGCAGTCCTGCTCTCAGAAATAGCAGGACCAAAGGTTTTCAAAACAATGCTCTTTGACCTACGTAGGTGAACCCTCGACCAATCAAATCACAACTGCTTACGAAATGTTATGATGGTCATTTCGACGAGGTCCTGCTCCCGAGATTGAGCAGGACTGCTCTTTGTTCTAGACTATTGTGAAGCAGGACTAAATTCACAAAAGCCCATTGTGAAGCAGGACCAAACATAGGGTATCATAGTTATGAGCAGGACCGAAATACAGGGCTGCCGTAGAAGAGAACAGGACCTTGAGATTAGCACGGGATGCCTGTATCAGCTGGCGGAACTGGGGACTGTTTATCAAAAAGAATTTGAAACTTCCTTTTTGCAAAGAAGAAATTGTTTATTGTTTACAGTAAATCTTATCTTTGGAAATTCTTGGTCCTGCTCAGCAGGACCAGCAGGACCTTTGGCTTCGCCACTGACTTAGGGTTACTTGTGTTTAGATAGGCGTCAGTTTTTTATTAAGAACTTTTTTTAGTGCAATGATATGAATGTAGGAGTTTTGATGCAGTCGTTTATTTCAATCGTTTACTCTCAGTTTCGATTCATCTGCATTTCAGTATCGGATCACTGATCATCACAATAACAGGAATGAAGCTGCTGCGATCGAGTTTCACTGCAACTGCGAGGCAGCATATTGTCCTTATTTGGACTGTTCTTTTCTTCGAGTATGACTATCGTGGCAATTCCGAGACGTTCCCAATTGATTATTTTATAATGTCAATCTTCGTCGACAAGGTAGCTCTATATATCGCTTTATGCTAAGTTAATCTATTATTGCTTTCTTTTCTAAGTCTCATCTCAAACATTTCCCGGGGGTAATTGTGTACATGGTATGTAGTGTCCTCTACAAATCACAGTTTGCTAGTCGAAAGCATGGATGTCTTCCGGCTGCATCCCCGAGTTTATTGGTGATTATCAATGCATACATCTATTCGAGCAAAAGGGTTGCAGTATATGAACATCTTTTAAAAGTATACGCTCGAACTGCTTAATTTCTCAGTGTAATTTTAACACATACTACTTGCTTCTATTTGGCATATTTTTGCAATTATACTCCTCAATTTGCCGTTTTGTGCAAAATACACGCAACAGCTTTCTCTTTCAAACTTTCCCTTCCCACAGATTTATCAATTTCTAATAAAATAAATAATTCATCCATTCTTGAATTTTTTTATTCTGATATTTCTACTGTATGCTTTTTCAATAACATGTTATCGTTTTTCAGGCCATCGATTTGTTATTGAAATTCCGCTTCATTCTAACGTACACAGCACCATGGCAGATCACATGGGGATCGGCATTCCACGCTTTCGCGCAACCTTTCAGCCTGCCTCGTATCCATTCAAAAAAGTCTTTTCTGCCATTTGTTGTCCATCTTTCATGAGAACATTCCAATGAATTTTCTGTTTATTTTTATGCGTTTCTGGGCGCATAGCATCGTAACAGAAAGGTTTATGACTTGCCGCCAGTAACTGTGGTGAAACCTTGTATACCTTGTATGTCCATTTGATTATTAGTTCATTAAGGTTTAACGTTAAACAACTTAATGCCAGCGGGCTTATAGTAAGAAGCTAACTGTATTTCAAAGCTGTAGTATGTAAATATCTTGAAAATTCTGAACATTTGCGTTATTAAAGGTCAATTTTGTTCAGATAGATGGTACTTAGCTTTTTGTCGCTTGTTTTCCCTTATATTGCATAAACCTCATTTCAATTAGTTCAGAATTTTACATTGAGATGCAAAGCTATTTATCAATTTCCCGGTTACACTTAATGTTGTAATTGTCCTTAATATTATGCAAGATTGCGGTATGCTGTTCCTTCAAGGAGTTATTTCTGCTTTTCTGTCAGCTCCACTCAATCCGTTTCTGGGCAGCGCAATTTTCATTACGTCATATGTTCGTCCTACCAAGTTTTGGGAAAAGAATTATAAGTATGTATCCAGAACTCAACTAGCAACTGTAGCATCTATCATAGAAATTCGTCTTTCATATGGCTTATGTCGCATGTAACGTATAAGTATGATATGTAGAATAATATTTTTTGTATGGCATTAAAGATATGATATATCATATAACGTTGGCACAGCACTTTGCGAATGATAGGCAACTATAACACAGCTCAGTCCAATTCAATTCAACTTTTTTCATACAATACAAAGACGTAAAAGCAAAATTTGCATTATATGCGACTCATAAGGCAAAGCTTATCGAGCATTGACCGCAAGCTAACAAGACTGTATGCAAGCTAAAAACCTGTGGAATATAATAAACACAAGACAACACATAGAAGCACCGCAAATGATAACCCTTAATTGCCATGGTGTTTTTCTAATTGCATTCTCTTTTTTTCCAGCACTAAAAGAGCTGATCATTCGAATACACGGCTGTCATCTCATTTGGACAACAACCCTTGTATGTGCTGTAATGTTTTGCCTTCTTTTTGTGGCCTATAGTATTCAGAAGCTCAGTATGAAAAGTTTCGTTGCTATGTTTGCAGTTATTAAACCCACAGTTAGCAAACATCCAAAGTTTTATTATATGGCCCTTGATTACACACTTATATTTATAAGAATGTTATGAAAAGAAATTTCTTCTTAGGCCTTTTATTTTAAAATGAAAATCGAAGAATCCTGAGGTTAGCCTTGTAAATATTGTAATAGCAATTTTGCTCGCCTGTTAAAGTTGGCAGTTAGAAATGGGCATTGCTTCGATCTATTATTAATTTTTTAGGTTCAGATGACAATAATCTGAATTCGATTTTCTACGAGCATCTGTCACGCTCCTTGCAGCATAGTTTATGCGGTGACTTGATGCTTGGAAGATGGGGCAATGTCTCAAGTGGTGACTTCTTCTTCGTTGCATCTGACTATTTGAATGCTCTTGTTCACATTGTTGAGCTGGGAAATGGATTCGTCACCTTTCAGCTTCGTGGCCTTGAGTTCAGAGGTATGATAGCTGGCGACTAATTAAAACTACGAATATATAAACATTAACTTATCTCATCCAGCTGATTTACAGTATTTGTAACCGTCTTCTATGGTAACACTTTTTGAAAGTTTTCTTTAAATACATTCACGGATATGTACTTATTTTTATAGCTTTTTACTGAAGTTTTTGCTCAACAAAATTGAATTGTTTTAGGTACATACTGTCAGCAAAGAGAACTCGAAGCTATCACAGAATGGGCGGACAATGATGGAGGTATTTTAATTTTTCTTTGCAGGATTCCAAGACGCAAGTCATCTGGTTTCATTTATTTCCATACCTTAGGAAAACCCTTTTGATTTTGATATGCAAACGCAACTGACAGAAAGAAACAAAGTAGATTTCAAAAGTACGTTAGGTCTGTATAAGGAAGCTGATGCCCAGCAGAAGCTATCATACAAAAGTGTTTTGTGACTAATTTTCTTGCAATATATCCCTGTAAAGTTTGCTTGTGGTCATTAACCTTCATATGTGCAGTTTATCTTTAACATACTTTTTTACTGTATCAGGTTGTTGCTATGGCTCCTCCTCAAGCTGTGGTTTCTCTCGCCTCTTGTCCTGCAAAGCGGCATTTAATCAGAGATGGCTTGCCTGGGAGGTTATACAGAGCAAATACATCCTCGAGGGCTACAGTGTCAGCGATAATACTGCCACATCCATGTTCCAAGTTTTTGATCTTCGAAAGATTTTCATTACTTACTATGTAAAGGTATTTCAGACCTGCATTCATTACTTTAAAACTTTCACCTGGCTTTCTTGCATCCAGTGTCTTTTCGAACCCGGAAAGATGGGTTGTGGGATATTTTAGAGACAGCTTTTGAAGACTAAGAATCGTTAGTCCATTTCTTAGGACAGTCATCGACTCCTGTAAGATTCTTCGATATTTTCAATGAGGAGTTTAATTTCTACATTCACATGATTGTTTCCAGAAACTCTTCCCGCAATTTTTTTAAAGTGAAAAGCAACGTTATTGGGCAGTTGGTTAACCCTGGGAATTATTTTCGTTTAGCAAAGACATACCTCTACGGTCAATATTGAATTTAACGTTCAAAATTAAACTGCTTTGCTAAAATAATTTTGTATGTCACCACAAGCCCTTTTTAGTATCATTTTTGCTAGGTACATTTCATTTCATGTTTTACAGCATTTTCTTACATTTATGTATAACATAACAATTCTGCATTTATGCTACATCAAATGTTTTGCAAGGGAAATTAAGATGACGAACTAATTATTCTTTTTGTAACCATTATTTTCTTGAATATGTTTTTCACGAAATCAAATCTTTTTCTTTAGGCTATTATTTTCTACGCGCTCAAGTCACCTAAACTGAAAAATTGGATTTCGGATGAAAGATTGATGAGTTCACTCGCTGAAACTAGAAAACAGAGTTTCGTCGACCGAGATGCTGTCTTTCGCGCGATGACTGACGAAGATTATGACGTCAGGCCAAATGGGGTCTCGAGAACAAGTTTTTGCTCTGTATATCTTGACTGGATAAAATACTGCAACAATCAGCTAGAGGAGGTAAGATATAAAAGCATTTTCACTCATTCTTAAGGCAATGTTACCAGTCTGGAATATAACAGCCTTTCCTTAGAATGGACGCACACATAAGTTACTTTTTTATAAATGTGCTAAGCTGTTTTAGTAGTGTTGCCTTCTTCTTTGACGGGCTGGATTTTGACTTTACGAATGACATCAGCATGATTAATCATTGCTAGAGAATGAAATTTGTGAGCAACATGTTCTCGTTTCTTCCAACATCATCTCTACAAAATGCCTGCTTCAATAGGAGCGGTATGTGTGTATTAGAACTATAAGCGTTAGGTTTTGTAATGGTTGTTTACGTTTAATTTCTGAAGGCCTTGCTTTTAGTAAAATCTCTTGCCATACTAATGTATGCATCTATTCTTGTTTCGTAGAGTATCGAAGAACACAACGAGGATTCAAACTTGGTCACCCTGTGCTTTGCTTTGTCTCTTCTTGGAAGGAGAATGTTCTTCACGGCCTCACATCAACCAGCTACAACGCAAGTTTTAATTACCTTTTTAGTTTCAATGACCTTGAAGTATTCTTCACCAGGCTGCCTATGGAATAAGCAGATATGAGTGATCGGATCTATAAAGCTATCTGTTTGTCACTGTCGCAATAATTCCTCAGAAGCTGCCTCTATATAAATCCTCTTAAAACCCCAGTCCATCCTGGTGATACCTGACAGCTGATTTAATTTGTTGTCGCCCGATAAGTTTCTTAATTGTGTCCCGGTGTGTCAATTCCATGATTGTACTTTGAAATGTTCAATTATGCTTAGATTGGCGATTAATTTTTCAGGCTAAAGTCATTTCTACATGGCCTTCATGCCCTATTCAAAGGCGATTTCCGGGTCTCATCCTCCAAAGACGAATGGGTTTTTGCAGATCCGGATATGGAACTACTCAGAAAAGTTATTTCACCAGCTGTGAAAATGTCAGTCAAGTTACATCAGGTAAGAACTAGCTGTGTGGCACTTTTGCTGGAACACTAGTTATTTTGGAGATCAAAATAGGTATCAATACCAGAGTAAAGATTTCCTGATTAAAAGCTGGTTTGTTTTCATGTATCGTTCAATGAATAATTCAAATGGAGAAGCACAACTGCATTCAAGTCAAAATAAACCAGAACTAAGAATTTCAGACAAAGTAAAGGGGCTTGATGAGTTAGTATCCTAAAGGTTTCGTAAGCCATTCATGTATATTAAAATTGTTCCCAGTTCTTGCTCTTTGTTCTCTGCCATTCATAAACGGAGATTTTGAGCTATTTTAGATAACTCCTTGTCAGTGATGGTGGACTTGGCAGTGCAAATTTACTGGCTCAGCAACTGCATTTACTGCCAGATTTATCAGTGTTTAATTCATATATTCCAATTTTTCTGAATAAGCTAATTCCTTCGCAGGACCATTTTGTATGCCCAGATGAATATGACGATAACGTGGTGTTGTATGACGCAATATCATCTCATGATGAAAAGTTTGTTATTTCGCACGAAGGCGACCCTGTATGGAGACAGGCTGTTCTAAACAACAAGCCAACACTTCTTGCTTTGAGGTACTTTTTCTTCTGTACTACATAGTTCTATGTACGAAAAGTCAAAGATTACCGTCAAATCGACTAAGGATCTTCCCAGAAAGTCAGACTGTCTTCTTAAATAAATTGTATCCAAGCTTGGATATTATCCAAGCTTGGGTTCTTAATTGCGTTTTCAAGTCGTTGTTGATCATGAAAGTTTTCGAAAATCAAAGATGCATTTCTAAAAGAGAGTGCGGGAAAACAGATCCATTTCCTTCATGAGCCTCTTTACTGATCCTTTTTGTTTAAGTCCCTCCTTCAGAAGTATTAAAACTTCGAATGCTGGAGGCTTGAGGACCTATTTCAAGTAATGTTTTGTTTATTTTGCAGATATGTTATTGACGAGGGTAATGATGACTACAGAATTATCACTTTAAACAAGAGATTCCTGACGTTTAGAATTGTCAAGGTAATGCACTTTTGTAGACGATGTGTTTTTGACAAGTTTCTTTGTAGAAGGATGCCTTTTAAAGAGGAAACGTTGCTTTCCAAAGACTCTTGGGTTGCTCATAAGAAAGAAAAATTGCCAGCTAGCTTTTAACATATCCTCTTGTTTCGTGCACAGCTTCTTTCGAAATGAGTTTTTGCACAAAGCATGACAAAAAGCCACTAAAACATTTTCCCAGTACCGTGAATAACGTAAAAGCTCTATTAAGCCCCCGGGGGGGGGCTTATTTATTTTTTCAGTCCTAGAGGGGGGCTTAAAAGAAAGGGTGCTTAATAGAGCTTTTATGGTAATTACTGATGAATAGAAGCATTTGGTTTGTTAATAGATACGATTCGGACTGAAAACGTTTACTTACGATATTTATATATGATAAAATGCATATTATGCGAGCAACTAGTTTTTGTGATGAAGAGTTGAATCAGGGTAAAATGCTCTAGTCATAGCTATACATAACACTTTGTTCACTTTAGAACCATCCTTTTATACACATCAAAGCGTGTTTAACCAGTTCGTTGCTTGTTTCTTTCTGTTCGCGTGCAGGTCAATCGAGAGTGTGTTCGCGGTCTGTGGGCAGGTCAGCTTCAAGAACTCATTTTCTTACGTAATCGAAACCCGGAACGAGGCTCGATTCAGAACGCCAAGCAAGCATTACGTAATATGATAAATTCGTCATGTGATCAGCCAATCGGTTACCCTATATACGTATCGCCGTTGATAACATCATATGCAGACACAAATAAACAATTGACTCAAGTCATTGGTGGACCAGTTAATCTTAATGGTAAAGCATCCAATTCAACTTTATTTACAAAAATAGATTTTATTATATTTTATGTGGCTAAAATAGAACGTTTCTGATATGATCTATTTATTGATCAAAATTATTTTTATTCTTTAATTTCAGATCCCCCCTCCCCACATCAATAATTGCCAAACTGTATTTCTTTTATAACAGTAACAGTATATTGCATGAGAAGAAATGCAATGAGCAGCAACCCCCCAAGCCCAGCCCCCCCTGTCCAATGTTTCTTCGAATACGATCATTTTCTCGGAAGTTGCAAATTTTCACCTTGTTAATGATGTTTATATAATCTAATTCTCCCCTACTCCTAGGTTTCATCATAATTTTAGGCTTACTTTGACCACTTGGTGAAAAACTTGAATGATACGTCTATAACTTCAGATAATAGCGAAAATTATTACTAATCATGATTATCATTAAACCTGATTTTTCTTTTTTTTAGTGGTAAGTAGGTTTGCTTCATGGGTATATGAACGGTTGGCGCACCGATATGGAGGAGCTTGTAATCCTAGTAGCAATCCGGAGCCGGATGACCTTGAGCCTCCCTTATCAGTCGCAATCCCTACGTTTAGGCTTGACGAAACAAAAGGTAAGCTTAGTGCTTGTCAAGCACCTGCCTAAGTTAAAATTCTGTGCAACTCCTCTTTTTTTCTATGATTCAAGATGTGTTCTGCGTAATGCCATCTCAACGACTGTTTCAAAACCATCAAGTTTCTCTTCAGTCCACGAACAACCGTTCCCCATCTTCTTAACACACACGCACATAAGAGCACACATTGTGACAATAGCATCGACCATTGTGACAATGACATCACCCATTTTTTGTCCGGTCATTATCTGAAGCAAAATGCTTGTTGTCTTATTTGTGCATTCAAATTTGTTTCCAAATCCTTTTACCTTGGATCCTTCTTGCATTTTTGGACTCAGCCTTTTTATTTTGGAACAAGATAAACATAAAATAAACCTTGAGATGTACCTTTTGTAAACCGGAGATATTTTTTGAAGGATATTCCAAAAACTTTAAATCTTACCATATTTTCTTTGTGGAACTTTGTTTTATGTCTGAAATTTCAAATTAATAATTTTCCTATAATTGTTATTCATCAGCTTTTATCATGATCTATTTCAGTTGTTGCTGCCCCACAGCTACCTTTTAGCCGAGCTTCTTCGCACCGCACTAGCTACACAGCTGTGCCTAACCCTCCGAGGAGGTCCTCTTCATTAGCGTCTGGTGTTGTTTTGCCGCCTACTCGACAGGCCTCGTACGACTGCCAAAAAGTCTGTATCGCCAATGCAAATCTAATAATAGATCCAGTCTCAAGTACTTTCGAGGAATTGCAGTGGCCATCAAATGAACTGAAGGAGTTGGTTATTCAAGAATTCGCGGAAAGAAACGCGGATTGGAAACCGATAGAGGGAACTGAGTTTGAGGTGGTTCATGCGTTCAACCAGCCTCGTGCGGATGTAAAGCAGCGCGGGCACCAGGACGAGACGATACTACTGCTAATATCAACTGATAAATATGTACTGATCCCCGAATCGGGAGTGAATTTCGGGGTTAATTATGTCTCAGACGTTTGGATTTAGTGGTTGATCTAATCAACGTTTTTCTCGCGATAAACACGGGGATTTAAATATTTTCTGGACTCTTCTTTGGCCATGCTTGAGAAAACTTGACTGGATAAACATAGAGAGGTCACTTATGAGGTTGAAGGGGATGACATTTTTGTATTTTTGTTCCTTTCATTTTATTTATAGTAGACAAATTTGTGTTTCATTTTCCCGTTACGATGCTTCTGTGCTGTCAAATGGGATATTAGATAGTCTGCGCCCTCGATATGCACAAAGTAGCTAGCAGAATCTTTCAAAATTTGTGTTTATAAACAAAAATTTCGGCCAGTTGTAATAAAGAATATTGCATTTTAAATTTTCTTTTTATGTTCTACATTACCGAACAACTGTGCCCAGAAAATCCTTAGAGGAATTATCTTCCAGTTTTTGATTGTATATATCTTCCATTTTATACATTCTTTCGAGTATTTGAAGTTATTTTTCTGCTGCTTCAAAATTCGTATATTGTGTCCATCCAAGACATTTGTTTTTCACATCATAAAGATCACTGACATAAATCGTAATTATATCTGAAGTATTAAACTGTAGATTTGCTTTAGAAAATGATGGTTATATGACTATGTTGATTTGATATTTCTTTCTTCGTCAAGCGAGCTCTACGTTTGTCAAGTTTTGGCAGGGTCTTAAGAAATTATAACAAGACAATCTTGTGCAAACGATTTTTTAAAAACCATTAAACTACAATTTACAGCAACATTAAAAGAAAGTTGGTTAGGCCTGGTTCAAACGTCGCACTTCTCATGTGCCGAACCTAACTCTGTTTGGAGCGACACTGGTTTCAAACGTCGAACTTAATCATGTCGCGCCAAATGGGTTTTAGGATTGTTACATGAAGTATCTTTGTTAAGGCGCGCAATCTCACATATTTGTTTGAAACGCATGCGCCCTCCAAGAAAGAAATGAATTCTGGGAAGGAAAATAAATTAAATATAATTATGCATTGAGTTCGGTACATGACAAGTTCGACGCTTGAAACCGTGCCGTGCTGGAGCCGTGCAGCTCGGCAAGCTCTGCCGCTCCTAACTAAATCTGCCGTACCAAATTGATTCAAACGTCGCGCCCCTCATGTACTTAATTCTCGAGTTAGGTTCGGCACATGAGAAGCGCGACGTTTGAACCAAGCCTTAGTGTTTTAGTTGATAAATGTTAGGTATATATTTACTAATGAACTGACTGTTGTGTGTATGTCGAAGAGGCATTGACTTGTTTTATACCCTCATTTTCATAAGCTCCTCCTCCGCTTCCTGAACCACTCTCTGAATCCATTTGTGACTTCAAATCAACATTGGCCTCAACCTTGACTTTTTTAAAGACTTTTTCGCGCTCGCATTTTTTGCTTGTTCGTGTTTGAAAGTACCCTTTCAAGGCTTTCTCCATTGGTTTGACCACGGAAAAGTCGAACCCACTTGCATCTGAAGGCTGGTTTGGTGTTGATGCCGTCATGTCAGAGATATCCACCGCAGGGTAGCCTTCGGAGCACATTTTTGCCAATGTATATGCGTTGAACAGTTTTGTGCGCTAGAAAAGAAACAACTTCCTCAGTACTTACGATATTGATTTAAGCCTCCTAAGAAGCAGCTTTGGCGTTAAGTAATACCACAAATTTGAACAACAGTTTTTTTATTATGGTGCCCAATCATTGGAACTTGAGAGTAAAGCTCAGGTCTCACCCTACACGTAAAAAGAATGCTAGAGCCTAACATCTTGTCAAAGCTTCGAGAAGGCAGATTCATTTTTGTCGTATTGTCATTGGGTTAAAAACTCTAGAATTCTATATATCAGTCACGTCAAATGTTATCTTAAACAACTGAATCGTTCCCATTCTTATATTAATTTTCATAACACAAGGAAGGAATAACAAGAAACAATGCTCTCTCCAAGAAAGTACCAGATTGCTTTAGATTCTTCACTAACTTTAGCGTCAAAGGTTTGTAAAAGAATCAAGTTTGTTTGAAGTTCCACTTTGTAGATGTATCAGTTCACTACTTTGCATACGTTTGTAGTTCAGTTACCATACTTAAAAATTGCCATTTAGGATTTGCCCGGTATCGACAGAACATGGTTAGGGATTGTGATCTTCTTACTCCCTTGCGTCATGGCCTACGAAGACAAAAATTCAAGAAACTGAAATTTTCAGTTAGTACATGTCTTGCTTTGATTACCTGAAAACTTTCAAAAGCTTTCACAGCATCTGGAGTTTGTTTCTGAAACGATGCAGTAGTTCTCCATACAGCTTGTCCTTTGTACCCATCAAGCGTTCTCGCCACCCTATCCATCATCTTTTTGTATGCACCGAATGGCATTCTTTCTAAGTAGGGAAGACCGTAGTTGAGCAGCAATACACTCCTTTCGTCCATTTCAGACCTCCTAGTGATTTCTTGCAGTTTCTTTAACTCGGCCTTTATTGAAAAGTCTTTTGAAGCCGCTGCGATGTCGCCCCTGCTTGAAAGATCCCCGTTGTAGGACCTTCGATTGCAAGAAAAACTTGTTGAAAGCTAACATTTCTATAAAACATTACGATTAGATTCAAGGGCGTCGTCAACAACTCTGAATGGCCAATTTCATTTATTTCCATCATGAGAGAAAACAGTTGCCTTAGGATCTACAATAAACTGTGTTAGGCGATAAGGCCCCGTTTATACATTCTAGCAATTGTTTCAGTAAGATATTTGTAGTTAAGTCTAGTAGGCTGTTCATGCAAGTCAAGAACGCCAATCAGAAGAGACCAGTAGCCAATTTTAATTAAGACAGTTCAAGACCAAAGTGTCTTTTGTAAAAATGGTCCAGTTTTAAACCAAAAGGGCCCAGGTCAAAAAAGACCAGTTCTAGAACCAAGTTTCTTAGGTTAAAAAGGGACCAGTAATGAGACTAAAGTGTTTAATGAAAACTAAAGGTCTCTATGCAACGGATTTAATGAGAGCATGTGCATTGAAACTACAACCCAGATCTCTAAAAGAGACAGAAAATTTCTTACATTGTCACGTTTTCAAAAATATTGTTGAACAGGGACGCTGTTGACTGCGAGTCAAAAAAGCTCTTTGCAAAATTGTCGCCGTACATCATCATCTTTCCACTGGTCTTCCTTATACATTCTTTGCCAAATATTTCTTGCTCCTCAGATCCGGGAATTTTCAAATCTGTTTAAAAGAAAAAAGGTGTTTGCAGTCACTGGTATTCCCTTTCAAAACTTCCACAGAAAGTGCAATCGCTGTTAAACACTAACAAATTTGAATTCAGACATCCACTATCCCTATTAAATAATGCTCGCTATAACGTGACGTATGAAATTGGGAAGTTTGTAAGTGAATTTTACTCGATTTGCCCATCCAATCAATCAAGCTTAGGGGAGAGGAAACTTAAAAGTACTCTGGAAAGTAATTGAAAAATATAATGCAAGAATCAAACCGTTTGTTGTTAATAGTGATTTTAACAAGCATTGCATCATAAAGAGGCTGTTGCATCCAATGAAAGTCCAGAAACTGTTAGAATTACCTGAATTCATACAGAGATCAAGTTTCTCAAAGCTATGCAATTTCACATCATCATTCCGTTTAAATTTAAGCTTACTTTTTTCCCACCACGAGATTACTCTATCTTTAACACTGATTTTGGCGAAGCAATTAGCCTAAAAACGTCGGGTTTCTTTAACAAGTCGTACAGTATTCCGGATAATTAGAGTGCTAGAATTGGCGATTTCAAGCTGCTGATTCAGTTTACTTGATAATTATGCTGGTAATATATACTTTTAAACAAACAATTATTTTGGTTCGCATTTTGTAGAGATAAAATTCTCTATATTATGAAAACTCAGGTGCAATAACAAAGAATCTCTCCACCACACTAGGGTTTGATCTTTTGCCATCTTAATTTGCAAAGACACTTAAGTTGGTTCATTAGAAATTACTGATAGATCAACAAATGTTTCATGATATTTGCCTTTCTCTGAATTGTTGATTCAAAAAGGCTACCTTCGATGTATGGCTTCCATGTTTTGTTTACCCAGCGTCCAAACCCGTTCCAGAGAAGGTCACACTTGTAATTAGCACCACAAGAGTCTTTCCATCTGTTCAAACGCTTCTGTATTTCTGTTGATTAAAAGGAAATCCATACTCAATTGTTTTCATGTTCAGGAGATACTTAATTAAAGGCATTGAGTCATGATAAAATGGATTGGTTATACCCAAAGTATCCGCTGACTGCGATGACAAAATTTTCACGACTGCGATGCTATTGGTTGACCTTAAACTGGTCACATGAACTCACCTCGTACTGATTAACAAAACAGTTTCCATCAATAGCAAGTTGTCAACGACGGTTGCAAATATCACGTGAAACAGCAACGATCACGCCGAAACCAAATGACCCTCTATAGAGAAGGCCTATTTACCATGACTGAATGCCTTTAAGAATTTAGTCAGTCACTAATACACTCATTTTTTTATAAGAAACTGACTATAAGAATCTGGACAGTCACAAAAAATTAAGAAACTTCAGTACTCGAAGCAAAAAAATTAAGAAACTATAAAATCGTGATAAAACTGAGAACAACGAAGTTTTGTAAAATCCAAGAACAAGATCGCCCTGGTGGCCTAGAACTTAAGACACAAGGGATAAAAATATACTTTCCACATCTAAATACAGCTTCGGAACGGAAGCGAATCTCTTGACGTGATAAAAATGGTCACGAACATTTCATAATATCATTCATGACATCATAATTAAGAAACTCTTAAGAAACAATGAGTATTACAATTTCCAGAACATTAAGAAACTGGAGTACTCAACATCGACCTTTGTTTCTTATAAAAAAATGAGTGTAGTTTCAAATTAGGAAAAACCGTTCCGGTCCAACTGCAACCTTGGTGTATGGGTGGGATTGAAGACGTAGTTTCGTTTTGAGCCTCAACATATTTCTTAAAGATTCTGATTCTTTTCAAATCTGGTATGGTTTCAGGGGAACATAGGAAGATGAAATTCATGCCATTACAAGGCAATAGTCAAAGGAAAGAAAAATTGAAGTGATTATAGCGAAAGGAATGTCTTTAGTAACCACAACATTTTAAACAACAAATCATGCCTTTACGCGACCTGAGGCTGAACAATATTTTTAAAATGTCCTTAATAACAAGATAAGACAATGCTGAGCCTGAATATTTTTAAAAAAACATTATTCTTATAAAAAAAGATTCTTAGACGTTTCGCTAGAAGAAACCACACAACGTTGGTTTTATTTTTTTCAACAAAGCTGCCACTTCAATTTGTTCTTAAGCTTTGATAATCTGTGAAATAAAATGGCTTTTGGCCTATACCTCGTTTGTCCATCTTGTCATTTGCTTCAACTTTGAACGATGCCCCGTCACCACGGATCGGTCGCCAAACTCGTCCTTTCGAGTACTGTGTTTCTGTACCATCTCGTTTTATACCTTGATTAAGAGATAAACAAGGAAAGTTGAGAACTACATCACCCCAGAAAATAATTTTTAGTTGGAAGAATCAGGGAAAGGTCCCGAAGTCAATAGCAAAGCAACAAGGAAAAGAAGGCGAGGTTAGAAGAAGAAGGAGACGAGATAAATTTTGTTGATTCCAGTTTTTATGACGACAGAAAAAAATGATCTGGAAGCAGAAAAAAGAGAAGAGCGAAGATGAGAACTTGAGAAGATGAGTTTTGGAACCAAGCACGTCAATTAGATAATAAGACTTGAAATAGGTGGGCCAGGGGCGCCGGAGAATGGAAGGGGGTACGGGGGAATTTTTTGCATTTGTGATACGTCTCAGGAAAGTATAGAAAATTCATCTGTTGTTCTGGAAGCCATATCTATGAAAATGTCTATGAAATAAGGGTGGGTCAGCAAGATTCTGCTGCTTTCAAAAGCAACGTGTTCCGCATAATACGTTTTACTAGCCCTATAGGGGCCTCGATGTGTACATGAAAATAAATTTTCAAATTTTCAGCCACCTGATTACATTATTTTTAAAGAACAATGCAGTTGGCTGTTTACATGCAGAAATCTTAATCCACTGTTTTAGTAGGTTGTTATGTTATGTAATGTTGTTTTAGATTATGGGCAACTTCGGGCTGTGTACCTATTCTTTAATATTTACGCAGTGAATATTTAGCAAGTATATGATTCTGCAAACGCAAGCATTTTCAATGATGAAATTTGATTTTATATCGGAATTTTCAAACATGTTCTTTAAAGAACAGTTTTACAACTACCTATTATCCTTGAAGGAATTATGTGCAAGCTCTTTTTCTCCAAAATGTGTAAATTGTTTGGTAATCGCACACCACTGGTATCTTGTTGCTATTAGAAACCATGGGCAAAGCCACCATGTTGTTTCAACACAGCTCTTGAGCCTATGACAAATTTGTTTTGAGTCCAAAAGCACTATCAGGATTTCATTGTATTTTTTATAAATACATGTTGTATACCTATCTGAACATAAACACTGACCAGCTTTAAAATTTGCTATTTACAAAACCTCTTGATTATTAGAAAAAAGAGATCCTTTTGCGTTGTCACCTAAAGCCGAGAACATTGCTGAAATAGTTTGGTTTACATCATAAAGATAGGAGTATAAAAATTCATATCTCTATAGTTCACATCTAGTATCATGCATAAAACCCAAATAAAGGTATTGGTTCAATTTCAATGAACTTGATTCTTAAATTAATAAGAGAAAGCATGTTGCCCGGAGAAAATAAATTTTCTAGCAATAAGCTCTTTGCTGTGACTTCAATTGGGGACCTTGACACCTTTCAATGTCACGCCCAAAACAAGCTAGAAAAGTAGTTGGTATACCGTAAATCCTCGAATTGCCCCCCCCCCTCGAGAAAGCCCCCCCTCGAATAAGCCCCCACCCTAGAACTACTAATTTTCAATAAGCCCCCCTCGAATAAGCCCCCACTGCTACCGTAAATTCTCGAATTGGATTCCTCCATTTGATGATTGTTGCCATCTGAGGTTGCCTATATGGCGTTTTATACTATTACCACAAGAAATTCATACTTTTGGTAGTAATTAATTAAATGCTCATAAAGAAAGTCCTACTAAAATAAACAAGGTTTTTTGATAATGTCTTCTTAATGTCTACAATAAGTCCCCCCCTCGTATAAGCCCCTCCCCCCTCGAATAGGCCCCCATCCAAAAATATCAAAAATAAATAAGCCCCCAGGGGGATAATTCGAGGATTTACGGTACTTTCAGCAGCCAGAATATACAGATTGTGTTAATGATTTTAAATACTATTGAAAAGATACTTTTTAGGCTAATGTCTTTATACTGAATCCCGTGTAAGAAACGTGCAAAATGGATGTAGGACAAATCCCTTATTTTGTAACATTCACTTCATTATGTCAGTTGGTAACTTCACTAACCTCGTTTTAGTACTTCCCGTGGAGGGTCTTTCAATCCTTCGCATAGCGTTGATTCTAAATAAATCTTCGCCTTATAAAAGCCTGGTTCCATTGCTAGAAATGTTGCCTCGTACACACCGTTCTCTAGATCACTTACAAATGGTGCAATGTTTGAAGGCCCGCTGATGAAAACTCTCCAAACATCTCCACCGATCGATTTTTCTCTGCCCTCTGCAGTACGACTTTGTATGGCTATTTTGCTAAATTCTCCTGCTTTTTTTATGTCCATATTCAACACATGGCTATAGCTTGGACTCGTTCGCAGCGAATCCTTCCATTTACTGCTTCCAAATTCAAGGTTTTCTTTACACGGCCTAAGTATTTGTTGCCAGTCCATTCGCTTCCATCGTTCCCTGCAAAGGCTTCTTTGAAAATCGTCCAAAAACTGAGAGCGGACAAACAAAACGATATTAAACAACCATATTACCTTTTCGTTCATTTTGATATCTATTTCCACCTAAAGCTGGAATATTTTTCGACCACCTAGTAAACTTCTTAGGGTCAGTAAGTGTTTTTACCTGTTGGATCAAAAGGTCACCCGACCTTATAAGCCTTCTTAAATATCGGGGATATACCACCAGCCCTAGTTCCCTTTTCATAACAATTGCTTATTTTAAATCATTGCAGTAGTGTAGTCTTGTGGAAGTGCACGTTTTCAAACAGCTACTAAAGACACCCTTGTTTTAAAAACGAAGAATCTTGTTTGACCCTTTCTTCTCGCGAATTATCTGCTGCGAGATAAGATTCGGTATTTTACATCTCCATTCAAACTACCTGTAAAGCCTAAAATACACCATCAGATTTTATCAGTTTTTTGACTGACATTTTTCAGTTTTTCAAAAACTGTCCTTCATACACGATCAGTTTTCTTCACTTTTTGACTGACAGCTCACTCTGTTTTGATATGGAGCTTGATCGTGAAGGAACTTCAGTTATTTTTGCTACAGCTTTGGTCGTCAAGAAAAGGCGAAAATACCGAAAAATGAAAAAGAAATCGTTTTCAAACTATTCGCATTTCGAAACTACTTTCGAGTCTGACGTCACATTGCATAACGATTTTCCGTACTTCTACGCAGATATAAATTCATCTGTGTTTGTAACTTTTCAACATTTTTAAATCAACGCTACTCTTTAAAAATTTGCATCTTGCGCTAGGGTATTAGAGTTGCGCCAGATAAAAAAATAGACTCTGTACCAATGAATAGAAATCCCATCAGTTAAAAACTGACGAAGTTGGACGTGTGCAACTTCTTCAGTCAAAAACTGACGCTCATTAATGCATCAGTTTTTGTCAGTTTTCGTTAAATACACGATCAGTTTTTGACTGAAAAATTGAAAAATGTCAGTTAAAAACTGATAAAAACTGATCGTGTATTTCAGGCTTAAAATCATGAGGATAGTAAAACAATTTTCAATTGCAATTGATAGAAGTTGCCTAGCGTTAATAGATTGCTTGGGTGAAGATCCAAGGAAATATGGTATAATTTCTCTATGGCAATATGATATGACCACAATAGCTGCCTGGGTAATTTTCTTTATCATCCGTTAAATCGTAGTTGGAGTTTAAAATACACATCATTGCACCAAGTGTCGTGGCTAATATTGTTCTTAAGGGGGCTCGTATTCCAATGAATAATATCTTTTGTTTCCATGTTCTCATGAAATGGAACCCCTCCAATTGTTTCATCTTTTCTACGGAACTGCTTGGACTTTCTTAGTGTGCAAGTTCATGTAACTTAATACTCATAGGTCAGTCAGCACAGGCTTGCATTCAAGCGTTCTTCCATTTGACCTTCATAAAACGACAAATTTAACTTGCAAATTATAAGCATTTTGATGTGCAGACATCCCAATATACAAACTAAGGACAGAATAGCCTAAAGAGGTACTTTCCTTTCAAACGAGATAAAATAATCTTATCTTGTTTTAAAGAACTGTCCTTTTTTGCAGCCCGATTCACTCTGTTCGGCATTAATTACATATTTAATGCTTTTCTCGGATAATTTTCTAAGAATGCTTTGCAGAGGAACCCTTTTCTCAGCTTTGGTCTGGCCAAAATAATGAACGCAGCAGCGTTACAAACATCTGAAAGAGTTTAACCACTAGATAATACCTCTCTTTAATTCCTCTACAACCAGATTTTACCTATCTTTTATGTCTCTTCGTCTATGCTTCTACTCTTCTGTACTTTGCATTTAACTAAGCCAGATAAAAAACCGTAAACACAAGTCAGAAGAAATGTTGTACAAATTTTTCGGAGGGCACTTTAATAAAGAGCACTATATAACATTTGTTTACTTTAACATCTTCGATTCAGAGAAATAATCCTGCTATCGTTAGTTAAATTGACATCAGGAACCAGGGGAAAGAACAAGGTGGCACAAAGCCCCTTATGCTCGCCACTTTTTTATGCCTTCCAAAAACATTTGTTTAAATATGAAACTAATCTGAAATAAAATTTTCTATCCAATATTTCTATATGCGAATAAACTCTATCTTTACAAAGTATACTATCTACCAAATTCAGTTTGAACATGGTTTAAACCAGCGATTACTGCTCTTTTGAAGAATATTGGATATGCCTCTAAATCTCTTCCATCAAGTTACCTCTATCTGTCTCTTATAAGTGTTTCAAACTCTCTTTTTTCTTTCAGATACCTATTCAAAATCCTTGGCCTTTTCCCTTCCGCATCCTGACATTTTTTCCGGGTAGAGCAAGCGCGTCGGTAGCTAGAATCCACAGGAATATAGGCGGCTTGTTTTTCAGTCGACTCTTTTGCCTTTTGCAGAAGCTGCGAGTAACTTCCAAACTCCTTGGAAGCCATTCTGTCATTGAGTGTACTGGCCTCGCTATCCAAGATTATTGCTCCGGTCTGTTCTTGTGGCGGTCGTGTGCGTAAACTAGCAGTATCTGTTACACCGCAAAATGCATCGAATAAGTTAGCAGTAATGTCTCCATTATCCTCCGTCTTTGCGTCTAGACAATCCACATTTACTATCCCTTGTATCGCTACCAACTCATCATTGCCGTGAAAGATCTCCGTGCGTTTCGTGTCAGCACTTCTTGCATTCCTTGACAGTACTGTTTTCTTAAAATCATTCACATTTTTTAGTTTCAGTAAAGGTGCGGTTAACGTCCTCTCTGTCGTAAAATTACTCTTAGGAAGATGTTCCTTGTCCTTTGCAACAGGTTTGTTCACAACCAATTTAGGTAACGACAGCCGTTCTTCCACCTCCTTCTTTTTCTTGTCCTTTTGTTTGTAATGCACCTCATAATTTTTTCTCCCTTCGTTTAGTAAACAATCGGATTCATCAAACCCTCCAAGCAGCCACCCTTTAGTCTGGAAACTGCAGCGCTTTTCAGAGTCCAGCTTTTTGAATATCTTCTGTTCCTTTTGCCTAGCTAGGCGCAGCATTCGTAATTCGTAGTCTAGGTTCAACTGGAGCAACCGCTCATTCCTTCGATTCACTTTTTCAGTACTTTGCGTAATTTTGAAAATAATGTTAGAAAGAGGCTCCCTTTTCGTAACTCTGTTTGATTCTGGAAAGTTCATAGAATCACTAAGCTGAGAAATGTAACCTTGCATTGTCGTGCAGAATGTGTTCCTACCTAACCAACAACAAATTGATATGCTCTTTCGTAATTCGGACGATCTATCGATTATTTTGAACCTCGATACCAGTTGGACTGTCTTTTAACAATTAAGTGACAAAAGATACGAAAGTGATTGTATTGCCTAGCTAGTCAACCGGATAATGTACTTCACATGGATGCAACAAAAAATTCTAAGAAATTTTTACACAGAAGCGTGGTTCCATGGTTGGTGTGCACCTTTGCATGAAATCTAGACAATGGGTTCTTTAGCTCACTGTACATGACAGTGGTCAAACAGTGGCCTTGGCTTGAATGATTAAACAGGAATATTTCCTTTTCGGAACAGGATTCGCATATAAACTAAAACCGCATTGAATGTGTTTTATTATTTGCCTTTTTGAAGAAGTAATACACGCGGAGATTAAGTTAAAAGATTTTCAGCGGATAAGATTTCGGATAATAAACTTGGGCGAAAGTGTTTTCAGGCATATTTTTGGTATTTTGGACACATATATCTTCGGCCAAATGTTGATCATTTGGATGTTTAAACAAATCCACGTCAGGTTGTCGATTCACACATATTTCTGAAGGTGCTATTGATGGCTTGAAAATTTTTTAAGAAATTCTCAGTGACTTTTGATAGAAGATGAGAACGATGATGTTATTTGTTTTTAATTGTTTTCAATTCGTCGCTTTTTGTTTTTATCAAGAAAACTGAATGAGAGATCATTTGATTTCTGTTTCTTCGACCAATTTACATTGCGCATGCGTAATTATGCAATGTATATAAAACAGCTCTAAATTTCGTACAAGCCCTCCTAGAAAAAGCCTCAACCATAGAACTACAAATTGTCAATAAGCCCCCCTTCCCTTCGAATAAGCCCCTACTGCTACCGTAAATTCTCGAAAAGGACCCTTAAATTTGATGATTTTGCCATCTGAGGTAGCCTATGGCGTTTTATTGAATAACCACAACAAATTTATACCTTTGGTAATAATTAATTTAATACTCATAAGGAAATTTCTCATAAAATAAACGAGTTCTTTTAATAATGTCTTCACAATAATTGTATAAATCCCCCCCTCGAATAGCCCCCCTCGAATAGGCCACCATTCAAAAATTTTAAAAGTGAATAAGCCCCCAGAGGGCTAATTCGAGGATTTACGGTATGCCCAGTCAGACGTCTAGTGCCTTCGGCACTTCTATAAACCTTTGATGCTTGTTAACCTTTACTTGATTAGACATTTCCGTACTTCTGCAAGATATCTTAGGTTTTCTAAGGTATTTTCTAGTAGAAGTAGTAGAGTACCAGACGACTTCCCCGCGCAATAATAATTATCATTCATCCTGCCAGCGCATTATTTAGAATTTGCTGTAGATTATATGTACAATATTTGTTTATCTGGTCATGTTCCCTGGAAACATTCCACCAATTAAACTTCTGACTTGCAAAGGATACAAGACCCGTTTTAAAGAAAAGCACGTTATCCGCAATTTGAATATTATTGACCTGGGGTTCCCCGCGCAGAAAAATCACATTTCAATCTGGATAGAGTAGACGTTTTTCCGGGTTAACATCAAAAACGAGAAGAAGTCCCGCTGATTTGTAAAAATTCTACCTATTCGCTTGATGTCACTAGATTGTCGTAGCCGATTAGTTGTTGTCCCTGGTCATTTTCCAGTTATAGCCATGGAGGTTCCTACCTCATGTTATTGTTTTTCCACAAAATCGAGAATCTTTTCGAGCAATTTCCATTCACGTTGAAAAGAATTATCAAATAGTGATGAAAAGAAAAGGCAATGCAGGAAAATGTTGGTTTGGTTTACGGTAAATGAGGGATTGCAATTTCCTTGCTTAAATATTTCGGAAAATTTGACTGCGTGGAGAGCTTTTGTTTGCTAATTATGAATGACTGGTAACAAAGTCAATTTATCTGTTCTCAAGGCACAGAATTAAGGAAAATTGATACCAAAAGGATTGACAACAAAGAAACACTTTGCAATGACCTGTTTAAATCTGTAGTTTAAATCGTTAATGTTACCAACCACTGGGCACTAAAGTGGCTTAAGCCATCTGTCAATCATAATTAGCCAATCAACAAGCGTGTTAGTGCAATCAAGCTCATTTATTGGTCAATTCTTGATTGGAAGACGGTTTAAACACCTATAGTGTATAAGATAGCTTTTGGAGAGCCGTTATCATGGAAGATCGATTTTCAGGCGGAAATTCGTCAAGTTCTGAGACGAGATTAGACTTGGAACAAACCATGCGCACTGCGTTTAATAAGGAAAACCTTTGGCCAATAAACCGACTTAACATTGCTTTGCAAAGTTTTGAAACAGACTGATGAGCTGTAGCTCTTTCCTTTTCTAGAGAGCAGCTTTTCAAAGTTGCTGTGCATCTACCGCAAGCACACAGAAAAACAAGTTTCAGTCGTAGTCATAGATCATGGATAGATTAAAACATAGTCATATAAGCATTCCTCTGCCTCTCAATAAACCGACTAATTGTACAAATCACATGTCTATTGCTTCAGTGTAAACTCTGTTAAGCCAATACAAAATTGTCCCCAAGATAGAAAACAAACATTAACTTCTAGTGACTAATATAGCAAACGCAACTTGTGAAATCAGGCAGTTCCTCAAATGCTAATTCTTTGACTTCTTTTCTTCTATATCTTTATAAATGACCTTTGTTGTAAACAACAAAAGTCTCTCTTCAACTTTGCATGAATTATCTTAAAACAGTGGTTCATATCTCAAACAAATGAACCTTTTATATTAGTAACATTAGCGCAAATAAATGCGTAACTCGTAAGTGACAGCTAGACAACCTAAATTCCCATCATCATTAGTTGGCAAGAAACATACAACCATTAAAAAGTTTGGAATTTGTAATAAAATCAAAACTTTCTAGCTCCACTAGCCTCCCCTTCATTGCAAAATCACCTATAAAGTTTCAAAAAAATGATGTCGTGAAAATCAGTTTTATGTGTCACAATTTGACTGAGATTTTGACACACATATGAGCACAATACCTTCCCCTCTCAAATCACTGTAAAATATACCTTAGCAAAGGCCAAGTAAAGAATAAACCTTAGCAAACCAATTTTCTTCAATTGCGTAATTTTCGTCAATTCAAACAGATTAAACCAAAGTTGCACATTTATAGGTATTTCATTGTTATCTTTTAGGCAATGTGTTCATCACTTATCAGTCAAGAATTTTAGAAACAGGTTTATGATACAACACACTATGGCGCTCTACTGACAATGGCTAAATCTACTACTGTCCATGTTCATTCTTTCCGTTTAGTAGAATAGAACCTGAAATATTTAAAACCTTAACTAACTGAAATCCAGCGTTTATGAAGGATTTCGTCTTAAATACAAGTAATGACCTTTGCATAAAAACTGTCTTCAATATTCTTGAAATAAAAGCTTATGACACTTAATTACTAAGTGTCACAGAGCCTAACATCTTGAATCCCCTTCCCAAATACATAAAATCATCCACAAATTTCAAAGATTTTCAATGCTAGTCAACTACTGGTTCTTTGACTCAAAAATGAATTTTTTCCAGTAAAGCTTACATATTACTATCCATTTCAATACTATCCAAACACAACAGATACGATACCATGGGGAGCGAATTACAATGACTACACCACGGCCGATACAAAAAGGCATGAGCCTTTAAACTGTAAACAGTTACACTAGAAGCGATTGAGCAGTTAGGGATACTATGCTAGATTTTCACAGCAGATGAAATTGTTCATGTGAGGGGGGTCTAGCATCATACCATTGAGCAACATTTGTCCATTTGCACAGCTTAATCTGACTCTCGATGCCTAATTTGCTAATTTTCATCAACTAAAGATCGAGTACAATGCTAATGAGTCATATGCTTCATGTTAATTTCGCTGCAATGTGTTTTTTCAGCTTGAGATCTTCTTCAAAGACGTTTGTTAATTTTTGGCACTTTTTTCCGCCACTTCTGATTTTCTTACTCAATTTCAATGGTCCACTTAGGTATTGTTTATCAATGTTTGCTATAAATGCGTGTCATGGAGACCGATACGATACGATCGGAGCTGAAGTCTTCTGCCCAAACGCAACCATGAAGTCACTTATTGGAATTTTGCTCTTTGTTTTTGCATTTCACACTGCATGCTGTAGTAACAATGAAGAGGGTAAGTTTTAGACATTTTAAAAACATTTAAAGATTGATATCAATTTACGAAAGTACGAAGCATATTTTCAACTCCCTTGTTGTAACTTCCAAAGCGCTCTTTCTCCTTTGCATCACAAGTCATTCCTTATATTTATCTTCTCCTAACAAATAGCTATTGCTGATTTTCAGGCGAGTATTTCGAAGGTGACATGGAACTGACTGAGGAACAGAAAATCGCCATTCAAATGTCCATTGATGGAATACCCACTTATGGAGCAACTGTCTATAGAAATTGGCCAAAGAGAGTCCCATACGTAATCGACCGCAACTTAGGTGAGTATCTTATCCATGGTCAATAAAAAAGTGAAATGATATGAAAAACAATTTTTCAGGCTTCATAGATGAAACTGCAAAACCATGTAGCCAGGATTTTTACGTAAAGGGTCTAATTCTCTTATTCAAGGTGAAATAAAAAGCTCCTATGCGATTTGTGAATATAAAACCCATTGGCGAGAATACCTGTGTTTCTTTAATCCTAAATTTTAAGCCTAGGATAAATAGTTTTTTAATCTGATTGTTAACTTTGACTTTAATTATTTCATTGTAATTTCTTTGTCTGCGAAGTTGAGTTGAAAAGTGTCAGGACGAGAAAATATTAAAAAAAAAACTTGTCTTCATTTAGTCTTCTGAAGGGCTGCAGTTGATAATTACCCAAATATTTATCTTCTTTGACTTGGTCCTGAAAATTCTCGCTATTCATACCCATTCAACTGAGGAATATATACATAGATGCACATTTTAACAGATTTATTCGATACACACAGGAGGATTTTTTTCATCTATACAAATGTTCTTTTACTTTATTAGTCCTCGAATTCATCGCTCTATCATAATTAATCTTTTTCAGCCCGATATTCTCTCACTCCATTTTAAGGTACAAAAGCAAGAGATGCGATCTCATCTGCAATTGCTGACTACCATAAATACACTTGCCTCAGATTCTATCCACGCCGCAGTGAAACAGCTTATTTATACTTCACAACCGGATCAGGGTAGGTAGACAATCGGCTTCTGTTTTTATGACCGTTCCTTCATGAGAGAAAATCTTAACATGCCAGGAAGAATAAACCCATTTTAATTATTGTCCCATCGGACTGGCGGATTTAGAACTGAGTTTTGGGGTATTGGATAAACTTAAAACTTGGGGCAAAACTTTGAATATACGAAGTCCTGACTCTTGGGTGGTGAGACTTGCCCTTTCACCAACCTCCCTTTCATCCGCCTCTACCTCTTTTTCCCGACACGTTCGAAGTTAGTTATCAATCCTTTTGAAGTCTATCAGTACTAGGAATTAACAGATGTGCGCTTAAAAAACACGAAATACAAAACATATTTTTGTGAATTATACGACAAAATGTAAAACACTATATAATTCGTTTCAGGACGCCCTCTCAATGCTTACGAAATTTTCTAAATAGGTTCAATTACGTTTAGCTGGATGATGATAGTGTGAAGGGCATAGGTGTAATAGGGGTTGCAACGATCAAGACCGTTTTTGCCTCATACTCTTGTGGTAGAGTACTTTTTAACTTTCTTTTGCTGCTTAAATTTCTAAAAATGCTTTCTACCATACATAATTCTCGAGCTATTTCACTTCAGTTGCTCTTCACCAGTTGGTTACAGCGGACGAATAAACAACATCAAACTAGCATCCGGCTGCTGGTACAAGGGAATTGTCATCCACGAAATAATGCACAGTCTTGGATTCTTCCACGAACAAAGTCGACCTGACAGGGACAGCCATGTTGACATCATATGGGCAAACATTCCATACGGTACGAGATTACTACAAGAGTATAAGAGTTTGAAAATTTTCTAGGAAGTCATTATGATTGTTAGAAACAGAGCAAACATGATTATTATATAAACTTTCATATTATATATCGCTTATTACAAATAAAATATTATTTATCATAGGTAGCTCTTATAGCCTAGTTGACAATAGTTTTTTGCTGTTAATCTTAGTAAGTTCTTTGCTTTTGTTTAATACGGTATCAGGTCATAGTTTATGTTTGTAACAATTATAATCATCAGATTTGACGTCATTATATTTATACTGAATTTCTTTTAATTCTATTACAGACAAACGACACAACTTCAAGAAATATGACACCGGAACAATCAAATCAGGCAACAGCCGTTATGATTACTTGTCCGTCATGCACTACGGTCGCACTGCTTTTGGAAGTGGAAAGGTAACGATTGATGCCAAGAACAACTACTATGATAGGAAGATCGGACAGCGATCTGGGTTCAGTTCTGAGGACGTCAGACAAATCAGAACCAAATATGGGTGCTAGTTACACCAGAATGCAAACGTAAAGAATCGTGATTGACAATTTTGTAAATCGATACAAAAATGTTGTTATCGAAAATTAATTGATAGTTGATGATGATATGAAAACGGTAGAAATCTATATCAATCTTGTTTGAATACACTCGAAAATTTCTTCCGCACAAAATCTAATCACAACAGAAAGTGCCATTCCTACAAGAAACAAAATTCAACCTTTTTGAATGCTAGCTTCAAGTGACTGGAAATAACGGTCTGACTTTAGTATAAAGAATCCAATACAAAAATTTTCTGCTTATTATGGCTCTAGGCGGACAGTAAAGCCAAAGAAGATACCCTAAAATTCAAAATGCTTCTAGCATAGTGTGTCTCCCGGGCATGTCGGTGGGCCGCTGTCAGTTGTAACCTACCATCCACACAAAAGACTTTGACAATTAGTTTTGGTACATGTATGTTTCGAATTTGTTTAGTTGTTTCTCAAAGAATACTTTGAAACAAAACAAAGATTAATATTTCATCCGGTGTCCCTGAATCTTCTCAAAATTACCAAATGATCACCACAGTTTTAAAGAGAATGATTTCCCTATTCTCACCCGAGTATTATCACTCTTTGGCTATTTCTGAGCATATTCTTCGTGCATTTTCAATGTTTTTATCTGCAAATATTGGTTTCGAAGACTCGGTCCATTTTGTATGTGAGTTGGTCCAACCTGTCTTGGCACCTTAAAAAAACTATATTTTAGAAACAGTAATGGAACATTTGACAATTTCGAAATACTTTGCTGGCAAGATATCATTGAAATAATGGCAGGATATCATCATGAAATATGAAATAATGTTGGGCCTCACTTGGCAATGTGAACAAACCCTTTATTATGCTATTTTCCAATTAATGCAATTTCTATTAGCCTTTTAGAGTCGGTAAATAGTTTAAATGATTTCATATACAAAACAGAAAACGCTGAAGACGAATGCAAGTTTGTGAGGTGTGGTCATGAATATGATCTTAGGTGTGACTTATAGAAGTTCCTTACAGCTCAGCACCCCCTTCATCAATTTTTAGAACGGTACTCTTGGATCAGACGAAACTTTAAAGCTAAAAATTCAGAGAAATGAGCTGGATGTTGTTCAAAAAACCAAATATCTTGGAATACAAATCGATAACACATTAGATTGGAAGGAACACACTAAAACAATTTGTTCCAAGGTCTCCAGAGGAATTGGCTTTTTGAAGCATGCAAAATCCTTTCTGCCAAAAGAAACTCTGAAGACTATGTACACAAGTATTGTGTAGCCACACTTTCACTATTGTTGTTCGGTGTGAGGCTGTTGTGGTCTTACCAAAATCAAATGCTTACAAAAACTACAAAACTGGTTGCTCGTAATGTATCTGGCAAAAGTTTTGATGCACCGAGCCAACCACTCGTAAAGGAGCTGGGCTGGATGACCATAGACGAGCTAATCGCTAGTGAGTCAAATATCATGGTCTTCAAATCGATTCATGGACTGGCTCCACAATACATGTGTGATCTTTTCAAAGAGAAATCCAAGTTAAATTCTAGGAATCTTAGGAATACATCAACTGACCTAAGGCTACAATGTCACCGTAAAAAGGAGACATCATTTTTCTGTTCAATATAAACTGATAAATAAGAAGCCAAAAATTTTTCTCATCATTACTGATTTCTAAATATCTTTCTCAAATAAAATAAACAAACTTTGATGATTATAAGTTATCATAAAGCTAAAGCCAGTTATTTACATATCCCCACTACACTTACATACATATATATATGTACCTATTATATTAATGAGTGGGCAAGCTCATTCTCCTTGCTTTTTTAGAAAGCAGCGCTGCTTTGATAGACAACAATCAATCAGGGATAAGAAGCATGCAAAATTGTTTCTCCCACTAATTTGCACGAGTATAGGTGTTATGCATTGGTTTAAGAAGATGGGACACCCTTACAACGAATATCTTACATTATACTAGCTAGTCTGCAAAAGTATGTACCATTTACCAAAAGCCCCTGATTACGAATAATTTTACGAAAGCAAGATTTCACAACTGCCATTAACTGAGCGTTAATATTCACGGTTGGTCTTTATGATTTCCTTCCTGTTGCAGTATCTTGGCTTTAAAGCTTAACTCCACTAAGAAAACCTTTTTAGAAAAGTTTATATTACTGTAGACATATACATACACAATTTTTTACTTATCCAAAATATTTTCGTTTGTACAAATACTGAACGACGTTATCAACAATGTGAACGACGCCATTTTTCGCAACAATATTAGACGCTATAGTTTCTGCATAGTTGAATACTATTCTATCCGAGTAATAGTTTTTCAACGAAAGCCTCACACGTCGTCCAGCAATTGAAAATGGCGAAGACTTTCTTCTAGACAGATTGCAGGAATAAAAGGTTCCAAATATAATATGGTACTCCAATACATCTGTGAGATGTTGTTCATTTCCAAAATAGTCAACCAACGTTTTGTTATCCAGCTTTTGCCAAGCCTCATTCGATGGAGCAAAGAAGGTGATAGGAGATTTACTATCGAGAGTCCTTTTTAGGTTTGTGAAATTTAGTGCCATTGATAGCAACAACAACCTAGAGTCGCTTGTTATGATGTCCAGAATCGACTTCTTAGAATGCCTGATTGGCTGAGAGTTGATAACGTGAATTGCAGCGTTGCATGCCTCGATATTTCGCAATCTGAGGCTCATTTTTGATCCTTGGATACAGAACTAAAAAGTCAATAGAATCTACGATATGATACCAATAAGGACAATAATCGTTAATCAATATATTTAGCTGGTTAGAGTATAATTTGCACTGTAAAGCAAGATTTTTAATAACAATAGAAACCAAAGGATTGTTCACCGGTAACAAAACATTTTCATAATATTTTTTGGGGGGGGGGGGGAATCAATTTTTTAAGCAGGCTTCTCTAGACATGAAGCAACAATACCTAGACTTTTGAAATTTTGGTTTTCTTTTCTTTAAAATAAGAAAAACAATTAAAAGCAGGTATGGAAAAATGTATAAAAGGTATTGTTTTTTAGAAATGTAATTATTAGTGAAAGTTAAAAAAGGTTAATATCTCTTACTGACTAGCTCACCGTTGCAAATCATGCCAAAGAATAAAGGTACAAAATATCACGTTGATTTTTGTGAGTTCTATCAGTGAACAGCAATAGTTTCTAAACAATTTCCGTTTGTCGTTTTATTCTTATTTATGGAATCTCATACTTCTTCCTTCAGTCAGTACTACCAATTTACGCAAATACCCTAGCTTGCATTTGCTTGTCCTTACCTCAGAAATATAACGTTTATTGACTCTGATAGGTTGGTTCTTCAAGGAATACATTGTCATGTCATTTGCTAGTATCTGCGTTAGGTACTTTTTATCTGCAACATGATCCATTAAAAATCCAACAGTTGACTCATCTCGCGCAATGCCTTCTAGCTGCTTTCTACCCATTTGCTTTACGGCAAAATTTGAAGGAAGAAAGAGGGTATAGGTTTGATTTCCCAGGAGAAATTTGCTTTCGAAATCTGTTTGATTCATCATTTTTGCAACCCAAGAAACAGACGGGAATTTCTGCAGAACTTTGTGAATGTGCAAGGCTGTAAAGGTAAAATATCTAAACGTGACTCAAGATTCAACCATAAATATTTTAAGGGTCTTATAGATGGGATCTTTGAGTCATTGATTCAAACTGATTAGTGCTTCGTAAGAATCTGTCTCACCATTCCCTGATTACTTGTGCGAGCCCCAGAACCAAAGCAAACGTTTCCAAATTTTCAACCCTCCAATTCTATACCGAAACAAAATTACTTTTAGCTGAATTTTTATCTAAAATCATATTTAGCAATTCAAGTAAGTAATAAATAGTTACTTTAAACGATCTTTTTTCTCAACGAGAGAGCCCAATAAATATACAGTGAATCCTCCAGTTAGCCCCCCTGGGGGCTTGTGTATTTTTAATAATTTTGGATGAGGGACTATTCGAAGGGGATTTATATGAGGGGCTTATAAAATTATAGTAGACATTAAGAGGACATTCATAAAAGACCTGGTATATTTTAGTAGGAATTTCTTTATGAACATTTAATTGATCATTACCAAAAGTATTAATTTTTGTGGCAATTCAATAAAATGCCAAAGGCAACCTCGAATGGCAAAAAACAATAATCGAAGGGGGGTCAATTTGAGGATTTACGATAACAGTGGGGACTTATTCAAGGGGGGCTTTTTCGATGGGGCGATTCAAGGATTCACGGTATTAGTTTTAAATAAATAAAGTGTCAAGCATCTTTAAAAGCTCTAAATCTTTTTGTTACTCGTAATTAAGAAATTTGCCTTTTAATAGATGCAAATTCTACCATAAGAATTCTAAACATCATTTGCCTAAAGAACCTTACCTCTAGGAGTAACCAAGAGCTGATCTATAACAAATATTACACCATTTGTTGCAGCAAAATATTTTGCTTTGACCAAAAGCTTGTTGATATAGAACTTCCGTCTTTCGTATAACAGATTCAATCGACTTTTAGCGAGGTTTCTTACGAAAATACGAGGCCTTAGTTTAAGAATGACAGGAAAAAATATCCCAGGCACCAAATGTGTAACTAGGAACTCCTGAGAAGAAAAAAGGAAATTGGTTTGAGCAATTCATTTTATGCATTTAAAGAAGCTACAGTTTGTGCTAGAGGCAAACGTTAAATATGAAGATGTTTATAGTTTGTATAAAAGGTGATAGAAAATAAAAGAAGAATCTGCAAGGAACATTTTCCCAATTCAATTTTGATAAATGGGGCAACAACTTTCTAGGTTTAGGTAAATATGCATAATAAAATAATAATTATAAAATTGCTATTGCACGTTTATTAATGCTTCTTGACAAAAAGAGAAGAAAATTTGATACATCTGTTGTAGCCAGCCGAACAACTCTTTAAATAAAAATGAAAAGCTGAAACTCAGCCGCAAAATATAAACGTAAATTTTTTTTCAATTCTTTTACCAAACATGCTAAGTTATTAACAAACAGCATTGAAAGAGATACCTTTAGGCATTTGAAATGCTGCTGCAACGCTTTTTGCGTAGTAATACCTGCTCGTTTAAATGCATCATTACTAGGTATGAAAATGGTGCCGTGACCACTGATTTCAAAGTTAACCGATTCAAGTCCCTTCTTGAATATGCTCACACCTTTATGTCGCCTCAGTACGCTCTGTACAGTTCCAAGAGAAGGCTGGATTATAGAGTCAACCACGTGAATAATTCCGTTGGACGCAGGCAGATCCTTCTGTTTGACGAGTGTGTTTTGAATTAATAATTGCTAAAAAAGACATTAGAATTGTTTTCAAACAATGTCATGTCTTTGTAGGTCTTGACTTGTAGCCTGATTTAATAACATTAAAGCTAAAACGTTATCATCTATTCCACAAATGGTATCAAGCTATTTTTAAGCAATTGTAGGTAAGGGCCATGATTCTTCTGTATGAATTTTAACTTTATTTGCCGATATTGTAGTACATGGAATTCGCCGTTGCCAACCCCCGTTATAGACAATCATGTTGCTACAACATAACGTCTTTATCCTTTGTTATCAATCACTAATTAGTAGGAAAATGCTTTGTATCGTTAATTACAGATTAATCCTTTACACCTCTTTTATATAAGTTTGTTTAGAAATATAATTGTGTGTCAGTTTGACCCTTGTAATCATAGAGTGTGCATCATCAGTTCTTGAGGTTGAACTAGCATCTATATATGTCCTCGAACCCACTATGGGGTAAAACATTACCCTTTAATAATCAAGGGTTACAATATCACATACTTGGGTTAAAAAGGCCTGGAATTTAAGATGTAACAAGCTTGTATCTTAAAGCTGTACATACCTTCCCGTAAACGAGGATATTAGCCACACGTGCTTCTCCAGGCAAAAAGCTCTCTATTTTGCGCCTCTTCCTCAACAAAACAGTGGGCCATTTTCCACCAAAAACGTGCATTGCCAGTAGTATTCGCAACGAATACTCATTTTTCAGTATACGTGCTCCTTTCTTAGTTTCTAAGAAGTTCGCAAATACTTCATTCGTCGGGATGAGAACTGTCAAAGGTCGCCAGTAACGAAGTGTTGAATACAACATCGTCTTCCTTATCAGGTATACAAATATTGAAAGACCAAGCTGCTTGGCTACCTGGATTATGTTATATTTAGAGGAGAATTTATCTAAAATGCAAGTTAAAAGCACTTCTTATTAAAATTGAAAATCTTAGTGGCAAATGGAAATATGCAAATACTTATGTTGTAATTAGCGTACGTCACGTGACGTTATTTCATTTCTATGGAGTTTTGTTTTGTTGTTGTTGAACAGAGTTGAGGAGTTATGTTGCGAAAAAGAGTTATGTTACGTTGAAGAGTTATGGAGTTCAAAATAAGTTTAATATACGAAAGTTATTATAGAGTTACGTTTGCGTTGTATATATTATCCTTTTGTAAATAGCCTTTTTGAGTTGAGAAAATTATTGGAGTCAAGTTTGGAATTGGGTTGTATTCAGTTATGTGTTATCTGCTAGGATTCCACGAACCAGGGTGAAGAAACACAGGTTTAAATAATGAAAACAACCCAGATTCAATTTCACAACAACTTAGAAGAAAAAGCATTTTCAAAATAAGGACATTTGAACATTGATAAATTGTATTAAAAATTGGACAACTTGATGAATTTTGGCAGTTACATTGTATATTGTTTATAGTTAAAATGATGAAATCATTGCTAATACAAGATGAGTACTGGAAAGTTAAACAGCTGGAGTGTTAAATTAATTAGGTAACGTTAAACAGCTAGATCTAGACAGCGGGAGAGGTTCTGTTTCTTAAAGAGACAAGAAACTTCACACTTCTTCTCAAAAGCAATACCTTTTTGCCAAAACAATCATAAAGGAAGGAAAAATTTGTTCATAACTCTCGTGATCTGAAACAAATAATTGATACAATCGAATTCTAGTTCTGTTTGAAGCGAGAACAAAGTTTGATATCAAAACAGAATTATTTTTTAGCATTTTAAAGAGAAATATGTGGTTTGGTGGTTTGTCACGCTATTATCAATTAATCTTTATATTACGCGTACCATTGATCTTTGACAATTAGCGACAGACAGAATAATTAATAAAGTACATACCCTTGGGACATCCTTTCATGTATTTTACAGCCTCGTATCCGGGACAACATTCGTATTTTGTGTAGAACAGAGGTAGCATGGCAGCAGCATGTTTGAATTTGTCCAACCTGGCAGATATCAAATTTTTAATAAAGCAGCCCCCGGACTAAGACGAGATAAAATGATTACCTGGCCTAATTAGAACCCATTGAAGCAATTGATGTAAGTACCATTAAGTGATTAATGGTACCCTGGGTACCAGAGCCACATAAATTTGAGAGGGGAAATAAAAGATAGAAGTGGAGAAGAGAGCGTCAATCTGTGAAGGAGGACTTTTCCTTACTCTCAGCTAGACGCTCATCCGCTTCTCTGTTTACGCGCTCGAAATTTTGTGGCTCTGGTACCCAGGGTAGATATATGATAACATTAAAAACATTTTCTTACAAGCAAATGTTGAATTTTGGAAAAATAGACGCAAAATGGGTAAATGTATAACAAAAAACAATAGAGCGGCTTGGCCGCAAAACTTTTTATAATCCCGCCGTTTCTCAATTCAGGTGAAAAAAAACTGCTAAACATGTCATTAAGAAACAAGTCAAACTGGAAGATTAGATTTAACTGAGAACAAATGTGATATGGTGTTTTGAAGTTGAAAACTGCCATAAGATAGGCTGGAGTAATGAATTGTTAAGCGTAAAATATTCTACCTTGGACATTTTCGTGGATTCAAAGAGCACAACGTTGCGTGGTTTTCGGTCTTCTTTATTCTCTTTACGCAAATATTGACACTAGAGGAGAAGGACAGAAATGTTTCAACAGATCACAGATCAGTAAAATAGTAAAGTGATACTTATGGAAACAAGAAATAACGGATATTATGACTAAAGTCCTGCTTCAGACCTCTTCCTTCAGGTTGGGGGTCTGGACCACAGGCTAAAGCAGAGAAGCGGAGAAGCGTATTGCGGAGAGGGATGAAAAGTGGTACCCAGATAGACACTCCACTCATCCGCTTCTCCACTCCTACCGTCTGTTTCCACGCTTGGTTTCCAGAGTACAGCGCTGTTGAAGTCAAATGAAGTCAGATGGGATAGCTGCTGATCTTATAACTGACTCTTATCTGTTCCTACGCTAGATCTTTTAATCCACGTAAATCTGAGAAAAGGGGCCTATTTAGATGCTGTCATTTCTTGAAAAAATCGCTTTTTCACCTTTGTGGTGAATCAATAATTTTTAACATGGGTTGGGTGTGTATGTACAATGTGTAAAATGCAAACAAGAGGAAATAAAAATGTAAACTTGCATATGTGCTCTATTTCTTATTTTTTTTTGAGTTTTGCTATTTTCATTTGTGGAAGGTTAACTATTTTGAGTTAATCATTTTATGACCTTTTGACTATGTAAAGCCGCGTTATCAGAGATGGAAAACAATTTGCTGTCATGGCAATCTGTAAAAAAACCACATAATATTTTTAGACTTGCCGGGTTCTTATCGATATATGATGAGATCAAAAATTGTTATGGTGCATATCATATTGTAACGTAACGTGTCATGAATATACTGTGCTTCAAGGCTTGTGCGAAATATCGGGTTGCCAAAATAAATTATTCTTCCCATTTTTGCTTTACCACTATACTCATCTTTTTATATGAGAAACTGGCTATAAGAAACGAGTAATGGACAGTCACAAAAAATTAAGAAACTTCAGTACTTGAAGCAAAATAATAAGAAACTATTAGATCGTACTAAAACTGAGAACAACGAAATTTTGTAAAATCCAAGAACATGATGGCCCTGGACCACATCTAAATACAACATCAGAACAGGAGCTGGAGCGCTAAACATCGACCTTATAAAAAAGAGTGTATTTGCTTCAAGGGAATCCCATGCTATTTTCAAATTTTTAGGCATTCAAAGGCGTATTTTGAAAAATTATGTTAAGTTTCGAGGCCGATACTCGCAATGGAAAGCTACATTCACCTTCATTTTACAAAAGTCTGGTATATTGTTTACTTTTATATTCTATTCTGAATGAAAAAAGATTTCCTTTCAGTTTTAGTAGGGGCTGTTATCTAAGCCTTGGACAGTCCAACCCGCCATTACTATTGGGGAATTTTCAACGATGAAGACAAAAACTGTTGGTATGAATGTGTCTATCAGATTGATTCTAAATTTTCGAAGCAGTGTACCTAAATCCCATTATTCTCTAGAGCCCCTATTTTATTCAACAATTTTAAAAAATTCCAGTCTTACTCAGAGTCATAGGCGCCGACTATGTGGGGGCTCGGGGGCTCGAGCCCCCCCTCTGTAAATTTTGTTTGAAATCCGCCACTGGGCTGATTTCAAACAAAGAATAATTTGGTTAAAGAATAATTTGAATCAAATAAATCCAAATAAATCAAAATAGTCTAAACTTTCTGTCTCCTACGTCTGGGAATTTCTCTACCTTTTAACTTTTTTTTAATTTTTTTTTAATTTAAATTTTGAGCCCTCCACCCTGGGAAAAATAAAAGTCGGCGCCTATGGTCAGAGTAAAGCCTTCAGGCAATAGGAGACATGCGGTCATTTACACTTGCGTTTTTCAATTCATAGCTTTTGATAGCTTACCTATTGTTTCTTTTAACGAATCGAAAGTTACCAGCAAAGGTTCCGTTTTAGAGGGTTGGAAAAGGGGGGCTGTGCTGAAAGTTTAAAAAGGCCACGCCCAACATACTTGCATTTGTCTTAACGAAACTCTGTTGTGTATGTGAAATCGCTCAAATTATTTACGGACTCTAAAGGCAAATACAAATTGCCAATTCATGGAAAGTTCTTAATGCCAAAAGAGTTAGTTCGCAATGTCAAGTAGGGAATTCGCCCAACTAAGCATATAATGGTTTGTTAAGGGGAATCTCTATGAATTTCAATAAGGGAGCTGATCCTCCCTCCATAACACCTCTTGTTCCCAGTAATATCTAAGAATAAATATACAGATAAAAGTACTTTAAGAGTAACGGGTGCTGTTTTGGTTTTTACACATTTGCTTTTATGCAAATCTAAGTTTAGTAATTATGATTATTTTTCTATTTTAGTAAATCTAAATAGAACAGCAAAGTTCTTTTTGTTCATTTTTCTCTCTTTCTTCATTTATTGGAATCGAAGAATATTATTGTAGAAGAAATGCTGTATTTACCCATATAAACGATCATTCTAGTTTGGTAAACAACTAGATCGGTCAAACCACCAGCCACTATCTTATAATAAATCGTTCCTTTATGCAAACGCCTCTCGGACAAGAGAACATTGCAATCTACGCAAAATAAAACATTATGTTAGAAGGATGTCGTTTAATGCCCTCTCCCTAACTATTATGCGCGCTCTGTCTCGAAATTAGATTGGGAGAGTTTCCAATCAGAACAATGAATTTGTTGACCTTAATTAAGTTAGTAATGTTTTGTTCGGACAGTCCTGCCCATGGCTGGTACCCGGCTGTGGCACAGAAAGTGTAACAGGCTCAAAACAATTAAAGCCCGAGATACATTTGACTCCAGCAGCAGGCGATTTAAAAGTATAGAAAGATTCCTATTCACGAGAACGTTTTACTATATCATATTTATTATATCATGTTCATCATATCTTTTTTTAAATCTTTATTATTGCTATTATTGGAATCATTTTAGTTTTTTACTACGGGGCATCATAGGTAACTGAATGTCACTCTAAGCAAAATCGTAGCTATTTTTGTTCTTCCGTACTTTTTCAAATAATAGAATTCTTCTCCATCCAATCGAAAATCCCTCTTGTTCCTTTTGTTTTCAAACAAAGGTGCCCGAATAATTCTATCATTCGCCACTGCTAAGCTTTCTCAATATCGCGATTCTAAGAAGCTTTGAAATATATACTTGCTTCGTTCCTAAATGATGCACTAATCAATACGTATTTATATTTCATTCATTTATCAACAGCTTGAGATAAAATATTTGAGAGAGTTTTCGACTGAATGCTTTTTGCGCCGTAAGGTTACTTGGAGATTCGTTTTTGATTCACAGGTAGGAAAATTTAAGCAAATACAATGTTAGTTCCATGGCAACCTTATCACTTTTCCTATGATTCCGCTTTTGATATAAATGTTTCTCTGTGATCCCATCGAAGAAAACAAGGTGCCAAGAAACAAGTTTTACAAGAATAAGGGTTCCGGAACATTTTACACTGTTGATCCATTCGTTGAACCTTTATTTCTCCCAAAGGTTCCCCTGGCATGTACAAAGAATAGAAATAGTAGGTGTGCAGTTTTTATACCAGTTGTGCACTTTCAATGGGGTTTTCCATCGACCATTATAAGACACTTGATCCAATGCCTTAAAAAGCTCAAATGCCTTATATAAAAAATATTTCACGTACCCTTTGCTCCTGGCAACGATTCTTTCATGTTCTAAGACATGTGGGTCTGAACCTAGACGAATATACTCGGGTGAGCGAACAGAAATCGGTATTCTCCTCCGCAACCAATTGCCCTCGGATCTTGCAGCAGCCAGTATGAACGAAGTGACGAGCAGAGCCGTCAATCGCGACAATAAATCCCACTCAAAGATGAGCATTATAACAGCGTTAGTAATGAACTTGTTAGGCCGTTCGTTTATTGCTGGACAAGATTTGTTGCTGGACTTTTTAAGTCGTTCAATTAAAACAATGGTGTGGTAAATTCCTCTGCGGTTTTCAAAAGTAAAACTTGCCAGCAGCTAAATTGTATTTACACCGACCAATTGTAAAGGATTAGTCTTCATGAAACTGCATCGACCCAAGCTTTATCCAGGCATTTTAGGCTGTTTATCCCTGATAGACTTCAAATGTAACCGACAGTGATTTCTTCGCCTTTGGTTTGTTATTCCTTTACAGTAAATCTTCTCTCAGCTGGATATCAGCCATAATGATATCATGATTATATATTGACCAGAAAATATTTCCCGCAAACGAGTAGGCCTGCAAACTGGGTGGTGCAATAAGATTTTCATTCGAAGTTGACAATGACTTTCTTTGAGCATTGCTGCACTCTACTAAAGTTTCGAGGTTAGATATAATTTAGTTCTCTATCGAAAAAGCTTAAGAAAAACCTTTATAATAGTATACGGAAGATTTTCAGCCATTGACATTCCCCAAAGGCAAAAACTTAACCGAAGCTTGAAAGAAAAGATTTTATCCATTTAGGGATTTACAAGATTGCTTAATTTTGAGTTGATCAAGAAAATTTTCTGGATCATCGCTCAATTTAAAAGAGTCAATGCTTGGATTTAAGTTGCAGCTGGTAACTGTATATGGCTAAGTGAGAGGTAAAAGAAGGTTCTATCTCTCTGTGCCACGTACAGCAGCTGTACTGACAAAGCTGTTACTCTTATATTTAAGAAACGTCTTCTTAAATATAAAAGTAATATCAAAAAAAAAATATAGAGTATAGAAACATGATCTGCTTTACCTATTGCATTTTTATTCGCTTTTAGAAGAATATATTTATGTTGGGACAAAAGTTGGGGGATCTTATTACCCTAAAACCCACTCTGGTTTGTTTCTATGATGTGTGCAAAGTCACATCTCTTTTGGAAGCTCCAGAGAAAATATGCTCTCAAGGGGCGGTGCTGGGCCACTAGATAAATGCTTTCCCATTTTTAGAGGAATCAGATTGACAAATAATGCCAAGCGTTATGGCGGATTACTCTCTAGTACAAATTTCAAAAGAACAGCCATAGATTCCCTTGACAGAGAGATTAACGTGAAGATTACATTGAAAGCAGTTCCGTGAAGATATTTGCCGATGAAATTATGTGAATCTGCGTTATCAAACTCGATTTCGGTCCTGTTATTTCGCATTTAAAAACTAAACAACAATCTACAGACCACCCCACTTATGGTCTTTAACACACCAAGATTTCATAGCAGCTACTATAAATTATGTAAAAGGCAACAAATCCAATTTGTACTTTTTTGCATACCCATTCGTGTTGAAATAACATCCGTTATAACAAATTAATCTTGTATGATCTATAAAAAACACTATTCAGCTGGACCTCAAGCAAATAGCCTTCCATAAAGCCATTTCCGCCGACTATGTTTGTTTGCGCAATATCTTATATATTCTTTCAAACAAAAAACATCTAAGGATAATATTTTTGCTTGCTTCCTTATTTAGAAAGATTTACAAAATTTTTTCTTGTCTTATTAGGCCCTGGCCACAAAGTCAAGGGTCGCGAGTTCGAGCCTCGCTCGGGTCGGTTAGTTTCCCGCACTCCCTATCATATCAAACGAATAAAACATCGGCATATAACATGTTGCAGCATTGTTGCATAAAACATGTTTTATTCGTTTGGTCACCATGTTTTACGATGTTTCGTGATGTTTTGCAAAATTTGATCTCCATCAAAATTTTGCAAACATCTCTTTTGTTCTCATGTTTGGTCCACAATGTTGCGTTCGTTTGGCCACCCCTTAAAACATTTGTTTTACTAATGTTAAAATTTGGCAAATACAACGCAGTAACTGTAGGAAGCTGTTCGGCAGCGCTTGACCATAACAGATGTTTTAACATTTGTTTGATTCGTTTGGCCAGGTCATAAAACATCGTCCAACAATGTTGGTACAAAAATGTTTTGTAATGTTTTACGGATGTTTTATTCGTTTGGCCAGGCCTTTAATCTCATGGCAGCACTGTTCCCACTACAGCTCAGCGTTTCGACATACATTTTAGTGAACCTAAACTTGAACGTAAGTTTAAAACAAATTTATTACCAATGCCGGGGACATAGTAAGCAAGGCATTTATCATAGTCACCATGAACTTTTGGCTAAGAGGGCACTATGGGAGTGAAATTTCAATCAAAAAGGGGGACTTTCTCCTCCTAAAAGAAGACTTGCAAATCTTGGGAATATTGCATCTACGTTTCTGGCCAGTGCTTTGCTACACTTCTGAAAATCTGCACGTTCCTGGGAACGGTTGCCTTCTTGCCCTTGCAAATTTTACAGTTGTCTTCATCTTGTCACTGTTTTGCGCATTTTCTTGGTGCTTTACCCTCCCTACCCTACAGCCATTTTGTCGTTTTCTCTGCTATCAAACCATTTGCTTTCCTTGTCCTTTTTCTTGAAGAAGAGGTGAATTCACCCTTGTTCTTCTTCACTCTCTGTAATGTTCTTTGCAGAGCCTAACTTGGAATGGGACAGTAAGTTGCATAGCAACGACGTTCCCTAGCAAAGCAAGCGTAGAAAAAGGAGGGGAGGATTTTTCAAAACCACGACCTCAAAATGCGTAAAAAATTCTATCGATTAAGATTAAAATTACCTAATATATTATTGTTAAAAACTCGCATATTGTGAAAAATATACATACACTCCCCTCTCAAAAGCATTCGAACGGAGGCCAATGTTGCAACTGTGCAGGTTCAAGATGTTGAAAACTAAAAGAAGGTTGATTGCTTATATTTAAAAAATGACAATAAGAATCGCTTCGAAATTTCAAGCAATCATAAAACAAAGTTTAAATTACACAAATAATTTCTAAACTTAAGACTATAGCTCACTTTATTAATGGGATAACTTCAGTATTTGGTGGGGGAACTCATGAGAAAAAAGGGCAGCACAGGGCCGGCCAGGAAATGACCTATGCAAATTTTCAATGAAATAGAGAGGAATTTTGGCACAAATGTCAAAGTTTTGATCAACTTACTTATGCTTGGTCTTCGGAGGGTCTCGTTTCGTTGAATATTTTATAAAAAACCAAAGAATATCAATATCAATTACTTTCGGATCTGGACTTGATGAAGGCCCTGGACTGGAAGGGGGAGGATGCAGTTGGCAGCAGAAAAATCGCTTATATCATTAGTTGTGTGACATTGAGAATAGTCTTGATGAAAAACAAAAGGCTCATTTATATAGCTATAAATTTTTCTGGGACTTTTGGGAAGGTTATCTTAGAGATGGCAACATTACATGCGGCGTTCACCAAACACCCCCGAAGAACAAGATGGCGACGCCATTAGGCCTAACGCAACCCTAGTCCATTATTGAAATTTCTTCCTTTCCTTACTTTTAGTTGAAAGGATTTTTGAGTACTTCCTTCTTCAGTTTTTTCCAGATTGAGAAGGCTCCAGAATAATTTTTCAAACTAAATCTACACTCATTCAAGAAGACATTATCGCCCCAGTCGGTGACAGGTTGTTCCTTCTCGACTTTTCTCTGTTTTGCCGGTGAGTGCAGTTATTTGCTAAAATATCAAGCTTTCTTCTAAGGGGACAATTTATAATTGCATATTTTGATAGAATATACCCAATTTAGTTTTTAGTTGATTTTCGTAACAAAATTTCATAGTTACTCGCTATTTCTACTCCTTTAAAATTGACAAAAAGTTTCTTGGTAAACCTGCTAAAATTCTATAAGAAAACCTATACGAAAACGTTTTTTGACCTGCCTGTTCTAAATTTTTCCTCTAGTGAACTGCTTTTTAAATTTTGCACATTAAAGCTCCGGTCAAACGCATCCAACATGCAGAAAACCATTGTTGGACGAAATGTTGGATGCGTTTGACCACCCATGTTGGGTCACCCAACATTTGCAAACCGATGTTGGATGAAGTTTGATCACGGTCAAAAACAAATGTTGTTTTTCAATGTTGGACGTAATGTTGGATGCGTTTGTCTACTCCATCCAACATTTCACCCACTTCACCCTATGGCGCGCATATACCGCCAAAAATAGCTCTTTCTAAAATTTCAGCAACTTTCTAAAAGTTTAGTGATCTTCTAAAAGTTCAGTTGCTCTGTCTAGTTTTAAAATTTCAGTAATTTCCAAAGTTTCAACCACCGTTCAACATTTTCTAAAATTTCAATTACTCAAGCAACATTTCTAAAATTCCAATCGCTTGGTCTGCGAGATTTCTAAAATTTCAGTCATGCTAGGTTAGTTCTAATATTGTAACCATTTCTAAAGTTTGAACTCCCGCTTAACATTTTCTAAAATTTCAATCACTCTAAAGTTTCAGTGGCTTTTCCAAAATTTCAATGGTGAATGTTGATAACCTCTTCCTGAACTTTGCCGTTTCAACGTGTTGTTTTCGAAATCAGCTATCTTTATTCACTTTTGTTTTGCGCGCCTTTTTATCATCTGTAAACCAGTGCTGCAAACATGTCACTGCGCAGGCGATGCACGGTGATGAAAATATTGGATGAAATGTTGGATGAAATGTTGGATGCGTTTGACCACCCGCTTAAAAATATCAACAACTTTCTAATTTTTTGGGAATAAATGTTGGATGAAATGTTGGATGCGTTTGACCGGGGCTTAACACAGCAAGTAATTTTTCGAAAATGATGCATATTTCATTTTCCCGCCCTTTTCATCGTTAACGAATTGCGTCATCTACTCGGCCTTAGCAGTGAACATCAGTGGACGTAAGCTTCTCGTCGATCTTCAAGTCTTGAAAATGGATATACAAAGTACCTGAGCGCCAAAGAAATTGTAGTTATTTTAAGAGAAAGGTGGACTGCATTTTCTCTCAGTGGAATTTTGCGATTTATTTCGTCGTTAACACAAACGTCAATGCCGACAAAAAAGATTTTAACATTGGCTTGTAAAGGTAAATTCATATTTGTTAATTACGTGGATAAAACAACTTTAAAGGTTTTAAAACTGTAATTTTTCAGTTCTCTCCCCCCCCTAATTATTATAAGGATTTGAAAAGGACAGTTTCAATCCTTCGTAACTAACGATCGCGGAACAATTTTTACTGAGTACATCGGCAGATTGTTCACAAATTTTTCAAAGATTCAATTTTTAAAAGAAAATTTAGGTTATTTTTCAGCACATTTTACACTATTATCTTTTTGTGGGTAGTGGTAAAAACGTCCAAAATAGGCCTAAATTTAGCTGCGAGGCACCTTTGTTGTCATATTCTTGAATTCTGATTGGCTAATGGGTTATGCAGAATTTTGGTCGCTCAGCCAATCAAAGATTTGAGACCTGTGCTTGTGTGGACTGGTGCACAGTCGATATTGGTTTTCACCATGAAGGCACAGATCTTCATTCCAGACTTTAGATTTGAACGCAAGTGTTTGCTCGACTAAGTTAAAGGCCCTAAGAATAGTGAGGGGTTAAAGATGCCTAAGAATAGTGAGGTAATCTATTGGGTGAAAGGGTATGCGGTGCTCCCACATACGTATCGACACATAGAAAAATTTAATGTAGATAAGTTTCAATAAAATATTTTAAAAACTTCCATGAATAACACAATGCTTTCTTCTAATCAAAAAAGTCACAGAACTTCGCCTCAAGCTTGCATTACGTTGTCCTATCACTCAAACTGAAAATAATCAAATTCGAATCTCAAGGTCGAAACCCGAGTTTGCAGCTTAGCAACAGGGCAAAGATGGCGAATTGAAAAAAGTGAGGAGACGAACATAAACTCTTAGAACAAAGGTAAGTAATAAATGTTTTGTTTGTTCATGTCATGTTTTTTCTACTTAGGCTGTACTTAGAAAGTTAGTAATAGATCCATTCTGTAATGGATAAAATATTTTATATTTCGATTAAGTGAACTTGTTTTGTGAATATCTCACAAAGCAACAAATTCTTTATCATTTCGCAATTTTCTCAGAAACAGATTATCTTGGTAAATCCATGACCTTAGTCTCGACTTTGTTATCTGCATTTTTGATAATACTCGTTCACATTTAACTTGAAATACTACTTACATGCAACATGTTAGTCTGTTTTATGCTGTTAAATTAGGCCTGCCATAGTTCCCTGGATTAGCCTCTATCTAAAATATTAACATGTACACTTTTTTAAAATAACAGTTTCAAAATGTCTTTTAACAGTTGCAAATTTTAATATTTTGACGAGAGTTCTTTTAATTATTAAGAATTCTTTTAATTAACGATTCTTTGGTTCTTCAAGAACCTTTTAAATCATGGCTCGTAATGTTTTTCATACGAAGCCAAACATTTTTAACGATGTACAAATCTGGACTTGAACGACGCCACGGAAAAACTTGAATTCTTCTTGTTCGGAAATAAATCGTTGTAAAAATGGTTTCCTTTTACGCAGGTGAATTTTTATTTTATATTTGTGTAAGACACTCATTATTTTTTGTTTGGAAGAATTTTGAGCTGCAAAGCATTGCTCAGCGTCGAGTTTCATGTCTTTTTACTGTTCCTTGGTGTAAACATGGTGAAATAAATCAGACAAAATCGCTACTCCTCTAACGTCAATTTTTTTGTTCACCCACTTCTCGGTTTATTACTACTGAAGCACTCTTGAGAAACTTTTTTTGATTTATTGAAACTGTTGTGTGGCTGCATCTAACATGGTCAACAATTTTTCTGAAGACCACTTCCCCGTAAAAATTTTACAAAAACTTGCATTTGAAGCAGAAACTCGGGCCTAAATGGTCATGAGCTGTACTTTATATGGAGACTTTATATGATCTAAATTTAGTGTATCTTAACACAAAGATTTCCCTTGCTTAGAATTTGTAATTTCTGGCACTCTTTTTATTTGTGACTTCTGGCCCCCTTTTTTATAAGAAACAAAGGTCGATGTTGAGTACTCCAGTTTCTCAATGTCCTGGAATTTTCAATACTCGTTGTTTCTTAAGAGTTTCTCAATTATAATGTCATGAATGATGTTATAAAGAGTTTATGACCTTTGTTATCACGTCAAGAGATTCGCTTCCGTTCTGATGCTGTATTTAGATATGGAAAGTATATTTTTATCCTTTGTGTCTTAAGTTCTAGGCCACCAGGGCGATCATGTTCTTGGGTTTTACAAAATTTCGTTGTTCTCAGTTTTATCACGATTTAATAGCTTCTTAATTTTCTTGCTTCGAGTTCTGAAGCTTCTTAATACTTTTCTGACTGTCTAGTACTCGTTTCTTATAGCCAATTTCTTATAAAAGATGGGTGCATGTTTGAAAACAATTTCTATTGAGAACTATTCCGATTGCCAAAGCAAGTTACAGTGGGACAAATATATACACAATACATTGTGTTTTCTGCGATGTCAAAGTATACATTCGATACTGGGTAGACACGTGTCTGGATATTGTTTCCTTTACGTTTGTTATGTTCTACACAGATTGCACAGGCCTAAAATCCGTTTTCATTTTGGTATAAGACTTCAGGCCGCGCAATGTTTGCATTGTAGAATATAACCAGGCATTAGGTATGTAAGCCTCTAACTCATTTTTGATCATGTTCGTTCCTGGCGAAACTTGCTTAAAGGTGCAATTCATAAGAACTTTTTAAATGGCTTAGAAAGTTTCTTTGATTTTGTCGTTTTCGTCTAGATATTACGCCTGAAAGTTGACAAAAAAGCAGAAATAATGTCACCTTATTTCATAACAGTGTGATATAAGATATAAACAGAGGGATTTTGCATTGTAAAGAAACAATTCCTTTGCCATTCGATATGAATTATACAATTGTTTTAAAGTATAAGATGAAATCATGAAATTACAAGAAATATCGGAGATAAGAATGAGTTTTTGACTGATTAGCTTTACTTAACTAGCTTAACTATAAAACCGAATTAAATTTGCAGCAAGTTTGAAAGAAACATAAAGTTCGCTGGGCCTAAATTTGAAAAAGTGAAGCTGCCTTTTCGATCTGGCTTTCTATAAGCATTGTTAAGTATGGTTTGCATAAATAATAATGGATTCTAAAAGCTCATCCGAATACCAGTGCTTGAATATGCAAAGGAAATGAAGCGATGAGGACAGGTGCTCTAAATAAGGACAATAAATAGGAAACCGCAAGAGCAGGTGAATCGAAGAAGCTTGCATGCAATCCATAGTTTAACTTGCTCCGGAAGCCATCGCAGTCATTATCACTGGCTTCTTCATCATGTAAGTTTTTGCTATATGATATATAACGTTATTGGTTAAAGTAACATCCACGCATGCAGCTAGTGATCTTACTGATGGCTTGAGAAAATGACTTTCTGATCGTAAAATTTCACATTGTGTTGTGCTATAGCCTATCTCCATTATAATAACTTTCTAGATGATAAAGAAGCATAACTCAACTTGCTTTGAAACGTATAAGATAAGCACAATTAAGAGATAACTTGGTCGTACGATATGAGCTTAAGCGAGAAAACCTGCAACATCTTAAGCCTATCTTACCAAACTTTGATTCTTTTCTTACTGCAAATGAAAACTCAAAAGTTAATAATCTATAAATTAAATTGTAAATTTAGCCCCATGGCAGGGGATTTGTTTTAATAAATACGTGGTGAATATCTGAAGTCTCTACTGAGACCACAACGCCACTTGGGTTTGCAGATAAAACTCAAATCCGTAATAGAGCTCAGTTTACCCACATCAATGCTGTGTTAATCTTGCCACAAAGACTATTCCAAATTGGTCATTGTGTTGATAAAAAGCTCATTTGGGTTTATTAATCAATATTTTTTCACTTTCACATAGGTTCACAAATCCTTAAATTCTAGCCCTTGGATTTTATTGCCCTATTTAATAAATATTGCACGGAAATTTAGTCCTTGAGGTCTTTGCGACAATTCCTACCCCTTTTTGAAAAGATAAAACTTTTAAAGTCGAACATCTAAAATTTTTGGACCACCATTTTACCAAAGTCCTAGATTTGCAAATAGGCAATACCCTACATAAGAGGTGAATTGAGTCAAGAGGAAGAGGGGGCTGGGCTTGTCGAGAGCAAGGAATGACATATGAGACATTCAATAGAGTTCTTAAGTGATGTCGTCATAAAACAAGTTTTTAGAATTTTTGAATCTAGATCCCTTAGCCTGAAAAAGCATCATAAAACTCCTCTAAATACGCAAAAATATTCAAATGTACCACGAATTGGTTGAGATATGGCCACATGTGAATTGGCTCTTTCCCCATAGAATCTCCGTATTTTGGTCTCTGTTCATAACTTTATGAACAGAGCCATAATAACAGTGAATCGTTAGAAAACCTCTAATCTTTCATTGGCCATATCTCAACCGACTTTAGACATATTTGATTCAATTTGCTTATTTGGAAGTATTTAATGGTGATTCTTTTATGGTATGTGGTTAAAATTCAAAAATTCCAAAAATAGGTGTTTGGTGACGTCACACTTTAGAACTCTATAAAGACTGGAGTGATACGAAAATGCATTGTTTCTGTATTGCTTGTTTTGCAATTGGCTTGTTTTGTTTGCTTTTGCTAGTGTGACGATGTGTGTTTAAAATGAATATTGTGCATGCAATGTCAAGAGACAAAATTCAATGGCTATATGTCTTTTGTCCCTCTGTGGATGGTACCATATAGTATTTGTCATACTGAAAACATAATCAGTAGCGGCATCACGAGGGGACACGCCCCCTCCAAGTTCTCGGCAGAATAAATTTTATGAGAAAATGTTTGGTGAGGGGTGATTTTTTGGCAGTGTACTTTGTGTTGTCATCCTAATGTACTTTGTGATTTTGAATCTGTCTTTACGTTACCAAAAGTCAGTAATAGGCGTTCCCTTCAGGTAAAATTGGCGCTCCTTTTTGATGAAAGCGCGTTTTTGGGCATTGATAAAGACGTGGCAAAACAATTTTCTTTTATTTCCCCAGAGCCTAGTGGCTGGTGCTGCCACTGAACACAATCAACGAATCTTAGTTTCTTAGATATATGTCATATACACACTTTTTTACAAGAATACCTAATTTTTTGTTGAGCCCCACTATTCTTAAATTTTAAGATTTTGATCCTAAGATTATTCTTAAATCTTTTCTTAAGCTACACAAGGTGTAACTGAGTCTCATAGTGTTAACGCCTCCAAGGGCGTATACGTGTATTCCAAAACATATAGAGGGAAAATCACATTTGATTTGCTTTCCAAAAAAAAACAGAAATAAACAGAAAATTGAATCCTTGACGAAGCTTGAGCCCTGCATTATTCTTAAATTTCAGCGATTTTGAGCCAGATATGCAGGTACGAGAACGCTACCTGTGGCTAAAGCGGTGTGTAATTTATTTATATTGATGTCAATATCTTGATTGTCAAACCGCACATGTCTCAGGTGAAGTATGATGGTCTAGTTCAATGCCGTTCAAGCTTTGAAATTCCGTGTTGCTATTTTCGCTTAACCGCAAGTCTCATTTCGCAACCCTTACTATTAAAAATATCTCGATGCCGTAGGGTTCTCAATCTTTTTTCTCTCCCTAGACTCAGATTGAAACCTACTATGACAAAACTGCTAGAAACCAGACAATCATAAGCCACAATGGAATGCGCTAACGAGAGGCCGCCACAAGAAATCAACAGAAACGAGGTTAATCAAAACGAGTCAGATAAATTCAATTCCAATGTTGAGTGGCACAAAGCAGATCATTCAGTTAAAGGGCGGGGCCATTTAAATTCACACTGGAAGAAGAAATTCACTTTGCACAGAAAAGATGTCAATCCACAATTTAGAATACCCTTCATAATAACAGGGTACCGCAGTCCAAACCTCAACGCACTAGAGTCCCTTTACAGTGCGTTTGTGCCCAGCTGTAACGAGAGCATTAATTTCTGGTCACACTTCATAGCATTTGTTTTGTTCATAGCCAAGTTTAAGGCACTGTTCTCCAGAGATGACTACTCTCTTGATGATTCTATACACTGGCCATTGCTCTCGGCAGCTCTTGGAATCTGTGGGTTCTGCTTTGCCAGTTCAAGCGCACATATGTTCAATTCGATGTCACCATCAGCCCAGCATTGTTGCTTCTTCATGGACTACGCCGCTATTGGCGTTTATTCCGTTGGTGTTGGTCAAGCATTCTTTTTCTACGCACGTCCAATTGCGCCCGAAATCTTCCCTTTCAAGTCAGCACAGCCATTCACAATTATTTCTCAATTAACCTCTATAACAACAACACTTCTTTGCTGTTTAAGCAGGCTTTATTGGACGAAACACAAATATCTGATCCGAACCTCATCCTTTGTGGCACCTTTTCTAGTTAACGCATCACCATACCTTTATCGCATGATCTACTGTGCAAATGACGTCGACTGTATATCCCAAGACTCCTTGTGGGTATTTCAAATTCATTGTTTCTTCTACATTGCCTCGGCTTTGATAAACATCCTTCGTGTTCCGGAACGCGTTTATCCTGGGAAATTTGACCTGCTTGGCCACAGTCATCATTTTCTTCATATTTTTACTGCAATTGGTGCTTCTTATCAATTTGACTCCATCAACCTAGACATGAGAGCGAGGAAAAGTGAACTCATGAAGCAGGCAGTGCAATGCAACTTTTGGAACACCATTTTATCATTTCTAATAAGTGTAATAATGAATTTCGGCATTGCTTTGATATTTGGATCCAAAGCTGGTGAGCACACTGAAGAACACGAAAAAGAAAAAACTACATAGCTGGATGATATTGAAGAATAAGTTTCTTTGGAGTTTCAAATTTGTACAAGGATCACATAAGCTTTTACGTGTGTGTTTGAGGTAATGTGTAACTTGAATGGAATGGACACAATTCTGTTTTATTTTGTGAAAATAAATATACTTAAAGGTGCATTTTAGGCGACCGTATTTTCTGCCTAACAAAAGTTGCTTGGTCCAAAACTAGCGCTATTAAACGTCTCCATCTATAATTGGGACACATAAAAGACTAGCGTTCCATTAAATTTTTTTTAGTAAGTTTAATATGGAGAATATTCGAGAAACGACAGGCTCTTTCTTCACTTCTAACTTTAAACTATAAAAGATAAATAAGTTCTTTAACTTCTTTTGTTCAAATTTAAAGTCAAAGTGCCAATAATGAGTAACTGCAATCGATTTTATATCATGTTCTCACGTTTTATACTCTTAGAGTGTCTGGCAAAAATCTTTGATATGATAGTATCGTATAAAAGTTATTTTCTTGCTGTTTGTTAGCAATATTTTATGTTGTGTGTCTTGTAACTCATCAAAGATGAGAAAATGCATAAAATGCACTGAATGTTTTTTGTACCTCCGAGTAGTTTAACAATATATCATAAAATTTAGTCAAACTTAATTAATTTTCAATTCAAAAACTGTTGCTTAATTCATCTTACGTTATATTGGAAAACATTGAATTTTTACAGATATTCGAGAATTCTTTTGTTAAATTATTAGCACTACGCTTCAAAGCAAGAGCAAAAGGTAACACGATAACACTTTATCCCAAAGTTTCTTGTTTTTGTTACACGTTGTGTGTCGTGGATCTCCAGGTGTTATCAAACCAGAACTTTCTTTCTCTAGGTGTTATAAGAATTATTTCACTGGAAAAAACCCATCAACCAACATGAGCTCTTGGTTGAGCAGAAAAAAATTTTCAAAGATGAAATTCGATAGAATAAATAACATTCTAGAAACGCCTAATTATTAAAAGATCTGAATTTCCTATTAAAGCAAAATATCTCTAAATGCCTTATCAAAAACAATGAATGGCCGGGGTCCAGTGGAGTAACAGAAAAAATATCAGAACAGTGAAAGCAACTCGTTAGGGCCTCCAAGTCTTAGGAGACCTGAAAGCCACCCCCCCCCTCTCAAAATGATTGAAAGAAGAAAACATTCTAGCAGAAGAAATAGGAGCAATAATGAAAAAATTTAGATGTCTGACCATTCCAATGTTGGCTGAAGATGACCAGCCTTTGCGGCGGATCAATTATTTCATTCTATTTATTGTTGTTAACATGGTTATAACTATTTAAAATTATATGTTTCAGAATATCTTTAGGATAGAAATTAATTTATCCAATATATGCCTCGTTTTACAGATCGTTGTTTGTTTGTTTCTTAGTTCTCAAAGATTTTTATGACCAATGCCTCATCTCAGGGTTCTAGAATGCTCTCGATTAAGCTATTGTAATCTTGTAACCTTCATTGTAACCTTGATTGATCATTGTAATCTTCTACAAAAACTCTAAATAAAAATTTACAGTTGATTAAATAGGCCAAAAGTACTTTTTTCTAGTAAGCAAACAGATTTCGTAACACTTTGCTGCGTCGTGAATTTCATTTCGCTTTCTTTCTGGTGCAGCCTATGGAAGCGAGTTGTTTAAAATGTAGTCATGCCTTTAAAGAATCGAAAGTTGAACACTGTCTTTCATGGTTTGTGACAAGCCTGAAGAAACATTACAGAGCTTTAACAGACTAAGAATCCTTTCGACATCTTTACTGGCAGAGACTGGCAGCTATATTGTAATAAAAATTCTTCTGTGAACACACTTCATTCTAAAATGCTGTCAAGCCAATCCTCCAAATCATCGACTTCTTTGTGAGCATTTTGGCTTTGCTCGTCATCTTTGGAGTCCTGAAAATATACCCATACATAATAAGAACTAGCCTTGACAGTTAAAACATACCTAACGTAGGGACCTCGCCAAATAGCATTGATAATTATTACTAAATGCTAAAAGGAGTGAAAATTTTGATAGCAGACCAGGAAAATGTTGGGTAACAGGTAAAACAGTGCTACGTCCTCAATGGTGGATTAGAATATGCTACTATAAAACTTATTACAGTCCTACATAACAAAAAACAGCAATCTAACTCTTTTTAAAGAGAACTTGTGCCGAAGCAGGGGGTTCTTCATTTGTGAATAACCTTTGACTTGGGGGTTCTTAATATTCAAACATTATATACACTTTTAAATTGTTTCTAAGACCATTAAATAAAAGTTTTGCATGACAGTTTTAGTAATATGAAGGTTAATTTGCTGATAAAATCTGCTGTGTCTTGTCAGCATGAGAGGCTGGGCATGTTCCTAAATTGTTCTCATCAAGCTCTTAAAAAACTTTTTCCAAATGTAAATTGAGCAACAATCAAAACTAAAAAACGGAGAAAGACTTACGATTTCTTTATCCATTATCTTTTCACCTTTCTGATCAAATTCCTCCCCGCGAATGAATGTTGTCACATTATCTTCAATATCTACAACAGCAAAGACAAAAAATGCGGATTGATAAAGAGTAAGCTTGGTCACATTTTCAGGGCCTACGCCATGAATTTGAAGGACCATAATCCATCCACGATGCTTATCTTTAATAAACAGCACAATACAGAGTACACACACCCAATGATTCCTTTTCTTGCATACCAACAATATCAACCAAAATAACAATAAAACAATAATAACGATAATCATATAGTGCTTATGAAAACGAGGTTATTACGGTTGTTACCGCGGGGATTCAAACCATGAAGATCACGCAATTCAAAACTTCATTTAAAAAGCGAAAAATTAAGATATATTGACCTAAAAGATGTTACAGCCACAAGAAGACTAGCAAGAAGCAATTTTCAAGAGTTCTGACGGACGAATGTCTGTCTACACACAAGTGGAACAGTAGTGGGCCTAAGCTTCTTTGTTGTTGACCCAGAAAGAAGGCAGAAAATGGCTTCTCAGATTGAAAAAGAATTAAAGGAAGTCAACGAAAACCTCCGCTCACTTAATAAGGCCGTTCTTCGTCTTAACAAAAAACTGGATTTGATCGAAACCAACACTCGAGATGAAATTAAGAAGATGACTTGGTACAAGAGGCGAAGTGACTCTGCTGATGTGTATGTTCAGTCTAGTATTGTCAGTGTGGGAGACATAGACACAGTGATGCAACAGTTCACTTGTGAATTCTATTTGTCATTAAGGTGGGAAGAGCCAAACTTAAAAAATATGGAAGGAAAGGAAGATGAAATTGATTGGAGTAATCAATGGGAACCTGGTATATATTTTGTCGACCTAATGCAAGTTGAAAAATATGAAAGAAACGAAGCAGTCACTAAACCGAAAGAGGTACACAAATGTTTCTTTCCTATTTCGTAAAATTCACAAGTATTACCTACTTTATTTACTTTGTCTAGGCTGGCTTTTGTTGATTCGATGATGTAAGACAATAAACTAAAACCATATGGTGGACAGAAAGCAAAACATACTTTTTAGCAACAAAATATCTGTTTTCATCTGATCTTGCACTAGCATATTCCACAAAACCTACAATGGTATATAATTGAAGTAAGAAGTTACAAATGAGATGCAAGAAAATAGATGAAACAGAGTGTTTTCTATTTCTATGTTGTGCAGTTTTTGGCTTTAATGCATTTTTGTTTTGAATGAATGAAGGTCACATAGTAATGGTTCTAAACATTCAAGAAGGTTTTGTAAACAGCAGTTTATAATTGTCTTGATACCAAAAGAAAAGGTACCATCCTCATACTAACAACATCCTGAATCTAGAAGCAATTTGTGTGGTCTGTTGGTAATATTTTTCTTTGAGCATTTTCAATTTCCTATTTGACATTGTCTATTTGACAATGATTTCTAATTGTTTAATACAATCATGCTACAGGAAGGTGGTAATCCATGGGTGTCGTTCTACTATCACATAAGAGGGAGATTTAAAGAGGTCCTTGATGTAACCCATTTTCCATTTGATTATCAGCCATTGACACTAACAATAACAACAAGCTGGACATGGGATTATGTTAATTTGAAAAAGGATTATGAAAAAGATGACAATATCCGTACATGGAATTTTACTGGCAGAAATGAGTGGAAGTTAGAACCACATGTCTTGAATGAAAGCACTTTTACTTGCAAAGAGCCAGCTGCATCTGATAATATCTTCCCAATCTACAAGATTAAAATGCATGCTTTGCGGAAGTATGGGTATTTCATCTACAATGTAGCACTTATAATGGATTCCCTAACTGCCTTAACTTTAACTGCATACACAGTTGAAGCAAGTAGCCCAGGTGAGCGTATGCAGATATCACTAACACTGTTGCTTACATCAATTGCACTGAAGTTTGTCGTCAATGGATTTGTTCCACAGGTTCCATACCCAACACTGCTAGACAAGTTTATGCTATGCTGTATGGGCTTTCAGTTTCTAGTTGCTGTTGAAAATGCTTTTGCAGCAGTGGTTCACGTTAAGTACCCAAAGGCACTTGACATGTTTGAATGGATAAGTCTTTATGCACTGGGGGTCATATTCTTGATAATGAATATTGTTTTTGGAGCCTTTTGGCATAAATATACATCTAGCTCTAAGAGATTACGCAGAAAACATGAGCAAGAGTACAAAGAGCTAAAAGAAAATTCAAAGATTCTCAGAGATCACTTTTCAAATTCTAAAAGGGATGCAACTCCTTCACATCACTACTCTGTGGTAGCTGTAGAAGACAGTGAAATGGTTCCAAGAAGGTATTCAAAACTCCATTTCAAACAAAAACTTAAATGGATGGGAAGAACCAAGAAAGGAAAAGACAAAATAGTAAAATCAAGTGCAGTACAACATAGAATATAAACCTTATGTGATATTTCAAGTGCTTTTAATTTCCTACCACATATGTTAAACATCATATTTATAACTCTTATATTGTGTCGCTGGTTGAAATATAAAAAAATTTACACTCTTTAACATTGAAACTTCCTGGAAGTAGTTTGTAATAACATTTCATGAATTTTTATTTTTTACTATATTTACTATATTTTTTACTTATATTTTAATATATTTCTTTAAATAAAATTTTTAACGTTTTTCACCATAATATAATTTTTGTATTAACATGTAACCTATATATTGTGTTTGGTATTTGCATAAATGAAAAGTGGTGTTTTAATGATCTTTTAAATCATCACTGAAGGATAAAGTATTATAAAATAAAAAATGTAGACATAACAGTTGTTTTGTATATATAAACCTACCAAACTTTGTTTCATCTTCGGATTTTCCTGAACTTATTGAAAGCAAAGCCTCCAGCTCATCCTCTTCATCTTTTTGGTAGGCAGAGTTTTGTTGGATTTCAGTTTTATTATTAACAGACTCATATACTGAGAGTTTTCCAATTCCATCCTTCAGTTCTTGAACTCTATTCTCATTAGCTTCTTTTCTCTTTACAGTCTCACATTCTAAAGGTTCATTTTCAATGTCATCATCCATACTAATTCTTTCAAGTAACTTTTTAACTTTTGTTTCATAGCCCCTCATTTCATCAAACTTCCAAACCCAACTTGACTCTGTGTTCTCTTCAAGCTCTATATTCCTATTTCCACATGTTTTGACAGTCTCTTTTATATATTCTAAATAGTCACCATGCCAATCAACTCCTGGTTCTGAAATTATACTTAGCTGCAAGAAAGACAATATAATGGTAAGGATATAACATGAAACACCAACAGGTTGCTACAGTGTTAAAATTAATTTCTGTGGTATTTCTAAATAAAGAACAGGAAACTATGGCTCTGTGTGTAGACAAACATTTTGAGTTTGAAAATTTGTAGTAGGATTTTAGGATTTTGAATTTCATTTTTCTATTGACAGAGATTTTTAATCAAAATGCTACCTTTTTTAGCTGTAAAATATAAATTTAGTTCAAATAAACCCCAATAAAAATAAAAACAGTATCTTTGCAGATAAAAAATATGCTTACAACTTTCAAAAGAGAAATTTATAGTTTCTTATAGCTAAAAGTTTCTTATATTGACAGTCAAGGACACTGAAGGAACAAGTGGCTATTTTCTTCAAAATGCTAAATTAAAGGACAAACTAATCTTGCCAATACAGTCTTTACTTTGGGCTGCAATATTTCTTGCAAGATGGCATTGATTCTGTGACTGTTATTACCGTTTCCTGTATTCCAAGTTTCTGATAAACAGGTATCTCTCTTAGGCTGGAACCTGTAACTTCTAAATCAAAGTGCAAAGGTCCATCAACTTCAGTTGCATTATCCTGATAAAGGTAATAAGATTAACTCTCAGAATATTGCCTAAACTGAAAAGTGAGCAAAAACAGGAAATTTATATTTCTTTTTGCACTCACCTTGCCCATGAAATCAGATATATGACATGTAACAATATCATTAACTAGCATGGACAAAACAATAAAGGAAATGAAATGAAGGTACTAGAAAAATTTTGCGTCATGAGACATATCTACCAATAGAAACCTGGTACATACAGCGTTACTTTGTTGCTGGTAAAAATCACTATTTGCTTGATTGCTTGCTTGTTAATCAATCACTTGACCAATGGGTCTGACATGCAGAACAAAGAATCAAGTCTACACAGACAATGGTTGTTAGCCTTCACTGAAATTTAAGATATTATGAAGAAACTCTACATGCAGCTCAGACAAAACTTTGATAATGTTAAACACCAGGTAATAATATGATTCTAGCTGGATTAGCATCATTTAGTAGAAAAGATGCTTATGATAATAAATGGAAATTTCACTAATTTAATCCAACATCTGCACAACAAGACTTTCCTGGTAAAAAGATAACAAACATCTTGAGCAATTTTAGTACAGATAAAACCTGTCATTAAAGTTCAATTTCTATTTTCACTATTTTTCAATACTTTTCTTAAATCAGGGATAACATTTCATAGAAGACTGTATTTCTGGCTGCATTTTGAACCTTTCAACTGAAATTATACTCTGGGCATAAACAATTATTTAAAAAATGGCTTCTTCACTGAGAAAAAACACTCACACTTGTATGAACTGATACTATGTCATTCTCATCTTTAAATTTGAAAGTAGAGACATCTCTACCTACAGAAACAAGAAAATGTAAGAGCTACAAAAAATTAACTGACATACTGATATATTAAAACTTGTAATTAACCACAACCTTTTAATAACAACAAACACAATTTTGAAGTTTTTTTACAAAAAAGTGAATTTTAGATGCAAACAATAAATAAAGCTTTGAAAGTTTAAACACAATATATATCTAGCCATATTACATGAAATAATAAAACAAAACAATATTTGTCTTTGGTTCTTTTGCAGAGACAAATTAAACAGCTTACCTGCTTGGGAAACCAAAGTTTCAAAGTGTTTTCCAACTGTTCTTTGATCTTCTTCTGTCTGACTGCTACCATCTTCGTGATTGTTATCTAGCATATAAATTTGAGCTTATAGCCAAAGAAATAAGATGCTAAACACCCAATGACCAAACACAAAAGAAAATGCAACTTTAAATAATGTAGTCAAGAATATCAAGCCTAAAAATAGATCTTTTTAGGGGTCTTCAAATTTTGATGATGCCAACTGATAGAACACATACTTAAAATTCAGTTGAATCTGCTCCAAATTAGCAAATTATAAATTAGCAGTTTATTGAAGGCTTACTATTTTTAGCCTAGTCCACCAAGCTAAATTTATTGAAGAAGGAAAGGGTTTGAATTCTAATCCTAGCTTAACATAAATGGACATTTAGAAGAGGGGTGTATTCCTTTATAAAGAGGACAAATGGTGCTTTCTTATTAGTATTTGTAAAATGCACTGACATTTAGCAAAATAGCAATGATTTTTGGAAACTGAACGGTCTGTTTAAAATCTTAATATTCACTTTTAAATGCAAATGTCAATAATGAATTCCATCTTTTACCGATGTCATATTTTGCCCAGTTGCTCTCTATTGTTCTTCTGCCAAATTTCTTTGAGACATGATTAGATTCAAGCTGGATGAAGAAATCCTTATATGTAAAAGCATATTCTAAATTATAATTGATGGAAAAAAATTTCAATTTATGCAAAACAGAGATGGTTTAAGGATGGCAGATGTTGAACAAATAACTGTTATCAATGGATCAAAATTCAAACTTGGGCCTTAATCTAAAACAAACTCTGTCTTAATTAGACCAAGTCTTATCTGTGCAACATGCAAGATACTTCAACAAATAGTGTGGAGTCATGTATCTTTAAATCAAGGACAATATGGCTTCATCGGTGACAGATCAGCAGTTTGAAGCTTTTTAACAATATAAGAAAAGTAGGCAGAGGGTTTTTTATTTAGGTAATTCAGTGGATACAGTCTAAAAGGATTCTCAAAAAGCCAGGTCCAAATCGCGGAAAACGCAGAACACCATGAAAAAATGAAATTTTGCTTGAAGCTTCTAGAATGCAAATACATAAACAAAGCAACAGAGCTCTTTCAAGAATTGAAATGTAAGAACTTATTTTTAAAGGAAATCATTATATACCTCTCTTGTCATCAAATTAGCAAATATGATTGGTTATTAAAGGTTTCTCGTTTTTGTGCTTTTAATTTTCACTCTCGTTCAAAATCAAAAATGCGGAAAATGTGGAATTCTCATTTCCTTTAAAAACAAGTTTTTATATTTCAATTCTTGAAAGAGCTCTGTTGCTGTGTTTATGTATTTGCATTCTAGAAGCTTAAAGCAAAATTTCACTTTTTTGGCGTTCTGCATTTTCCGCGTTTTCAACCTGGCCTTTTCAAAAGGCATTTGACAGAGTTTAATACAAAATATTACATAAAAAACTCAAGAGTTATGGTAAAAAGTTTAATTTTTGGCATCAACAGCCTTTGTGATATGAAAATAGGTCTTGTGCGGCGTTTTGTACGCCTTGGTTTACTTGCATATGTTATGGTGTGTGATACAAACTTTTACAGGGCTGGCAAAACATATTTGAAAGTGGAGGGGCCACAGTGGTAAGATTGTGGATGGGTCTAATAAAGACTGTCACCATGAGCGGTGACAAAAAATCTAGAAATCTGGTTTTTCTGGGATGGCAAGAAACTGCATCTAAAAGAGATTCTGACCAAAGAAAAATTCAAGGTAATATTTTCAAGCTTTCCTCAATAACTTTGTTGTGTAGTTCAATCTATTTTAATGTTGACATGAAATAGTCTTGCAAAGTTTTTGAATAAACATTTTAGTCAATAACAATTTGACCACAATGGCTTTATTGAACACTTTTAAAAAGATGCTTCTTGTACAGTGCAATGTGTAATGCATAACGTGGACAATGATTTGGTCTCTTTGATCAAGTTCCCATGTTCTAGCTTTAATTCTTCTAGATATTCAAATGGAAAGAGACTAACAAAGCTAAGGGCCTATTTAAAAGAATACTAAGAACAATAACTTACAGAATGGTAGACTACAGTTCTTTTCACTTTTTCCTAGAACTTTTGTTTTATTTATTTATGTCCTGTTATATAACGAATCGTTAAGTGTAACCTCTTTTTAATCCTTTATTAAATATCACAAAACCATCAGGCTTCTGGGCTTTTCACTTTTTTCTATTAAACTAGTGTTCGCCCTCTTATAAACTTAATAGCAGTTTGACTTCTTCTACCTTATTTTTGGTTGAGCTGTTGGCGGCATTTCCTTCAAACTTTGAAGACTCGCTATCCACTTTTTCCTTGGCTTTCTTCACCTCGTTTGTAGAATTTTTTGCTGCATTTTTATTTTTGCTAGCAGGAGGGCTATTCCTTTGTTTCTTTCGCATCTTGAAAAATCACGTACCTTTGAAAAATTAGTTCACTCCATTTTCAAATTAATGGGAAGTAGACTCATCTTGATAACGAGGCTGCAAACATCGACTATGCAGCTTTGGAGGAGGACATGAACATAAACTTCACGTTCTCCAAGCATGCTTGCGTATCGAAGAGGAGGACGTAAATAGAAGGAGAAATATTGTGCTTCACAACTTATATGTAGCAGACATGAAATCTCATTAAATACTTAGAAAGATGGCAAATACTGGGCTAGGTGCCACGATCACTGCTGATGCTATTAATGACTTTTTTAGCTTGAAGCCAAAAACGTTAGCCAAAAAACCCCCATCATGCAAACAGCTTCCTGACAATAAAGCGATAACTGCCGAGCAGAGAAGAAGCTCTGACTCTAGAGATATGTATAGTTTGATGTCAAAACCCAATGGAAATATTTTTGATCAGTAAGTATGCATTTGTGAGCTCAGTGTGGTCTTGCTAAAAGACGTTTAGGCTTGGAACCTGAACCACGTCCAAACTCAGTTTTATTTAGATTTGATAATGTTCACGTAGCAATCATAACTTGGTGGTAAGTCACTTATGAACCCTAACATACCTACAAACTAAAAGAGAACAGTGTTTTCAACAAAAAGCAGACCTGTTAACCTAAAATTTTCAATACCTGGAGATTTCAGATTTTTTGGTAACAAACTCAGGGAGACTTGGCCAAAATCAAGGAGATCCCTAGAATTGTTGAATTTATAAACAACATACCTGTCAAAAAAGTCATGTTGGACAAACAGTGAATGTTATGGAATCTCAATGAATTAAGGATGCAAGCTTTCTAGGCTGGCTTACATGCAAACTGCTGTATTATTTTGTTTTTAACAATGCACTTTTTCAATAAGAATATTGCTTATAAGAATATTCTGGCTCAAAATTATCCATATATTACAAAATGGCAATAAGAATATTGCTCAGCCTCACATTCCATTTTCATATCTAATTTTTCAGCAGTTGCCTTTTTTGCAATGTTCATAATTTTTGATTTTTTGCAAGATTCACAAGCTATAATGATCATTAAGCAGAAACATATGATCAACTCTTTGGACTAAAGTTGCAAAGAAAAATGAATAATTTTCTTACGTTTCAAAACCCGGTCTAAACCATTCTGTGAATGTCATCATATACCAAATTTAGGATGTTGAAAAATTGAGTGAAAATTGACAAAACAAGTGGAAAATAAGCTTGATCTTGTTTTGCAAATTATTTTCTTGATTTTGTGGCTGATTTTTTATCTTTTTGTACAACAGAGTAGAAGAGCCACCTGTTGTTGATGAAGTATTTGAAATTGATACTGAAGGCTTAGATGAGCTGGAAGATGCATCTCAAGAAGTAAAAGGCCCTGATCATCCTGCTCTTGATGTGTATGACAATTATCAATTTGATCATGAATATGATGAAAATCTTCCAATCACAAAGAACAGAGAGTGGATAATTGGAACCATAGAAATGAATCAAGTCACTATAATTGAAGGTGAATTTGATAAAAGAATTTAGTTCCTTAGTTTAAGACTGTCAACAGACAAGTCCAAGAAAATGAAACAGAATATCAGGAAAAGACTAATTGGAAAATGATATAATTTTATGAATTCATGCCTGATTTAATCAAACACTTTTCACAAACCAAGGCATTGCTGACTGAATATTGTTGTATTTTCAACTTTCAATCAGCACAGAAGAATCAATTCTTAAGTCTTTGATTTGCCAGTATCAGTATCCTTTGAACAAAATATTCATCTTTTTAAGAATAATATTATTTCAGAAATCTGAAAGGTATTTCTAGGTATATCTGAAAGAAGAGGCTTCCCTGCAATGTAAGCGAGCAGAAATTTTTTGTGACTATGCCCTCTTGAAAAGCTTCAAATACATTTCAGAATATTTCTTGCATTTATTTAAATGGTTTTGCTATTTTCATAGCATGCTTTTAACTCCAGTCTTTAAGGCCCCATAGACCTCTTGTTTCTTGGAATTAAGCAATAGCAGGTTTTATCGCACTTTTATTTTCTTCTATTTCTTTTCGTTTATTCTTTTTTTTCTGCACTTTTTTCAAATGGAGGTTGGAACCTCCAGCCCCCCTCTGCTGCAGCCCACAAGATTGAATCTGCTTCATACCAACACATCCCCCATTCCTATCACACAAATTTCATAGATATTATAATTGACAGTTCCATGTCTATGGCAATTTCAAGCATGGTTCCATGGAGGCAGGCTTGGTGTGCACATGTAGTACAATAAAATCCTTAAGTGATTTGAGCCTATTAATTTTTCAGGTTGATTAAAGTGGTAGAATCAACATTAGAGAGGACCCTTGTTTTTATAAGTTTTGGAATAATCTGACTCCTCCTCAAGTGGAAATGGCGGTAGTCTGGATCCTCCACTGATAATCTTTTAACATAGACAGTAGATAGTGTGACATAGACAAAACTTGTTGGTTGATGTAGTGGCAGGTTTGTTAGAGTAAGGTCTTATGAAACAAACTCTGGTGTTGTGTTTTTTACATTTAAAACTTTTTACATTTGTTAGCAAGATTGGGTAAGTTTATCTTGATACCCATCAGTAGATGTCTTGAAAAGGACTTTGTTATTTCCTTTGTAGTCTGTAGTCTTTATATGGCTATAGCTTGGTTTTTATATTACAGGTACAACTGGGAGTGGGAAAACTACCCAGGTTCCACAGTTTATACTTGATTATTATCGTGAAAAGAGACAGTATTGTAACATTCTTGTGACACAACCTAGAAGAATTGCTGCTGAAAGCATTGCTAAAAGGGTCAGTGAGGAACGAAACTGGCCAGTAGGGCATTTGGTTGGCTTTCAAGTTGGCAGAAATAGGAATGTATCTGAAGACACAAGAATAACATATATGACAACTGGGGTGCTCCTTCAGAAAATGATATTGAAGAAAAGTATGAATGAATACACTCATGTCATTCTAGATGAGGTAAAGTTTTTAGAACAACAATTTGATAAAGCCAAAGAAATTGTACGTGTTTAAATACTTCTTTCTATGAAGCTTTTTATTTCTTTTTCATGCTTGCATCAAAAGTGGCATTAACAGATAATCCTTTGTGATATTGAAAATTTAGATTGTTGGCAGACACCTGGGGGGGGGGGGGGGTTGAAAGGGGGTGGTCACCCCCAACATTTTTTAGGACAATGGTCTTTTGTTCTAAGCAATGGACAATGTGATGTCATCTCATCAAAACAATAGGCTTCCCCCTCCTGATATTTGACAAAGTATCAGCCACTGATTGTTGGATAATAATCTGCAATAATTTAAATTTGTCAAGATTTTGATCGCCTGTCTTGGTTCTGTAACTGGATAAATTGTGATTTTTCTGTCTGTTATTGCTACTACTACTTTGTTATCTCTTTATTATCTATTTCTGACAAAAAATTGAGTAACCACTCTGTGACTGCCTAGTTTTTACCTTTTCCTCCAATAAGCATTTTCAAAATAAAGATAAAGGGTAGCTTAGCATTTGAGGTTTCTCTCAAAAAGTTGCAAAACAACCATGCAACAGCAGCAAACACATAAATTTGACAAGAAGTTTATTGATTCACCAATTTATTCATTTTACTTTGCCCTCTTGAGATTTTTTTTTAACTTTCTTATAGGTCCATGAGCGAGATCAAGATATTGATTTGGCCATGCTTGTCGTCAAGAAGTTTTTAAACACCGTTTCCAAACATGTTAAGGTGAATATTTCATTATTTTAGTTAATTATAACTGTGAAAGACCATTGGGTATTGACATGATATAATTAAAGATGGTAGAAGTTTTGATGCTAAATTTTGTCCGTGCCCATCTATTCATTTTATTATTTGAAGTAAGCAGCTTTTTAGAATCAATATCTATTTTTTACATGTGAATTGCATTTGCAGTGTTTCTTTTGCCGACAGGTGATCCTGATGTCTGCCACATTAGATTGCAGCCTCTTTTCTAAGTACTTCTCTGTGATTGTGCGAGGCAAGCTTGAAGAAGCTCCAGTTGTATCAGTTGGAGGCTGGGCTTATGAAGTCAAAGAGTATTACCTTGATAATCTACGGACCCATGGAAAGGTGCCATCTACATTTATTTTTACATTTCATGTGTCATTAAACCAGCCCCTTCCGATATCTTATTTGTGTAGCCTTAATTTGAGTCTGTTTTCCAATTACTTGACCGTGATACAAGACTTTGACGTGATACAAGATGTTTTAAGTTTACTAGTATTTTATGCCGTTTTTTGTATAAAAGAGCAATGCATTTCATTTCGCTAAAACATTTAACCATAGTCAATTTAACACATACAAATTATGCTATTAGTTGTCTTTGCAAATCTGAATATCGCTTTTAAAAATCTGTATACTGTGTAATTTTGTCAGCAAGCAAAGACAGATTTGACTTAATTTTAAATTGGATTCTTGTTTTCTAGATTCCATTTCAAAGCCTATCAGAACCTGAGGTTTCATTTGAATGCTATCAATTAGCAAAAAACCTCATCATGGAATTTGATAAACGTGAAATAAGTCTACAACAGTTAGAGGATGATGCGAAATTTGCAGATAAAAGAGGCAGTGTCCTTGTCTTCTTGCCAGGTACGATTGTCTTTAATTTTTAAAACAACATATTGATAAAAACGACTGTTTCATAAGTAAATTCTGCTTTTGATAAAGTGTGGATATAAACTTATTTATGAAGATGGCTTAGAAGATTTTTGAAGTACGGGCGAAAATGAAGTGAAAACTAGAGAGGGACGGACAGATGAAAATGTTCTTTTGAAGATCCTGTGTTTGTAAGTGCATGGGGATCTACCATAGAGCAAGAGTTGAGAGTTTAAAGAGTTCAGTGCGGTATCTACAATCCTTGCCAAAAGTCTTGGTACACCAAGCTAAAATTTTGCATAACTTCCGTAGCATCCCCCTCTTCCCCTTGAAACAATGTTGAATAACAACAGTTTTAAAGCTTGAAATTCGTCCAATGTCAGTTTATTAGCTAGGGTAAGTAATAGGCTTTTCAGCCAACATTGTTTTTGGGGGGAGGGGGGATATTTCTGTATCTTACAGCCGGAAACCTTTATTTCTTCAAAATATTTCATTAGTCGCAGGGTGTTCCAAGGACTTTTGTCAAGGATTGTAGTTGCAAACCCAAGGTTGCATATGTCACATACACGCATACATTCCGAAAGGTTCATGCATATGTCAACATGCAATATTTTTCTTCATTTTCTCAAAAACTTTGTTTCTAAAATCTCTCTACCAGAGTTTAATCCTGTTTCGGGAAGAAGTGTTTATTTTCAAATTTTGTCAACTAGCGTTTATAATCATTTATAATGCCAGTTGATATATTAATGCTCTACAAATTCCTCTGAAGCCTTTCGTTTGTTTTTGAGGGGTTTTTATACACACATTAAAGACGTCAAGGGTACAGTTACAACTAGATACCATATTTCGCCTCATATTTCAATATAAAGATTTTTTCACTCATTAAAAACTGTCTATTCTTTTTTAGGATACCCTGAAATTGATGCAATGCACAAACATCTTGAAAAAGTTGAAGTGGAAAGAAAGTAAGGATTTGTTCTAATCTCCAATATTTACCTCTGTTCTCACTATCTGTAAACACTTGCATTGTCTAGCAAAGTACTTGGTATTTGAACTGTGTGATCCTTTTTAGGATCGATATAGGTTTTCACCTATAGCATTTAGGTGAGCTTTCGTTGTCACTTGATTGGATTCTTGTATTACAATAATGGTGAATCGGCATGTTTGCATTAGAAACGTTGATACTTGATAATATGTAATTGCAATGCTTGCTGACTGGGATTATTCTGAATGAATCATCTGCATATGCTGATGCTTGTACATGTAACAAGGATAAGCTTTGTCAACCTTCTGTTAAATAGCTCTATTTTTATTGTATCAAACTGTTTCCTTTTAGTTTGCAAGTTCTTATTCTCCATTCGCAAATCACGAGCATTGATCAATCTAGAATTTTCATGAAACCACAGTCAGGAAAAAGAAAAGTACGTTTCAGTATATGTTTTTTAATTTTCGATTAAATACGGATATAAACTTACATATTGAGAAGATCTATGATAAACAGGTGATAATGACGGGAAAATTAGACTGAGGCAGGCGCATAAAAATGTTGATTTTTTTAATCCAGCAATTGAGATACCTTGTTTGAACATTTTGTGGCGTCAGCGGTAAAGCGTTTGTTTAGTTTTTGAGGTAAGATACTGTATTAAGAATTATTCAATATAGCTATTTAGTGTTACAATTATTCAGCATGAAAGTTTTAATATTGAAGCAATTTAATGAAACAGATAAAAGAAGGAAAATCTATTGATAGCACAGCCTGTTTTTAAAGATTTGAGATCTGAATTTAGTTGACAATTAATTTATATATATATGTTTGTCTAAATAGCCCCAAACCTCAAGATAAAAAGGCTGCATTTTGGTTATTTGTGTCTCAAGAGTTTCTGTGTAAGAAATGTTTACAGGCTTGTTCTTGTGACGTAATATCGATAAAGATTCCATGCTGAAATTTTTTTGGTACTGTTTTTCACAATGTCCCCGTTCACGATAGTTTGTCCAAATAGCCCCAAACCTCAGGATCATAAAGATGCATTTTGATTATTTTTAATTTCAGGTCATTTTATCGACAAATATTGCAGAAAGCTCAATCACAGTTCCAGATATAGAATACGGTAGGTCTTTTAATTAGGCCAACATTTTTACGATCTCATCACCTTCTAGACAAACGCTTATGCTAAAGGTTTTACCACTTATTTTACACGAAGCTATTTCTAAAGGTTACAAATTTGGCCTCATTAGCCGAAGCTATTTTTAAGGGTTACAAGTTTTGCCCCGTTAAACGAGGTTTTTTAAAAAATACCAGTTCTGCCCCGTCGGTGGCGGTTTTTTAGATAAATTTTAAAGCCTCTAGGTTTTTTATGTATTTGCTTTGATTAGTTTTTGTAACGAATTTTTATTTGTCCCCAGTTATCGACTTCTGCCTTGTCAAGAATCTGGAAACAGATGTGGATACAAACTACCAAAGCCTGCGGCTTCGCTGGGCTGCAAAATCGTCTTTGAATCAACGGAGAGGTAAAATTAATATCTAGAATACCATTTGTCTATTTTTGTTTATTAAATAAAAAATTTCAAGTTGATTGGGTGATTGGAAAAGGAAAAATGTAAAAATTAAGAATTTAATTCAATTCTGTCCGTTTTGATGGAAGTATACAATCCTTGCCAAAATTGTTGGAACACTTGCGCAAAGCTGAAGCTTTTTTTGAAAAATCCCCCCCCCCCTACCCCCCATTACAATGTTGTTCACTTGGGCTGTTTTGATCCTGAAGGTAAAAATTTCTTCACTGAAATCTGTATGAAAGTATTGAGAAAATAAATCAACATTGTACGGGGGGAGGGGATCGAAATTTTTGAAGCGACAGTGATATTTTGGAAAGGTAGTTTTAGACTTGCTTTGTTTATTTACATGCTGCAATGGGAAGGCGTTCCAGTTATTTTTGGCAAGGATTGTAGTTGCTAAATGAATGCGTCATGAAAATATGTTCTTTGAATTTCTAAATTTGGTCCACAAAAACAGAAATTACGCTATGAAGTTATAGAAAAGAATCTTTTAATGTTGTCAACGTAAAATAACTGTATTTTGTAAGCGAACTGCTGTTAGCTTGATAATTGGAGGACCCGTTGTAAAAAATGTCAAACGATGTCACGTTTTCGGTCCATGTTAAATCATTTTTTCAATGTCGTGTGATAGTTGTTTGAAGGCTTTTTTATCTTTGGTTGTTTGATGGTTGTTCTTATTCAACAGGTCGTGCTGGCAGAGTCGCAAACGGTCTGTGTTTTCGGTTGATCACTCGAGACTTTTTCTCACGTCTACCGGAATTCGGAACTCCAGAGATGCAGGTATTAACCAGGTTATTTATAGTCATAATCTCCATGTCAGATAAAGAATGCCTTCTCATTGACCAAATTTCCTAGGCAAACTACACAGCTAGAATGCCGATTTGGAAAAAATTGATAATTTCTACTAAAAAGTGTAAAAAGTCCTGACGTTGGCACAACTTGCTTTGTATCACCATTGTCTAGCAAGTGACTATTCCTGTCCCCACACTGAACTAATGGGCCTCCTTTTATGCTCAAAATTTATATTTAAGTTGTCTGCATTATTTAAATTTCAATAGACAGTTTGCCCAAATTTAGTTAAGTATACCATATTTCCCTGTGTACACCATATAGCACAGACCTATGCTGATAAATCTTAACCGTTGCCTTGCAGAGATGCCCTCTACAACAAGTTGTTTTGCACGTCAAAATGCTGAGCATTGGTGACCCTTGTTCCCTTCTGAAGTTAGCACTGCAGCCCCCAGAAATAAATGACATCAGGAAGACCATTTTATTGTTAAAAGAAGTAAGTAACTGCTTTTTAGCTTCTATGGCCTCTCTATCTCTTTGGTAGTTACATTCAGTCTCACTGCTTTGGTCTACCTTGAGAGTGGCTATTTGATGGCATGGTTATATATAGAATATTGTAACTTAAACCCACCAAGATCTACAATGGTATATGAAAGAACGAAGAATTATTTTTTACCTTTCCAGAATTGCAGGCTTTGAAAATTAAAAATCCTTTATTTCCAATTGCCATTCCCTTTTGTTGTTGTTGTTCTCAAACTATGGTACTAGAAAATAACAGAAATTTTTCTGCTCACGATATATGATATCATTTTAGATTAAATTAGCTACCAAAAGCGTGCGCAATGTTGTTGCACAAACACTTATAGAAAGGTTGTGTAATCTATAGTTTGGCATAATGCTTGAAAGCTTCGTCTCTGGCTTTCATTTTTTTGTCGTGAGAGTGCATTTTCTTTCATTTGCGGTCCTCTAATACGACAATTTGGTATTTTTAAAAGTTTGAGACAATTTATTGACTTTTTGGTTCCAGCATCTCTACTTTTTTTGTTCATTTATCATTATCTTGCAGATTGGTGCTTTAACATTGATGCAAAATGACAGAATAAACCCTTTTGATGGAGACTTGACTGTCGTTGGAAAGGTTCTTGGTTCGCTTCCAGTGGATGTTAGGGTTGGAAAGTTGCTTATCCTTGGACATGTATTTGGCTGCCTGGATGAGTGTCTTATTATTGGTATGGTGCTTATCTATTCATTACAAAGTTTCTACTCTAGAATATACTTTTCTATTCTCTATTCTCAAGTTTCTCTATTTTTATAATCACCAGAAATAACTGATTTTTCTGATTCCTCGTCTACAGTCCTGTTGACTTTAAAGGCAGTTGTTCTCCTTTGGAAGGCTGATTGTTTCGAGTGGCTTCGCCAAAGTAATCAACGCTCTTGAACTTTCTCCAACTATTGAATTCTCAGAGAATTTCAAATCTAAAGCATATAAGCAGGGGCTGGCACTTGGTTAAATATTTGGGGGCAAGCCTATTAACTTCACATTTCCCCATTGTTTTAGAATTTTTTTGTAAAGGTCTTACGCTGTATTGCGCAGACTTATGCGAGAGGATTTCATGTGAGAAACGAAGAAATAAGATCTTGTTCTTTGCTTACATTCTTGTTATCGTGCAAATCAAAAAGCCCCTATTTACAAAATCTCATGATATTTATACTAACGGCATACAATAGATTAATTAATGATTGACATAAAACTAAACGAGGTACAAATGAAACCGAGGTTATACAATATAAGAAATATCCTGTTACATTTTTGGGGGGGGGGGCTGGTGGTGACCTTTGTTTTCGCCATTGCATAAGCCAAAAGAGTAATCAGTTTTTATCAGTGTGGTCCCGTGAGATTAATCCTTTTTCTTATACTCTTTGTTTTTTTAAGTTTTATCTGTATAAAGAAAAACTAGATTCTAGATTCGACAAAAAGGGCAACCGCTTTTAAACACAATGTCGCAGTTGATATCGTCTGAAGATTGTTTAAGTGTTTGAAGCCTAGTTTATGTAAAAATTATGTCCAGGGTTCTCAAAAACCTTTTGGTATTCTGTTTACATCGTTAGGCGTCAATATATGTATGAACGGTGTTTCATTTTAGCTTCTGTTTAGATTATAACTTTGTCTTTATATGTTTAGCTGCAGCTTTGTCTCTGAAGAGTTGCTTTGCCAGGCCATTCAAGAAAGACTTAGACGCGTACAGGTGATTTATCTTATTCTTCCTAACAAAAACCATGGATCGAACAAGCCGTGGATATGTCATTTGAAAAACATGTTTTCATGATCTACTCATTACTTTTAAAATTTTTTATTCTTGCACTGCCCAAAAGCAGTAAAAATCTAATTGTGTAAATAATAAAAAGGCCAGTATAGTAGACTTTTAGACTTGCGGTTAAAAGTCAGCAAAATGTTGAAAATGTAACTTTTGCTCTGATAAAGGCTCTCTACCGAGGTAAAATATTAAGCTATCTGTGATTTATTTGTGTTAATGGTCGTAATGTTCGTTTGTTCTAGGTGCGTTGCGGTGTTTCTCATTTTCATCAAAAAATGTTTTTGGTTAAAATTCATCTGATAAGCATCTCATTATAGCTAAGCAGTGTTAACAGTGTAGTGTCAAGTGCACGAACAGGTGGTCGAAAAAGTTTCCAGTATTCATCGTTTTATTGATCTTTTACAGCCACAAAATGGAATGGGCCAGATGGTCTTTCAGTGACTGCATCGCTGCGCTGCATTGCTTCCGTGTAAGTAAATCTCTTCCTTTCACATTGTATCCTGTAAAACCCCTTTTTTGTAGTGTTCATGCCCTAAAACGTGTTTGGAATATTTGCATTTTATATGTGGCCTTTTTATGCTCTGAGCATCAGCAAATCTGCATGTTTTCTATGTCAGGTTGTAAACATTAAGGCAATGTCCTTGTATTGTTTTTAGAGAATGTCTGAGCACAAATCTTGAAAGTATCTTATTAATTTTTGGGTTCGTTTCTTTTTCTAGGAGTGGAAATACAAAAAGGAAAGCTCTGGGTTTGGAAGAGAGGTAACCTAGTTTGTATTCGATATTTTTCCCTTATTCTCTGTAACAACACAAACTGCAATAAAATTTCTTTTCACATTAAAATTTCTGTCATAGGAATGTCTTCTTCACCTATGAATTTTCTGTTTACAGTAAACCAATAGCTTCGTCCTTCCTCAAATGCCCTTGTTTGTAGTAGTTGCAGATTTGGGTAGGTACAATTCCTGCCAAAAGTCTTGGAACACTGACGTCAGTTTTAAAGTTCAAAATCAATCATCCCTCTCTCCCCTACAGAACAATGTTTGTTTACTATCAAACGGGTTAGGATTTTAGGAAGCACTTTCCTTTGGTTCCTAAAATAGATATTTCTCTAAATCATCAACATTGTTTTAGGGGGAAGGGGGCGGAAGTAGTAATTTTTTTTTTCATGAAAGGAATGAAAGATATCTTATGTAGCGTAAATTGCTGGGTGTTCCAAGTACTTTTGGCAGGCTTTGTATGTTAGCACAATAAACAAACTCAGAAAGGCTCTACAGTTTTTCTTTATCTTCATTGTAAAGAAAAATGGTGTAAATTTTTG